ATCAGCATTTAAGCGCTCAATCTCTTGCTCCTTCCTCTTCCACATTGGCTTTCTCCAACTCCTCAGTCTTGCTCTCAAGAGTGCTATGGAGCTGCGAAATTTCTTCGTCGCGCTTTTGAGTTCCTACCTTGAGGCCTTTAATTTCACTTACCTTGGTGTCGAGGTCACCTTCAATTGTCTTGATAGACTCTTCCTTTTCCTTCAACTGACTCAGAAGCTTTTTAATCGACTCGTCTTTCTGGGTGATCTGAGTCTTGAGTTGATCAATACTCTCGTCTTTGGCCTTGACGTCGGTTTCAAGGCTCTTCGCTTTCTCCGTGGCATTGTCTCTAGATTTCTCAATGTCTCTTCTAGCGATTTCACCCTCGCCCACAGAGCTTTCAAGATTTTTTTATCGTCTTGGAGGCCTCTTCGTTCGAGCTTTCAAGCTGGGCAATCTTTCCAGACTTTTCTGCGTTTGATGCCTTCAAGTCGTCAATTTCTTTCACCTTGTCGTTAACTTCGTTCTCGAGCGTCTCGATCTTCCCGTCTCTCTCGTCGCACTTAGCCTCGAGAGCATTGATGTCGCTTTTGCCGGTCTCGACTAAATCTTCCAAACTTTGAATCTTGTTGTCCTTTTCAATTGACTTCTCGACCAAGAGCTCGTAGTCCTTGATTTTCTCCTCGGCAATAGCCTTGAAAGACTTCAATTCCTCTTCTGTTTTCTGAAGAGCACTGTCGAATTCGCGCTTCAGTTTTTCAATAAACTCCTGAAGCTCCTTGGCAGACTTCTCCAGCTGCGAAATCTTAATGTCTTTCTCGGCGACAACCTTGGACAATTCAGTGTTGTATCTGAACTCGTAATTCTGCTTACATTCCTCAGCCTTCGCCTCTGCCAGGGCAACCTCCTTCTTCAAAGCCTCGGCTTTTTTAATGCCCTCGGCTAGCTTGGCACTTAATTCACTACGTTCTTTGGACAAGTCGGTCACCTCACTCGATAACTTCTGGACTTTCCCTGTCAACGTGTCATTCTCAAGAGACAACTTGGCCTTCTCGGCATCAATGTTCAGTGCAATGGCGTCTTTCTCGGCCAAAGCTTTTCCGTGAGATTCCAAGTCAGCCTTTTTCTGCTCTTGGGATTTTTCGGTAATTTCCTTCAACTCTTTCTCGAGGTTTTTGATGTCTTGACGAAATTTGGAGCTAAGCGTGTCCAACTCGGTTTTCTTTTCCTGCAACATAAGGTACGTGGCTGCTGTACCGAACAACCCGGTTACAGATATTAATTCTTTGTAGACCATTTTAGCAAAAAAAAAATTCGTGTTTTCTTCAAGATCGACTGGCGGTGGATAATCCGATAGTTCCCGGTGGAAAATTCCTGATCTGCGAGCAGAGCGGTCCATGCATTTTCACGCGAATTCCATGTCGGCCTTTCTGGAACTTTACATAGCCTAGCCAAGCAAGAACAGCATCGAGAGGAGGTGCCAAGAATATGATCTTAGCTTTCTCACTTAGCGCTTGTTCAAAGACGACATGTAAATACCAAACAAAGGCGGGGGAGGATTTCTGGGTTTGACTTTCGAACAACGTCAGGAAATTAGCATGGAGACTAATATTGCTGCTGACCTAACGCAAACTGCTTCCCCGGCAAATATGCTTCCGCAAAGAACGCTCCACAAAAAACAGCCTAAGTAGACTAGCAAATCGGGCTCTGCCACACCCCCATGGCCAAAATTGTATATCTTCTTCCTACCGGAGTCGTTGGCCTCGGAGCTAATCATTCGCCGGACGGAGCCGAAAACCGGACCCGTGCCTCTCCGCCTCGAAACAGGGCTCGAGATAGTCGCGTGCGCCCTGAGCCTCATTCACCCACCACCGGCAAATTTCCGATAATCTACTTCCAAAGTCCCCGTCCATTCCTGGTTTGCAATGGACATCACGCATTCTCTGGTGCATCTGAGCCGGTCGCGGTCCAGATCAAGAACAAGAAATTCCACAGCCAACTCGCGGTCCACGTCTTCCTCCCGGCGCCCTTCGTTAGGTGGAAATAAGAGATCGCTCTCGTCGAGCTCGATCAACCGGTTTGTGATCACGCCCACGCAGATTGATCCTTCCAGCGAAAAGACAATCCCGACAATTAACTTGAATTTGGACAACACTTTGCCTCTTGATTTTTTCAAGCAAGAATTGATCGGGCTCATCCGCGCGTTGAGGATCTCCAAATGGCGCAAAGTGCACCTCTCCCCCGAGCACATTGTGATCTCGCGGATCCTGGGCGCATTGACAAACTCCATCTACAAGATTGAATACAAGGACAGTGACTGTCCAGTGCAACCACCTCTGTTGCTTTTGAGAGTGTACGGCAAAAATGTGGACAATCTTATTGACCGAGACTCGGAGTTGGAGACTTTGATCAAGCTCTCGTCCAACAAGATCGGGCCCAAGCTTTTGGGAATATTTGGAAACGGCCGCTTCGAGCAGTTTCTCGAAGGCTTTGTCACGTTGGGCAAGGAGGACATCAGGGATCCGGTAATCTCGCAAATCCTCGGCCGCAGAATGAAGGACTTGCACTACAACATCAAGTTGGACGAGCGCGATAAGTGTCTAGAGCTCCCTCTGGCTTGGTTGCAGATCATGAAATGGATCCTGCTTTTCGAAAACAATTTGCTTCATGTGCTTTCCGAGAAGACCGTGGAGGAAACTTTATTGATGCCTTGGCTGAAGTTTCGGTCTCTAGTGTTCGCTTACAGAAACTGGCTTTTCTCTAAATATGACGAGACCGCGCTCTCTGACAATTACCGCTTCTGCCATAACGACACGCAGTACGGAAACTTACTCATCAAGAGCACATTCAACCCAAAAGACGTGGTACAGTCTGACGGAGACTTGCCTTCCCTCAATACCAGCAACAGGAGAGACGCGGACCTAGCTGTCATTGACTTTGAATACTCTGGCGCGAACTTCCCTGCTTTCGATATCGCTGACCATTTTTCGGAATGGATGTCTGATTACCACGACGAGGAAAAGCCATATTATATCCACGAAGACAAATACCCGACGCAGACGCAGCAGTTCAACTTGCTCAAGTCGTATGTGGAATACAACTTCCAGTTCCCATCGTCGAACCTAAAAACGAAAACACAATTCCGTTCTCGGACGGACGACATCAAAAGCTTGATGGAGCATGAGGTGAAAAAATTGTACAACGAGATTATTTATTGGCGAGCCACGGTGCAGATTTTCTGGCTAGTCTGGGGGCTCATCCAAAGCGGGCCCACAAAAGACCCGATAGAAGACCTTGCATCCACAACTTCGGGCAAGGGTGTATTGGGCACTTATGAGTATTCAACTGGAATTGATGCCTTGAAAATTGCTCAAGATGGCCCTGGTCCTTTGGAAGAGGAGGCAATTACATCAACAGATGATGATTTCGATTATCTCAAGTACTCGCAGCAAAAGGCTGCGCTTATAGTCGGGGACTTGGTTTCGTTTGGATTGTTGCCCATCTCCGACATCGCCCCGCGGAACCATAACATGATCAAGTTCTTGGACACGAAATCGTTCGATGTGTAGTGTGGCGAAAATAAAAAAAAGTAGAATAAAGGAGAACTGTGTGTGAAGTCTGCCGTTGTACATTGCCGTTTCAAAAGAAGGGTCGTAGCTCCGTATATTGTATGAAAACAAAAGCCTAGGAATTTGTGTGCATCACTGACAAGGACTTATGACTGAAGGACTTCTGACTGAGACACATGGCGCGGAAGCATGCCCGAGTTGATAGCAATCTAGGGTGTAAGTTCGAGAGTTGATGCTTTCTTCAGTGTCTTTGTCTTTGTTGTTGTTTTCGATGGGGACAATACAAATGGCTGGATAGAGTTAAGAAAACACCAGTAACCATATTTTGGCAACATCAATAAACCAAATACCTCAGCTTCATGGCTCTTGTTCTTTCGCCCTTGGGGTTGCGAAATCAGAGATTGGAAATGCACGGTTAAAAATCAGAGATTCCAGACAAAAACGTGCTTGCAAGCCCCTGGCCCAGAAACCAGGCAACAAACACACTGGCTGGCCGATTTCTCCCAGAAAACTCGGCGTGGGGGAAGTCGAGTGAAACTTGCGTCAATCGCCTGTCTTATCTCATCTGCGGGAAGCTTGCGCGCATCTTATCCTGGAGCATGCCGGTGCCAGATCGCGAGGCAAAAGTACGGACGTATCTGGGAAGAATCCATCAGGACTGGAAAGTACTGTCTTTGAACGAACATATCCAGACAGGAATACCAGCCCGGCTGACAGGTGCATTCAGATTTCGCAAACTCGTACATCCGCCGCAACCTCGGGCAAGAAAGACGAGGGTAGCAAGTTGGCAGACCCATCTCATTGGCAGACCCATCTCATTGGCAGAACCATCTCATTGACGAGGCCTTCTCATTGAAAAAACCATCTACATTAACAAAGCCATCTAAACAACAAAGCCATCTACATTGACTCGACCATCTACATTGGCAGAACCATCTACATTGGCAGAACCATCTAGTAGAAGAGCCCACCCAGTCGAGATATCCACCCACAGAGCAACATCGGGCTGAAGACCACATAGAGCTCAAAGCCAGCTAGTGCACAAACACACCCACCGAATCCCCACTCGCCAGCGGGCCACTCGGCATCGGCACAAAACACCACCCGATGCTCTCATATCGAACCGTGGGGTACAATGGCTACGGAGTCGCGTACTCGCCCTTTTTTGACAACAAGTTGGCCGTGGCCGCCGCGGCCAACTATGGGCTCGTGGGCAACGGCAAGCTCTTCGTCTTGGACATCGACAGTGCCGGCCAGATCCGTGAGAACATCGCGTGGGACACCCAGGACGGTCTCTTCGACTTGGCGTGGAGCGAGTTGCACGAGAACCAGGTCGCCACCGCGTCCGGCGACGGCTCGGTCAAGCTCTTCGACTTGGCCGTGCCGCAATTCCCCGTCATGCACTTCAGGGAGCATCTGCGCGAGGTGTTCTCCGTCAACTGGAACCTCGTGGACAAGGTCAACTTCGTCACGCTGTCGTGGGACGGCTCCATCAAGGTGTGGGCGCCCAACCGGCAGCAGTCGCTCGTCACGTTGAGCCCGCAGGTCGACTACACCACGGCCGCGTCGAGCGTGCCGCAGACGGCCCGGCCCTCGGTGCCTATGGCCCACACAAACACACCGGGCCCCATCGACACCGCCCAGTGCATATACAATGCCGTGTTCTCGCCGCACTCGCCGCTGACCATCGTCAGCTGCACGGGCTCGTCCCACGTGCACATCTGGGACATCCGCGCACCCAAGCCGCTCCAGCTCGACTACGTGGCGCACGGCGGGCTCGAGTGCTTGTCCGTGGACTGGAACAAATACAAGCCCACGGTGATTGCCTCGGCAGGCACCGACAAGGCCGTGCGCGTGTGGGACCTCCGCATGATCGCCAAGCTCGACCTGCCCAATCTGCACCTGCCGATGCCAGCGTACCACATGCGGGGGCCGACGCCTCTCAACGAGCTCTTGGGGCACGAGTATGCCGTGCGCAAGGTGGCGTGGTCGCCGCACGACGGCAAGGAGCTCCTCAGTGCCTCGTACGACATGACTGCGCGCGTGTGGCACGACCTGTCGGACGAACGTGCCCGGTTTCTCAACAGCAAGGCCAGCGGATGCCGCGGTGTCATGAGGCAGCACCGCGAGTTTGTGATTGGGTGCGACTACAGTCTCTGGGGCGAGCCTGGCTGGGCCGCCACCACGGGCTGGGACGAGATGGTCTACGTATGGGACACGAAGAGGGTCTAGCAAGTCCCACCTGGATCGAGGGCAGCTGTTTTAGCACCTGGGCTGGGATACTGCACCAAGCCGGTACTTGATTGGAGCAGAGCGTGCAAGATCGAGGCAGATTAGAGCAGGGGGCAGAATGGCCTTGGTCTTGTACTGTGGAGGGCCAAGAGCGAACTGATCCATGATTGCGTGGAGGGCCAAGAGCGAGCCGATACATGATTGTGCGGGGGGTCAAGAGCGAGCTGATACATGATTGTATGAAGCTACGAGTGGAGGACTGAAATCAAGCCGCTACTACTGGAGCCGAAGGGCCAGAAGCTCATATCATTTGGAGTGGAGAGCCAGAGTATAATTGATACTGTACAAGAGCGGCAGAGGGCCAGAGTATCCTGAAGCACCCGAAATCTACAAGAATCAGACTCGGCCGCAGATCTTGCTCAATTGAAACCAACGCAGAAACCCCAGACCAGCGAATGGACCTTCCGCGGTGGGCGGCCAAGCAAGGCCTTTAATGCCCTTCGCAATAAGCACCCGCGCACCCAACCATAGATCTCGCTCAGTCGGACCGGCATATAGACAGCGTTACGATCTATTTACAAGTGCATGCATATTTGTTTATTAGTAGTCCGGATCGGGTAGTATCGGTGGCTGCGTTAGACATCGTTTTTTAGACAAGGTTGCCCCAGAATGAAGCAAATATCTTTTTTTGATAAAACGGGTTCCCTTCCCTATTTTTGACTGTCCTCCATATATCAACCCAAGAAACACAAGCCCCGCACATTCTACTATCCTCAAACAAGACAGGTTCTTAGACAGTACAAGCTTTTTAACACTCTTCACTCACAGACACTCATCATGGATTCAAACCTAGCTATTTTCTCGCTAGAACACACCTACCTAGTCAACTCACACCCGGGCATCTATGAGTCTAGTACGGGTCTTTGGCAAGATCACCTGGAATGGTCCCGAGCACTCATCCCCTACAATGTTCTAGACCATGCACAGGAAAATATCCGAGTAATTGACAACGTGAGCCGTTTGAGACTGACCATTATGAACTTGAACCACAACGGCATGAGCGAAACAAACCATATAAAGCTAATCGAGCCGCAGCTCAACAATCAGCTCATCACCATCAGCATCAACGGTAACGAGGTCTTCGTGAACAACTCCAGGACTGAGATTCTCAAAACGTTCAAAACGGTTGGCTTTAGAAAGCTCACTCTAGCCTCTGGTGAGCTTAAAGCTGTTGGGTCCAATTTCATACAGCATTTGAATAGCATTGCTTTGCGGTCCAACGTTGAGATCATGATCTCAGAGTATGAGACCGATTTCAAAGGCCTGAATGCAAAGTCGGAAAAGGATTACATATATATACTTGGAGATACCATCAATTTGAGTCTGGCAGAAACCCACGTGCAAATCCTCATTGACACGCTTCTCAAAAACTGTTTTCTCGATCAAGTACAGATACCAAGGTCAATGGTTCCATGCTTGGGGGGAGCTGGCTTGAATAGTCTTTCTGAGCTTACACACGAGCTGAAAATCAAACTTTATCTTCCAGATTTGTCCCATGTGTTCGCGACCCATGAAGAATCTGTCAGCAACAGCCAAATATCGATTTGGATGACGGGTGATAGGATTGCAGAGTTATCAATGGCAAAAAAATCTCTCTTAGATTTTACAAGTCTTGTCGAAGCAAGACAAACGAACTCCGACAAAGTCTACGTTCAAGAGGTTCAAGTATGCAGGGATAAGCTTGATTTGATTTCCCTCTATCATCAGCGGGATGTGTTCTCTATAATGCTCAAGCACGGGACCTACATTCGCAAATCTTACTCTCTTGAGTCCAGAAACCAAGCAATGTTTGTGAAGGGTTTGACTCCTAGCTCTGTTCGAGAATCTATAATGGGCATAAGCGCTCTCAGCTGCGGCCTCTATCATCTCGACATCACATTTTCGCGCGTTCCTCCGACTGCAGATTTAGAGTATTACTTGATTAGCCTTATCAATTCCAAGAGAACATGCGTGCTCATCCACAACCAATATGGGATAAGTTTCTTGGGAGCTAAGAGAGAGATACACATGTTGTTGAAGGAGCTTGTTACAAATCTCAAGGATCACCAATACTTTTATAAAGCTTTGAACAAAGACATGGGCGGCTTACAAGTTTCTTTGAAAATGGAGCTCGCCAATGACCAAAAAGATTTTTTGAGTGGCAAAAAAAATGGAAAAATTATCAAAATTTTGAACCAATTGGGAAACGTTCCCAAAGTATCGTTTCTCAGACTCAGTAACCTCAATTTCATCATTGAACTGAGTGTCAAGGTAAATTCAGGGATCAAGAGTAAGCAAGTTGTTACGGCTTTTGATCTTCTTTTGCGCACAATAAGCCTCATCGAGATGGAATTTCCGGCAGAAATGCAATTCAACATACCTGAGGTTTTTCACAAAAGCCTCATTGGAAATGGGGGTGCCATAATTCAATCTATCCTGAAGAAATACAATGTATTCATCAAGTTTTCCAGATATGGTGTATCTTCTGATTTGAATGCAGATTCAGATGATATGATGAACGTCCTGAATCCTTTCCTGTTTAAACGAGACAGTAATGTCCTAATCAAGTGCCCAATGAAAAATCTGAGGAGCATTATGTTTGTGAAGCACGAAATCGATCAGCTTGTACATCAATGTTGGCATAACAGGTCGTTGTCGTTTAATGGAATTTCCGTTATCTACAATACCATCCAGTTCCGGCTTTTGAAAAGCCATTACCTATTGCTCATAAAGGAAGCAAAATTCAATTTGCATTTTGTTAGTGATTTGGAGCAGGAGTTCAGCACCTTCATTGACTTCCCGAATTCAATTGATGCCTTTGGCGGAGAAAATAGCGTCATGATCACCATAAAAGGAAACGACAGCAAAGCACGCTTATGCGCAGGGAAGATGGCTGGATACCTCCCAAGGTCCTTCGGAATTGACGTCCATGGAGAGTATGGAAAGTTGGAGGATGATGTCAGCTCCACAAATGTAAACTTTAGAGAAAACATCATCATCCCATTCAGGTTGCTTCTTCAAACGGAGCTTATTGTTGAACTGTCCATGCAGGTCCAAGAACATGGCTCATTTCACAGAATTACCTTGAGTTCTTTTAGTGATCAAGGGTTGACCATGGCAGCATCCGAGCTAAGCCAGTATTTGAGAGAAAAGAGCTTCTTGATTGTCGACCATAGGAGTGCCGCTTTCAATCCTATAGTGTCAATCGATGAGGTGTCCTCGCCCTCGAAATTCAGCCATAGGCACTTGGGATCCTTCCTGAAGTCCCCACAAAAACCATCGCAAAGGTCACCTCTGAAAAGCCCAAAGAAGTCCAATTCCACTAGCAAAACCGGAAAGAAGCCTTTAGGGGTAATCACGAACCAGAAGTCGGTATCACCGTTCAAGTCAGTGCCACAATTAAGTCATGTGGCACAAAAGCTGATGTTTTTAGACTAGTTTGAAGTGACATACAAAATAAATTTGCATTTGTGAGACAAATGATTAGAGTGTGGCAGTAGACTAGCACGTTAGCTATTCGCTAAATAAAAATATTTTGTTGAGAAACCTAGTGGTCACGAGTCCCAAAAACGAAGATTCAAATTTTGCAGCAAAGTCAAATATACCGGCTTGAGCGCGCTGTTTCCATCGAGCGCCCGAAGCCGAGGATGATCCCATTTTCATACGGCATACAACTAGGATGCAGGATATAAGTACACTTTACATGTAGGTCACCCAACATATAGCTTGGTTGATTCGTAGTGGAATAAAGACAACTAAGGATTGTATTTCGAAAGTCCCGAAAGAGGGCGTTTCTAGAATATCTAAATATCTAGATTTCAGACATGGTGCTTAAAGGAACATGCGTATTTGAGCATTATGTGCACCGTTGTTCAAAGTCGACGCCTCAAGTTAGACCTCGGTTCGCCAGAGTCCAAATTTCTCAACTGCGTTGGAGTGCACCCAATATTCAAGAACGGTGATGTCAGGCCAAGCTTTTTAAGGCGTCTTTTGACCTGCGGCAGAATCGCTCGCTAGATACAATGTCCTTCTCTTTCGGTTTACCAGATGCTTCGTTATGGGCTCTTCCAAAGTTCGATACACAGGTGCCCCCATCGCCCTTTCAATGTGAAAAATTAACCAAGATCTTCGCAGCCTCAATGAAGGTTTCCACGCCTTTGACGATCGCTATTGTCTACTTCACCTCTGTACATTTCATTAATCCTATCGTTGTTAGAAGACAGTTGAAGAAAGCAAATGTTTCTCAGAAAGACGGCGCAAAGTTGACAGAGAAAGAGATGAAGAGATTGAAGCCTGCCCCATATAAAATTGCGACTTATGGTATGTTCAAGCTCTTTGTTCTCTTGCACAACATCTTTCTTTGCGCCTACTCGGTCTGGACTTTCGTTGGCATGCTCAACTCGTTTTCTAGAACCGTCAGTCAGATTCAATTAAAGACCAACACTGATAGCACCTTGGTGAATTTCGTGCATGCCGTCTGTGACTTGGAGAACGGGATTTTCCAGCAAACAACCGAGGACCACAACTTGGCGCTTTTTGGATGGTGGTTTTACATTTCCAAGTTCTACGAGGTGATTGACACGATAATCATTTTGTTGAAAGGCAGACCATCCAGTCTTTTGCAAAGCTACCACCATGCCGGTGCCATGATGTGCATGTGGAGTGGTATTAGATACCAAAGTCCCCCTATTTGGATCTTTGTGGTATTCAATTCTTTCATTCACTCTTTGATGTACTTTTACTTTACTTTGGCTTGCTTGAAGATCCGTGTGCCCACAATTGTGAAGAGAGCATTGACCTCCATGCAAATTTCGCAATTTGTGCTTGGAGGCTCTTTGGCTGTTTTCCACGCTTTTATCTGGTACAGTGATGTCACTGGTCTGGAGCCCAGTGGATGCATAAACACTTCAGCTAAGGCTTTACCTTTGTTGATCAACGTTGCATACTTGACGCCCTTGACGGCGTTGTTTGCAGCTTTCTACATCGAGAGTTACATCAAAAGGAAGACTGCGTAGGCCTGCTTGACCGTGATTTCTTAAAGAGCCAGACCTCGTGAAAAGGACAGCATGACAAAAATATAGTATATAAACTGCCCCGAAATGTTCTTAGGGCACAATCAAAAGACTTCAGTTTACCATTTCGTTCTACGAGTCACATGACCTCGCAGTCTGTTTATAAACATGGCGATCATTTCGTCAGCCTTCGCCGGGGGCTTCCATTAAAGTTCTTTGAAATTATGCAAGCGTAACGGGTATAGCACCAAGACTACGCCTTGGCCAAATCATGCAGTCGAAACTCTTCCCTACTAATATATGTTGATACATATATTTATTGTACTCATTTCAGGCATAATTGGCCCGGGCCTATGGTCGCGTTGCATCTTGGCGCGAACAAGCGTGTTCATGTCAAAATACTCAGCTTGCTCTTGCGATCATGAACATATGAAACATGACTTCTTTTCGAGGCTTTATCAATACCAACTGGATAAGAACTCATCACCCACTGTCTTTCCTTCCTGCTGCTCAATAGGGCCAGCTTCACGATTCGAGACTGGTTTACCATAAAGTCGTGTATTGACCTAATCGCAATTGACTACTGGCTTAGTTCTGGATTCCTGCTTATTGCATCCTCGGACTCCACACTCTCCGCAGATTAAAGTTCAGTTAGCAAACAACATAAAGGGCTGAAGGTCCAGATTATTCTTTAGAGCCACGAGTCTTGCTGAATTTGGAATCGAAACAATGGTTGCGTATGAGCTTCTTTCCGAACCCAAAAGTCAACGCACTGTTGACAATGGAGGGCATTCAAGTCGCTCTCTCACACTGCCTCCTTCCTCTGATACTGACGATGATGGTGGTACTCCCTTCACATTTTCAGAACACTCACAAAACACAGGAAGTACATTCACGCTAGCGGCAAATGACGAAAATGATCCTATGGTGGCATTGCAAAACGAAAACATAGATTTTATCCCTAAAGATTCATCGAATAAAGATGACGATTTCGCAGACTGGGACACGATCGACCACTCAGAAAGTGCCCATCTTCAAGGTGCGTCTTCATCCACTGGAGTTCACATGGATAACTTCGGCAATGCCTATGATCACGTTGACTTCGATTCTAGAAAGTACACCAGACAACGGAAATTCAAGGGCCAAAAATTGGTTTATTTCACATCAGCGTTTGTGTCTTTGTTCGTGTCCTTATTTGGATATGAGCAGGGTGTCTGCTCAGGAATTCTCACATTTGTCACTTTTTTGAAATACTTCCACAACCCAACGGCAACCGAAATCGGCTTGGTGATCTCGATCCTTGAAATCGGGGCCATGGTATCGTCGCTACTTGTCTCACTGATTCTGGAAAATATTGGCCGCAAGAGAACCATACTTCTTGGCACCGTTGTATTTATATTTGGCGGCACTCTCCAAACCTTTGCTTCAAGTTTGTGGCTCTTTGGAGTAGGCAGAATATTCAGCGGCTTTGGCGTGGGTGTACTATCCACAGTAGTGCCCCTGTACCAATGTGAAATATCGCCTGTTGAAGAGCGAGGAAAGTTGGTGTGCGGAGAGTTTACCGGAAATATTGCTGGGTATTGTTTAAGTGTTTGGGTAGACTACTTCTGCTACTTTATCCAGGATCTAGGCGACGCTCGAACCAACCCAAAGCTGTTTGCAGCAAATCTTTCCTGGAGATTACCGTTGTTCATACAGGTGATCTTGGCATTCATACTTCTCGTGGGTGGATTTTTTGTTGTCGAAAGTCCGCGCTGGCTTTTAGACGTTGATGATGACGAGCGTGGATTCCACGTGCTTTGTCTCCTCTATCACGATGATCCGGACGCCGGAAAGGCAGAAAAAGAGTTTTTTTTGATCAAGAACTCCATTTTGAACGAACGTGTGAAGACGCCCAAAAGAGAACGATCATGGAGACATCTCTTCCGCAATTACAGACTCCGTATATTCATTGCATGCTCTGCTTTGGCCTTCGCACAGTTCAACGGCATTAACATCATTTCATACTACGCTCCCATGGTGTTTGCGCAGGCTGGGTTCAACAACTCCAAAGCGCTTTTGATGACAGGAATCAACGCCTTTATTTACCTTTTGAGTACCATTCCACCATGGTTTTTGGTGGATAAATGGGGGAGGAAACCTATCCTCATAAGCGGAGGCCTTTCAATGGGTACTTGCTTGTTGGCAATCGCATTTGTGATGTATCTCGATGTGTCGTCCACCCCGCTGCTCGTGGCGTTTTTGGTAATTGTCTACAATGCATCTTTCGGGTTTAGCTGGGGCCCCATAGGCTTCCTCTTACCCCCAGAGGTGTATCCCTTAGCGGTGAGGTCAAAAGGTGTATCCCTTTCAACAGCCTCGAATTGGCTCGCCAACTACGTGGTGGGGCAGCTCACGCCCATACTACAAGAGAGAATTGGCTGGATCATGTACTTATTTCCGGCGACGAGCTGCATCATGTCTGTTGTCACTGTCATCACGGTGTATCCCGAAACAAAAGGAGTGGAGCTAGAAGATATCGATAAATTATTTGAGGACCACAAAGGCAGTTACCCAGCTACAAGCTACAGCCAGCTTGCTGCACAGGGAACAGAGCTAGATGAGTTTGACTACGAACTAGGCACAATCCCAAGATAGCCTGTGGTCACACAGTGGGTATATCTGTGTGGGGCTTCTTCACACCCGCGCCCTTTAATGCACTGATTTTGATGGGTTTGGGCCGCGCCTGCTCGCGGCACCTATGGGGAAACTGCATACGTTATATCTAGAGCCGCTCACTCGTTGCCCAATGCAATCCCCGCGTAGCCGAGTACGGAGTGTCTGCGCGTTGCGCCCCAAGAACAAGGCGGAAAATACTTTATTTGAGGCGGTCCGAACTGGCGGCGGATCGCAGTGGGGAAATCAGGACCAGGTGCCGCCTTGATGTATTTTTGGGATATACCCAAACACAAACGCTCAGACAAGAGGGAAAAAGAACAAAAAAAAGAGCAGGCCTCAAGTTTTTTATTGTCTCTGATTGGCCGCTGGTGGGCGCCGAATTAGGTAAGCAGTTGCCGCGTGGTCACTGGGCTGATTTGTTTACAAGCGTCTCCGGATATCCTCACTGTTTCCGGAAACGCGCGCATGTCATCTTGCGGTGGGAGATAAGCCTCCGCTCCACACGGCAATCCGGTTTTTTCATAGGCGTGTGCGTAATCCCCTGCCGCATGTATGCAATCTGACCGTTTGACACTTTGCGGTCTAGACTGGTTGCATTGCTTCAATACCGACCATATACATACTTTTCTAAATCTCGTTTTTCGACTCCCCTTGGAAAATTAGGATCCAACTGTGATATCAAAATCTACGCGAAGCAAAGAAAACCACCATTATATGTTTCCATAGTGTCTTAACATCTCATATCATTTGCTCATATAGCTTAGCAAAGCAAGACTGGGACTTGAGCCGCCTCACAAAAATTCAACAATTTGACTGGGGCCAAAGCACCAAGTCGCTTTGTATATGAAAAAGAGTTCTGTCTCAAGAAAGAGGATCATGATGGCTGCCCCCCTAGACATAATTAAGGCCCCACGAAAATCGAAAGCCTTGAGAACAAAAATTAGTTGCTCGGGCTCCAGTCGGAACTCGCCTCCACACCCTTTGGAGTCATCAATCACCGAAGATGCTCTCTCAGACTCGGAACCTGAAAGTCTATTGGATTCTTCATATAACGAATCAATCTTATCCACCGTCACGAGCGACACTTCATGCGCTTGTTCAACCACGACCAGCTGTTGTTCATGGAGTCCTACAAACCTACGCTCGGTTTCGCTTCTGCCTGTGGTTCTGACTTCATGTGTGGCAGCATATACGCCGCGCGTTGTTCCCAAAAGCCGGGTTTCCAGCAGCAAGCTCACAGAGCTTCTTCGGAAAGCAGAGCCCTTGGAGTCAAGGAAAGTGGGCCCCGCAGCAAAGTCTGCATTATCGTACCAAATCCCCAAGGTGTCCTCGTTGAGTCCTTGGCAGGCTTTCCTGGCACTTTTCATTAACTATTCTATGCGTTCAGAGAGCCAGAAAGATAGCGGGGAAAGGTTTCCGGAGGGAACCTCGCATGGAATCTGCCTAGACTCCCGACAAGGGAAAGGCATAGGCAGTACTAAAGCAGATCGAGAGCTCGAAACATTTGTTGAATCTGCATCTGAGCCTTGCGAGCCTGTTATGTATAAGAGCAAAGCACGCAACCGCGAGTACAGGGTGAACAGCGAGTTTCTCAAGCGCTACGCCATGGATTGCAACGCAAGGCTTAAAGGGGTGTTGCCCATTTTCCCGGAAGATGTGGCATTGCTATCATGCCGCCCCTCGCTACGCAAATTCGATAGGGAGCACGGGCTCAACAGAGTGTCCGAAATGTCCCGCGATAAGTTGTGGAACTCGGTGGTTCTACCTCCGCGCAAAGACTCCTGTCCCCGCAGTGTCATTGATTTCGAAAACTACTTGCATTCTCGCGACGGAGCGAGGACTGCGTCCATCGTTTCGAAATACAGCAGCAGATTGCCGTGGGCAACACATCACAGTTCGATCAAGCCTGCGGGTAGACTTCGAACGTCCGCCTGTGTGAAGAGCAAAACATCGCCCACGTTGGGCCATAGCATTCCGCAATACACAGTGAAAGGATGGCAAAACGAGCGATGGGTGCCATTTTAATGGCAAGGGTACGTGTTTTCTTGCAAGGAGAAACGGGCCTCATGGGATGGAATTGGTATTTAAGGAAATGATGGGAAGCCATGCGCTTGAACAGCGCCACAGCAGACTTGGCATATTATTTTAAAGCGATGAAGAAGGGTTTTCTGAGGTGATAGTTATGATAGTTACGTGTCCTAGCAAAATTCTATCATCTAATATTATGCATTTACGGAAGGCTTCTCGGTGAGAAAGGTTTATTTCTTGTTATGTTTGTTTTCCAATTAAACAAGGCAATGCTGCCCATCTTTTCGCAGAAGGATTTGCATGCTACAGTCAGTTTGATTATTCGATGAATGTAAGGTGCGTGATTGAATGTCACTGTGCTATAAACCTTTCATGGTTATTGTGAGCTGGACGGTGCGACGAAAGAATTTAGGCATGAAATCCCACTTGCACAATCCAACTTCAGAACATGGATAAAAGTGGATCTGAAAAAGAAATCAGCTGTCTTCAATGGCGACAAGCCGAATCTAAAACATTTCAAAGTCTTGCTTCTTCTTTTGACCACACCGATATTTCCAGTCATCCACTCTATCCTGCGGCTGCGAAGCACGGCCGGCTGCGCACGCAAAAGACAGTCACGCGCATCACGTGCCGCGATACTGTCCAAAGCGCCCCCACGGCAGCATCGTGAGACAAGCCGGAAAACCGCCGATGAAGTATAGATCCGTACACCGGCGAAAAAGTTGGCGAGCATTGCGAAGAAAAAAAAAAGCCATCGAGAAGCTGGGATTTTCTCTTGATCCTTGCAAACGACAGATAACCATGGCTCCAAAAGGAAAGAAGGTCGCTCCAGCCCCATTGGCTACCAAGTCTGAGTCCTCTAAGGCTCCAAAGAACCCATTGTTCGAGACTACGCCAAAGAACTACGGCATCGGTCAAAGCATCCAGCCAAAGAGAAACTTGACCAGATATGTGAAATGGCCTCAATACGTCAGATTGCAGAGACAAAAGAAGATCTTGAACATGAGATTGAAGGTCCCTCCTGCAATTGCCCAGTTCCAGAACGTCTTGGACAAGAACACTGCCACCCAAACCTTCAAGTTGTTCAACAAGTACAGACCTGAGACTGCTGCCGAGAAGAAGGACAGATTGACCAAGGAGGCTGCTGCCATCGCCGAGGGCAAGAAGGCCTTCGACGTCTCTGCCAAGCCAGTTGTCGTCAAGTACGGTTTGAACCACGTTGTTTCTCTCATTGAGAACAAGAAGGCCAAGTTGGTTTTGATTGCCAACGACGTTGACCCTATTGAGTTGGTCATCTTCTTGCCAGCTTTGTGCAGAAAGATGGGTGTGCCATACGCCATTGTCAAGGGCAAGGCCAGATTGGGAACCTTGGTCCACAAGAAGACCTCTTCTGTCGCTGCATTGACCGAGGTTGCCGCTGCTGACGAGGCTGACTTGGCTAAGTTGGTCTCCACCATCAACGCCAACTTCATCGAGAAGTACGAGGACTCCAGAAAGCACTGGGGTGGTGGTATTATGGGTAAGAAGCACAACGACAAGGTCATCAAGAAGGCCAAGCAAATGGACGTTGCTGCTGCTCCTGCTGCTGCCTCTGCTTAAGCATGTTAAATTAATACAAGATTTAGTCGTTGAAAACCAAACCGTTTGTAGGCGTGGTCCTGTAGAATTGTGACAGATTCAATGTTGATGGCAGAGAGTGCGAAGATCTGCTTTGGCCCTAGGTGCGGCAGTGAGACCGTTGCAGACATGTTTTTCCGTTTCTAATCAAGCTGGTCGGCTCATGGCTTTTTTGGCTGGTGGACCGGCATTAAGACCAGATTTCCCAACGACTGTAATATGGCCAATTTCGGGTCAAGATTTTTTGGGTTGGTCTAGCCTGGCCCAATATGATGGGGGTGGAGTCGGTCAAACCTGTGTCCTAAGTGCGCTCTTATAGTGTCCTCCAGACTGCGGCACCAGTACGCTGACATACGAAACACTGAAACTACACGGCAATAAGGCCATGGTGTGGCTGCCCTGTATACCAATCTTTGGCACATGGATCACGCTACGATAAAAAACATCTTAAACATACGAGAGGTTCACTTTTACGGTAATGACCACGCATTGAGTTTCTGCTTTGAGATTCTGCATTGATTGTCTGCATTGATTGTCATTAACGGTCTGCGAGCGCTTCAAGCCACTTCAGATCTTCGGCGAGAAGAGGCTTTATGTTTTTGCTTGCATTGCACTATGACAAATCCGTTTACCGCTTCCACGCGCGAAGATTAAACCGGCCTCAAAGGGCCCTTAATTCCATGTCTCAGAAAAGACATCATAGTGCTCAAGACTGAGGTGCTATAAGCACCGCACCTCCGGTTGCGTCGTGCACACACCAAGTTCCGCAAATTGACCAATCGTTCGTCGCACGTTTGAATACCTGTGTGAAGGTATTTTCAAGACGAGCCTCAAGGCACATTTCCGATAGCCAGAACCCGCCTTTGCTAATCAAAACACGCTACCACCATGTCGTTTTTAAGAGACCTTATCGAGTCGACTTTCCCGGTCGCTTTTGCTGACGAGGTATGTTGAATTTGCCCGAGGATCCCCGTCTCGGTCCTATAAATATGAGTCCTTTCTACTTCGAGCTCTGGTGTACGACAATTGTCTACATGTTGACTTTAAAATTCGTCGGAAAACATTTTACGTTTGACCGGCAATCATCTCTTCCAAGCTTTGTCATATTATCGGTGTCACACATGTATCAGTGCTCATTGATTATGGAACTCTAAACGGACGTATGAAATCCACACTAGGTCATAGCAGAAACCCGCAAAAAAAGTTTGATGGATGGACACTATAGCCCAATAAGTCTACCGAGTCTGCGGCTGTAGCCCAGGTGTGTGCCCTATTGTTTTGTGCTCGTTATGATCACCGGGGCATCCCGTGTCCACAGCCTCGTAGTGATGAGAGCCACGAATATCTAGTCTTGATCTTTGTACTAACTGAAATAGCCAGCGCAGGCCCACGAGGAGAGTACCGAGGCTGAGGCCTCGAGCGAGGAGCAGTCCGAGCAAACCGAGGAGCAACCCGAGGAAGAGGAAGAGAAGGCCGAGGAGGAAGAAGAAGAAGAAGAAGAAGAAGAAGACGAGGATGATGAAGATGAAGATGAAGATGAACTCAAGGATCCTCTTGACGAGATGCGCGAGGAATGTGAGAAGTCCGAGGCTTGCCACGGTTACGCGCACCATTTCCAAGAGTGTGTCGAGAGAGTGCAAAAGGAGATGGAAGAGGAGGACTACGCTCAGAAGGCATACAAGGAAGACTGTGTGGAGGAGTTCTTCCACTTGCAGCATTGTATCAACGACTGTGTTGCACCAAAGTTGTTCTACAAATTAAAATAAACTGCATAACACATTCACATCCTACCCCAAAACATAGAGTGGATAATAAACAAGACAAACGATCAAGAACCGGTGAACATTGGATTTGAATGTAGTTATGAACAATGAGTGGACCGTCTTCCAGACTTTATGTTGTTTGACGTCTGGGTTTTATACGGGCGGTGCGGAAGTCAACATATACTCGAGTGACCTCAAAGTTGACGTAAGTGTCTATCTACGAGTAGAGTGTAGACAGGAGCTGGACCATTGCAAGAGCATCTTCGCTTATCGTTTTGAGCCTATTTGCAATGAGTTGAAATGCTAGTGACGGGTTTTTTCCGAATGACTTTAGAACTGCCAGGACTAGGCTGTTTATATTAAAAGCTTGCCTTGTTTGACTTTGATCAGATGAAACTTGTTTCATCATGTATACAGTGTTACATGACAAACCCCACCTTAATCTTTTTCTGATCTGATTATCTTTTGGTTAGTAATTCCAGTAAAAAAACACACTAGTTTGGCTGACACATAATTGATTCAGGCCGGCAGGAATATAAAGAGTCTGACACTCTGCTGAAGACTTCAAGGTTGTTGAAATAGAGTAGTCATAACTCAAAGAGATGCAAGTAGCAATTGCCAAACAAAGTCAGAAAAATCTGAGCCTTTGAGCTTGAAGTCAGGTTTTCCTCGAGACAATAACTGTGATAAACGGTGTACATATAATTTCTTGTCATTGCAGATGCCAATTGACATGGAAATTACTAGAAGGTTGAGGTCCGTGCACCGCACGGCGTTCACACACTAGAGAGCCCGTGTCCAGACAGCTAAGTTACCCACCACCACATAACAATACTACACGCAAATCGTCAAGTCAAACCGAACACAATAGAGCGCCCCATTGATTCCGCTCCCAAGCATTATTCGACAAGCACAAAAAAATTCTACCCAACATTGTTTTTTTTAATTCTCGCTTTCCCCCACCTCTCGAAAAATCCCCACTTTGAGAAGCTACAGGGCAATCGATAATTTGCGCCCCCGAACATCCAGCAAGCTCCAAGGTCAGCAACCCTATTCGCTTGTACACCACGATATTCCCCGGAATAACCCCGCTTTTCTTAATTTCTTGTTTTTGAAACAATAAGAATTCTCAATTCATCTCCAACCTACAAAAATGTCAGGTCCCGTCGATCCTTCCAGAGTGTACGTGGGGAACGTGAACTTCAATGCCACTGAAGAGGAACTCCAAGAATTCTTCCAAGATTTCAAAGTCTTATCGGTGGAAATTCCATCCAAGACAATAACCAGAGGTGAGAATTCATTTGAGAAGCGGCTAGGGTTCGGATTTGTCCAGTTTGAAAACGAGAACGATGCAGTGAATGCCATCAGTCAAATGAACGGCAAGAAGTTTAAACAGAGGCAAATCCATGCCACCAAGGCATTGCCGCCCGCCACCGAGGAAGAAAAGCAGAAGAAGAAGGACCTTGCACTCGCAAAGCAAGCAGAATTGAAGGCGAAAAAACGCGAGGCGGCCAAACAAGCCAATCAAGCCAAACAAGCCAAGGAGGCTCAACAAGCCAAGGAGGCGAAAGAGGTAGAAGCGGCTGATCCAAGCAAGGCACCCAAGAAGAAGACAGGTTCTACAGCAACTACCAAAAAACCTTCGCCTGGAAAATCCACAGAGAACGTCAGCAAGACGCCAACAGGAAAGATATCTACTGACACCATATTTATCACGAACTTGGACTACAAGACGAACGGGAAAGGGCTCAGCGACTTATTCAAAGATTTGAAGCCAATCTGGGTCAATGTTCCCACCAGGAGAGTACCGTTCCATATGTTGAAGAGATTCAATGCGTTGAAAAAACCAATATTCAACAAGGGCATTGGCTTTGCGAAATTCGCTGACGAGGAAACTCAGTTGCGAGCCATCCAAGAGTTCAATGGTACGGAGATCAATGGCAGAAAAATCATCGTTGAAGCTGCCGTGGACAAGCCGGGACGCAGTGATGATGATTCGTCAGAGGCCACGCCCTCACCCGATACTTGCAATTCTGGAGATTCGGAAGCTTCAAGCGAATCAGATGCGTCGGGCAAAGCTGAAGATTCTGGAAAGTCCGAAGAGTCTGGAAAGTCTGAAGAGTCTGGAGCGTCTGGCGAGTTTACTGATGCGCCCGACACTGCAACTTAATGAAGTGCGGCTAGTATTGCGGCAAATGTGGGGAGTTGCAGGATGCCGTAATGGGCCCTCATATGTAAAAGCAAACATGTCCGGGATCACAACTGCCAGGAACCAATCCAGCTGGTTGCCCGAACAGAAATAATATACTATTCACAAATCTGCGTGCTGGGAAAATGCCCAGACAGTGGAGTTTTGTAGATACATGGAGTGCCACTAGATTGACAGATCGCGGGGACCCGGATTCAGTATTACGATCTCAACTTGCGTGCGTGCATTCTGGTGTGTCGTGTAAGATCCCTGTGTCCATGCAATCAATGTCAGAGATTGTTGAGACAAGTCCGCCGCTCACCCAATCCGGACTACCTGCAGTGGAACGTTTCAAAAGACCTACAGGAAACAGAATATGCCCCACAGCTGTGTTCTATACATCCTTGTCCATGTAGGATTGCAATACCCACCGGTGCCGCCAAACCGAGGGGAGGCCAGCCAAAGCCCTAACCCTAGCTGCGCGCACATGACAAGAAGGCACGTGAGACCCGTGCACCAGGCACCGTGGCGCACCACACCCGGACCCCAGCCCGCTCGGAGGGCGACGGTCACGTGACCCGACCTACTGCCCGCGCGCGCGATTCCGCCCAGTGAAAATTTCTCACCTCCATTTCTAGAGCCCTTCTGCCAACTAAGACAAAATGGGTATGTGAAATCCCGTCATCGAGAAACTTTAAGCTGTTGAAGCTACGGCCCTGCCAAAATGTGGCATCCGTGCCGCCAGAAATGAATTTTTAAAAAATGAAGGAGAGATGATGTGGGGCACTCTTGGGCCAATACCGGGGTCTCAATCTGGCTCATCTGATGGGAAATGGCTCCACATGATACGCTAGATGCAGACTTCTGAAACCCCTCCATTGTTGTTCCAAGGAGCAGTTTGAGCACGTGCGTTTGCATCCTAAGACCACCAGGAGGGCAGACGCTCAAAGCTTACTTCAGGCCATCTGTACCTATCTTCCATGTGGCTTCTCGGCGACAAAGTTCCGCTACACAGGCCTTGTCAATTTACTAACAGTTCACAGGTAGAGTCATTCGTAACCAGAGAAAGGGTGCAGGATCCATCTTCACAGCCAACACCAGGTTGAGAAAGGGAGCCGCCAAGTTGAGAACCTTGGACTACGCTGAGCGTCATGGCTACATCCGTGGTGTTGTCAAGCAAATCATCCACGACGCCGGTAGAGGTGCTCCATTGGCCAAGGTCTCTTTCAGAGACCCATACAGATACAAGTTGAGAGAGGAGACTTTCATTGCCAACGAAGGTGTCTACACCGGTCAATTCGTCTACTGTGGTGCCAAGGCTTCCTTGAACGTCGGTAACGTGTTGCCATTGGGCTCTTGCCCAGAGGGTACCATTGTCTCCAACGTCGAGGAGAAGGTTGGTGACAGAGGTGCTTTGGGCAGAACCTCCGGTAACTACATCATCATCATCGGACACAACCCAGATGAGGGTAAGACCAGAGTCAAGTTGCCATCTGGTGCCAAGAAGATCATCTCCTCTGACGCCAGAGGTGTCATTGGTGTTGTTGCTGGTGGTGGTAGAATTGACAAGCCATTGTTGAAGGCCGGTAGAGCTTTCCACAAGTACAAGGTCAAGAGAAACTCGTGGCCAAGAACCAGAGGTGTTGCCATGAACCCAGTGGATCACCCTCACGGTGGTGGTAACCATCAACATATTGGTAAGGCTTCCACCATCTCCAGAAACGCTGTGCCAGGTCAAAAGGCTGGTTTGATTGCTGCCAGAAGAACCGGTTTGTTGAGAGGTACCCAGAAGACCTCGGATTAAGTTGTGCATTAATAAAGAGTACTAAGTTGCATTTGGCGTAGTTTGTAGTTTTCGGATGCCTGGGTAGAGCTGGAAGGCCACCAGAATCCTCTTATCGGAGGCAGAATGCCTTATGAAGAGAGGGCCCTATCATGCGTATGTGCAGGACGGCCCGGATACCTTATATTCCGTGTCAGGGCTCTGTTCCCTCTGTTGGCACGAGAAGACGACACGCAGGCCCAATATGGCTGTAAAACACTGATTGGTTTATGGCCTCCAGGTGCTTATAAGGCTGGTCGTTTGTCTCTTTATTCTCCTCCTCTTTTCTGTTGTTTTTCCCATGTTCTCCAGTGGTCTGTTCATTCCTCGGGTCTCGGCGAGCATCGCCATCCGCGTAGACACGCGGCACGGCTTCTGCTTGCAGATAACTCTTGACTTAATACACGTTTAACACCCGAAAGTTTGCAGGAACCCATGGAGATGAGAGAGGAGAGAGACCACTATTTGCAGTTCAGGGAAATGGGCCAGCTGTTGAGTGGTCTGAATTATTGAGGGCTGTATGGGGGAAACCTGCTGCCCAAAAGCCAGCCAGATGTCCTGCACACGGCGCTATCATTTCTGCTAGCCTTAAGCCCCGGTGAGGCTTTTTTCCATCTCTTTCTTCATTCGCTTGCGAGTGAACTTCGAGAACCCCGCTTCGATACGTATCGTTTCTTGTTGTCTTTCTCATTGTGATCTTTCAAGAAGTGCAACTGGATTTCTGCTCGTTATCTGTACTGGGAAGCTCGTGAACATCCAGAATCCAAGTCCGCCAGCCTGCTTATAGGAGCTGACAGTCCGCATTGTCCTTCTTCATAAAGAAGCCTAGCATCTAGCTTCTTAGTCTATTCATTACATTGGAGCCTACAAAGTACATCTTGAATTTTGTTAGCAACATCACCTCCACGATGTCCTGCCCCTTGTGGAATTACGACGATGTGCCGCAATGTGCACGAACACAGGTTCTTTTTTATGCTCCGTTGGCCATCGGCGGAATGTCTTTGGCGTATCTTGCTGTGTCATCTGCCAGGTTTTTTACTCGGAAAGAGACACCTGTTGCGCTTTCTGAAGAGAACAGACCTTTGTTGGCCAACCCGGACGCGTATGGTGCCATCGGTTCCAATCCCGATCTGAAAGCGCCGCAACTTTCGTTGAAAGACCGTCATTTTGACCTTTCGCTATTGTCCAATACCAATGAGGACGGCACGCCTCACGGCCAAATGAAGGATGTGCCCAAGGGCTTGTCTGATAGGATCCGCGTTGCTTCCGAATACTGCCTTGTCATCTTCCAGTTGGCCATCACAGCTGCCACGCTTTTCATGTCTGATTTCTCTGAAGAGTGGAATCTGTTTCCAGTGTCGCTTGCGCTCACTGCCTACTGGCTATACGCCTTTTTGCTATGCTCAGTGAGAGTGATCAATCTTTCCAAGGTACGCGTTGCCGGGCCTTCATTATGGTACCATTCTACTGCCTTGTACATGCTTTACTTCTTCCCCGCGGCTGTATTTGCACGCTCCGCGTTGGCAGCCAATGTGAAGTCCAATTTGGTTTGCAGATACTACGAAGCAAGTTTCGTCGCGACAGCACTTTTGGTGTTCTTGAACATCACCACGGAAATTGGGGACAAGCCAGGCCAGGTCTACGTCACTTCAGATGGTGCTAAGCCTTCCCCTGAACGTATTTCCAGTCTTTGGGCATTTTCAACTTACTCTTGGATCGACCCAATGATCTGGAAAGCCTACAAGTCGCCCATGGTGAAGGAAGACATCTGGGGATTACGTGAAGATGACCATGCTTTAGATGTCCTCAAAAAATTTGAATCTACAAAGCTGACTGCTAGGTTCACGTTCAAGTTGTTCTCCCACTTCAAGGCCTTGTTCTTGTTGCAAGGCTTCTGGGCCATTCTCGACTCTGTACTTGTCTTTGTGCCAACTTTGCTTTTGAAAAGTGTCTTGGAGTATGTCTCCGATCAGTCGTCAACCACCAAGAACGTTGCATGGTGCCTTGTCATTCTCATGCCGCTCACAAAAATGGCAGACTCTGTCACTTCAGGATTCTCTTTGTTTCTTGGTAGACGTGTGTGCGTTCGCATGAGGGCTATTATTATTGGCCAGGTGTACTCCAAAGCCTTGAGAAGAAGAATCGTCACAAGTGAAGACTCTGAAGAAACCAACAATGATTCAGAAAGCAAGGACGGGGGAGCTAAAAAGAGCGATCCGAAAGATTCAAAGTCATCAGAATTGGGAGCAATCATCAATTTGATGGCAATTGATGCTTTCAAAGTGTCGGAAATTTGCGGATACTTGCATTTCTTTGTTGGGGCTATTTTGATGCTCATATTTTGCATTGTCTTGTTGTATTCTTTGCTTGGTTGGAGCGCTTTGATTGGAGGAAGTGTGATCATTCTCGTGTTGCCCTTCAACTACAAATTTTCGGCGTGGGTTGCTCGTGCTCAAAAGACAATGTTGAGCGTAACAGACAAAAGAATTCAAAAAATGAACGAGACTTTCCTGAGTATTCGTATCATCAAGTTCTTTGCTTGGGAAGACAACTTTTTCAGGGAAATCATGAACATTAGAAAAGAGGAAATGTATTACTTAAAGTTGAGAGTATTCTGCTGGGGTTGTCAGTCTTTTGTTTGGTTCGTTATTCCCACTTTGGTGACAGTTATTTCTTTCTATTGCTACACTGTCATTGAAGGAAAGCCCTTGACAGCACCCATTGCTTTCACGGCATTGTCGCTTTTCACATTTTTGCGGTCACCATTGGACCAATTATCTGATATGACTGCAATTGTCATTCAATCTAAGGTCTCTTTAGACAGAATAAGCGACTTTTTGGAGGAAGAGGAATCTTCCAAATACGAACAATTGGAACAAACACCTTCTGTTTCTTCGCCACTCATTGGATTCGAAAATGCTAGCTTTTCTTGGAACTCAAAGTCTGACAAGGACTTCAAATTGAAAGACTTGAATACTGCCTTCTTGCCAGGGAAGCTTAATGTCATTATTGGGCCTACTGGTTCTGGAAAAACTTCTTTGTTGCTAGCTTTGCTTGGTGAAATGGAATTGAATGCTGGCAAAATATTTTTACCTGGAATTATTCCAAGGGATGAGCTTGTGGTAGACCCAAGAACTGGATTGACCGAATCTGTTGCTTACTGCTCGCAAGGTGCTTGGTTGTTGAATGATACCATTAGAAACAATATTACTTTCGCATCTCAGTTCAATCAAGAACGTTACGACAAGGTTGTTGATGCATGCGGTTTGACTAGAGACTTTCAAATATTGAGTGCTGGAGACCAAACAGAAATTGGCGAAAAAGGTATTGCTCTTTCTGGAGGTCAGAAGCAACGTGTGTCTTTGGCTAGAGCATTGTACTCAAATTCCAGACATGTTTTACTCGATGACTGCTTATCTGCGGTGGACTCGCACACTGCATTGTGGATTTATGAAAACTGCATCTCTGGACCACTAATGGCCAACAGAACATGTATCTTAGTGTCTCACAATGTGGCTTTGACTGTTCAAAAAGCTGACTGGGTTGTGGTCATGAACAACGGAAGAGTTGATCATGAGGGTACACCAGAACACTTAATGTCAAATGGTCATTTGGGTGACGATGAATTGGTTCGTACATCGGTAATGAACTCTCGCTCACAATCTTCGACAGAATTGCAAACATTAGACTCCAAAAACTCCGATATGAAAGCCAAATCGCAAGCTATTGAAAACAAGTTGCAGAAATTGGCGGAGGGAGATGATGAAGAAGTTGTTAGAACCGACGGAAAACTTGTTGAAGATGAAACAAAAGCTGACGGTGTTGTTGGTCTCAAGGTCTATACTGATTACGCCAAAGAATTTGGCGGATGGTTTACTTGGACTTGTATTGTCGCCATCTTTTTAATTCCACAAGGTGTGTTTATCGCTCAGTCCTGGTGGTTAAAGAAATGGGCACTGGAAACCGCTGAATCCACTGTTGGTATTGCCAGCTTGAACAATGTAAATTCGTTCAGAGAGTTGAAATCTGAATTCATGAGCAGCGTGGTTTCGACAACTCACGTTGCATTCTCTTATGTCAGACCACAAGCGATCATCGAAACAGTTCAAACTTTCCAAAAGGAGAATTCTGTCTTGTTCTACATCTCAATTTATGGAGGCATTGGTATGACATATGCTTTATTAGCGACATTGAGAGTCTTTTGGACTTTCTTGGCTGGTATCACCGCTTCCAACAACGTTTTCCAGAAAGTTCTTACCCGGATTTTGAGAGCCAAATTGAGATTTTTTGACAAGACCCCATTGGGTCGTATCATGAATCGCTTCTCCAAGGACATCGAAGCTGTCGATCAAGAATTAACCCCATTTGCAGAGGGTGTTTTTGCATTTGTTATTGCTTGCGTTTCAACACTTCTTCTCATTGCCATTATCACTCCAGGATTCTTGTTTTTTGCTGTGTTTATTGCATACTTCTACTACTTGGTAGGAGTATTCTACATTTCACTTTCAAGAGAGTTGAAAAGGTTTGATTCTATCACAAAGTCTCCCATTCACCAGCACTTCTCTGAGTCGTTGGTTGGTGTGGCTACAATTAGAGCATATGGTGTTGAAACAAGATTTATGAAGCAGAATTTGTCAGCCATTGATAATAACAACAGACCATTTTTTTACATGTGGGTCGCTAACAGATGGTTGTCTATTCGTATCGACGCAGTCGGCTCCATGGTTATGTTTTTTTCTGGAGTGTTCGTGCTTTTATCAATCGGAAGGATTGACGCCGGATTGGCTGGATTGTCATTGTCCTATGCTATTTCGTTCTCAGAGAACGCTTTATGGATTGTCAGACTTTACGCAAACATTGAAATGAACATGAACTCTGTCGAGAGATTACAAGAATATTTGGACGTTGAAGAGGAGCCTCCTGCAGAAGTTCCAGAGACCAAACCAGCAAGCAACTGGCCACAAACTGGAGAGATTGATGTCAATGATTTATCATTGAGATATGCTCCAGACTTACCACGTGTTATTAAAAATGCCACATTTCATGTGAAGCCCTGTCATAAAATTGGTATTGTTGGTCGTACAGGGGCAGGCAAATCCACAATCATTACTGCCTTTTTTAGGTTTCTAGATGCAGAAACCGGCTCGATCAAGATCGATGGCGTTGACATTTCCAAAATTGGACTTAAGGACTTGCGTTCGGCAATTACCATCATTCCTCAGGATCCAACTCTATTTACTGGTACAATCAGAAGCAATTTGGATCCATTTAATCAATACAGCGATGAACAAATCTTCGAGGCATTGACTAGAGTGAACCTTATAGGCAAAAAGGAAAGGGAAAGGGAAGTCAGCAAGGATGATGCTAATGAGAATCAAAACAAGTTTATGGATATTGAGTCGTCAGTTTCCGAAGGTGGAAATAACCTTTCGCAAGGACAAAGGCAATTGATGTGCCTTGCAAGATCTTTGTTGAAGAGCCCCAAGGTCATTTTGTTGGATGAGGCCACTGCTTCGATCGACTATAAATCTGATGCTTTGATCCAACAAACGATTAGAGATGAGTTTTCCCACTCCACTATTTTAACCATTGCTCATAGATTGAGATCCATTATTGATTATGACAAGATCTTGGTTATGGACGCTGGTAGAGTTGTGGAGTACGATGATCCATATGCCTTGATTGCAAACAAGGATTCCTTATTTTACAGCATGTGTGAGAATAGTGGAGAATTGGATTCGCTCACTAAACTTGCCAAGGCTTCCTTCGTGAACAAAAAGAACGCTATACGCAATTAAACACACTGATGAAAGAACGGTGTTACTAGACAAACAGTTATTGATATTTCATTTATAAATGATTTTTGTATAGCGCTGGTCTTTAAACAAGAGAAAATACCATACTATATCAGATGACGATTACGAATAACCTTATTGTTGTTTGTCCAATCTCTGTTGCAGAGTGACATCTGATGTTCAGCCATGGAATTGGAAACGAACGAGCTTCGAAGTACACCCGAAAGAAGTAGGCTCTAAAGAAGACTCACAAAAGAAACTCCAAGATTATGAACATTTGTCGAACCGAGCATCGGGGAACTTGGCTGAGATTTTCAGCCTCAGATGTATTTTTTGAATGTATAGATATAACAATCACCTTTATTCAAAGCCAATTCGTTACGAAATCTTGGCGAAAACAGAATTTAGAAATCAAATTAATCTAGCCCAAGGCGGTCTCAAAATTGTCACCTAATTTTTCGTTGCAAGAAATGAAGCTTGCGAAAGTTTCAAACCAACTACAAATGATATATCATTCAATGGTATGTTACCAGAATACACTGCTATCAGCTTAGTTTATTAACTGCTGGGTATTACCACACCAGAATTTTTGGTTGCAGAAGAGAAAGTACGGTCTTTGATTCTTTTCATCCGCCATTTGGTCGTGCTCAGCTCACTGATATGCCGAGCCTATGCATACTTCTCTTATCAGCTCGGCACAGCATACAGAACAATACTTCGCTTGCTCTCATTTAGGAACATCCGTAATACTAAGAGGAAAATAATTCTATTTTCTATGGCCACAAGTAACGACACTTTGGCCCGTATCAACCTACCGAAACTAACGCTCTATGTCCTACGCGAAGTTGGCATCCGAGAATGTGTTAGTTTCGACATCGCTCACAGACATAGAGTCAAATTCATTGAACAGTCTGGTTGAATTTGACAATAGATCTGTAACACATCTACAGGAGCCTGAGGAGGCACCCCAAGGCCGTCATTTGGGCCTCTACTCAACAATTATCTTATTCGTCAGCCGAATACTTGGGTCTGGATTCTTGGCCATATCTAGTGGAATGTATAATGACTGTGGCAGATCACCCTTCATCTTCTTGCTATCATGGGTCACGGCAGCCATCCTTGCATTTTCAGGTCTTTTTGTGTATCTCGAATTGGGCTCTTTGATTCCTCGGTCCGGAGGCACAAAGGTGTTTTTGGAATTTATTTACGACAAACCGTATATGATGATGAGTGTCATCATATCAGTTTACTCGGTCATGTTTGGTTTCACTCTCCTGAATCTCCTAGTATTTGGCGAGTATTTTTTGCACGCATTCAACATTGAACCCACTGTATTCCGAACTAGGCTCACTGGCTTGTCTCTCTTGTACATTGTATGTGCGTTTCATGGATTGAGCGTGAGGCATGGGATCAAAGTTCAAGACTTTATTGGATTTATGAAGTTGATCCTTGCCGCAATTATAGTGTGCACGGGAATTTGGGTGAATATGTTTCCATACTCTGTGACGCATATTGAGTATCAGATGAAATTTGACGAGTTTTTTCCAGCTAAAACTAAACTTTCATTTTCTCTGTTTGCGAGCTCTGTCATCAAAGGAACCTTTGCATTCAGCGGTTGGAACTCAGTTCACACAGTAACGAACGAAATAAAAGATCCAATTCGCACTCTCAAAATCGCTGGGCCAGTGGCACTCTCGATCATCTCTCTCACTTACCTTGTGATAAACTTCACTTACCTAGCTGTGATCCCAAGCGACGAGATTGCGAGAAGCGGTCAGCTCATTGGCTCGATTTTGTTCGAAAAAGTTTTTGGCTATCATTTCGGCAAACAATTCCTTACCTTGTCATCAGCAATATGCACGGGAGGAAATGTATTTGTTGTGTTGTACACAATATCACGTGTCAGTCAGGAAGTCTTCAGAGAGGGCTACCTCCCCTTCTCTGGCTTCATGGCCTCAAATTGGCCGCGTGATGCCCCGCTTCCAACTCTTCTTTTGAGCTGTGCCTTTTCTACTCTCATCATAGTTTTATCGCCTGGAGGGGATGTCTACAACTATATCGTGAGCTTGGAAAGCTATCCTCAACAATTATTTGTCGCACTTTGTGCAATCGGCATATTTATTATCAGATACAAGCATCCCGACGTGATTGCGCCGATAAGATCCTCCTACGTGGGTACAAGCATAGTGATATTAATATCTTCATATTTGCTCATTTTACCATTGACAGACGCATCTCCAAATCCTCTTGGTATGGAGAAATGGATACCGTATACCTATCTAGCCTTGTTGTCTTTGTTTGTTTGCTTCGTTTACTGGCTTTTTATGTTCCTTATCGGTCCACGTTTGGGAGGATACACCTTATTAGTTGAAGAAACTCGACAAGAAGATGGACTAGTGGTCAAGAAATGGGTGAGGGATTATGCACGTCATCTCTGATGGAGCCGAAACTTACATTTAAGCTCATTCCAAAAGGTTCTCTACTCTTTTCAAAAGCATCAAGAACGTCCTGCTTTTAAATCTCCGGCATAGTTTCAATGATAGCTCTTCGTCACTCAAATCCACATAATTTTCTTTCTTTTCTTCAAGAATTCTAGCAATAGTAGCCTCTAAAAGTTCAGTCATACCGCGTTTGGTTTTAGAACTGGAGGAGTGGGACGTGTTTTTCTTTCGTTCATTCGGGTTGAACGGAATTTCTTTGAGATTTTGCGTCAAGCCGCCACGTGGAGCTGCTTGCCTAAAGTCACTACTCTCATTTGTTTGCGTCAAATCTTGATCAATGGTTGTTTGTGTAAAACAAGTGTTGTTAGCTGATGCTGTGGGATATTGAAAGACGTTTGCTCTGCTATCATTCCATATTTGCGTGGACTGCGACAACACTGAGGTGTCATATTGTGGAAGTATGTTGGATGTATTTTCTTTAGCTGCAGCACTTAAAAGCAACAGAACAGCATCTAAATTGTGACTGGCCTCCTCAAGCTTGTTATTTTGTGAGAAAGGAAAATGCTTAGAGCCACCATGTTTTCCGAGTGGGCTTAATTGTGAGACATCCAGCTGCTGGGATAATTCCTGAAAGGGTGCAAATTGAGACATGTTATCCTGGGAATGGGCTATCTGTGATGATGTTACATCTGATATTGCATTCTGTGAGGCGCACATATGCGAGCCAAACATATGCGAGCCACCATATTGAGACCCTGTACGCTGCGATCCTTGGTCAGGGATCTGCTCGTTCAGAGCCAGTATTGTTTGTGATAACGAGGTTTCTTTTTGAGAATAGGGCGTTCCCAGAGTCGCCTGCTGAGAATTGGCAAGTTGCAGGTCTGGCGCCTCATAGCTCGCAACAACGTTGAGCCCGAGCCACTGGTTTATTTTGTTTGCAAACATGTTGAAATTTCCCTCCGAAGAAAACGTGACTTGAAGCCGCTTCCGAAGTTTCTCTCCATCGAAAATTTTTAGGCCGACAATGGGCTCCTTGGCCAAGAAACGTACATTGGTTGCGGTTATCATAGTTGTATCCTAATTTGAGTCAGTAATCCACGGGTCTTTGAAAACATATCTGACGAAATACATACAATTGATTTTCCCTGTGAAACAACCCCGAGAGTCACCCCAAGGGAGCCATTTGAACAACGTATTTTTAACCCCAGACGATAATGTGTCCAGTCTTTATTTGGAATGGTGAGCTGTGAGGTCCTGGTGATGGAGAACTCTATTGTCTCTCCCATGGTCTTTGCGAAGATTTGACGAATTCACTTATTTTTACTGAGCTCGGGGGTTTAGAAAATCAAAAGTTTACAGATTTGTTAAAGAATTAAGTTGTAGTAGCTGGAATGGTATTCACGTGGGCGGGTATCAGGTGCGTCCTTAGGTCTCGAATTGCAGCCGCGAAATCTTCGACTAAATCAAGAGCGGCCACCGCACCTCAGCAGAGACCAGACACGTTCTTCTCTTCTAAATTATTTCGCTAGACTCTGAATACTTTTCTATCCTTATTATTGTATAGTTTAGGTCCTTCGGATGAATCTACCAAAAAAAAAAAAAAAAAAACTTCTCAAAAAAATCGGCCTGCTGAATGGCTCACTCAAACAACTATACAGAAGAACTATGAAATTAATGAACGTATGGATCTGAGGTTCTACGCGTATTTGGCGAGAAAACTTTCCATTGGGGTAGAAAAGATTAGTCAAGCTCAGTTATGAGAGACATTCCAAGATTATTATAAGACGTGCAGAGTTTGATTGCCCCATATAAAGTTTATACGTACGTTTATGTCTTTACGTTTGGAAAAGAAAAGTGGGGACCCTTTATACAAAGAGAACTTACATGAAATTGTCTCTACAGAACGAGTAAGAATTGTGCTGAAAGAGTCGGATGGTTCATATTATGGTTCTGGTTCGAAAATCATGTACTCCATGAAACAGAGTGAATATTGATCGGTCTCGACTGGCGAGGTTCTGCCTTATCGATAACCCACTGTTCGCAAAATTCACAATCTTTAATTCCTGGTGACATTCAAAAACATTCGAGAACTCATTCTTTTCACGTGGTATTCGTGCTAGCTGTCCGGGCTCTGTTCAATTTGCATTATCTTTTGAGGAATGAAGAGTTTCTCTTAGCGGCTGATCCAAAATAAGAGCGCGAAGCGACAGTCATCGTGGCGGGTTCACCCCAGCTGAAATTAGCATGTTCAATACAACACTCATCTATTCATCTTTGTAAAGTTCAAGTAATTAGAAAACAGACCACAAAACAAGAGTTGGGCTACTCAAAATAAGACCCATCCAATTTTTTTTTACTTATATCCCCAGACTTCACTCACTTTCAACTTTTCGAAATGATCGTCAGTGCTTTCGCTTACTTCCTGAAAGGGAATATAATAGCGCGGATAGGGTACTCCGCAATCTGAGCCCACACAATGCGCAGTACCTCTAACCACCTAGGCCAAATTCTACACAAGCCAGTCCATATTTTACCTGAGCTTCTTTCTTTCCCTTCGTGTTTTCTCTACTTTTCTGGATTTTCTTTTCAGATTTTTCATCCAGTACCTCAATTGCGTCATCATGGCAACTTCTGTCTTTGTTTCTGGAGCCACTGGCTTCATTGCCCAACACATTGTTAAGCTTCTTCTTTCAAAAAGTTACAACGTCGTTGGTTCAGTGAGATCCGCCGAAAAAGGCGATCATTTGAAAAAAATATTTGCTTCTGATGCTTTCTCTTATGAAATTGTTCCTGACGTCGAGCCTGCTGGTGCATTTGATGAGGCCTTGAAAAGACACCCGGAGGTGACCGTGTTCTTACATACTGCGTCTCCCTTCCATTTCAAAGCCACAAATGTAGAGGAAGAGTTGCTCAAGCCCGCTGTCAACGGAACAAAAAACGCATTGGGCGCCATCAAAGCCTTTGGCCCACAGATCGGAAAAGTCGTGGTGACTTCTTCGTTTGCCGCTGTTGCCACTGCTGAGCTCCTCGCTGATCCGACTTACACTAGCTCTGAGGATACCTGGAACGACATTTCTTGGGAGGATGCCAAGAAAAGCCCTCAGATGGGCTACAGAGGGTCAAAGAAGTTTGCAGAAAAGGCTGCGTGGGACTTTATGGCTACTGAAAACCCGGCATTCACCATCAATTACGTGAATCCGCTGTTTGTTTTCGGCCCTCAGGCTTTCGCCTCAGAGATCAAAAATGAGCTCAACACCTCTTCTGAATTCATCAATGCTTTCTTGAAAATGAATGGGGATGGAGAAATCCCTTCTTTCAAAGGCGGGTTTGTTGATGTGAGAGATGTTGCAAAAGCTCATCTAGTTGCCTTCGAAAAGGACTTGTCCAACCAGCGCTTATTGTTGAACTATGATAGAGTTACTGGCCAAGATATCGCTGATGTACTCAATGAGAATTTCCCTTTCTTGAGAGGGAAAATTCCAGTTGGAAATCCCGGCGAGGGCAAAAAGATCGCAGCTGGCATGTGCAAGATTGACAATGAAAAAACCAAAAAGATCCTCGGATTTCCGTTGATTGATTTGAAGAAGAGCGTGGTTGATTCTGTCGAGCAGATCCTTCAGACCAAGGCCTCTTCTGCTGGAGAAGATTTATCTAGCTCCTTGTGAGCCTGGGACAATCAACTGATTGCTGAGAGTGTACCATCTTTCGTTCCGTCCGTTCCCATTTAAACTATTCTTTTAGTAACCGTGCTGGCGATTGACGGTGAATAAATATTATATATACAGATTATCTCTACGAAGTGCGCAATAATTAATGCAAGAGGTATGTTTAGTACTACGAAAAATGCTCACTCGAGAACTTTCTCCCCGAAAACACCGTTCAACTTTTTCAATGCGACCTGATATAGCAAAAGCATGATAGAGCTTTGCACACCAGTCCATATGAATCTAGGGCCAACGCCCGAGAAGAGCCCGAGAACACCTTCATTTCGGTGAATCGCAACTAATGCATTCAATGTGGAAAACCTTTTCAAAATTGAGGCTCCGAGGCCCAGAGTCCTGTGCTGCGTGCTTTCCTGATGCAAACCAGCCGTATCAAGTGTGGCAGTCTGAATTCTTGTTTTAATGACGTCCAATGGAGTAGTCAACGTACCCGCTAATCCTCCAGCTGCCGCGCCAGTGAGAAGTTCAGCTGGCACACTTAGGTCGGCGGACCTCCCATTGTAATTGATAGCCCACAAACGGAACTTTTCGTAAAATGCGAGTTGCAACGCGCTAAAGGGCAAGTCACGAAAGAGCGTTTCCTTGTATCCGAAAGTGAGTGCAGAAACACCCTCCGTACGAGCAATAGACCGCACAGCATCACGTAGACCTTTGTAGTTGTATCCACATCCTTTCGTGTACGGATTGTTATGCCTACCTTGAAGCTGCAATCTTGTTTTTAAAACTTCTGAGGGCACATAAAAAACACTCAGGGCCAAGTCTCCGAGGATGCCAGCAGCAAGGTACGCCACGGTATCATTTATGTGCAAGTCATTGATCAAGGTCCGTTTTGTGAATTCGTAAGTTCCGAAAAAAGCAGCTGTGGAAGGAAAGGAGCCTAGAATGGCTGGTGAGTACCCGCCGTATAGGCCCCGAAGAAAACCTTCCTCCTTAAGAATTGTAGTGTATGCTGGGATCATGCTATTATATTTGGGATTGAACAGCAACCCCTGTTGTCTCGTCTTCACAGTGTCTAAAGAGTGCATGGCAGAGTCTCCTATAGCACCTCCAAAGCCACCAGCTAACATACAGCTTATAAGAGGAGATGCACTTTCAATCTCGTCATCAGAAGCGGCAGCGCCTGTAGAGCCAATGGGGTCATTATGTGTGGAGTGATGAGCCTCTCTATGAGGCTGAAACGGCGTCGGTATTGCTGACGTGGTATATGACTGTGACATAAGCAACAGTGTATGGAATGCAAACTATAGTAACAGAGAGTATTGCGACAACTTCGAGCCGAAAAATCGTGAGGTGATGATTTGAAATGGATCGGGTTCGATTTTCTCGTAAAGTCTTTTAATCACAAACCATCAGCTCTTTTGGCAGTGTTTTTGAATAATTATATGGTCCAAGAAACAACGAAAGAAGCTCCGGAAGATGATATGTTCTATCAGAGGGTTCACGTATGGCGGTTTCAGTTTTTTTTTGCTCGGTCTCAACTGAAGTGCCTCCAAAGAAACCCGTGCATCTGCCAATGGACGACGATAAAGGTGATTCAGGTCTTAGGTCGTTTGATACGTCCTATTAGAAAGATTGATCGAGCGTTGAACTAGGTTTTCAAAATACTTTTGTGCTTTCAGTCGGAGATTTGCTGGCTATGTTCTGGTCATGAAAATCCAGAGCCGCGTATTGTCGTGATTGGTTTATAGGCCGCAGATCGTCGCGCCGGCAAACACATCTCGATTGGCGCGGCTATTTTCTTAACGGTCGAAACCACGTCGACAACAGGGTAGGATTTTGTGACAGTAGCCTTTTTCTGGACCTAAATTTAGGAGAAAATACATTGAAAGATTTTCGTATAGTCCAGTAAAAGCCATGGGCGACTTTACCAATAAGCATCATCTTCCTATTCACTGAAGCCTCAGCGCATTTATCATTCTCACGTGACATGCATCAGATCATTTCACTTGCAAGTATCGGGCCAGTAATGAACTGCCAATTTTCGACAAATGCAACCTACACGCTTGGCCTCTCGATTCGTCAATTTCAGGATACCTCACAGATGCTATAAGGTTCTCGCTATCGAGTCTTCGTGTGACGACTCATGTGTTGCCCTTCTTGAAAAACACACTCCCAACTCTTACCCAGTGACTGTGGATGAACAAAAGGCAACACTCAATTCTGCTAAAACAGGAGGTATTATACCCACTGCGGCACACGAGTTCCATCAGCAAAACATAGCGCTTTTGGTGGAGCGCTTCTGTGGGAAGCATAATATATCAGCCTCAAATCCGCCTGACCTAATATGCGTCACCAGAGGACCAGGGATGGTCGGACTGCTTAGTGCGGGCTTACAGTTTGCAAAAGCTTTAGCTGTAGCATGGAATCGACCACTCATTGGAGTTCATCACATGCTAGGTCATCTTCTAACAGCAAAGCTACCGCTGAAGACTTCGTCGCCAGATGACCTAAGGTACCCTTTCTTGAGCTTACTATGCAGCGGCGGTCACACAATGCTTGTTCTTCTGAAGTCTCTCACAGATCATGAAATCATTATTAATACCCTGGATATCGCTGCTGGTGATTCGTTAGACAAGTGTGCCAGAGAGTTGGGGTTTTCAGGGAATATGCTTGGTCCTGAACTCGAAAAGTTTGTCGAGAACATCGATGAGGATAAAAAAAACCGATTCGCTCAAATAAAAACGCACGATGCAAATAACGAGTTTGGTTTTCGCTTAAAAATGCCAATGAGAAATACCAAACGCAGCAAAATCCCCGAAAAAATTGAGTTTGGCTTTGCATCATTTCTTAGCACTATCACATCATACAAAAAAGATGGGCTCATGACCGAGGAATCTAGAGAGTTTGTGGCATACAAGCTCCAAGAAGTCATATTTGACCACATAGTGAACCGCATACAGGTGGCGTTCATGAAGCACAACCTCAGTGAAGACAACAAATTTGATGAGGGTATATTAGAAGCAGTGAATGATTTTGTTTGTTCGGGCGGAGTAGCTGCAAACAAAGTGCTCCGAAGCAAATTATTCAATGATTTGGATGCCGGTCACACGCTTAAATTTCATTTTCCGGACTTAGCTTTGTGCACAGACAATGCCACCATGATAGGCAATGCGGGTATCGAAATATTTGAAAATTTGAAAAAAAGATCAAGTCTTTCCATATTGCCAATACGGAAGTGGCCAATGAACGAGTTATTGGATGTTGATGGGTGGTTAGATGTGCCCGAAAACGAATACAACTCGATAGTCGGCTTTTCCAACAATAAATAGCAGTCAATATTTTCGCAATGACACACTTTTAATCTAAGTGTCTTCTTCAGTATCGTTATTTTCGGAAGACTCGCTGATCCTATCCTCCTCCTGTGTTCGATGTGGGACATATGAATCAGTGATGTTATATCGGTCAATAAGCCAATTCCAAGACGCTTGATCTAGAGAGGCAATGTAATGCAGAAGCAGGCTTTCTTCGTCTTGATCCTCATCATCATCTTGATCCTTATCAGGAATTTCCACGTAGGGCACGTTGTCTGGACCCTCGTCAATCCTGATTCGCCCGTCTCTGGCCAAGAAGCTTATGTAGAAGAGATTCTCAACAGACTGGCTGAAAGAGTGCGGATTAATAAATAGCCGGTATAGACTGACTTTTGTTTCGGGATCTTTTTCCCTTATCACATTGTACAATGCACGCACCATGTGGGAAGTACTCTGCTCCGGATCGTTTTCTAGTTCGGATGCATCAACTTTCCTGGCTGTAGTTATAGCGGCTGATGACACTGTATCATCAATCGTTCTTGTGCGGGTAGCTATACGCCTACGCTGAGTAGCTAGAGGACCGCATAGAAAGTGAGATGGTACAGGGACACGTCCCCTCAGATAGAACCAGTTCCCCAACTTATCCCAATCAAACGAGTTAAATCTTTCATTCATGTCTTCGGCACTTCTGCCGACAGGTTCTCCTTGTTGCTCATGTGCAATGTCTGGATTCATGTATTGTTTCACAGCTTTAAGATAGTGTTCAAGAGGAAGTGTTCCTCCGAGGTCTCCAAAGCGAATGTGTTCTGCATTCGTGGATGCAAACTCGGTAGTTTTACGCAATGCTTCTGAGTCTTTCATATACATAGATAATTCCTTGATCTCGCTGTTTGTGACAGACGAGAACAATGTCTCCAATTCCTTGATTCTCTGAAGCACCAACTGTCCTGCCTCCCCTTTGTGCGCTAGTGATTCTAGTTTTAGCATCTCTTTCTTGTACTCTTCATAAGCAAGCGAAATATCAGATACTGAGGTCAGCTGGGTGCCTCTGTTCGACACATGAGACAGGGAAGAAGAAACTTCCAGTTCGGATGCTGCTGGCATGATATCGATTGTCTGTGTTGAGCCCGATTCGCGCTATAATACTCAGTGATTTCAACTCGATAGTCTCGACTGTATGCGGGCCTAGACAGAGACTCTCACAGAACTATGATCGGCCAAATAATTTGGATGAGTTTTTTCTTACCGGTTGAAGGCGATGTTGCGTCAGGGTTCGCGTCATATCCTGCTCAAATTTGAGAGCGCGTCAGCCGATCAAGCTTGGTAGCTGAGATCGAAAGACCACGATGAATGAACTTGCTTAGCTTATCGAGAATATCAAAGTCTGCAAATGAAAAGAAAAAGACAAATTGAAAAAAGCATTGTATTCTCTATTATGCGACAGCTTTCTTTTAATTTATATAATAAGATTCTTGGAGCTTTTACTCTACCTATTAAAGTTCAAAAAATGTATTGTTTTGGAAAAAACCAAAATAACGTGCACTAATATGAGTATTCTAATAACATTTAATTTAGTACACTGATGAAGAATTGAAGAAATACACAAACAGAGAATCAACAAAAACTACTTGACATTTCACCATTTGCATGCATGTGTGAGAAACAAAATGCATCATCATATTTCCAAGTTCCATATTTTCCCAGACTGTTTCTTCCCATGTGCGCGACTGGCTGGCAAAACTTAGAGACAAATCTATATCGGTACATGTATGCCCAGGATCTTTTTATTGGGAATACTACTTATAGTCACGGCTGCCTCATCAGCTTTTATGTATCCTTTTATTAGGTAGGAAACATCACTCGTGAAAAACTTCACGCTATTCAATTCGCCCGTTTCAGTTCATTTTATTTTGCGAAGCCCGTTATCAAGAGACCCTAAATCAGATGTCTTCTTCAGCCTCGCCGAGTGGCGAAAAACCACAAGAAACAGCAGTTCCAAAAATCCGCAAGCTTGATGCTTCTGTGGTCAACCGTATTGCTGCAGGAGAAATTATTGTGCAGCCAGCGAATGCCCTTAAGGAGATGCTCGAGAATTCCATTGACGCCAACGCGTCAACTATAGATGTTGTCGCTAAAGACGGCGGTCTCAAATGGCTTCAGATAACTGATAACGGAAGTGGAATTCATTACGACGATTTAGGGCTACTATGCGAGAGATTCGCCACATCAAAGCTCCGCTCATTCAATGATCTTCTGCTGATTTCGACGTACGGATTTCGAGGCGAAGCTTTGGCATCCATCTCGCATATTTCTCACCTATCGGTGGTTTCCAAAGTGGCACCTTCTGCCCTTGCATACAAGTCTTTCTATCTCAATGGGAAACTCTGCTCTCCCAAATTCAAACCTGAACTACTGGCTAGCGCTCCAAAACCTGTGGCTGGAAAAGATGGCACACAAATCACCGTGGAAGATCTTTTTTATAACCTGAAATCACGCCTAAGGGCTCTTAAATCAAAGAATGAAGAGTGGGTCAAAATTTTAGACGTTGTGGGTAAATATGCCATTCACACTGAGGGGGTAGGTTTCACCTGCAAAAAATTCGGAGATTCTTTACCCGCAGTCTCAACTAGACCTCAAGCACCGCTTAAAGAAAGAGTCCGCACTGTCTTTGGAACATCTGTCGCAAGTGACTTGATTGAATTCGACTTCCCGGGACCCGACTTTGGTTTAGTGAAGTTTAAGGGAGCAGTGTCAGGTTTCAATTACAATAACAAGCGTCGAATTGCGCCAACCTTTTTCATAAACAACCGGCTTGTTGCTTGTGACCCTCTCAGGAGAGCAATTCAAAACGTGTTTCTGACTTTTCTCCCAAAGGGAAACCATCCTTTCGTATACTTGAGCCTTGATATTGAGCCTCAAAATCTAGACGTGAACATTCACCCCACCAAAAGAGAGGTGCGGTTTTTGAATGAAGACGAAATCATCGAATGGATAAGTGGCCAGCTTAACGACGTCTTGTTTGCCAGGCAAGGTTCACGTACATTCAAACAAAGCACGTTAAAGAGACTGCCAGATGGGTTTCCCATGGATGAGACCACCAATACTAATAAAAAGCATAAGCAAGTAAACAAATTGGTCAGGGTGGATGTTTCACAGCTGAAAATCAATCAATTTGTCAGAAAAGATTTCGACACAGTGGTAAATAAGGCCGTGCTACCAAGCTCGGATCAGACTCTCGAAGAGAGTGTAACCACAGACTCAGACTGTCACGTCCTGACTACAGACTTTGACAAGTCTCAACGCACGTGCTTTGATGTGCCAAGTGATTTGGAGATCAGAAAGCCAAGACAAGAAATTCATCTTGACAGTGTGGTGGAGCTACGCGAAGAATTGAGCCAAATAATACATCGGCCCCTCACAAATATTTTCAACAACCTTGTGAATGTTGGCTTAGTGGATGCAAACAAGCGTCTTTCCTGTTTTCAATATGATGTCAATCTTTTTCTTTGCGACTATGGAGCTGTACTAAACGAATTTTATTATCAAGTGGCTCTCTCTGATTTTGCAAATTATGGAGAGTACGTACTAGAGAAGCCACTTGGATTAAGACAAGTTCTTGAGCCCCTATATGAGACACATTTTGACTTGGTGGATATTGAATCTGTTATCAATCAACTTATGAGCCTGAAGGACATGTTCTCTGAGTACTTTCAAATAGAGTTCTCAGAAGAAACACTTGTGAGATTGCCAATGCTCTTGAAAGGAATAAAACCTTCCAACAAAAAAATCCCATTTTTTGTATACAGACTTGGAACTAAAGTGGATTACCTGGACGAAAAGCAGTGTTTTGCTGGAATTCTTAGACAATTGGCATTGTTATATGTCCCAGACCGCATTTCGCGGGGCGACTCGGAAGAAGAGAAACTGCTTGCAATGATGGAAGAAGGACAACTTAGCTCCACATTGGAGCACGTGATTTATCCTGAAATAAGGAAAAGATTTATAGCCCCTGAAAATTTGGTCGATCAGGTCGTTCAGGTTGCAGACCTTCCTGGCTTGTACAAAGTTTTTGAAAGATGTTAGACTGCGAATAAAAGATGAGCGCACGCACGCGGTTTCCCTTGGATTTACAACGCTTGCAATCGTTGCGGAGGCTTAGGTTAATCATGAAGTCTAAGACTCAAACAAATTCAGGCTAAACTTGAATGTGGCAGATTGTACAAGTGAGCAGTGTGATTCAATATCGAAGCTATCTCAATAGTATTGCCCAGAACAACCTCAGTGCGCAGGCAATGACCCTACAATTGCACCTCGTGCTGTTGGGAGCCATCCACTCAACAAATGCATCAGTTGACTGATGTTCATAGCTTGTTATAAATATCTAGTAACGTGAATGAATGATTGTTGCAAAATTTGGCTAGTGGTATTACAGTTTACTTGTCGTTCTTGCATGCGGAGAGGCTTGATGAACCGCGCACCGCCGAATGTCGCGTCGCTCCGCCCTAAAGAGATTCGTCGGTGCTGTTTCTTTGGTTAGGCCTCCGTTCTTGAACACACAAAAATAGCTCCACAACGACAAGATCAGGGCTTTCCATTGGATTCAATCGAGTTTGTCTTCATATGAACTGAATCCCACTTTTATTTAGACTTCAACCATTATTTCGCTCAGTACCGTTTCACTCATAATTTGCAGAAACTATGCCGGTTGATAAAATTCACCATCAGGCATTGTTACAAAGACTCAATCTAGGTTTGTTTCCTCGCAATCTGCTTGAATTCAGGAAGTCAAGTGTTTTTATTCATCAAATAATTTATGTGGATCACCGACTTCATTTGACGCTTCAGCTGATTTCAGCTCAGACTCTATTCAATACTAAGTCTGACGAAGATTCTCAAACAATCATCAAAGAGCTCATAGATCATGTTGGCTCAATTAACGTGATGACTCAAAAATCTTATTTAGAAGTTTACTACGCCTCAGTGGTGCTCGCTCACTTGCAAGTATTGAGTCTGGACTTTGAATCGGCAATTGCCACATTGAGTAATTTCACCATCAACCACGCTGTCATTCTTGAAAGCAAGGCAGAACGAGAATTTTTGGACTATATTTCTGCAAGATTCCATGCTTTGTTAAGCAAAGCATCAGCGAATGGAAGCGCAGTTCGTTCCATATTTCTAGAATCTTTGAAACGATACGGTCACACTAGTCAGGTTGCGGCGAACACTTGGATAGATTGTATCCTTGATGGCTTTATATCTGACCTTACCTCCAATGGAAAAAAACTGATTCAATTTAGTGATCTTCGCCAACTCAAATTCACTAAAAATATCTGTTCTTTTGTTTCAGTGGCGAACTGCATCTTGGGACAAGAAAATGAAACTCACAAATCGTCCTCATTTGAGTCAGATTATGTCAAATTTCTTTCTGAACTTCTTAACGAAAAAATCAATCAAAGAAAAGACTTTCCTGATGCGAGCGACGAAAAGTCTGATGAATTGAACTTTGTTGAAACATTATACCATACTTTGAACAACATTTCTAATCACGGATTTGCCGCCCGAAGATTTATTACCGCTGAACTCTCAAAGAAATTTTTGTTGAGTATGACGGAAAACTCATACCAAAGCCAACCCGTACTCCTGAACTTGATTTCGACATTGATTGATTTGGGAGAGTACGATGAAGCATATGCTGCTTTCAAAACATACGTCAGCTACGTGAAAAGAGAAAGTGTCCAGACCGGGAGCTCTACCGATCTTCTTCAGACTATCCGCACGTACTCGCTTTGTATCCTGCTGTTCAATCCACTAAATTCTTTCATTCAAGACGCCAAATCTACTTCCAAAAGATTCAGATACAATAGTCTTGACACAGTGGCTCATAATTTGTCATTGTTTGCCGAAGATCTCCAGGACTACATGACTCAATTGGCAGTGGATGCAGATTTAACTTATGAGGAGTCTTTCAATGTGACACAGAATCAGCTCGCATTTTTGTATCGCAAGTATAATCCCCATATACTCTCTGACTCTCGATCATCTGTTATCAGAAGTTTGTCGGATGCGTGGTACTCTTTGGGAAAACTCCAACAATATTTTTGCACTCATGACTCTGCAAATCTCAAAATGCTCGAAAATAACAAGACCAAACTCCTTATGTTTTACAAAAACGCTTTGATTGTCAACCCTCTTGGAAGCTTGACATATATGCTGGATTATGCCTTGGCTTTGGCGTACGAAAATTATGTGAGCGAATCAGCGAAATTATGCAAATTCATCTTAAGAAAATCCCCAGAGTCCTTCAAGACTTGGAATTTACTTGCACTCTTGGCTAGTGCATTGGAGAACAAGCACTCCATAAACGATAAGAAGCCATCAGATTTTTTGTTGGAAGACAAACATAATGACTATCAACAAAACGGTGATTCAGATGTGGTTCTACAAAATGACAAAGATGGAAAACTTCATAATGCTGAAATGTTCATTGAGCATGCTTTGAATATTGCAAGCCTTTTTATAACCAACCATCGTGACGCGGGAGTGGCAATATCACTCCAAAAAAAATACGACATTCTACAACTAAAGATGACACAACTTGCCATTCGCGAAGCAAAAAGTGGAGTCGAATCAATTTTGGAATATATCTCGGATATTTTCGTTCTCTATCGTGAATTGTTTCTGGGTGGGTCAAATTGCAGAAAAGAACTTCAAAGTGGCATGGGAGCTAGAGCTGACACAAAGTGGTCTCGTCGTCCAAGTGTAATGGACCCCAATGAAGCCAATGGTATTAGAAAAAATCTTTCGGCGCTGAATCGCTTGAATAAAGAGACCATAAAACGGTTCTCAAAGCTTTCAATGGATAGCCGTGGAAAGAATGATACAATTGATCATAAACAGAAGGAGTCGAGTCCAGAGCAGATTCAAGAACTCAGAATATTGCAAGAATTGTGGTTATGGGCTGCATCCATTTATTTAAAACTTGGCTTTTTGGAAGAAGCAGAGCAATGCATTGTGGAGGCAGAAACTGCAGACAAACCAAACGTCAGGACTCATACGTACTTGGGACTTTTAACCTCACAACACAGGAAGCGCCTCTCTCTCCAAGAATTCGAAAGGTCATTTGAAGTTCTTCATTCTGCAGAAGAGAAATTCAACAGGAAATCATATGGCCTTACGCTTGCTGGAATGAGTCAATTGCTTATCACGAATGATTCTGATGAAGCTTCGCTATTTGTTTCTGAGAAAGACCGGGACGCTGGATTAGTGCGCGTAAAGAATTACTTGGAAAACTTTAGAAATTGCTGGCCATACGGCCACAATAACCCTGAGGTATGGTTCTTTTTGAGCTCGATTTACGAAGAGTTTGACGACAAGCTTCTTCAAGCAGAAGCGTTGTGGAGATGCATTGACCTCGAATCGATCAGGCCTGTCCGTTCCTACGATGTATGTGAGGACTTCGCCATTTAATTTTCATCACGGCAAACTCACTGTGCACGACTGTGAATGTATTTTTTTTGAACAGAACTTTAGCAATCCTTCTAATAAATGGAATCCGCGCAAAGTTTAGCTATTACCATGTAGTCGCTATCGAAATAGTGATTTTTGGATACCTAATTCATTCGGTGCTCCTTTATATAGCGAGAGCGAGGAAAAAAATACGTTGTAGATATATAACATCGGGGCATAGGAAGGCCCGGAATTCTGTCCCATTGATCGATCAACCACTGCACACAAAAGTTGATCAGAAATAGAATGACCGAAGTTATACCCAAGTCAATCACCTACTGTGGTGTATGCTCTTATCCTCCAGAATACTGCGAGTTTGGTCTTTCATTCAAAAGGTGTAAGGAATGGCTTAGTCAAAACGAAAGAGAACTCTTTGAAAAGTTATACTCTGACGAGGCCTTGGCCAATGCCACGTCAACCCTTTCTATCGAGAAAGAAGAGAAAATACATAAGGAGTTAGAGAAGAAGCTGGCTCGTGAGGAAGCCAAATTGGAGCGTGAATTACAAAAGAAACTCTCGTCAAAAGTAGTGATTAAGAGAATTGAGAGGAATCGCAGAAAACACATTATCTCCATTAGTGGATTGGAAGTCTTTAATATTGACATGAAAAAGTTAGCGAAAACTTTTGCACTGAAGTTCGCTACTGGTGCATCTGTAACGAAGAATGCAGAAAAGAAAGATGAGATTATGGTTCAAGGAGATGTTAGTGACGAGGCTCGCGCATATATTGAAAAATTGTTGGAGGAACAAGGCTTAAACGAGGTCAAGGTTGAACAAATTGATGATAAGAAGAAGAAGAAATCCGACGCAGCAGCTCAGGCAGCTCAGACCAATGCTAAAAACTAAGCATGATGTGAAATGACGAATGGATAACCGCGGCGGTAGTTTAGAGGATATAGAAAAGTAAAATTACTATTGAGAGCACAATCAATGATTATACTGCTTAATCGTATTTTTCTTTTGTTGCCCAGCAAACTCCATACTCATTGAAGCCGGGAGACTTCATTAATATCCGATATAGATGGGCTATCCTTCGCTTTGTATTGAACTTATTCGTCTTGGATTTTTTCCCAAACCGGTTATGCTCTTTGCATCGGTTTCCCAAACCAAAACCATCCGTTAATCCCAAGATGGCCAAATGTCCCAGATCGGAATCTCCTGTCAAATGACAATTTAGTTCCCATAATGTTACCGCAACATCGTAGTTTTGAGAAAATTGGTAGAACTCAGCCAAGCCATACAAACTGGTCGATAGAGCGTTTTGATTATCTTTATCCCAATACCTTCTGAGTCCCAAAAGAATTTTCTTATCTAATGTGACTGCACTTTGTTCAAGCAAAATTCTGGCCTTCCGAAGCACTAATGAGAGTCGTGCAGCCTTTCGAAAATAGTCCAATATGAGCGTATTTTGGTAATTGCTAGTAAGAGTCTTGTCTTTGTTGAAGGATAGAAGCCAGTTTCCAAACATTGATATTGCTAGAGGAATGCATAACCCATCGTAGTGATTTGCTTGGTTGGAGAACACTTCAAATAGCTCGGGCTTTTCAATATTCACATCGGACACCGCATATTGATCCAACACTTCATTGAAAGTCACCAACCTGGGCCACAAATTTTCGAGAAGCTGTTCCACATGAAGGTCTCTGTCGTCATGATACCTACTGAGATTAGAGAAGCGTACTTCACCAAGCTCGTAAGAACTGTCAATGAGGTAGTTCAATAGATGAGTTTTATCAGCGAACAAATGATCTAACGAATCCCCAAAAAAGAACACCTCAGCAGCGTCTGACCAATTTACTTCGAGAGAAAAGCCCTTTTCATGCTGGTAATACTGGGTCTTTAACTTCAGAATGACATACGCAAAGAATCGCTCATCTTCACTGGTTGGGTTCTGAGGTTTTTCTTCCCCCAATAACCTCTGCTTGAGTTTTTTAAATTTGTTGGTACGTAGCTTTGCAGATTCCAAGTTCTCCAAAGTCATTTTAACACTCTGCAAGTCCAAATCCTCAGACATATCTGAAACAGACGACCTCAGAGATAGCCCTGTTGAAATGGAAGAGGTAGTGGATATTCTGGAGTCTCTCACCCTTAGAGACTTATCGGAAATAGTTGTTTCGCGACTGTCGTTTTGCTTCTCTTGGTTGTTTACGGCATTTCGGTGGCCCGGACCATTGGTCTCAACGATTCGAATCTCAGGAGCTAAATCACGATTGTGAGTAACTGATTCAGGATCGCTCAAATATGCGCTAAGCAACGAGCTTGAGTAGTAGTTGGATGAGCGACTCAAGCCAGCCTCTCTTTGTGAAACATTATCAGGCATAACGATTTTTTGAACTCATACAAAATTGTGGATGTGAAGCATCAGTGTAAAAGCACCCTTGAACGCGATCCTCGTGTTGTGGGTGTGCGCACGTGTGGGGGTTATTCATGACGTACTCTACTGCAAGAACAAACGTTGACATTCTACATGTTGCCTGCAAGATTTTGAAGGTGTCCTTTTTTTTTTTTTTGGAACTAATCACATTTCTGATGACTTATATTTTAATGAAGCTCGGTGGAACATGAAACCTAAAAAATCACCGTGACGTTCCGGCCGCAAAGGTGCAGGATGCGGCACAGCTAAAGTCCACAGATCTCATTAATCAATACCTGGCGACCGGGAAAACGAGTCGTTGTGCTTCAGCTCTTCAAAATTCTGAGTGAGACGCTTGATATTCGAGTCGAAGCGCCTAATCCAAGTCTTGAAATTTGAAGCTTTGAGAACTTTTGCGAACATGGCCCATCAGTAGTCATAGCCAGAAGCTGATACAAATCAAGATAAATGTACGCACTATGAAAGGAGCATTTTTATAGAAGAAATCTTTTCTGTTTCTTTGGTCACGCTCTCTGTTTCGCTTGGATCATGCTTGCTTGGGTCATGCCTGCTTGCATCATGCTTGCCTCCGATGGGTGCTAATTTTATAGACGCATTCTTCGAAATTTCAGGCACGCCTATCATCGATGGCAACAGCGGACTGGGACCCAGAGAGGCGGGGAGCAGGGAGGCAAGCGGAATCGAACTCTCAGCAGGGTGGCCCACAACACGCGTCAAAGAAGTTGCACTCAGTGCATCAGCCTTGTCACCTGTAACTGATGTGACGCTTGACGAGGGGGAGTCGTGAGTCACAAGGACCAGCTGAGAAGGCACCGAGATCGCCAGAATGCCACTTTTAGGTGCAGAGACCATAACCTCTGGGGTTTGTGCAGAATATGCGTAATAAGCACCACTCTCAGGTCGCGGAGCGGATAGACCATATTGCCCTTGCATGGGCATCATGTAACCGCTTGAAGGATGCCCTTCATACTGGTGATTGAAACTGTGAGCTGGTGCTGGGTAGCACGCGTATGACGGGGCGCTCATTCCTGGAGCGGTTGTTCCAGAGATATGTTGAGAGGCGTATTGAATGGGCATTTGCTCTGGCAGGTACATGATTGTCTGCGCCTGTTGCCCTGGCATTACCTGCATCGGGGGCTGTGGATATGGCATAGCAGAACTCATCTGTTGGAGCTGATACACCGGCACGTACATGGAGTGCATCATCGACAGAGGCGCTTGCATGGGCACAGGCGGACCCATTGACTTCGGTGGTACAGGGTTGTTTGCAGCCGAGGCCCCACTGGAACTTGCAGTTGGTGGGTTATTAGCGTACGCAGGTACGGGATCTGTGGGTGGGCTAATCACTGACGGGTACAGCGGAGGATGGAGACGTGGGCCGACCGGTGCATCTTTATAGGGCCGGGGCTTTTCTTCTTGTTTGGGAGACAATTCTTCTTCACGCTCGTCCCGAAGACTCTGATTCTGCTGCGCCAATCTGAGGGCAGTTTGAGCCGGCGCATCAAGATTCAAGTATGCGCAATGTAGTCTGCCTTTGAGACAGTTGAAGCATTGTGGAAGGTGCTCGTCACATTTGATCCGCCTCTTTTTGCAGATTCCACAGCCCAAATGGGAGTTTCTGTGCCTCCGCCGCAGGTTCTTCTTTTTACTATCTCGAGCCTGCGACTGGTCCCCATATTGTGATGCTGTTTGGCCATTCGGCGCGTATGTGGATACCGTCCTAGACGTTGGTTCATAGGGGCTGGGCTCCGACAGCGAGTTCAGCGTTTCGGCCAGCTCGGATTTTTGCTGGTCCGATCTTTTTCGTGCTGGCGGCAAGGGGTTTTTTAGCGCTGAGCTGAACACATCCATAGTGGCAAGAACGTGGAAGAAGACAGGCAGTTATCAGGAAGCCAACGCTGTGCCTGGGGAACAACCAGTGGTGATTGCTAGACTCAGAGCCGTGATTGGTATATAAGCCACCAGTGGAAAACACTAAAAACAGCACAGATAAGCGACAAGCTTTCGCTTCACTCCCGGGATGTTTGGTTGAATGAGAAATATTTATTGCGCTGGTTGATGGGTGAGGGGTGGGGAGCAAATAGCCTATCTGCGTGGGGCGTTCAAGACGGAACTGCGTAGACGGGGTTTTTCAGTATAGTATGACTAGCGTGATCAAAGATACGAGTCGAGTTTACGTTCTAGTGCCCGCAAAATACCTAACCTGGTACGATCTATACTAGATCAGCTATCGCACTTCTTAAGTTTCGAGCCGAAAAACCAATATGAATTACACTTTCGTGGTATTGGGACAGACCGGGGGCACCAGATCCGGAGTAACGTGGCTGGGCTACGGCGGCACAAATATAGGCCCAGGCAAACGCAGCTGCCCAAAAATGCGAGAATGTGACGCTAGTATGCCGGCTTGCATCTAGAGCTCGGGTGTACGAGGCAAAGCGGGGCTGTGTGAACTGGCGCGAATCGTAAATTATTAATCTTGCTTCAGTCATGGAGAGTTTCATAGCCGCGGTTGAAGAATGGACCCAGTGGGTTAGCAAAACATAGAAAAAGCTGGCGCCTATAATAAGAGAGAAAGCGCTTGTCCAGTAGCCGGGTTTTGAGCATGATTAGCAAAGGCAAATTCTTGCGGAGTTCATTTACGGTAAGTTTACGGGGAGACCTGTGTAAGCCAGGAACCGCGGACCGATGTGCAGACAAGTGGCGATGTGCCACCAATGCAAATGATGACACAGCTGAAACGCACGAGACAGTTAGCCCACACAAAAGCTTATACCAAGTTGCTGGTAGCCTGATGTAAAAAATAAATTTGTCTCTGTCAAGTTTGGCACAAGACTTCAAACGTGTCCATGAATTCTTGCTCCGCGCTGCAATATCGCCTTGTTGAATGATGACATCGACATAATGCGCTCCACCTGCATATATACATCAGAGCCGCAAATCAAGTGTCGATGCTTTTCAATCAAGTCAAACCAAAGGCCAAGGAAGTCGAACGACTCTTCGAACAGAGTCCACGAATATGCTATCCTGGACCCTCGCTCTTCCTGTCCCCTACCCATAAACCGATATGCGCCCTGTTAGTATTGCGCATTGCAACATGCCATTTTCGCGCATTGTTGTGGACTAAAAATTCTAAAATGGTGAGAACAATAGGGTCATTACTCTAGAGACCATATTGTTTCGGTCGTGTGCATTGTGAAGACACACGGCATTTTCTTGAGCTCATAACTTTAGTGTTACAGTTTATGCGACTTCATAGTCAATTGGTAGGGTACGAATTGTTAGACCTCGAACTTTCAAACCTTTAATCAATGTGATGTACCAACATCACGTTGATACACAAGGCAAATCAGGATATCTGAAAGTGAGAGAAGATGCCAACAAATATGTAGATTAGGGGCACATGCTTGAAAATTCCTACGTGTGCTGGCCAAAAAATTTATTCGCAAGCCAGCCGCACTACTTCAACTTATGAATTTCCTCGGCTTTATCGGTGAATTGTAATGGCTCAATCTAAACTTCTTCACGAAATCAAAACAGTGGAAACGGAAATTTAGCCAACTTGCGCTGTTTGTTTTTTTTTTGTCTTTCTCACTCAGAGCCCCAAAAAGTGCGCAGCCAAAGCAGAAGGCGTGTAAAGTCTCGTTTGTGATGTTTTGCTAAGTACCGAATTTACAGCTGCTGCTCTTCATTTGTAGGAAGGTATGATTCTTCAAAACGACCCATTCTTTTCTTCCACCACTTTTTTTTATGATCTGATGCACTCAATTCTTCCATGAGAAGGTCCATGTCGTCCTCGTCACAATTTTTATCCTTCGAGATTGTCATTACAAATTTTCCATTTCTTGACGAAACATCGTACACAGAGCCCTCGACTAAGTCTTTTAGTACAAGCTCTCTAGTTCTGCCCAATGACTCAATAGCTGCGACCCGCTCAACGGTTTCATCTAGAAGAATATCGAAGTTAGGCTGGGAAGCAATTTCATGAAATGCCCTCATCATAGGAACAGAATCGGCTCTCACGCGCGAGTCAGAATCGACGGTGAAAATATTCAAATTGTCGTATTGTTGAATATAGTCAGCTCGGGTCATTATTTGACGTGATCTCCACAAAGGTAATTCTGGCAAGTGATGGTCTTTGCACATATCCTTGATATCAGGTGAATCCTCCGAGATCAACGAATTCATTCGCTCGCGGTCCATTTTTACAAATTCTCGCATGAGTAACATTGCGCTCAGCGAGAATTTACCTGACTCCATCACATCGTCATCCATATCTTCACCGAGAAGACCACATTGATTCAAAAACCAAGTTTTCTCGCGATCGATAATCTCATGGCATGCCTTGATAACGTCTCGATGTCTTGAGACCTGACTGATATGCTGCGGCCGCCCGCCAATAAGATCATAAACTTTATTGCATATGTCATCTCCCAAGCCAAGATCTGGATTTTGAGCGGCAGGGAAGTTTTTGCTTCGAATAAATTTAAGCACACTGACGGTTTCCTTCCTATTCAAATCGCGAACATTGACGAGCTCGAGTCTGGTTCCTAATTTTTTGAGTTTTTCGTACACCCAGTAGTCATCACTATTGAATATGATGGTAGCTAATTCGCTACCGGACAAACTTTCGGCCTTCTGCTGTAAAAGTTCGAGAAGCTTCACTCCTTCTTCGTTTTCTTTGATAAGATGGGAGTTGTTAATGATAACAATTAACGGCTTCTCACTTTTACCGAGGATCCGACGCTTAATTGCGAGTTCTTCGAGCTTATTGAAAGCTCTCTCGATGTCAAGTAACGCAGTAGTGTCTCTTGGACCCCGGATGCTAAAAAGCGAGCCAATATAGTCTTCATTGAAAGCGAAGTTGAGGGCCTTACCTAGTCTTATACGGAAGATTTCCGGGTCTGCGTGTGCATCAAAAATAGCAACGTTGTTGCCATCAGTCTTCTTCATTGCTTCCATGATAAGAGTGGTCTTACCCGTACCTTTTTCTCCAACTACTAGGAAATATCTGCCTTTGATTTTTCCACTAACGATATCATCAAGAAGCTTCTGCTGCGGCCTTTCGACCCAATATCTTGCTAGATCTTCATCGGTATGTTCCAGCTCAGTATTAGATGCTTTGTTAGTCTTATTGTGGATTGCAAGCTGATACGCGGGGTCACCTTTTTGAAATGCCTTGTCCATTTTATCTAAAACATGGGAATTATAAAACCGATGATAGAGAAAACCTGAAAGCCCTAGCACAGCGACTGAGCTTAACGTTATCCCTATAGTTTCTAAACACTTGAAACAAAATTTCCCAAATTTCTCAAGTGTTTCCCTAAACCTTGAAGGTTCTTCATCTTCGAACGAATCTGATTCAGGATCTTCTTCCGGCATTTTCGGTTTTCTTTTATTCCCATTAACGGAGTCGATCTCAGGGGCATCATTTCCCGTCATCAATTTTTTTTTTGGGTTTGCATCACTTGGCATTTCTTGTGCAGTGAATTCTTCCGTGTTGACTTGATTATCCAAATTGAGCCGACTTGCCTCAATTGCAATTTCCAGCGAAGCCTTGGCCAACTCATCGTGTTTGCGATTGTTAGTGGAGTTTTCGGTATAATCATCTCCCAACTTTTGTTTCATTAACTTTTTTTGCTTGATAAGTTTTTTTTTCTGTTTTTGTAGCTTCTCATTCTTATCTTTCACATCATCATTGTCGAGTTCCTCGAGCACGTCGAATGGAAGAAGTGGGTTCACAAATCTATTTCTGAGCGACAGATGAAATGACTGAGTACAATGAGGAAATCCTAGAGCTCTAAGACGAAATGGCAGCCGTGAGGCATAGCTGAGAGTATTCCTGACGTTCATCATGAGATGGACGTAGCAACAAGGTGCTCGCGATAATCAGTATCTGAAAGGCATGCTTATGCAGTATAAATATACTGCATATATGGAAAGGACACTTCGTAGTCTTAATTCTTTGATAGCACGCCATGAGTTCAGTTCCATCCCCGCAGAGTTGTTACTAGATCATGATAAGTCAAAACCAGAATTTGCGTATACCGAGTATAACAATTTTTGACGTATCAAGACTTTGTCTTTGTAGTCAGGAAGTTTAAGCAAGTTAACACATGTCGAGGCCGTGGGTAAACGATCGGGCGACCCAGCATTATTAATAGCAAATTTCGGGTACATCGCTCCGAATCCTAGTAGAGGAGCTCGTGCAACAGACGTGACAAATTTAACCAAATCACATCTTTCTTGCGCAGTCATTTCCTCCACTACTTGCCAAAATAACTTAATAGTTAAATCATCGTCGAAATATCCTCCGTACCGGACATTAAACTTCCAATCTTCCAAATCAATATCATGTCCGCCACTGATAAGCATTTGGAGCTCAAGAGGGTCAACCATATTAAGCCAGCTGGGCTTAATTAATTGGAACAAGCCCTCGAGAAAGTGCTTAGTCTGAAGGTGGAGAGATTGGTTCAACTTAAAGTGTGAAACTTTGTGAATATAGCTTAACCTGTTAGATTGTGTTACCGTTTCCTGTGCGCCGTTTGGTGGCAGTAAATCGAACAGGTAACTTGAGTTACCAATAACTTCATCGATGGTAAAATTAAGATCTAGACTTTCGAGCTGTCCCTCATTCATCTCTAGAAGCTTGTTCAAGTTTGTGTATAACTCAGGGTCTAAGAATACCAAATCATCAATTGAGTTTTTCAGATTGTTTTGAGCAACTCTCCATTTTGAGAGAAATGAGGGCACGAAGGTAATATCGATCAAGATCTCTTCGTATAGACATTTCCCGATGATCATTCCTAGAAATTTCGTATACATGAGCCTCTTTCGTTGGGTCGGGAGTTGGATATTGTTGATCGTGTTCCAAAAAATATCGTCATTTGGATAAAGACTACAGGATGAAGACTCCTTGAACAACGAAATATCACTTCTTGGATTGAAGCCTTCTTGCACCACAGAAGTTAAGAACTCTTTGGTGAGTCCTCCACCATCAATCCCTGCTTCTGGTCCATGCTCGTTGTAAAATGTTACCAGTAAGGGGTTTTTAAAATTCTTTCCCAAGCGGAAAAAGTTTTCGAAGGCATCTTCAATTAGGGATTCTCGATTGATATCTGCAGCCAATTTATGCAGATTCAAATCATCGCTGAAGAATGCCATGTGATTCAGCCCAGACTTGGCTTTTTCTGCTTGAATGGAATTCTGAAAGATTTTGACACGTGTAGTGAAATCCACAAAGAATGGAACCTTGTTCAACACTTCTTTCTCAAAAGATTGATGGGATCCAAATCTCAAGCGTGAATTTGAAGAAGACAGGTGCTCGAAATTATCATTTTCTTCATTTTCTTCGTCTGAAGAATCAAGGTCTTCATTGTCCTCCAGTTCTAATACCATGTCTCTCAGATGCAACTCTAAGCCCTCGACTTTCCATGATCCTTGGGGGAGAAACTGAAGACGCAAGTTCTTGATGTATAGCTGATTTAACACCGAAATTGAAATCTCCTTCAAGTCAGTTAATCGTGAATCATTTCCTCGCGAAGATTTTAGTAGAGAATAGCAAAACGATTTCAAGAAGCGACAATGAAGTTTAACATTAGTCAAAGGAAAATTGTTTCCTTTAAAACTCTCTGTGTCTTTAGACACCACGAGCCAAGAAGATAATATTTGGTTGTAGGTATAGATTAGCTCCTCAAAGAGAACTCTATCTTCTTCAGTTGGAATATGCTCTAAAGAGACATGCTCCTCTGTATTTCCTTCTGTTGATGCATGTACAATATATTGAGGGGTTTTTGATGACAAGTCAAAGAACAACCTGGGCAAGTTTGGCGTGATAGACATTATCATGCAAAGGGATGTCCTCGATTGTGGAAATAAATGCAAAAGTTGATACATGGTTTTTACGCACAAAGGAGCGTCCACTTGACACAAGTAATTGAACGCCAGTCTAACATAGCTGGAAGAAAGTAGTCCCAGCAATATGTCAAATTCCAGAGAGGTAGCAGTGACCATCTGTGACGAGAGGCTTGCACGAAGATGACCACTCTGACTCTCGGAGACTATCCTCGAATCAATCTGCGAAAGAATTTTGGCATGGGTTAAGAAATCTTCAGTAGCATAGTGGGACAGGTTCAATTTCAATACATTCAATAACAAGGAGACTCGTTCGAAATCTGAGAGCTGTCGTATGGCCGATAATGCTGGGTCACTAAGTAGGCACTCCAGAGCAACTTTAGAAAAGCGCTTAGATTCCAAAAAAGAGCCCCGAGGTACGTTGGCTAAAAACCTTACAAATGCCTCGATGGAATCTGCTGAGTTGATCTCGAAGATGAGTTGGATCACATCATGCATATTCTCAGAAGTGGCAACCTTTGTCAAATTGCCGATCAAAGAATTTAGTGCATTGGGGACATCTTTCGGGATGGGGTATAAAGCAAGAAGTCTGAGAAGACAATCGAGGGCCAAACCAGGTAAAATTCCTCTGGACAATCCCGTGTTCAACGCTTTGATGAGCATGGCCACTTGATGTGAAGAAAATATGCCCTCCAGACTATCGATAACTGCATTGACAATATGATACACATTGCTTAGTAGTTGCTGTGATCCATAGCGAATAATGAAACAAGTCTCCAGACACCAACGACCTGGATTGTTGCCTATGCCATTTTCCTTCCATCCCTCTGATAGTTCCAGCGCAGCGCTACGGAGAACCAATAGACTACGCACATACAGCTGGATCAAAATGATGCGTTTTTCTCTTTGACGTGCGGATTCTCGTTGTAGCCGGTTGTTCTTGGCCTGCTCGAGAAACGATCTGCCCTTGTTGCCACCTCGCTTGTCTCCAAGATTGACCACCCGTTTTTTTGTTGTACCTGTAAAATTCAACATTATGTTGTTTCTTAGAAGCCAATCAATGAATTTTGTTTCTATTTGTTCTTGTTTTCTGCTGTTTCGCTCGCAGATTGTCAATGTGAAGAATCATAAGTACTGTGGAGTTAGGCCGATCTGAGCCGGCCATGGCAATGTCGCGTGCAGGTCACATATATCGAATTCTTCAGGAAAGACCCTGTGCACCAGGAGGCCTCTAAATATAGAGATTTACCCTTTCCATGACCCGCAGAAACATGTTGATTGAATTTTTTGTTTTGAATAAAGAAAGAATGGAAATAGGAGACGTTTTCGCATGGGAACCAATTCATTTCACCATGCTAGACTGTAGCGCGTGAAGTAGAGTGTTTACACGACACATGAAGTACCTGTTTATGGCTCTGATTCGGCATCATTGAAACTTTAGCAATAAACCCACACTAAATCTTAAAAGAGTTATACTTCTTCGCATAACGGGAGTTTTCTACTTGAGTAAATCAAACAAGTGTCCTAGAGACTCGATGTAATACTGAGGCTCTGTACTCTTGTCCTCAATGTTTTTCAAGTCGCCTAATTTGCTTCCGCCACTCAACACCAAGAGAGTGCCTCCATTTTTTCCTCCCAACTTACCATCATTTCCGAACTTTATGTCCGTGTACATAGTGTCCCCAACCATCAAAGTTCTCTCACGATCAAACTTTTGGTCTTGTAATATTGTGTTTAGAAGTAAACCACTGGGTTTGCCGACATTTATGAAATCCCTTCCGCAAGTATAGCTCATAAGATTTACCATGGGACCCCCAGCAGGCAAGATCATTCCCTTTGGGCCGGGATAGGTTGTATCAATATTCGCCCCTATAAATGGAATAGACTTTTCATCCACCAAAAGATATTGCACAGTTGTTGCAAGCCGCATGTAATTGAGTTTCTTGGTGGAGCCAACGACCACGGCTTTTACTTCTTGGTCTATTTTGAGAATTGGTGAGTCTGGGTCCCATTCAGAATCTAAACTTGGGTCCGATCCACCACAAGGTATGTAACCACATTCCTTCAACTCTTGCTCGATGCCTTCATCTCCAAAGACCCAGACCTTGGACTGCGGGGGGATTTTGAGCTGCTCTTTAATCACTAAAGCGGCCGAGTAACATGTGGGGTAGATTGCAGACTTCTCGATGTGTTCAAATCCCAAATCGCTGAATTTACGCACGTATGTATTCCTCGACTTTGAAGAGTTGTTTGTTACGAAAGCCATTGTCTTGTTGCGTTGTTGCAACCAGTGGATGAATTCTTTGACGCCGGGAATGGCTTCAGTATCAAGCCATATTACGCCATCGCAATCAAAAAGAAAATGATCGTATTGATCTATGAAGCTCAACGCTTCTCTTCTAGATGTAATTTTTGTTGCCATTCTGGACACTCAAACTTGATGGAATGTTTGTGGCTTGTGGTCTATAACGTGGAAAAACACCACTGTTCTTTCGTGAAAGAAATAATTTCGGGTGGCGGTGAAGCGCTCATTTGACAGATCTGCATGGGTAGAGTAGCCTCAGTAATTGGACTGACTCATCTCACGATTTTCGAAGTTCAGCATTCGAAAGGCGTTTTTTGTTGAAGAGATACATCTAGTTTTATGGGCATTTATTCATGATTCAGAACAGTATTAAACAGACTCCCGGAGCAAAATTGGCTGTAGTTCTCCTCGGCCCCACGTCTAAAAGCTTCGTGCCCTTTTGAGTGCATTTGTATGCAAATTTGATGCCACCCAGGCGCTGTGCACAGGATACACGAGAGCCGAGTACGCTATTTTGAGGTACGGATCTGCTGAGAACTGACGTATTTGAAAAGACGTGAAACCCAAAAGATCATCCGTTGAAGGATTCTCAATAAATGCCTGATACTAGCGTTTTCTGATGCATATCGGTTCATTGCATATGATAATAAGGAGGTATTTCTACCCTTGGTTGCGGTGGTTGACTAATTCAAAAGTAATACACTCAGCAGGTCTGTCTGTTCTCACCTGGCCCCGCGTTTTTTACCGAGAAGCTCATCACAAGACAGGGAGCTTTCCAAGAAATTATAAGTCAATACCTCACCAGCAAAACAATATGCTGGAAATTGAGAAGCCAGTTCACAAAATTGTTGATGAAGCAACCAAAGGCCTAGAGCAGCTCGAGGTGCAGGAAAAAAAACCGAAACAAAGGAAAGCACAGAGCGAGGAAGAATATCTAGAACAGAAAAGACAGTTTGCAGAGAGCGGTCCCCAAGTCAATAGCGATGACTGGCTCTTTGACGAGGACCTTGTATCAAGTTTAGACAACACAAAGAAATTTGACCGTGTCCATATTCTACATGCGTGTGAAAAGGCTTACTTCATTAAGGACTACAGGAAATGCCTAGAGCTTATTCAATTGGGAGAGCGTCTTTTCGGGGTTGAGCTTGATGATGACTCAGTTAATGATGGTTTGAAGACCGACTTTCAAAACGCAGGACGGAAAACAAGGAAAAGTACAAAGGTGGAGCGTCATGTGGTAGAGCTTTTGCACATAAAGGAAGCTTGTCTCAAGAAATCCGAAGATGCCCGACTTGAATCAAATGATAGTGACAAAGCAACACCCGCGTTGAGACACGACCGGAACTGAGTGTTTATTTCTATAGTTCCCAAATACATGTGCGATAGTGGAGGAGCAGGAGACAAGACGAATCACTTCCGCTTGAGCCAAATAGTCACCTGCACGCAGCTCACGTTTCTTCCTCGTAGCTCCGTCTCGTCTTCGCTGTCATCTCGCGTGTTCGGTATTTCGGTTGTTTTGAGTTCATCAACCACCTCCACCGTTCCCGTGAAGAAGTCTACCTGATAGCCCATATTCTCCTTGAAGTGGAGACCGATAGACACAGCTTTCTCCATGGCCGACCCCATGGCCTTGACACTCAACGACCTGACTTTTTTGTATTCGCCCTGCTGGAATTGCTTGTAGTTTGTGGGCAGTCTGTCAAACTTTTCGAGCAACCGATCAACACGCTTCAATGCAGACACATAGGGCGTGGAGCTTTTGACGAATATGGTCGTTTGGATTTCTGTTTTCAGAAGGATCCGGGTATTCGGGCTGTTTCTGATCATTCTGTGGCACTCGGGATGTTCAAATGGGAGGTGTTGTCCGAGTTTGGCGTTTTCAATTACTAGCGAGAAGCTGCTGTGGAATGAGATGCTCAGGGCCCAGCCTAGAGCCCGCAGCGCCAGCGCCATTTTAGGGCCACTGGCCGGGGCGCACCGCGGGGCGCGGCTCCGTCTACCCTCTGCCTCTGCCAAAGTTGAATACTGCCGAATTCAAGCACCCGCGTCGCGCGACTCCCGAACGCGTTTCCAACTAACCCCAAGTTCTTCTCTTCTTATTTTTGCACCGACTCGCCGGCAATTCTGGCGGTACTTTTCGGAAACAAGCTCATTCTTCAAACCGTGAAAGAAAAATGTCTTTTTACCAGGACCACAAACGACCAGCGGACTTCTGCCTAACTCCTCCCCTGACTCCACAGCGCTCACATAAACGGGGCAGAGACGACATGGAGCAGCTGTCCCCGGACACAAAACGCATCCAATTCCAGCAAATACACAGCCAGGCGCATCTATCTACTGTCAAAATGATGATGGATGCATCGAGGAAGCAGAGCCTTGGTGCCCATACGCAAACGCCCGACGCTGGGGACGACCTGGCCGGCGCCGAGCCTTCGTATACGCCGCAAAAGCCATTTTGGCCTGCCATCGCTCGACTTCGGCAAACGTGAAGACGATTGGGTTGTCCAGAAAATTGGCGACATTCGTCTTCGCACAATATGGCCCAGGCCAGGACAGGTCCTGGCGTGTTTCCTTGATGGAAGTCAGCACTTGGCTACGGCGGATAACAGGCAGAACCAATATAGGCGCGCCCATGGTGGAGAGAGCGTATCAACATGAAACGTATAGAATAATGATATATCTTTATGAAGCCCGCTCTGATTCTTCTAGTGTACACTAAGCTCTTGCTTTTCTCTTTGCCTTCAAGACAACCTTTTGTTTGAGCTCCTCGTCGGACTCCTCCTCCTCTGACTCGACATCCATCATGTCCTCGTCCTCGTCGTCGGACTCGGCCTCGGCGGCGGCCAACTTCTCGGCCTTCTTTCTCAATTCGACGTCTCTCATTCTCAACAACTCTGGATTGCTCTCGACCAACTTCCTGTCGGAAGCAAGCTGTCTTTCCTTGTTTCCTCTCATTCTGTTCTTGTAGAACGCTCTCTCTCTCTTCAATCTGATCTCCTCGATTCTGGACATGGCCTTCAACGTCGTGGCGACCAACTCTCTGTTGTATCTGACAGGAACGTTTCTCTTGGCGGCAAAAGTCAAAGTCGAGTCGACAACCAACTCCTTGCCGGCGGCCTTTCTGAAAGCCTTGGTCCATCTCAACTTTCTGGGGTTTCTTCTCTGCTTGAAGGCCTTGTGGCACTTCGACCGGCAGAATCTGAACTCTTTGGCGTCGTTTCTCACGAACATGATTCCCTTACTGGGATATACCGGCGACGAGCAAAAATGACAGGAGTAAATTCTCATATTTTTATGCTATAATGTATGTGTGTATGGTGATCTAAATGCAAATGTGTTCCAGATGAGGATGAGATGAGGTAAAAAAAAAAAGAGACTGATAGATACACTGCGCTTCACGCGTGGTGCACGGGTCTACCTAGCAGGACCTGGGGAAGTGAAATGGGCGTTCGGCTCGAAGCGCCCAAAGAACAAAAATTAAGGATAAATCGATGCAATACATAAGATTGGCGGCCGGTATTTTAGTGTGCAGAAGTAGTGGTAGCCCGGTGATTTTTCTCCAGTTCATAGTGGCTGCGTGGTTCAATTCCAAGCCCAAGCAGTGGTGGCGCGCACGTGACCCGGGCGATCTCCGGTGCACGGAAATTTTTCAACACTAATCAATCGAGAACAAACCTCCATACACAAAATGGAAGTCCCCACGCTACCAATACCGGGCGAGACGCCATCGGCACAACAGCAAGCGTTTACTGGCCACTTGCAGAAAAAGAAGGCAGCCGAGGGCACCGCGGAGTGGTACTTTGACAAGACTAGCGACTGGATGGGCGAGCACCCATGGATGACAGGGCTTGGTGTTCTTGGCGTCGTTTATTTTGCCTCTGGGTTTGTCAAATCAAAGCAGCCTGGCATCAATGGCAAGGCTTTTGTCAGAGGGTCTTTTGGTGCTAAGATGAGTGCTAAGGAGGCGTTGCAGATCTTGAACCTCAAGGAGAGTACCCTCTCGAAGGCAAAATTGAAGGAACAACACAGAAAACTCATGATGGCGAACCACCCAGATAAAGGGGGCTCGTCGTTCTTGGCCACCAAAGTCAACGAGGCCAAGGACTTTTTGGAAAAGAGAGGCGGCTTGAAGCCCAAGTAAGTGAAGCTTGTATATATTAAACTAGAGGGTCAGATTCAAGTGAGTGCACGTGGACAAACCAACCAGCAACCGTGGTATATTTCTGTAGGCACGGGTTCTTTTCAGGAAGTCCCAGCTGATGACATACCATCTTATTGCCTATTTTATTTTGCGTTTCACCGGTGTCGTCTTGCGTTGCATGGACATTGCACTGCTATCAGCCTTATTGCAGGGGCGCTGTTCGCAGCCTTCCTTACGGGGGATCTCGCATACAATGGGGCCGTCGCTGGTGCGAACTGCAATATGGGAAACGCGGGACTAGGGCCCAAAAACCCAACAGACCCCACCAGTCGTTAGGCATATTTCAGCCCGGAAATCCCCACGCTCGCGACACTGATTATACTCGGATTCCATGGCATCAGTAGTATAAACTAAAAAGGGGTGATTCCCCGGGCCCGCAATAGCCGCATAATAGTGGAGGCCACTCATGTTGTTGCCAGATCTAGAGAAGAAAACAGCCGGGTCTCCATAGCTTTTGTCTGAATTCACCACATATTTATCTGAGGCTTCTATCCCGGTAAGCCGGCCCTATTCACATTAGGATGCGAAACTGGCAATCAGCCCCAACAGCTCAGGCGAGGTCCGGTGCGCGGAACCAGCCCCTATGATAATTGGAGGCACCGTCCTGCACTGGGCGTCAGTGAGGGCACTTCCGTGGGCCCCAATCTGAACACACTCACCAACTGCCTTCTCACAACTGCAGGAGACAGGGATATTCACAGATCAGGGTCAACAAACCAACAGAAATCTCCCCGGCACATATACGTCGCGCTCGCTCTTCCGCAGCTCCTCTGCAAATATAGCAATTCTCTCACCGAGCCAATTGGACATGACCACCTACATCAAAATAGTGAAGGGTGCCACCAAGCTAAAAGTGGCGGCCCCGAAACCCAAATATCTCGAGCCCATTTTGATGGCTACGCTGATGAATCACCAAGTCGCCTCTGAAAATTTCGTCACGATCATGCGCACGTTGAACGAAAGGCTCCAAGACAGCTCATGGCTGGTGGTGTACAAGGCCCTTCTAGTGATCCACATAATGATCAGGGAAGGCGATCTTGACGTGACCTTAACTTTTTTGGCAGACAAGGCTCCCAATATGCTTAACTTGAGTCGATCGAACATCTCCCGGCACCTGGGTCCCACTTCGGATGTGCGCTATATCATGAAGTACAGCCGATATTTACATACCCGGGTCAAACATTTTGCGGACGTTCGCGTCGACTATGTTCGAGATGAACGCGTCAATAATTCCGTCACGCAGACTGGCGGCCGCTTGCGCTCGCTTTCAGTGGAAAAGGGCTTGCTTCGTGAATGTGAAAGTGTCCAGAGGCAAATCGATGCGCTATTGAAGAACTCTTTCTCGGAAGCCGAAATCAAAAACGACATTGTGCTCACTGCCTTCCGGTTGCTTGTTAATGACCTATTGGCTCTTTTCCAGGAGCTCAATGAGGGAGTCATCAATCTTTTAGAGCATTACTTCGAGATGTTTCACAATGACGCAGAACGTGCTTTGGATGTGTACAAGAAGTTTGTTGACCAGACAAAATACGTGATTGACTACTTGCGGGTGGCCAAACATCTTGAGTACGCTACCAAATTGCACGTACCAACAATCAAGCACGCACCCACCGCATTGACGTCTTCCTTGGAAGAGTATCTAAACGATCCTTCGTTCGAGCAAAATAGAGCTGAGTACATGAGGTCCAAAAACAATAAAGGCAGCTCTTCTGCATTTGATTCCATGGAGAAATCTCAAAGCAAAAGCAGCTCTCCTCTGCATCTCGATTCGAAACAATCTACTCTACCAGGGAATTTTCAACAAGCGGTTTCGGCCACGCAGCCTAATTCTACTTCCGGTGCTCCGAATCAAGACACTCTCATGGTACAGCAAGCAACATTTAATCCTTGGGGCTCCTCTGTGCCCGCAGGTTTTGCCCCAGTGTTTCTGTATCCTGTTGAAAATCTCAACACTAGTCCTACTGGAGCGGGCTTCGGTAATTACGTCCAAGGCCTGTTGGATCAAACTCAACAGCAGCAGTTACAGATGCAGTTTTATCAACAGCAGCAACAGCAACAAGCTCAATTACAAATGCAACAGCAACAACAGCAACAACAGCAACAACAGCAACAACAGCAACAACAAACAGGTTTAAACCCATTCATGGCTAGCCATGCACTGCCTGTCATTCAGCAATATACTGGTTTTCAGTTGCACAATTTGCCGTTGAACCGCGAGCTTGCGGGCCAGCTGACGGGCCCCAGTGGTACTTTGCAAAGGTCCAATACTAATCCATTTTCTCAAATGACGTCATCTACTACGGGAGCTTCTATGAACTCTCCAAACCCTTTTGGCACAACGAGGTTTGCGCACGGTCAGACCACGGCGTTTACGTTTAATAATACGTCTATTCCAGAGAAAGTTGAGCCATCAGTCACCGGAAAAAATCCATTTACTGTATCGGATACAACTAGAAGCGTGTTCAATTCGGTACCAGATGGCTCGCAGCCTCAATTGATCAAAGCGCAGCCGACTGCTGGCGGCTTGGAAGCCTTACCAACAGTGTCTGTGTTTCCAGAAACTCAGCAAGAACAGATGCATAACTATTATCTTCAAAATGCGAGAACAAATTTGATGAGTCAGGCAACCGGTCATACGCAGCCACTCGTGCAGCAAGGTATTCAGCAGATACAACCCACAAACCAGTGGCAACAAGTGCAACAGATACAAACAGGACAACAGCCATGGCAAAATCCTATCCAGACCCAGCAAGCCGCGAATTACTACAATGGGCCCAGTCTAATCTAAGCTTATGCAGAATCACAGATATGAAGCATGATAGGCATCGGTCCTTCTTAATATAGATAGCAACAATACAGGAGAAACCTAAACAGAGATCTTCTTTTCATGATAAAATCCCACTTAAGCCCAAATGTCCTCTTGATAGCCCTCCGTGACTTCTTTGTCTTTGCCGTAGAGTCTTTGCCAAGCAGTAAACCCACCCGACAACACCCATACGTTCATATCCTTGAAATCCTCGCGTTCTTTACTGGGCAAGTCCTGCAAAGATCTCAAAAACACTAGTGTTGATTTCGGGCCCCGTACTTGCGATAAGGCACAATGAAAAACAACATCATCGATCTTGTTTTCAAGGAGACGGCGACGGAGCTCAGGTAAAGTCTCGTATATTTCGCCGGCTGCGTAGTGATAGCAGCCTTTTATGTGACCACCAACAAAGTCAGAATCTCTGACGTCGACCACAGCAAACTTTCCATTACCGGAAGGCGATTTGGATGCAAACCACGACCTCAATGCCATGGGTGAAATGAAGCGAAGGTCTGTGAGTGACGGTTGTTTCATATTATGATTTCAGGCCACTAGATTGTTGGAGTTAGGAGATGAGAAATCGCGGTGGCTTGATGGTGCGCGGGGCTGATTACCCAGTTGATTGATCAAACAAAAAATGCTAGCCCGCAACTTTGATCAGACAGCCAGCATTTTTAAATGAGGTCTCACTTCACATGATTAAACAAGCGATAATTTTGACCACACACACATTGGTAGTTTGAGCAGCCAAAATGAACTACTTCAAACACAGACTGTGTTATGATAATATCCAACTACATTGCATACAAGGGCTGTTGGTGCCCTTTTGTCTTATCTTTTAGATAATACTGGGTTTCAAGTTAAGGACCATCTTTTGCCAATTATCAAACCCCCTGTTGGCAATATTGAATAATTTCCGCGTGCAGTCGCCTATATGACCCATGTCGCCTATAGAGTCCATCCAGGCGCGAAGGTCACAATTTATCGCATATCCATTTATCGCACGTCCATAATTATAGAGTGTGAGTGAGTATTTTGTTTTTGTTTTTATGTTCTTTCAATTCCAAGCTCTCTTGAATGAAGATTTCTACACTATCTGCGTCGATTTTGAAAACGAATACTGAATTATCTGCCACTTTGTCGTGGGGATTTCAACCAGTCAGGAATTACCCAAAAAAGTGGGTCGCCTGTACATATTCCGCAGGCCCCGTGAGTGTTTGACTCCCTTCGGATTATCGGCAGGTTACTCGCTGACTTGTACTGGCCATTTTCTAAAGTACGTTTTTTGTCTACGAGCGACATTACTCGCCCCAAGTGTGTGTTTTTCTTTGAAACCATGAACAGACCCCTTTTTGGGAGAAGAGCAATTGCCGCGATTGTTAGGGTTTATCGATACGCAATATATTTGCCGCGCTCAGATCAGATCGCTTTTTCATGTGCACCCACGTGACCCCGGGTTTGTTCCCACAAAAATATCATCGACTATTTCCCCAACATATAAGCGATTGCCCGAACATCATGGCAAAGCAGGCAGATGCTGAGGCTTCAGATATTAACAGCCCACTTACCAGAACGCTTTCGGTCGATTTGATCGCGCCGAAGTTAACATCTCTTTTCCGTAAAAGAAAAAGAAGCCATTCCAATATTTCCTCGCCAAACAGATCTGCAGAAAACTCAGAGGACGAAAGCCATGATAACAGCGGCACGGAAGAAGGCTCACACAAAAGACGCAAAGTCAAAACCAAGGAAGAGGAGGAGTTAGAGGCCAGAGAAAAAGAATTGGACGCTGAGCTTCCCGAAGAATACCGCAAGTTCAGGCCCTTGGGCCACAAATTCAACTTGCCTCCCACAGACAGACCGATCCGTATTTATGCAGATGGTGTTTTTGATTTGTTCCATTTAGGGCACATGCGCCAATTGGAGCAAGCCAAGAAATCTTTCGAAAATGTTGAGTTGGTGTGTGGTGTTCCATCAGATAAGGAAACACAAAAACGAAAAGGTTTGACGGTTCTCTCAGACAAACATAGAGTCGAGACTTTAAAACACTGCAAGTGGGTGGATGAAGTGATTGCTGATGCCCCATGGTGTGTCACGCCCAGCTTTTTGATAAAGAATCGCATTGATTATGTGGCCCATGACGATTTACCCTACGCCTCTGCGGACTCTGACGATATCTACAAGCCTATCAAAGAGCGTGGTATGTTCTTGACCACACAAAGAACGGAAGGAATCTCGACCTCTGATATCATCACCAAGATTATTCGTGACTATGACAAGTACCTCATGAGGAATTTTGCCAGAGGCGCAACCAGAAAAGAGTTGAATGTAAGCTGGTTCAAAAAAAACGAGTTGGACTTCAAGAAACACATCAGCGACTTCAGAACTTACTGGATGAGAAACAGAAACAGTTTCAACAACGTTTCGAAAGACTTATACGTGGAGGTACGTGAGTACTTGCGGGGGAGGAAGAGCGAAAACTTACACTCCGGCAATAGCAGTCTTACGCTTGCTAGTGACACTGATGATGCCTCGCGTCCTTCGAGCCCATTGACCGAGTTTGCCTCAAAGTATATTGGCAACAAGAACGATAAGCCTCTCCGATCCATATTGGGCAACTTTAAGGATTGGATTGGTCGTGATGATTCCCACGATGAGGATTCGGCAGGAGACGAGCCTAAGCGTATCACTCGCTCTCGTTCTGCCCCCGGCACCCCCAAGAACGGGATGAAGGAAGACGACCTGAAATCAACACACAAGGCAAACAAAAAGCCAAAGAAACGGAAAGAGTATTAGAAACTTCAAGCGACGATTGTTTTGATGAATGATGTGAACTATTAAAGAATGGGCTTTGCTCTTTTCTCAGTGAGAAAACGGAAAACGGACAACAGGCAAATACATACTTACAAAGGCGAGGAACGGGGAATTGCCTCCCATTTGTTGTGGCTTTTAAATATTATATTCTAAAATTAGCAAGAAAGCGCTATCTTAAGATGAATACTTCCCCAACTTACTTTCTGATAGCTTTGAAATGTCCAAGACTGAGTTAAAAGATGATTTGCAGATTACATTATGCCAGTAACGCGCGCCCTTTGAATTCATACTCGGCCATTATCAAGACATCGCCAGAATCTAAAACCACACCCCCTTTCGCTTCGGGGCCCACGCTTAATCTCTTTTCGTTTGTAATGTCACGTGAAAAATACTTGACTCACCAATGGCTGGCGTCGAAATCTGGACTGGACCAAAACGAAATGCTGAAACTTGGCGGACCAGAGGCAGCTTACTATATACCTGCTTCAGCCAATGGCTGGAGTTTCACCCAAGGCCTCGTGTGTGGCCAACTAAGTGTGGTTGTTCTCGTGTTGACCTTCATCAAATTTTTCGTATTTTCAGAATCCCCCTCGTCGTCAGATGCTGCACGGAAATCTACGAAGCGTGACGCCTCGGGAGTTATTGTGAAGAGAGATCGAAAGGGCAAAACTGAAGGCTCGGAGGACGTTTCGAGTACATCAAAGCTAGAATCCATACTCGAGAAAACATACTATGACGTCAATAACCATAACCCAGAAAGTCTAGATTGGTTCAACGTGCTCGTGGCCCAAACCATTTCGCAGCTTCGTACGGAGGCTTTACTTGCCGATAATATTTACCATTCCTTGAGTGAATTTTTGGAAACCCTGGAGTTGCCTGAGTTTTTGGATCAAATTAAATTGACGGAAATCGATATTGGCGACGATTTTCCGATCTTTTCTAATTGCCGCATCAAACATAATGCAAGCGATTCCGGCCGGTTAGAAGCCAAGATCGATGTCGATTTATCCGATACTCTCACTCTAGGCATTGAAACGCGTCTTCTTCTCAATTATCCAAGACCGCTTACTGCCATTTTACCCGTTCAATTATCGGTCTCTATGGTTCGATTCTCTAGTTGCTTGACAGTTTCTTTGGTTAATACCAATGATGCAGACTTCACCCTGAATTCGAAAGACGATTCGCCAGGAAGTGGCGGTACCGCACTTATGTTCTCATTTTCGCCAGATTACAGACTAGAATTTCAAGTGAAATCTCTCATCGGCTCGAGGGCAAAACTTCAGGATGTGCCAAAAATTTCTGAGCTCATTGAGAATAAACTTCGTGCATGGTTCACAGAAAGATGTATTGAACCACGATTCCAGGTGGTGAAACTCCCCTCGATGTGGCCACGGAGCAAAAACACTCGGGAGCCTGTTCATGCCAATGCAAGCGGAATGGTAGACAAGCTTGAATAAATTCACAAGAGACATTGCTTCAAATGATGAATCATCCTAAAGTCTAGTCCTCTTCGCGATGCAAGTCGATATGGTTTGGAAGAGATGATTTTTGGGTAACCAAACCTCCTTCACCCTCCCATTTTTGGTGGCTATAAATACAATATTGACTGATGGCACTGTATTACATTTAACATATGCTTGAGATGCTGCATGCAAATTATGGAGCCCTGATCATAAGGCCACTTCCCCACTTTGTGGTTCCGTTTACAAGCTGTACTTTTTTGAATCACATGATTCACATCAATCAAGCCTGAAATTTCAATTCTTTTTGCATTACTTACAACATATAGAACGTTCTATTTTTTTGCCAAGATCGTTCGAGCCGTGTCTAGAATCTAAGCCTAAACCTGGTCACGCCCACATTCGCTCATTGTGGATTTTCTTGTTTTATTTTCTTGATGCATCTAAACGATGATTGACTGCCAGGTAGTGAGAAAAAGTTTTTGCTGCTATGGACGGATTCGGCCTGCCAGATACCTTCTTCAAGCTTTTACAAATAAAAGAATCATGCTGTATAATAATATTTATTTATAATTTTTTTTTTCCGGAAGAGAATTCTGAAATTCAACATCTCATCCAAATTTAACCCCTAAGATATTTCTTACTTTTAGACTTAATTCAGTGTTTATATTGCGATTCAGGCAGCATGAATTTAGGTTTGATCAATTGTAATGACTACAATTCCTGAAATAATTCAAGCTGTTTTACCCGCGTCGGGGAAGACTGTTCTGTTCTCACTTAAGGGATTAATTTTTGATATACTTCTTGAATTAATACCATGATCAAATTTGTTTCCTTTCGACTCAGAAAAGAATTTGCTAAGCAATTTAGGTGACACAATCTAACAATGTATTTTTGCGAATACTATGAGCCTTAATTAAGGTATAAAATACCACGAGTCTAGAAAACGATATCACAGTTAGCTAATTGTGGAAAGAAAGAGGTGTTCGATAAGTCTGATCCTGAAGTTCAGAACATGAGGAGATTACTTATTCCTGAATAGTCACGACAGTGATTCTTGATGAAAGGCCCCAATAGTTGTGTTCGAAAAAGACGAAACGGATTTGCTTCACATTTTTACAGAAAATGAGCACTAAGAATCAGCGAGCCTCTATGAAAAACACTTCCGATCTATCCTACCCAAGCATGGACCTCTTTCGTCCTCTCAAACGAACATCTTCTAGCTTTTTCATTGTGTCTTTTAATTTTCCTTTATTAGATTTGGAGAAAGCGCTTTCATATCCCTCGAGTAACCACTTATTGTATGTATCGGAATAGTCTGAATGTGTGCTCAACACAGCTCTTTCCAACACATACAAATCAACAGCTTTGTCCTCTGGCAAGTTTGAATATGAAGAAAGTCCAAAGTCAATAAGATAAGATTTATCGCCTTGTAAAATGATGTTCGATGTCGTTAAATCTCCGTGAATCATATCATGCATGTGGAGCATCCCAATCACAGACCCGGTGGACCTGCAGTAGGATTCAGCTTCACTACCCAAACATTCCCCATTATTTTTCTCCAAATACCACAAGAAGTTCTTCAAAGACGAAACAGATCCATCGTCCAAAACATCGCCTACACTGTTCATCCAGATCACTCCATTTGTAGCATCTAACAGGATCAAATGAGGCGCAGGAACACCTAGTTTGTTGAGCTTCAGCATAAACTTCGCCTCACCCACAGTTCTTGACTTCGTTATCAAGGCGTCAATTTTAGGATGTCTGTATGGTTTTTTGGGACGAAACTTGATAATATATTTGCCCTTTGCATCTAAATATGGATGTGAGGTCGATGAGAGTACAAGCGCTTCAGCACCCTGAGAGACAACAGTCATTGGTATATGGGGCACAGCTTGTTGCACTTGAGCCAAAATCACGTCTGTCATATTGAGATTTGTAAGTGATTCAATGATTAAGAGGAATTAGATGCTCTCAGCCTGATAGTGCGGCGTGCGTGAGCAGCGATGGATGTGAACATTGGACGCGAAGGCCGTGGTTGTGTCTTTATACGGGTGCACCAGCATATAGCAAAGGCGTTAAATAACTTACACCACGCTGTATAAATGTACACTTTATTCCATTCCGTTCCCTTGTACACGGATAATTGATAAAAGGGCTTTTGAAAGCCTTCAACATTTTTTTGTTGTGCTCAAGCCAAAATTCATCATAGAGATCGCTGCTCCATGTGCGAGACAATCTTCAACAACTTTGTCACAGACGCTTAGGAGGCAGTTTGGAACCATTTTCAATACCTAGAATCCAATTTTTCACCGACTAAGATTTTTAAGTACCACCCGTCACTGATTCTAGAGAAGAAAATCACCCCTTCATACTACACTGCCTTGGTCTCAGCTGATCTGAGCTCTGATATCTGCATACATCCAGAAAGCCACGTGACTACTTGGATTCGCAATCTCAGTGACTATCTAATCTGTTTTGCCCCGCAAAACTGGCACCACAGCTCCAGGATTTTCTATTACGTCAAACAAAAATGTCCAGTTCCGAGTTCACATATGTGATACCACCTTATCTTCTCAATTCATGTGTGGGGCAAGAGCTTCACCAAGAATTGTGCTGGCTCGACCCAGACTTGGCTGCAAGAAACTACTTCTCTCCCGAGTCCTCACACTACAGATTCCGCCTGCCACGAGACTTGTCTCAAGATCCCAACTCTTTCTGTGATGATACATATATCAACGAGCTCATACGAAAAAAACTAAGGGAGAAGTTTGCAGCTCTTGGTATCTTGGGATCCTCGTGTCCTGATGAAGTCAAAGACGAATATCTCTTTGAACTCTATGAGATTTTTAAAGATAGACTCATGCCTAACAAAGAGGGCGTCAAATCCCCTGAAGAAGCTTTAAGATCAGGCGATAGAGCGCAAGATTCATATAACACAGTAAATGCCGGGTCTTCGCCGGTGTCAATCGTTTCCGTGGAGCCACATGTCCAGACTCAAGAATCCTTGTTTGATCTTCCTCGATATGGCGAGTTCATTTATAAGAAAGGATACAAAGGCACGAATTCACACTGCTTGGAAGCCAGTCCTCTCGAAATTCTTATTTCGTGGGCTCGCGACAAAAAAGAGAACAAATACTCCTTCTTCCCGTATTTGATGGTCGATGACAAGAACTTTTTTCTTTCCCCATTACCGATGTATTGGACACCATTGTCTGGGGGCAACCACTTAAAAGTTTTGGACGAGCAGTTCAATTTAGAGTCTGACATTGAAAACGGTTATTCGGTTCTCCGTCTTAAACTCTCAAGGGACAACGCGGAACTTGCGGAAAACCAATCAGGGAAAAAGCGGTTCTACAATTTCATTTCGAATAACCAAGTACAGGAGAACACGGGTGTTTATTATTACGAAGTCTCTATCGAGCAAATGGCTGCTAAGAGCACAGATTATGATCCAATAATTCAAGCAAATGATCCATCTCTATCGTCTGGCTCCTCACTATTCTTCAATATGGGTTTCACTAAGCGGACCATAAAGTTCGATAAGATTCCCTCCAGTACAGGCCCACTGTCTGCAACAACTCTGACAATTGATCTCAAAAAAATTCAAGCAGATATTTGTCTGCACAGTCTGAGCCTATGTGGTAGCAAATTAGACGAGGATACGATTACTTTCCTTGGTGCTGAGCCTGGCGTGTCTTTTGAGGGGAGCCTTGCTATAAGCTTTAATAACTCATGTTCCTATGCTTCTATCAAACGAAATGATGGTGATTTTAGAACGTCGTCATTAAACTTGAACAGAAGGTTTTCTCAGTTGAATAGGCACAACCCTGCAGACCAAGAGCTAACCAAATTAGATATTGATGTCCCATTTCATACGTTTTCTCTGTTCGAGACAGAAGATAAAAAATGTTTTCAAACAGACACGGTTGGATTTGGGGTAAACTTCATAGATCGGACCCTATTCATTACCCTCAACGGTGTAATAGTGAAGACCATTATTGAGCTGGATATCACGGCGTCAAATAGATATCAAGACTCTCTATTTGGTCAAGGGGCTGAACTGGGACCCTTGTATCCTATGATAGGATTCAGATTGGCAAATTTCTCAAAACTTGCACCGAACGGAAATATGCCAGAGTCAAAAATTATAACCAACTTTGGGTTGAAGAGCTTTCAGTTCAACATAAATGGTTACATCCAAAAGCTAAAGCTTGGACAGAAAAAGCTTCTCCAGTCAGTCATATATGATGAACTTAATACTGTGTCTGAATCGTCGGATACAGACATTCAAAAATTCGAACTTTCTGTTCGAAATATTCAAGATGATCCAGCCATAATGAATGATTTCATAGGTGGATATCTTATCCAAGAAGGATTTCTAGAAGCATTTGAATCTTTCAAGTCCGACCTTGATGATTTGTTGAGGAATGTTAGTCAAGTTGAAGACGAAGAAATGAGAGAGGCATACAAATCCCATTCTCTTAATAAAATTTTTGCACCGACTAAAGCAGTACAAAGACAGCAACTCAAACAAAAAATCATAGGTCGTCAATTTTCCGAAGCAATCGACATTTTGCAGACTGAGTTCTCACATTTGAGAAAGCTTGAGCTGTTTGTCTTTGAGCTTGAGCTACTGCAATACATAGAGTTGTTGAGATGCTTTTACAACGTGAAATTTGAATCTGACGATGAAGACATTTGCACATCCAAGGATTTAGAGACAAGTTTGTTTGCGAGGGCATTTACTCTTGGTAGAAATCTCTTTGAAAAGTCCGGAGAGACGTCTGCCAGAGCCTTGAAGGAACTTTCGAGTGTTCTACTTCTCAATGACAAAGAAAATCTAAAGGAATTATCGCAAGCTTGCAGACTATTCGAAAGAAACGCAAATGATATCAAAGTTTTAGCTAGCATGATCAATTCCGAAATTCTTGAAGAGCAAGGCTTCAGCAGAGAGTCGAGGTTAGAGAATATGGTGACCTATGTTGAGGAAAACGTGAGCAGACTTAGCTCAGAAAACAAGAATCCTTTTAGTCTCGTCAACTTTGAGAGAGATTACATGGATCTTTAATGGGATGCTAAATTTCCCAAACTGGTATTATTCTTGTATGAATAAAATCTCAGATGAATTTGAAAATCTGAAATGTGCTACTTACTTAAATTTGTTCAGAATCGCCTTACAGTGAATCATTTTTCTTTTTGATGCTGCCAATTATGACCCCAGTGTCTTTCTCTTTTTACCCCCAGATATGCCTTCTCTAGTTGTTGTGCGTTTTTCGGGTATATTTCCGGAAATGTACTTGGAAATGTCTTTAAACGCTTCCGCAGACTCATCACTGATCTCAAATGGAAGCTCCAAATCAGTCAAACGATCAATTCTGTAAAGGTGGTACATTTTTAGGGACCATGATCCTTTCTCCAAGATTGCCGGAGACGAAAGCCTGTCTTGGGCAGACATTTTGGCCAAAACTGGGACAAACTCTTCAACGTATTCCCTTACAGTATATTTGATTGGTTGCAGTGGGCGAAGTGGATCTCTAATGAAATACATGAAACTCTCATCGCTAAAGAATGGAGGAGCAAACTTCGTGACTTCACATAGTAATGAGAGCATTAAACTTGCCGTGGCAGGCCCTACCCCCTTGAGCTGACACAACGCTTTAAGCGAAGCTCTGATGGTAATTTTGTAGTCTTCTGTTGAAATATGAGTCCAATCGTTGGCTCCAGTCAGTTCAATGTAGCTCATAAAAATACTATATCCCTCTCTCGAAAAGTTGAGCACTGACTCAGGACTATTTGATTTGATCAATTTGGGAAGTGACGGGCGGAACTTTCCTTTAGCCAACTTCCAATCCATGAGTAAAACCAATTCGTCTTTTGTCATATATAAACTCTTTTCGCTGTCGTGTCTTTCCTTCAAGAGTCGTGGGAAAGACGTGTTCTTCCATGTGTCTAGTTCACATAGCGTCCACTCATCCCTATTGTATTTTTTTGTAGACTGTTTTGAGAGTTCTTTTGTTATCAACGGATAAAGCTCTGCCGCAGCATTTCTCAAAATGCCTAAAATCCCGGTTGACATCTTGAAAATAAACGTGGAACATCCGCGTCACTGAATGTTTGAGAAACACGCGTTTTGTTGATGCGTGCCCATTTCAATGTAGTGTCTTCAACCTAAAATGATCGTGAATAAATTTTTATGTTCATATGAAGCAGATTGCTCCCGATGTCTATATACATGAGCCAAATTACAAGTGATTAGCCTTGTGGTTCACCACATCAATTGCATTTGGGTTACGTTGTTCCCGAGCGCTCAACCGTGTTTTCGGTGTGAAACTGATCGGAAGCATTAAGTCTAAAAATATGTTCTGAATCAAAGAGAACAATTGTGAGCTGAGCCAGTAGAGTGTGAGCGCACTTGGGGCGTGTAGTGAAACGGCCATGAGAAAAACGACCGCCATGCGAGAAACATTCGCTAAGGAATCCGTGATTGTCGGACGGAATAGCTTGCGTCTAGATGAGGTTTTCAACAAATCAAAAGTCTTGAATGTCCACTCCACATTAAAAAGAGCAATGACCCCCACGGCCATAGGGAATATGTGGAATGGGTCCAGTGTCGTGAGGTCCGCAAACCATAGAGCGCCTTCACTGTATAAGCTTGGATCTAACGGTTTGTTTGCCACCGCATCTAAACTCGACCAGCCGCTCAAGTCTCGAAAGGTCATTGACATACAAACCCATAGCGGTATCTGTGCAAGGGGAAGAAGAAAATTCTTGTAAAGCTGGACGTCGTGCGTCTTGAATAGCTTCTTCTGTCTTTTGCGCACCTCTTTTGTGGATAAGACCATAATTTCTTCGTATCTCATTTTCTTTGCAGGCGTTAGAACCGAAGGAGTGGTTGTATCTGCGGCTTTGGCGGCACTCAGTGCTTTCTTGGCCAAGTTAAACCGAACAGCAGGCCCCGTGGCCGCTATGATAGGTCGAAGACTGTTTTGTTTCTGGATGCGTAGTCTTTGTAGAAGAGCTAGAGGAAACGTCCATACTGCTCTCAACCCAAAGGTTGTTAACGGTATCAAAGCGTACCACGGAAGACCCACGTAAGCATGTAGTTGTTGTAGAGATTCTGTGAGAGTGCTGACTACAAGCGCTGGATCGATGGAGTAGCTTCTCTTGGGTGATAAACCTAGTCCGGAGAATAACGGCTGATGATATATCGGTTTGGATAGTAGACCAATGGTTCCTGAGCGATTGCGCACAATCCTGGCTGCCCGAAACATTGATCTAGTGGTATGATGGCGTGGCTAGAGAGAGATACAAGGTAGATGAACCTCCAAAGACTTTGCAGTGCGATTTCCGCAGCGCCCAAAATCTCTGGAATGAACGAGCGCCTAAGCTGATTCATCGAAGGTTGGATGATTGAAAAAGAACACAATGATCATGACTACCGATGGATCCTAAGGCACCTTGTTTGTATTTACAAAATTATTCATAGGGCGATAAAAATGAAGTATAGTTACATATTAAGGGCCAAGGCAAATCGTCAATGTGCCGGATATTTAGATTCATTTCCGAACAAACCAAATCTTCGTGTACATCTGCAACATAATCCAATTCAGTTGTGGATTATCAGAATTTTAGGACTCAATACAATAGCTTGTGTGAAATCTTTAAGGCCAATTGCTTTTCTTTGGTTTTAAATTTTCAAAACTTGTGTCTCAATTGGGATAATCAAGGCAAAATTTCCTAAAAAAGTCCTAATTAAAATTAACAAAATTACTGAATTTTTTTTTCAGTTGCTTTATTTACAATATTACGACACAGTTCCTCTTTCGGGAAATCTTCTTATGGTACTTATTGACGTCAATCAAAAACAAAGTCGGAAGGTCCCTTGTAGCCTTTAGTTTCGTTCCTTTTCTTGTTTGGACCAAAGGGGACCGAGCCGAACTCTGTTTCTCACGGCGCACGTGACATGGATCACGATGTCAACTTGTAACTGTTCATTCAAGGGTACTCAACTACAAACTTCCCATATAATCAGATGTCATCCAAAACAGAAAGAGCTTGTATGCTCTGTGGAATCATACAGCCTTATAGAAAATTTCTTGAGATAGGATGTCCAAACTGCGAGTCTGTGTTGCATTACGCAGATAATGAGGACGGTCAAATACAAGATTGTACATCGCCATCTTTCGAAGGCTTGGTGGCATTGGGCGATGACAACAAAATTTCATGGGTAGCCAGGTGGCTTCGTATAGATTCCTTTGTCGCTGGCCTTTATGCCGTAAAAGTGAACGGGAAATTGCCTCCTCATATCATAAACGATTTGGAGGAACAAAACATCAGTTACCGACCTCGAGACGGAAGTGCAGAGGATTGAAACTGTCATAAGGACTCATCACAAAGATAGTCTGTATAGAGTATGCACATATTAGCTGGGGATTTAATGTCTTATACTCACAGATGGTGGTGTTGTCACGCCTTCACATTTTTGAGGGGGGAGGAACCACGTAAGCGAAGAAGGAAATTGTGAGCCGAATGTACACTGTGTTTGTCGAAAAAATATACATTAATCAAACAAGAAAAGAAGTAACAGTGAATTTTGCCCGCGAAAGGCGCTTATTCTACTTGAAACCTATATGAGGATCTTGTCAGTCTCAGACTTCAATTTGGCGACCGTAGGAATCTTATTCCACTGACTGCGATCCTCCCAAATTATTTCCATGAGACGGGCAACAAAGTACTCCAATTTCTCAATAGTGAAGCCATTGGTCGCTTTCACCATCGCGTCTTCGAACAAAGTGTCGAGATCATCTGGAAGAATAAGATGGCGATCTGTTTCCACATGATATCCATCTTCGGCTTCGGATTCACTGTCGGTCTCATTTACCTGTTGGTCACTCTCATTTCCTTCGTTCTCACCATTTGCCGGAGGAGTAGAGTTGGGTCCCGTGTTTGGCTTTAAAGCTGCAGAATCAACAAACGACTTATCCCCCGGAGATATTTCTTTGCCCACTAAGTCAAGATTTTCCCGTTCAGTATCTATAGGTAAGTTGCTGTCAGCTTCGCGTGCGCTGATTGATCCATGTTGGTGTGCTGAGTCGTTGACTTCAGCCGTGGAAACGTCTTGGGCGCTCTTACCGTTCAGCTCGAAGCCGCCATTTAAATTCGGGTTTGGTGATATTGGCTTTTGAATTTCATATGACGATTGTGGGTTGTCCTCAATTCTCAACAAAAGCTCTTGTTGTTTTTGCTCAAATTCTTTCTTCAATCTATGGTATTCGGCAAGAAGCTTCTCCTGCTTTTCTACCTCCCTCTCCCTCAATAGCTTGCAAGCTTTAGAAAACTCCGCATTGTTGAAATCTTCAATGCCAAACTGAGCATTGGTGAGCATTTCATTTGCTTTAAGAATCCGTTCCCTATCCCCAGAAGTTATCGCATCCTTAACAATCATACGAATATCCCTCATGAATTGTTTTGCTTCAGAATAAAAACCATTCCAGATACGTTCCTCTATGGTATCCAAGTCCATATTGTAAAAGTGTTTCCCGGTTGCGACTTCCTTGATGGTTTCGGCATGTTCAGGCCCCTCTCCTTTGACATACAAAACCTCGTAAGGAATATGTGGATTTTCCAAAACTGAAGGCTCGAAGAGATGATGGAGAAGAGCATCATCAATAATGGGTTTTTTGAAGCGCTTGTATCTGTTTTTGAAAAGGTCCATAATAGCAGCGAGCTTGAGCTTCAAAATATTTTTAAGCTTTGTGTCTTCATATTCCTGTTGCTTTATCCGCTTTTTGGTCAATGTGGAATTGGTATCGAGGGCTAGCGGCGCAGGTTTGAGCACCTTCAATTTTCTTTTTGGACGGTTTTCTAAATCATTTAAAAACTCGAAGGGTTTCATGAGAAGCGCATTTTTGACGTTGATGAAAAACCGTTTCCTTGATGACGTGGGAGGATTGACCAAATCGACTTTGTTTATACCATTCAGGAATCCAAGGGCAATCTTCATTTCGTGGTCAAGTTCGTTGTGACTTTTTTCAGCAATACCCAATAGCAAAATTCTTTCGTTGCTTCTTAAATTTCGAAGAAGCCCAGCAAGAGTTGCTTTCGCCGAGTGCGGCATTACTTCAAACCATGTGTCAATGTTGGAAATAAAGATAATTGACGGCTGATGACGTCTAGCTTCGGTGAAAGCTTGCACAATACACAGCTCAGGAGTTCTTGTTACGTCACTGAAGATGGTTGCCAAATCCAAGTTCTGAACCTGAAAGCCTTCCAATAAGTTAAGTATAGCAGAACCAAGGTATTGCTGCCCAGCACCTCTTTCACCACATACAAGCAAATGTGGCTTGCAAATCCGAGAATTTTCTAGATTTCTTAAAAATTCATGCTTCGAAAATCCGCCATCTTCATCATTAATCGTAGGATCAAGATACATGGCTTCCTCCAAGTTTGTCATTTTGTTTCGGCCACTTGAACCTACAGAACCTGGAAGCAAGTCATTAAGCTTTCTTGCGACTTCATCAAGAGGTTCCTGCAAGAGAGGTAATAATCTTTCCGGTAAAGGAGAGGAACCTGTAGAAGTAGATCTCGCACTAGAGGGGACTATCTTTTCTATGGCTCTCATAAAGTCTTTTGCCACAACCTTCACCTTTGAAGGTTTAACCATCAATTTTTCGGAAGACTTGTAGATTTGAGGGTATTTCCTCTGTATTGAGTTCAAGGCTGCCTCAGTGCATAAAGCTCTCATATCTGCGCCTCCATATCCTTTTGTCAAACCGGCTATTTTTTCCACAAAGACCAGGGACAAAGGTGGGTTCCAGTGTTTTGTATGAATTTGCAAGATCTGTTTTCTAGCATTGAGATCTGGAAGCGGGAAGTAAAATTCACGATCAAATCTTCCGGGTCTTCTCAATGCTGGATCAACTGAGTCAGGTCTATTGGTAGCTCCTATGACAATAACTTGTCCCCTGTTATCCATTCCATCCATAAGGGCAAGCAAAGTTGACACAATACTGGCATGTATTTGCTCTTGTTTTGAAGAACGTACTGGTGCCAAGCCATCAATTTCATCAAAGAAAATGATGGAGGGCTGCTGATTTTTTGCCTCTTCAAAAAGAAGTCTCAACTGTCTTTCAGCCTCTCCCACCCACTTACTCAAACAATCGGCTCCTTTTCGCATAAAAAATGTGATTTTTCGGGAGGGAGTTGAGCAGCTGGCAGCAAGAGCTCTCGCCATGAGGGTTTTACCAGTACCAGGGGGGCCGTGGAACAAAACACCACGGGGCGGGGTGATGGAGAAGTTTTGATAAAGCTCTGGGTAAAGAAGAGGGAGAGCAACCATTTCTTTCAACTGGTCGATGTAATTGTCCAAGCCTCCTACTGCAGAAAAGTCTATGTTCATGTCAACACCCAAAGGGTCTGTGTCGCTGAGACTATTTTTCTTCTTTTCATTCAACTGAGCACCTCTGATGTTCGTGTTGTTCACAAAGCTACCACCACGAAAGTCGTCTTTTGCCTGAGTGTTGGTGAGTCCTGGTACTTGATTGATAGAGCCCGGCATCCCCTGGTTTCCGGCGATGGGTGCGAAATCTTCATCTGACGAATCTGAGTCATTTCCTAAAGCCATAGATAAATTGGGACCAGATGTCATGCCTGGGATGGGGATGCCTCCAGGTGGGATGTTTTGCCCCATGAGTGATACTACGTCACTACCTCCAAAGGGCCCTGCCGTGGGAAATAAGAGATTTCGGAACTCGGACTTGTTGCCCGGCGGCCTTCTTCCGCGAGAGCGGAACAGCTGTGACGAAGGTTGGGCTGCCGCATACAACTCGTTTTCATTTTCGTTGGTGATGAGAGATGGAATAGTGTAGTCGATTTTTCTCTCCCGTTCGCGGAGCTTGTGTTTTATTGGAGATGCATCGGGGGAGGAGTCATACAAATCATTGATCTCTTGTTGGATGCTGTCATCATCAGCCAAATCATCAGCCCCATCATCGTCATCATGCCCTGCTGCCAGACGTCTTTTTGGTCTCCGTTCCAGAGGTTCAGATCGCAGCCGGTCTCTGCGAGACCGCGATTTTGATCTTCTCATACGAGAACTATTGTGGATGGAGTCGTCTTCTTCGTCAGTAGCAACGAATTGCTTTTCTCGTAGCTTGTTGTATTTCGTGAGAAAATCGGACTCGTCGCCAGAGGGCTCGCTCAAATGTTCATCGTCAGAAACGTCGTCCGCTTTAAAATCGGAGTCTTCGTTCTCCGGGCGTTCGGCACGACGAGCCGCTTTGCGTGCGCGCTTCCTGGAGGGCATGATTTCTTCATCCTCGTCTGAGAAGTTTTCGTCATAATTTCCATCTTTGTTTTCGTTGTCTGGCTCCAGGGGCGCTCCATCTGAAAGGTCTGCCTCGCCCAATTTCGGAGAGTCAACATCTTTGATCTTTGACTCCTGGGAGTCGCGGTCCGAATCTAAATTGTCCTTATCATCGGAATCCTCAGTATAAGATACATGTCTTCTTGCTCTTCTGGGCTGCGGCGAGTTGTCTAGGCCTGAGTTGTTGACGATGTCGTCATCATCATCATCCACGATACGACGCCGCGATCCTGATGCCATTGAATTGTATTTGGCAATATCGTATGAGAAGTGGACAGGATAAATAATGATGGCAGTTGGGGTTGTTTGATGGCCGAGCGGTGGAATCAGTGGACCGGAGAAGTGAGCGCCTTGGAACTATCACGTGATCGTTATCACGTGTGAGAGTCAAAGCGCGGCGAACGCGCCGCGTCCAAAGGTGTAGTGCATTTCCGTCAAAGTGCACTATGATTTAGCTTCTATGTACATGTAGATTGAGTTCTGCTTCAAGTGCCCCACTAACATTCGTTACTTCTTCAATTTTGCCATCACTTTGGAAGAAGCAGCGTTTTTATCAATTGCCCCGTAGTCCAAGTCTGCCCCGAGATGACAGTACGACATCACCCTGCGTTCCTGTGGAATACTCCACTGACCCAAGAACTTCGATGCAAGATCTGGCATAAATGGCGATACGCAAATGGAGGTGACGCGGCCGGCTTCTGCGCATAGATACACGGCGTAACTTGCGAATGTTTGATGCAATTCGCGGTTCGCGTCCGCTGTTGTCGATAAGCTCTGATGGCGCCAAGGCTCACAATGCTGGAAAAATTCGTTACCTAATTCAACAGTTTCCCACCATCTCTGGAGCGCCTTCATTTGCCCATAGTGCCGCATTTCTTTGTTCATATCAGTGTAGAGCGAATTGACACTCTTAGCGAGTTTTTGCCACAATTCCAAAGTTTTGACGGCATACTCTTGAGAGCCTAGCAGGGAAATCACTTGCTCGATATCATCGAAAGTACCTGCTTCTTTCTCTTTTACCGACTGCTCAAGATTGAATTTCTCGCCGCCCACACGCGAGCAAATGTTGGCCCATTTGTTGACCAATGAAGCGTGGCTGTTTTGAATTTCCCTTTCGGAAAATTTGCAGTCGTTTGAAATACTAGCATTCTCCATCAAGTAGAACCGAGTGGGATCTGTACCATAATTTTCGGCCAAGGCAAAAGGATCGACAACATTGCCCAAGCTTTTGCTCATTTTCACCCCCTCGCTCAACCAGTGAGAATGAACAAGAACCTGTTTAGGAAGTTCCGCGCCTGCTGCCATCAAGAATATAGGCCAGTAGACACAGTGGAACCTCGTTATGTCTTTTCCTACAATATGGGTGTCTGCAGGCCAAATGGTATTTCTGCTACTATTGGGATAGCCAGATGCGGTAAGATAATTCACAAGAGCATCAAACCAAACATAAATTTTCTGGGATTGGTCTCCCGGCACAGAAATACCCCATGTGAGCCGGGAAGATGGTCTTGATACAGACAAGTCCTCGAGGTCTTCGCCTCTCAACGAGACAAGCAATTCACGATGCTTCAGCTCCGGAAACACAAAGCTAGGGTTCCCCTCCAAGAATTCGATGAGCCTTGTTTTAAATTGGCTGAGACGAAAAAAATAATTTTCCTCTTCGTGAAAAAACACCTCGTTTCCTGTTTCGATGCTTATTTTTTTAGGCTGTCCGGACTTTTTGTCGATGATTTCCGTTATTTGCGACTCGGGATAAAAAGCTTCATCGCTTATGCTATACCAACCGCTGTGGGAGCCCTTATAGATAAGGCCCTTTGCGAGCATGTCTTCCCAGAAGCTCTGGACTGCAGCAATATGGTCTTGATCAGTGGTTCGTATAAATCGGTCAGCTTGCACTTTGAAAGTCAGAGCGAGAGTTTTGAAGTTCTGGGAAACGCGATCGACAAAAGTTTTAGGGTCAACATGGTCTCTTTCGGCAGCTGCTTGGATCTTGAGGCCATGTTCATCGGTACCTGTGAGAAAGTAAGTCTCATTGGCAGGGTTTAACCGTTCCCATCTGACCTTAGTATCTGCCAAAAGCATAGAGTAGATGTGTCCCAAGTGGGGGCTAGCATTAACATAGAAAATAGGGGTGGTAACATAAAACGGTTTCTTCGCCAGCGACAGACATCTTTGAAATGAACGGTATAGCCCGTGCTTGCCTGGCTTCGGTAGCATGACGATAAATACGATTGTTCGTGTGAGAATGTGTTTCGAGATCTGACATGTAGGAAAAGTAGGTCGGCGAGACACGCTGGTTGAGCGATCTCACAGAATAAAAACTGTCAATCTCAAAAAATAATTAATTGCACAAATTCGTCTTTATTCAAACAAATCAAGTCTTGGTTGATTGAACGAACAATAGACTGCCATATATACATATCCTACGAAACTCATTCGATACAACAATTTCGGTTGCAACGAAATGCGCAAACTCCAAAATCATACTACCCCGCAAATCAGTTGAAGATTGTTCCTTTAGAATGTCCGTCTATAATTTCAGGATCATACTGTTTGTTAGCAGCCTCAACTTTTTATTTAGCAGTCAAAATACGATGTATATGAGGAGTGCATCCCTATGCTTCATGAAGCACATCTCGCCCCTGACTAGGAGGAAATGGGCTTGTTCTCGACAAAGATTGCCATTAACGCAAAGACAAGATAGAAAAGGCATAGCGGGTACGCAATTAACGGACGCACATTGTGGAGCTTTAAAACCGTGACGAACAAGCCAGATGCAGAATAAGTGCACCAGAACACAGCCAAGCCACTTGCAATATATCCAAACATGGAGTCCAAAGAGACAACCAAGCCCAATGCACATATGAATACCAATGGTAATAAGCAGTAGCCAAGAATTGACGCCGACCGTGTCACATCGATCTGCACGTCATTGCTCATGAGCTTGAATAGGTAATGCAAGCTGACAATCCCAAACAAACCCACACCGTACACATAGCCAAACTGAACCTTACCTGATAATAGTAGCAACGTCCCGAAAAGGAGCACAAATAGAATCGGGCCTGCCAAGTCGGAGTCTGCCATGATATCGGGACTGATGTCTCTATTGACAGGGTTCAACACCGCCAATGTTTTCACCTTCATGTGCTGAAAATTTATACCAAGCTCCTCTAAGAGAGGTGGTTCTCCCGAGTAACCAGATGTGCCGAAAGCAGATAAAAGACCTGGGGTCAAGTCCATGCCTCCCATGTCACCACTCACGTCGAAATTGGAAGCAAAGCCTGAATTCATTGTTCCCATATTTGCTGAGTCCATCGCTGGCTGCTGGTATGTATTACCATAGCTTGACTGGTAGAACTGCAAGTTAGGGTCTTGCTGATAGTATGCCATTGTTGGTTGCTAGCTTTGTATCGGATTTCCAGGAGTGGTGTCCACTCGCCATGAAGCACCTGTCGCGTGGCGCACGTGACGCGTTCTTCTGTCCCGCTCAGTTTCAATTTTTTGGGACAGAAAAGAAAAAAAACAGTGATTCAACTCCTTGGAGATCGCCTAAGAGTTTCTGAGTACAAATTAACGTATTTAATTCCACAAAAAAAACACACACTGAAGCATTTGATACAAGAAAACCTAAAAATATAATTGTGTTAAATTCACATCTTTCACAACAGGTTACAGTGGCCGAGTGGTTAAGGCGACACCCTGCTATTCAGCGGTCCAGGTGTTGGGCATTGCCTGCGCAGGTTCGAATCCTGTCTGTGACGTTACATTTTTGCCCACTGTTATGAATGCCTTTTTTACTCAGTTCCTTTTTAGCTTGGTGCGCCAAGCTTGGAAGCTAAGCTCAATCCATTGGTGTCACGTTCATGCTGAACGTTTTCAAACAATTGACTATTTCTAATGCCAACTAGGTCCATGTCTTATCGCCCGGGCTTGAAAAAATGCGAGGCTCAAAATCCGCATGCGGTCAGGCTGCGCTCGACAGGCAAATATCTAGCGTGTACTCAACACTATCTTCATCCACTATAAATATATCCACAGATCTGATACTTAATGTCACAATCTTTAATTGTATTCGAGCCCTCGGGCCGTGTCTTGTACCAACAAAACAATAAGATCTCCCCCTTCAACGACTTGATCTACAGTATAGTTGATGAGTCCTACACTGAGCTAGAACGCAATTTCTACACCGTAAACGGCGGGTCCAGCCACAAGAGATTCTACTGCTTGAAAGTGAAGGAAACATGGGCGGCTATATACTTTGACATGGTGTTCACCTTTGACAGTGAAAAGATCCGACACTCACTTCTGGATGTGCTCCGCACATATTCACAGTTACACGAGGAAGACCTGGAAAAAATGGCGAAATTGATCGATTTTCAGTTCAACAATCTTGTGAAACTCAAAGTCAACTTTCTGGTTCCCGAGAATGAGCCTAATGGTAAGCTTTCCCCTGTCGCTGCAGAAGCGGACACCGTGGCGGAAGCCTTCTCCAAAAAAAAGACACCTGGTGCGAAAGGTAAGAAAATGCGGCGATGGGTCAATGGAGAGTTGGTTGATGTCACGGCAGATGACAAGATCTTAGACTACTCAGAATCCAGGCCATCTGAAGACGATGCTGGGTTTGTTCGTGATGATTTGAAAATAGACCACGAGACTGCCTTCACTCGGGAGAACGATTTAGTCTTGATCAATGAGCTCCATGATGTCTTGGGCAGAGAGGAAGATGAAGACAGTGGCGAGGAGACGACTATGACCACGTCATCGAAACAAGGTTTCTTGTCGAAAATCACGTCCTATTTCGGTTCTTCGGCTGACATCAAAGAGGTCTCCAAAAAGTTTACTGATCAGTTGATTTCCAAGAACATTGCACCCCCCACGGCAAAGGCCATTATTGATCGTATTGAAAGCAAAATTGCATCGAAGACAGTCACCATACCAGTCTTCAAGCAGGTCTTGACCGACGAACTCACAAAGATATTAACACCTAATGTGTCAACAGACTTGCTTTACGACATAAAAAAGAACAAACGTGACAGACCATATGTTATTTCAGTCGTTGGCGTGAATGGAGTGGGCAAGTCAACGAACTTGGCTAAGCTTGCATTCTGGTTTCTCCAAAATAACATGAACGTGCTCATCTGCGCCTGTGATACCTTCAGATCTGGTGCCGTGGAGCAGTTAAAAGTACACGTAAACAACTTGCAACGACTTAATTCAGGCTCATCCAGCGATTCTCGTATTGAATTGTTCGAGAAGGGCTATGGTGGAGGAGATCATGTCGTCACAACAGCAAAACTGGCGATTGCATATGCCTCTTCTTCCAAGTTCGACATTGTGTTGATTGACACTGCTGGAAGAACTCATTCGAACGCGAAACTAATGGCCCCATTGAAAAAGTTTGGTGATGCGGCTGACCCTGATAGGATTATCATGGTCGGGGAGGCTCTTGTGGGCACCGACTCAGTGGAACAAGCTACCAATTTCAACAACGCGTTTGGCAACAGAAGAAGCCTTGATTTTTTTATCATTTCAAAAGTGGATACCGTGGGCGACTTGGTGGGCGCCATGATAAATATGGTCATGGCCACCAGAGTACCTATCTTATTTGTGGGAACCGGCCAGACTTACACAGATATCAAAAAATTGAGTGTAAAGAGAGTTGTTGACATGCTTACTGCGTAATCTAGATTTAGGAAGGGGAGACTATAATGAAAGAAAACCTGTTTTTTGGCCTCTTAATCATTCAAAGATTCGGTATATGTGAGTGCCCAAGACTGGATACTTCTCAAACTCATTCTGGAACTTGCTGAAATAGCTTAAAGGGACAATTATGGTATGGCTTGCTGGCTAGTTTTTAGCTGTGTGACGAATTTTGTAGCTTAGCTTCAAAATATGGCAATTTCTATGCGACTGGGGTGATTGGCATTACTGTGAGGCCGCACTGAAGATTTCGCAGCAACAGATCAATAAGCTCCATGAGCGCAGACTATATGATTCAGTTGCAATGAATCACGAATTCTTCTTTTGAAGGTTTTGCGGAGATGAAGGCATCATAGAACCGTATCCCACATAATTTGTTTATCGGCATAGTCTGATTGTTTCAAAATACCAAATCTGTCCTCCACTATGTGTCAAACCTGGGATCACTCGGTACGCTCATACATGCACACCGCACAGCCTGTATACATGGGGTGGTGCGACGATTGCGGCCACACTCTACTTCAACATTAATTGACAAAAGTACGGAACACCTGTAAGCATAATTCTGATTTATTTTGCAACTCTTGAATCCTCAAAACTCTCTTTCTAAAAGCCTATAGTTGATGAAAGCGCAACACCGGCTATGAAGTTCAGAAGTAAAGGCGCTCCTCTTTTTCTCCATGTTAACGCATATAGAGCCGCAGATCTCTTTCTTCCAGGAGCTAGGGACCGACAGAAGAAAGTAAATGCTAACCTTATTGTTCAGCTCAACTCTTACAAAAAGCGCTGCAAACGGAAACTCCACACCAGCCATCCAAGCTGGGACGAGACATTCCGTATTCCGTTGAAAAATGGCGATTACTCAGATTTGCTTGTGCTTGCCGTTTGGAATCGGGCTGGGGGCACTAAAACCTACCTAGGGGAGGTCAGAATACGTGTACGAGACTTATTTCTGGGCGAAGATCTGTCACTGGCCTCTACCCCAACATGGTATAAGTTGTACCTGTCCCTGGCCAGAAGTGGCTATGTGACTGGGTCTATACTCTTGCTGTTCAAACTTTCATTGGGGAAGGAAAAACACGGGGAGAAGCCCAGCATAAAAAATTCAAAATATGGTGGTACTGTTAAAGACCCGGAGCAAAGTCATTCTTTAAACCCTCAGACCAACGACCCTACAGTCGCAGACCTCAAGATGGAGAATCTACTGACGACTGACAGTGACTTGTATACAACATTGAGATCGTGGAAGGACTCGTTGATATGTCCTGATGCAGACTTGCCCGTTAATGTGGATGATCAAGGATTTTATTCCGATTTACCAACAAGCTACCAGTTTAGTGGTGCGTCTGAAGTCTCAGATATAGATTCTATCGCTGATTCACGCATAAATATATCTGGAAACACACGCATTCCTAACGTACCTGATGCAGTTTCTTCATTGCCCAATCAATTCTTCAAACCGTCAAACCTTGATCATCAATCTCCACAGTATTTACCCATTATTGATACACAGAATGAGTCTATAAACAGTGGATCTTCGGGGTCGGACATACTGTCAATAGCCTCTTCATCAGGCAATATGAGTGATGGCGCTTTGTATAATGGTAACTTTACAGCTTCCGAATCGAAAGAGCATAGATCGAAAATTCTCAAGCGCAAAAAAAAGAAGGAACAATCGAAATATGAGCTTCGCAACAGAAAGGTCCAGGGTGTTTTGTTTCTTGAAATTGCTTCCTGCTCAAATCTTCCACCTATTAAAAGCTTTACACGTGCCACTTTCGACATGGATCCCTTTGTTGTTGTCACGTTCGGCAAAAAAACATTCCGCACAAGCTGGAAAAGACACAAATTGAACCCGATTTACAACGAACGACTTGCTTTCGAAGTCTTAGACAATGAGTTGAACTATAATGTTCAGTTTTCTGTCTTGGACAAAGATCATTTCTCATTTCACGATCAAATTGCTGATGTTTCGCTTCCCATGCGTGAGCTCATTGAAATTGCTAAAGAACCACATTCAGATGAATCGCTTCCAGAGGAAGAGCTGAGTCATCTTGTACAAGAAAGCGCGAGTGCTTTCCATGAGGTGGGCCTAGGGAAAAACAAATATGAGCTGCCGTCAGTATCAGACTTATCATCGCCTAACCCAGCCATAGAACTTGCTGAAGATGGTGACCTTGTCAAGACAAGAAAGAAGAAATTTCTTAGAAGAAAAAGAACTACTGTGCTGTACGTGGATACGTCTTTGTTTAAGACTTTGAATCTTCTGCTAGACTTGAAAAACAAAAAGATGGCCGACAAATACAACTCGACTCTAAAAATACGTGCAAGATACCTCACGTATGAAAATTTGAGGAGAGACTTTTGGAGAGTTCTTCTAGAGCAGTACAACATGGATGATAACTCTGACTCGTTGGATTATATCGAATTGATTTCCTTTTTGGATACTTTGGGGTGCACAGACAGTGATCAAATCGTGAGTGACTTCTATCAGAAGATGTGTAGATCATCTTGGGGCGGTGACAAGCTCACTCATGACGAGATAGTCGACAATTTGGAAAAATACGTCCTTGAAGAAAACGATGATCCGGAAAGAAAGATTTTTGAGATCGAAAGATGTCCGATATGCATGCACAAGAGGTTGAGTCGAAAGGATGATCTTGACATAATTACCCACGTCGCGATTTGCGCTTCGAAAGATTGGAGTATCGTTAACAAACTTCTTGTTTCCTCTTTTGTAACTCCACAAATTGCTTCAAAAAGATGGTTTTCCAAGGTTTTGATCAAATTGACTTACGGAAAGTACAAATTAGGAAGTAACTCTGCTAACATTTTGGTGCAAGATCGTTCTACCGGGCTAGTGATGGAAGAAAAAATGAGCGTGACTGTGAGATTGGGGATCCGACTTCTTTACAAAGGCTTGGATAAGGCCAAAAGCAAAAGAATTCGATCGCTTTTGGAAAGATTGAGTGTGAAGCAAGGTATTAAATTTGACCATCCATCCCTGACAAAGGATATACAAGCTTTCATTCTGTTCCACAAATTGGACTTAAGTGACTGTCTTATATCAGACCCAAAGCAATTCCCAACTTTCAACGAATTTTTCTACCGCAAGCTTAAAGACGGAGCTAGACCAATTGAGGCCCCAGATAATGAAAACATCGCCGTTTCCCCAGCTGATTGCCGGTGTACAACTTTTGTCACGGTAGATGAGGCCACAAAGCTTTGGATTAAAGGAAGAAATTTCACATTGGCCAAGCTTTTCAACGGAAACTTTGCCAATTTGGAAAAATCAGATTTGTACAAATCTGATAAATGTTGCGTCGGTATATTTAGATTGGCCCCTCAAGACTACCATCGCTTCCATTCTCCAATAAGCGGTGTGATTGGCCCCATCAAATACATCGAAGGTGAGTACTATACAGTCAATCCCATGGCCATAAGGTCGGGTTTAGATGTATACGGGGAAAATGTTCGTGTGATTGTTCCTATTCGTTCCCCGAATTTTGGCACTGTGATTTTGATAGGAGTCGGAGCAATGATGGTTGGTTCGACAGTGATCACTGTCCAGGAAGGCCAAGAAGTGAAAAGAGGGGACGAAATTGGATACTTCAAATTTGGAGGGTCTACAGTATTACTCTTGTTTGAAAAAGAAAAGTTTGATTTCGACACTGACCTCGTCAATAACTCAAAACAGTGCGTTGAAACGTTAGTGAGAGTTGGTCAGAGTATAGGCCACACACCCGAAGTCAAGGAGGTCAAAAGAGAGCACATTGATTTCAGCAAACAACCTCAAGACTTTAAAGTTAATCTTATTCGGGCAATTACAGGTGGAGATGTGGATAACAAAGTTAAGCTTGAGACCTGGGAGAGCAAGCAAATTGAAATAAGTTCAGAGGATGTCGATCTCCTAGCAAAAGAAGACGAGGAGAACTTCGCAGATTTGGATGAAGATTCTGAACTCGAAGAATAAGATAACGCTAGAGCGCCAATATTTTGTTAGATGTTTCTTAGACTGAGACTGCTTTTCATTTAACACCATATGTAGACTAGAATCATAGAACGTAATTTCTAAAAATTCTCACTGTGTAAGAGTTCTAGGGTACGATTAAAATGAGAAATTTCTTTGATGCGATGTATATTTGAGACAAGATTGGTATTTGTCTAAACTTGTTGCTTTCCACCATACAAGGATTTCCACTCGTCAATCTTCTTCTCGTCAATTCTTTTGAACAAATATTGAGCTTGTCCAATGTTGTGACCCGATTCCAATACTAGTTCGAATCTGTCTGTAATTGACAAAGCAGGTGCGTTCAAGATTTCGCAAATTTGATCTCTGGTGGCAGGCATGAATGGTGAAATTACAGAAGAGACCAAGTAGATCAAGTTCAAGCCCACACCAACAACACCATCGGAAACATCAGGAGAGTTCAAGAATAGAGAGTTGTCCAACTTGTTATCCTGCAAGAAAGCATTTCCACGAGAGGAAATGGCCATGGCAATCTCTAAACCACGTCTGATGTTGACTGCTTCCATGTTTTCAATGTACGATGCCAACAATTCATTGACGTCCTTTTGAAACTCGTCATACTTTGGAACATTCTTAGTCTCAAACTTAGGAATGACACCATTGTACTTGGCATTTACAAACTTGACTAGTCTGTTGACCAAGTTACCCAAATTGGCCAAAAGCTCTGAGTTGTTTTTCGTAACAAACTCCTTCCACGAGAAATGCGAGTCGGAGGTCTCAGGCCTGACCGAGGCCAAGTAATACCTCCACACAGATGGGGAGATTCCAGTGTCTTTGGCATTGTTTCCAAAGACGCCCACGCCTCTAGACTTGGAAAACTTGCCATCTTCGTATTGTAAATATTCCGTAGTATTCAAGTGATGCAACTTTGTCCACTTGTCCTTCGTACCAATTAAAGAAGCGGGAAAAACGACAGTATGGAAAGGAACATTATCCTTACCCATGAACTGATACAAGTCAACGTTTTCTGGATTCTTCCACCATTTCTTCCAGCTGTCAGTGTCGTTTTTAGTCTTGAAAAGATTAGCCGTGATGGAGACATACCCAATTGTGGCGTCAAACCAAACGTACAAAACCTTGTCCTTGAATTTTTCCAAAGGAACAGGCGTGCCCCAAGACAAGTCTCTTGTAATACCTCTTGGCTCCAAACCCTGTTTCAACCATGAATTCGTAATGGTCTTTGAATTCTTGGACCAAGCACCTTTCTCCGCAGCCTCTTCGACCCACTTCTTCAAATCAGGTTCCAACTCATTCAACTTGAGGTATACGTGCGTGGAATTCTTAGGTACTGGCTTGGAGTTGTCGAGCTTACAACGAGGATTGATCAACTCCAATGGGTTCAACAAGTTGCCGCATTTGTCACATTGATCACCTCTGGCATCCTCGTAAGCACACTTGGGGCAGGTCCCTTCAACAAATCTGTCAGCCAAAAAGGCGTTGTGTACTTCACAGTACAATTGCTCGGTAGTCTGTTCCTCCAAGAAGTTGTTCTCGTGCAATTTCATGAAAATGTCTTGAGCAATCTCAGTCTGCAAAGGTGTAGTGGTTCTGCCGAAGTAGTCGAATCCAATGTCGAACCAGTCGTATACTTCTTTGTGGACCTTATGGTATTTGTCACACAATTGCTGTGGCGTCACTTTCTCCTCCAAAGCTTTGGTCTCAGTTGCAGTTCCGTACTCATCAGTTCCACAGATATACAAAGCATTATAGTTCCTGTTCTTGGCGTACCTCGCATAGATGTCTGCGGACAACACGGAGCCAACAATATTACCCAAGTGAGGGACGTTGTTCACATAGGGCAAAGCTGAGGTGATCAAAATGTTTCTCTCGTTATCCTTTGGGATGATGCTGTCGTCAGCCTTCTTCACGGTGAAACCCGGTTTCACGTGAATCTCCCCATTTCCTTTGGGCATGACTCTTTCAATGATGGTGACGGTGGTGGCCGTTTTCAAGGCTTTCTCAACCTCAGGCAAAGCCAGGAAGTCACTAGCCCAGCCACTCAAATGGGCCAAGTCCTTAATATTAGGGAAGGCAGCTGAAAAGAGCACAATATTAGAGGCAGAGAGTTTGGTGTTTTCTGGGCAGCCGATCTTGTTCAATGCCTCTACAACGTCGTCATTCTTACCAGCTTTGTAGGCAGTGTACACAGATCCTTCTTCAAGGTCAAAAACAGGACTGTTGACAAAGTCCTTGGCCAAATACTTGACAATAGCATTGGCTTCCACGAGCTCAAGACCAGTGGTCTTGTCTGCGAAACGAAGAGACGAGTCTTCAGATAGGGCAACTTCGGCCTTTGGCACAAAAGCAGCAGCAGCAATAGAAACCTTTAGATTGTTAACTAGAGCCAAGGTGTTTTTTCTTCTGTCGGCAGTGATTGCAATGGACATTTTCGGCGGCTGTAGCTGTTGGATGGAGTATTTCCTGGTGCATCTAGCCGGTGCAAGATCTAGTTAGTCAGACCCGTACACCAGCGTTTCGGACTGTATACAAGACGAAGATGATCTGGGGCCTGGTGGTTCTTCTTCTAAATAGATGTGTTAGTGGGGACATGTGGAGATATTGCATATGGTTTCTGCTAGACACCGGTAGGAGTGCCGAGCAACAAAGCGCAAAGATGGTATTGTTGTTGGCTCATGGGGTAGTCTGAATGCAGGAGCGGGTCTCACGAATTTCAGTATGGCTAGTACGGCAAGGAAACTTCACCCACAGACGGATTCAATGATTCGGCCCTCTCTACGAAGACTCAATGAGTTTGCTCTGGATAATTTCAATTGCTTGGTTTCTAGAAGAAGATTCCGGAGAAGTTTGCCTCTGAGCGGGCCTCTAGGAAACACAACATTTGCAGCTAAAGATAACATTTCAACGACGCAAGAGCCTACAACTTGCGGGTCGAAGATTCTTGAGACTTACGTCAGTCCATTCCAGGCGACTGTAATCACACAGCTAGAAAAAGCTGGACTGGTTCTCGTGGGGAAAGCAAATATGGATGAGTTTGGAATGGGGTCGTCGACAACCCATTCCAGTCATGGGCCCACCATCAATCCCAGGTTCACCGAGAATCGTATATGTGGGGGCTCTTCCGGAGGCTCTGCTGCAGCGGTTGCTGGGAGAATAGCAGATTTTGCCCTCGGAACTGACACCGGTGGCTCTGTACGTCAGCCAGCCAGCTATTGTGGAATTGTGGGATTCAAGCCTTCGTATGGCAGGATATCCAGATACGGTGTCGTGGCATATGGCCAGGGCCTCGACTGTGTAGGCATTCTAAGCAATAATGTGAAAACTGCAAGCAAAGTGTACTCTGTGCTAGACGAGTACGACGAGAAAGACATCACATCAATGCCGGTATCAACGCGAGAAGCGGTATTCAAGAATCACAACGAAAACGACATGTCCCGCAAACTCAAGATTGGAATTCCGCAAGAGTTCATTTTGGACGAACTCCATCCGGAAACCCGGGCGATGCTTGGCTCAGTGTTGGAGGATTTGATGGATGCGGGCCATGCTGTTTACCCCGTGTCCATTCCATCTATTGGGAAGCTGTTGTCAGCATACTACACGCTTGCCACTGTAGAAGCAGCATCTAATTTATCACGTTTCGACGGTTTGAGATATGGCTCCGGAGCTCGTGACAACGACAAGCGAGCAGACGGTGATACAAACGGCCAGAGCCTCATTGCTCGACAAAGAACAAAATACTTGGGCCCCGAAGTGCAGCGCAGAATTATTTTAGGTAACTACACCTTGTCTTCTGAAGCAGGGGACAACTACCTCCGCGCCACACAACATAGAAGCAAAATAGTCGAGGAGCTCAATCAAATTTTCGAGCTCCCAAATTTACTTTGGGGGCCGTCGGCTGTCAGCCGTGGTACATGTGATGTACTCATCGGCCCCACAGCATTTGGCAAGGCGCCTACCTTCGCGGAGTATGAGCTGCAAAGAAGAGACACCTTCTTGAACGAATACCTCAATGACGTTTTCACTGTGCCGGCGTCCATGGCAGGACTCCCCGCCATCTCTGTACCTTATGGCAAAGGGGACTGTGGCGTGCAAGTGATGGGTCAGTATGGGGATGACGAGACCGTATTGCGAGCTGCAGAGCTCATCGAAAGATTGTAGAGCTCCAAATATTTAGGGGGTTTATCTTACAGGTTGTCATTAATAATATGTGTTCCAATATACCATGCCTTGAGCGAGAATTGAATTGAAGTATGAGGTGAATCATGAAATCGTGAAGGAGGTTGAAGCTCCAATAAGAGCAGACGCGGCTGATCACATAAGGAAGCGGGTGAAGTAAACTAGTTTCTTCCCAAAAGAGTGAGGAATTCATCCCTGGTTTTCTGCTGCACACGGAAACAGCCAAGCATGCAGCTGGTCGTTGTCAGAGAGCCTGTTTTTTGCACACCTCTACTCACCATGCACATGTGTGTGGCTTCGATAACCACAGCGACTCCGCGTGGTTTTAAAATCTCGGAGAGTGCCATGGCAATTTGCTTTGTCAATCTTTCTTGCACCTGGAACCGACGCAGGTACATTTCCGCCAACCTGGCGAGCTTCGAGAGCCCAACGACACGCTTGTTGGGAATGTACGCAATGTGCGCTTTGCCGAAAAAGGGAACCAAATGGTGCTCGCACAAGGAGTAGATCTCGATGTCACGCACAATGACCATTTCGTCGTGGTCCTCTTCGAAAACAGCCCTTTTGATTACATCACGGATGTTGTCCTCGTATCCTTTGGTGAAGTATAGCATTGCGCGGGCGTATCTTTCAGGCGTCTCCAAGATACCCTCTCTGTCGACATCCTCTCCCAATTCCGTGAGAATTGTTTTCACTGCATTGGCAATACGGGTTTCCCGTTGTTTGGCTTCCTCTGGTGTTTGTTCAATCCGTTGCCTGGCACCCTTAGAAGGCCACGATAATCCATCATTGTCAATTGGCGGGTTCAAAGTTAAGGGGGATGCAGCTCTAGTTTGAAGAGGGGTGCCAAATTCTCTGGCCACAACCTCTTCTGCTGGTGATCTTTTCGCCTTTTTCGTGGCTGGCTGCACAAGCTCTTTGGGCGTGGGATCAGCAATTTGTTCTGCTTGGGGGTCTATAGTGCCATCCGACATCGAAAGTGTTGCAGATCTGTTAATATATTCAGGGTCAGATTGGAACAAGACAGTTGAAAAAATTATTTGGCAGAGTGCACAGGGTTCCCACCTCCGACCGAGTCACATTGCGGGCTCCGGATGATTTGCGATGCCGACGAAAATAGGTATGTCATATAAAGTGAGATCTCTCGACACAGAATCTTGATGAATCATTACGAGTCGTGCTTTGTTTAATGTATTCACTGACTCGTCTAATCAGTGCTTATGAACAAAATAGGGTATAATTATCGGGTTGTATTTCGATTGTGCATTAATTGTTTAATATAAGCCTCGCACTTTTCACAAGACCATCCTTAGTCATGGAGAATCAAACGTATGGTAACCTGGCCATATTCATCGTATACTGCTTTTCAAAACGGGAAATAATTGATCCGACCGGTTTATCCATGCTCAATATCAGGGTTTTAGACAACCCAGCTATTGGAATCAATCCAAGACTACCTTCAATAATAATGATTTATTACCTATCCAATCATGTTCTCGTTCAAATGAATTCACTGACTACGCGAATGGGTTAAGTGCTTTCACAGTCAAACAGGGCAAGGACATGCCGATCTCCGCTCTCAAAACAATGGGTATTTGTCTCAATTCTTTCACCTCTTGGATGTAGTTGTTGTCTTCCACTCTGGTTATGCATCCTTTCAAGTACGGTCTCAACACATCATCGCTAGTGGTACCGCTCACTTGGCGAGACAACATCGAGAACAGTGGTGCATTGATATCCAAGCTCGCTAATTTCTTTAGCACACTTTCTGATGCAATCGTGTTTCTCTCAGACAAGGTTCCTTTTTGAATTTTGGCAGCTTCCAAAGCAGAAGTTCGGTATTTGTTTTTCACAGACCTCCTGTAGCTCAAGCTCGATTTTTCATCAGGTGGAATGTAAGTAGCAGAATCGACTCCATTCTCCCAATACAATTCAAGAATTCTCTTACTCTTGTCGAACTCGGCTTTGATCAATGGCAATTGATCTCCATGGACCCTCTTTTCGATTCCAAACTCAGGAATTATGACATCGAAAGACGACTCGTAAACCTGAACAACTGTTCCCATGACAAGCAAGTGGCCTGTGTTCTCGCTCATTTCATTGATTGTACGAGACAACAACAAATGTATAGCTTGTTCCTGAGCATTTGACCCACAGTCTTTTTTGAAGTTGCAATAATCAGTTATGGACTTCAAAGACTCAAAATCAGGAAGATTGTCGCGCGGATAATTTGAAATCACCGATTTCAACTGCCTATGAACAACGAGATCTGCAAACCGCCTTAATGGAGCAGTGAAATGCGTGTAAAGAGGCATGTTTAAGTAAAAATGTTCATATTGCTCTCTCTCTTGATGCTTTGCAATGAAGTATTTTGGAGTTGGCATACACTTGAACAAGAGCGTTTCCACACATTGCCTTTTAAGAGGATCTTCTAAACGAAGAATCGATTTTTGCAAAGACACAGATGAAGTGATGTCTATGTCAGCACCCAAATTACCTGCTTTTCTGACAAAAGCTTCCAACTTTTGTAATGTGGGCAATGCATGACGTCGCAAGAGAGTTGATTCACCTAGTTCATTGTAAATGGTGGAGGCAATTTTGTTGTTCACCTTGTAACCTATCTCTGAGATGACCAGAAGAGCATTGCTGGGTTCAAAAATATTCATATGCAATCTTACCTTCTCATCGTCTAGTTGATCTAACAAGCTCAAACTTGGAGACACGCCAATTGACTTGTCCTGCAATCTTTTACGACGAAACTCTTTGGCAATCAATGCAAATGTCTTAATATAGTCAGAGGTTGCCGAAGAGATGCCATCCACCGGTTGATTCAGTAGGACCGAATCGGCTGCATCATAAGTGACTAAAGATTTGGGAAGGATCACAGATTCGTGAATACTGACCAGCGCTACCTCGAAGTTTGCGGCATAAATCTCAAACACAACTGACACAGCAAGATTTTTTTCGTTCTCCTTGAAGGAAATAGCTTTGTTCAACTGCAGTGGATACAAATGTGAGACCTTCTGTGGTAGAAACACAGACAATGAGCGCTTCTTCGCTTTTCTTTCCAACGTGCTACCTGGCTGCACGAAAAAGGAGATGTCCACGCAGTGGAAGCCCAATTCAATCTTTGTCTCGTTTAAACGTTTAACATGCATCGCATGATCCACAAACTGATTGTTTTGTGTGAACGAGATGATGTATTCAGAGATATACTCCATTCTCTTGTTCACTTTAATCTCTTGCTCGACATTCGGGAGAGAGTCGTGAAAGGAAGAGGAATACCCGTCATCTCGGCTATTTTCCGAAGGGTACTCATCCGCCAAAAAATTGTTGTCTCGAAGAATAGAGTCGACTTCAACAGCCGGATCATCGATCCTACCCAATCGTGACACTAAAGTCCCAAATGGATGCAAGGAAGTGATTGGCCATCTTTTGATAGATGCAATGAAAAGTTGATCAGCATAATTTTCATGATTTTCTACGAAATCTCTCGGGGCTTGTTCAGTTGGGATCGCAATCAAGGGTACACGTTTGTCAGTTGGTTTAAACCAGACGATCTTCGGAGCCTTTGGCGTTTGCACAGATGACTCCTTGCCTGATCTTTTATCATTTGCAGCTTGTGCGGCTTGAGCAGGTCTCAACAACCCTAAAGTACCAGCGAAAATTTGTCCCGGTATACGATCAACCACAGCAACGACGTGGCCTGCGTATAAAGGTTTGACATCATCATTGATTTCTTCCTCTTCGACAAGAAGAAGGGATTGTCCCTCCACTTCGACGTCGTCGTTCTTTTTCATAGTGGGTCTTTGCTTTAATGAGCCTCTTCTGCCCAAGCCTTCAGACTCAGACTCGCTCTTCTCAGTTTCGGGGACCATCGCAGAGGTGGCATCATTGTGAATGTCGTCACTGAGGACTGATGCAACGTTTGATTTGGTGGAGATATTGTCCTTTCTTCTCTTTTTCTCCTCCTTCTCCTTTTTCGATTCCCATACTTCATCAACAACAAGAAGCTCGACGGCCACAATATCACCTTCTAACGCTCTGTTGCGATCCTTAGACCCGCAAATGAATATATCGGCATCCAAAAGTCCATCAGTAGACACATAGGCATCGGAGCGGTTTTTTTTGTTTACACGTAATGTTCCCGTCACCAAGCGGCCTTCATTGATGAGATCCGGAAGAGAGGATTGAGGCAAGTACGGAGCAAATAAAGACTTTCGGCCGTTTCCGTTATTGTTACCCTGTGGCATGAAATTCGACATCGAGGACACCGAGGAGTTGCCGCCGCCGAGCGAACTACTTCTGTTTTTGTGACCAGGGACAAATGCAGATGGTGGGCTCAAGTTGTTGTTCGACTGATTTCTTTGGTGTCCAGAAGTGCCACCGATGGGCAGCTGTTGCGACCGCCAATTGGAGACAATGCTGCCAGAATTGTCGAAGTTACGGGAGTTTGATCGGTAATGAGAGCCACGTCGTTGGTGGTTCCGCTCAGGAGACACCTGCCCAAAGGTGGGTGCCGGAGGAAGCAAGTTGTTGGGGGCCTCGACAGGAAACTTGAAGGACTGGTGGCCCGGGGTCCACGCTTTCGCATTCGAAGTTGCGCCGTACGAACCCGATGGTGTGTCGCGGGCATTCATATCAGGAGAATTTGGGAACCTATACCCGCCAACATCACCTGGAACAGCTAGCTGAGGGCTGACTGGAGTCAGTTCGTTTTGCGAGGGGCCGCCTCCGAGCGAAGCCATATTCGATTGTTTTTGCGTTGCTGCGGCTTTCTTGGCCTCCGAGAGCCCCAAAGAGTGTCTTCGAGCGTGTGTCTGGTGCAGGTTGGCCAGCGAGGACGGGAGTTTGTTTTGATTGCTGGAAGATGTGCGCGAGTGGCTCCGGTATGGCTCGAGCGGCTGTGATAGATGCGAAGTCGGTTGTTGCTGTTGTAACAACGCTTTCTGTTGCTGCTGGACCGCCTCCAACTGGCGCTGGAGATTGTATTGCTCCACCATGAGTGTGGTCAATTCACTCGGCGAGCGGCGGTGGGCAATGTGCAAGTTCTTCGGCTTGCGAGACTTTTCCAGGGAAGAGTCCAGAGCAGAGTTGGACATTGCGAGGGATGTTGCTTAGTTTGATGTGGGCGGATTCCGAACACGTGGCAGGAATTTATGCAAAGATGTCACGTTCTTGACAGAATGGTGGTGTCGATAAGGAACAACGGGAGGCTCAGGTTGGGTGGTGCAGCCGTAAGAAAAACCAGTGCTAAGGAACGGGAGGCTTGGATAGGGATTGCGTGTTTAAAAAAATAAGAGGGGAGGGTCAGGTTTTTGAACAATGGAGCAGCGAGCAGAAACAATACGCTGGCAATTGCCGAGGAAACAGGCACGGCTGAGTCTAGATGTACAATCAGGAGTGGCGAATCCCGAGAAAAGAGTCTTGGGTGTGACAGCGGGCAGTTTTTCCACGGCGTCGGTTCCGAAAGTATGGTGCAGAAAGCGGGGAATGGGATTTGGACGTGGCTCAGAAAGCGGCGCTACTTCAGCCGGGTGGAGGGATTCTGAATGGGTGTCACGTTCAGATTCAACAGAGTAGCAGGTGTTCCTGTTGAATATGGAACGGCAATGGGAAAAAAAAGGGGGCCGAAAGCTGTGTGTTTTTTTGTTCCGCTTCTGGTGGAGTGGGCACGAAAAGGGTGAATATCTGGGGGAGGCGGAGAGCAAGCAGGGGTGGGAACCGGGGGGCCGAAAAAAACTGGGAGGGCAAAAAAAGGACACCTGTGTGGACGGGCGCGCCTGGGGCTTTTCTAGTGTTTTTTCGCCCAAGCCTGCTCTCACATCTCGCTTGCCGGGCCAATCTCGCGCATTCGATGGGTGAGCAAGTGCACCAAATCCTGGGCTTGGACTTGCTTCATTTTGCCCAGGCCCAAGTGCCAGAAACAAGTGTTCCGGCACGACATGGAATCTGCCCCGCCGTGTTTTGAGTTTGGGGGACGGAATCTGCCGCAGCCACAAGCGCCGTGTATATCCACAAAAAAGTAGCATTGAGCCGCAGTGCCATAATAAGTGAGAGATTTGGGTTGGCCCCAAAGTGGGGCCGGCAACGGTGCAGTGCGGCTTCTTGATGTGAATACGAGTATGGCCCCCAATGCACATTTCCAGCGCGGTGACTAGAAACGCAGAAAAGGCGCGAGCAGACGAAGGGAAAAAAGAGACGGCGAGAGACGTTCATGTCGCTTGACGCTCTAGCGCTCGACGTGCCAAGATTTCTTAGGATGTCATCCGCAAAACGCCAGATCGTAACCATTCTTTGTTGCGGGAAGCCACTTTCTAACAGGCAGTCGGTGGAGTGCACAGTGGCGGCTCAGCTGCGGGCTAAAGTTTATCTGGCAAGCCTAGGCCACCTCGCGCCCGCTTACGCCTAATAAAAGAAACGGCCCAGGCGTTGCGATTGCGGCAAGCACAATTGAGAGAGAGAGGGTTGTGAAACGCACAGAGATAGCTTATTGTTTCGTGCGGGTTCTACTTTTAGCGCAATGCAGAGGTGTTCTCTTTTGCGTGAGAGAGAATAACTAGTGACGTGTACTGTAATATAGATTCGCGGCTGCGGTGCGCTCAGTTCACTCGACTGAGTGCGGTGGGCTAAACTCCAACTGGCCGTGTGCGGCACCTTGGCGTCGCCGCTTGCAGTTGGCAAGAATGCAACAGGAAAGAACAGGCGAAAATACCCATTGACTTGTAAACTGGGCCGCTTCACGTTCGGCCTCTTGCCCCGCATGTAGTATCTCTTCAATAAGCAAGGAACCCGCCAGCCCAACCGGTCAGTGGAAGCTCACGGTCTTCACCTCGAGCGTCCTAAAATTGACCAAAACCACCTCTCCTGTCTCTCTGAACTCGGAAACACTCACCATTTTGACCGTCTGCTGTCCCAACGCAAGGGTCTCCGAGCCACTCGCCACCTGGTTGCCCACCACATACAAATGAGGGGTCTCCTCCAAGGTGAACGGATCCCGGTCCTCGAAGGGGTAGCAGTATAGAGTGTCCGGGGCCGTAGGCACAACATTCTGCCACCGCATAGTATTTCCCATGGCATTGAGCACTTCCGTTGGCCCAGAAAAGCCTCCCGCATGGTACTTGCTTATGTCATCGATGTTCTGCCCGGATGTAAGGAGCACACGGAGCCCGTCTTTGCTTTGCATCCACGTGGGATTGGTGAGTGTGGTCAATGTACTTGAGTCCACGAAAGAAGAGTTCTTGCCAAAGAGCGCCCGATGCATTGGCTGCTGGGGCAAGCATACTTCACAGGGGTCCGTTTCGCCCGAGAGAATCGTGACGGGCAACGACGCAAGCACTTCAGAGAGCCAGTCGTTGAACACGACCAAGGACTCGGGCAGAAACCTGCTGGTATTCTTGGAGCCGAAATTGTTCGTGCTCAGGAAATCGGTATTCGCCTCGGGCTCCGATCGTGCAATGCTGTTTCCCACAATGACCAACCTGCAGATTCTTCGAGCCATCTCAGCTTCCGCTTGGCTGCCGAGCTCGCCATTGAGGTATTGCAGAAGTAGCGCCATCTTCAATTGCATGTTCGTCTCGGCATCGACATGCAACCCAGAAACAAAAGCCACCCACTCATCAGCGTCCGCGCAATCGTCCGTTCTGTCCTCTTGGGGGGCTGGTGTTGGATAGGCGATCTCCATTATTTCAAAAATGCCCGCCTGGATCTCAATGCCTAGAACGCCCACAACACAGCCCGTGACCAAGCCAGAACTTTTCAAAAGCTCGGGGTTATGTAGGATGGCACGCCCACTTTCGTCCTCGATCATGAAAACCGCATCGCTGTCGTTGTCCACGTACTTGTTGGGCATCTGCGGAAGCGTGTCGTCTGTTCCCTTCTCCACGTCGATCAAAATGTTGAGCTTGTGCTTCAAGTCGGCGAAAATCGTGCCAGAAACCCAGCACAACTCCCCAGACACGATATCCAAAATCTTGTCTTTGTGCTGGATATACTTGCCGTTGACTTCTCGTGTGTTGTGGCCCCATATACGGTTTGCCTCGCAGTCCACACGCGGCTTTAGCAGCTGGAGCCTCTGCTCATACATGGCGAAAAACTGGCGGGCATACTTCCTGTCACTGCCCAACTGATAGAGTGATTTGTTCTTGAAGTCGGCTGGAAAATCAGCCTCCACCCGTTTATATCTACTGTGACTGAGTCCTTGGTTGAGTTTCTCCATTCTGCACGTTTTGGGGATGTCGCTGTTACTGGAAGATTTTCAGCTCCAACGCGTAGTTAGCTCGGGCGCGATACGCGGTGCCAATGGAGATTAGCATAAGCGATGGCAGAGCCACCCTAAACGCGCGCCAGGCCCCACTGAATTCCCTAGGCCTGAACCTTCGGGCCTAAATGGCCCTGCAGGCCCTGTGCATTCCCCACTGCGCCCTCTCAACAACCTCACCGTAAATGGCCCTTACATCTAGGTCAAACGACACATATGTGCCAAATTGTCGTGGCTTGAACGCGTCACCATGACTGTCACCATTCTCGATCCCGCAAAACTCTCGCTTTTCTATCCGAAGGCGTCCGACGTCACTCCACAAAAAATACGCGTGATTTCTCAGGCAGTGGACTACGATATCTCCTCGGCACTACTCGCCGTTCAAAGGCTTCCCAATCTAGGGCCTCTTCACGAGGAAATCAATCTCGATGGTCTTGATGCCGAGAACACAGAGCCGCAATTGGCTCATGTTGATTTGTCGAAAACTAATCACGCTTCGTCATCTCTGTATATTCCGCCTGGAACTATTGTAAGTGTTGTGGGGTTCTACAACGGAAGCATCATTACGGCCGTCGAATGCATTCCTTTGTCTGAGCAGGTCCTCCTAGGAAAATACATCGACACATTGGCCGCTGTTGGAACGCTAAAACAATTGTGATATCCTCACAAGCATTCATCACAGTCCAACTGAACGTGCCATGTATAATCCACACATGGCTATTCCGTATATCTCTTTTCGAATTAATTCAGCTTTGGCTCGGTGAAAAATTGATCCCAAATAAACTCTGTGGGCAACTGAATCAAATCATATGCTTTCCGTCCGTCTTTCACGATTGGGAAAAGGTCCGAGGAAGCATTCTCCATATCTAAAGCATACTCAGACAATGAGTCTTCGGCTGTGTCCTGCAAGGACGTGGCTGGCGACTGGTCAGCGGCTTCTGCTAGAAAGATGTCAAAATTGCTGTCATGGAGGCCAATATCTCTGTTCTGTATTAGCACAGTTGGATTTTCAGCTGTGTCGTCTGAGGTATTATGCGATACCCAGTTAAAGGCAAATTCACTATCAGCGTTAGGAACAAAGGAATTCGCATCTTCTTTTGGGTTTATGAGGTTGGACACTCGAAGCTGATCAACGAATTCACTCTTGACTTCATCTTTTGGTTCTGATGAGTTTTGTGGGTTCGGAACGTGAGGTATGCGGGAATCGTCTTTCTTGAGGGTTGACCCGCCAACAACTTCCTTGTAGCGTATTTTTAAGATTGCTGCAGTGAGTATACGGAACATTTGCAAGCAGTCTCTGGCCGCATCGCAAGACGCAATCAACAGCGAGAGCACAATTATACAGTCTTCCGAGACTTTCATCACAATCTCTTTAGGAAACAATTCTCTTGCTTCATCCGAATGATATAGTGCATATAAAAACGAGGTTCCTGCCATGGACAAGTTATGCACAGCAGCCCAAGTGTAGTTAATTGCTTTTTTGTTGTATAGCTGGGAATAGCAAGACATGAGGTTCTTCGAGGTTTGTGCTACCTTTATCAACGCTTCTTGGCTCAATTTGAAGTTTCTGGGCGAGAGTCCATTGAGCAGTAGCAATGTGTGGTTGTAATTGAGACTGAAAAACTCAATGTGAAATTCAGTTCCGGTGCAGTTCTGTAAATTACATGCATCCTGCCACCACTCATCAAGCTGTGCCTGAACGTAATATTTCCAGTCATCCAAATTCGCAAACCTCCGTGGAATCTCCTCGCCTTCGTACAACACCCTTTGAACTTCCAGCTGGATTTTCCGAATTCGGAAGAAAGATATGGATATGCTTTTATAGCTAGGCATGCCACCAAATTCTTTAGAATAGTCCTTCACCCCTGGGCTATTCTCGAGTATATAAGCATCATCGAGCTCAGACGGAAACATGGCTTTGATTGAGCCTTCTGGTATACCAACCGGTCTTCCCATGTAAAAGCAGATCTGTCTATCAAGAGAGTATGTGCACCAGAAAAGCCGCCTACGCCTATCCTTTGTGAAAGCATCGAGCCCAACACTTTTGTCGATAGCGTTGTTGTGTAATCCTAACTCCACGCAAATCCTCAAGCACTTCCCAAGAATGTGCCAGATCCCGGGCTTGCAAGGACGCATGAGGGAATACAATGATAAGATTAAGTTTGCCTGTAGCTGCTCGAGCGGATCACTCGTACAATAGGCAGACTTCAGAAATCCAAGGGCGGCCGTTCGAAATTGCTCACTTATGGAATTCATGTACTGCAAATGATTCACGGAAGACGCTATGGCAAAGATTAGATTAAGATAGAAAAGAGGACGGTGATACTGCTCGGGAACATCCTCGGGGTAGGGTTGCAAGATTGTGCGTGATGTACTCTTATGTTTGTCAGATAGATTATTTGATATCATCTGTTTGAACTTGTAGATCCAAGTGTCTTCCGGTGCAATAGTCGAGCTGCGCTTGATTTTTGAAAAAGGTTCAGTTGTGGGCGAGATGCTGTCGTCCCAAGAGCCGTATATAGGCTCAAAAAAATCATTGAGGAACATTTCACGATGCAAGATGGGAAGTTGACTGTTGCTATGGGCAAAGTAAGTGCTAACAAAGATCTGGGCTATGTTTTTGGCAGGCAAAACAGCAGGTATCTGATCGACCGGTGGTAAGTTCTTCAGCTGATCGATTTGAATATTCAGTGTCTCCTTCTTCATTTTGACAGCTGCAGTTATTAGTTTGGCGAATGTAATTCCCAGCGAGGCTCCCATGTATGTAGGGCTTTCCGCTGCATGCGCATTGCCAGCCAACGGTTCTCTTTTGGAGTCTTCTGTTGACTGTACTATATTTGATGAAATACTCGAAGATTGCGATAATCCTATCGGCAGTTGTATTGTAGGGTTTGCATTGGTTTCGATTCCATGGGCAGTGAGAATGTTTTCGAGTGAGGAAATCCTTTGCTCCAAGTAATAAACATACGAGCGGGGGATTGCTTTTCCAGTAGCCCGGTCAATACCAACGCATTCGCTACCTGCTTTTTGACACCGGAGACAAGTTGGGAAATTTTGGTCGCATTTCACCTTTTTGGTTCGGCATCGTCGGCAGGCATCTAAAGAGCGGACTACATTCGCTGAGCCCGGCTCGAAATCGAGCTTCTGTCGTTTGTTTCCAAAGTCTTTTTCCACCATGATTTTAAATATCACGAGTATGATTTTGAGCAGTGTTCCTCCAGGCTGGGATTAGTAAAGCCAGGCGATCTCATTCGATACTTTTACTCGTTTGTTCAGATGGGGGTATATCGATGTCCGATAAGCCCTGCAGGTACGCGGACCCAATTCGCGCATCAATTGACCGTGTCTCCCGCGATGGTAAATGCGACTTGAGAGGACTCCACGCTTGGCATATATTCAAAAATTGAAATGCTTACAAAATTCGATGATGATGCAGTATATAATAATGAAAAGTTTAGAGTTTGAAGTATGTGTAATTAGCCGGATAATGGTGGCCAATTTGTATTATCCAGGGTAAGTTGTTCCCCATGTCTAAAAGTCTATAAGCGAAAGAGAAACCTCGCGATTGGTCACATAACACCAAAGCGACCGCTGTAATACTTCACTCCCCAAAAGAAGCAGACTAATGAACGTGCTTGATAGACGTCGACTCCAATTCAAACTTACCGTGTAAATCAGGAATCATCACCTCGTATGATGCTGTAGACGCCTCGGGGTCATTCCCATCAGCCTCAACATGCAAAGTCGCAACCAATGATTCATTGAAGATTGGGTACTTAATGTATCTATCGTCGATAGGTTTTTGTGCCATGGCACTGATATCCTTTTCGAACAATGGGCTAGGGAATTTGGACTCGCCAGTCTTGCCCTTGTACAAGGGTGATTGTTTTACCATCACCAAGTCGCTCCAATTTCTCTTGTTCAAAAACTGGTGGTTTTCCCGCTCGGAGCCATCAGGATTTGACGTGAAAAGCGGAATGACATCTTCGTCAGTATACTTGTCATAGTGATGAACCTTCGATGTTTTGTTGAGTAAAGAAGCCATCGCGTCAGGGGGTGGGGCATTGATGATAGCAGAGGAAATCACATTGAAGATCAATCTCGGGTCATGCTGGGGATTTTTTGTGACATCACGATTATGTGCCTCCTTATCTTCCGAAGATAACACGTGGGCATGGGGGTGATGATGAATCTTTGTTTTCATACGCCCGAAACAACACAAATGGACGTCGCCAGATAGAATAGTGACCCGCACGCCATTTTTGGCACCAAACTCGGTCAACAGTTTGATCAATTTGTTTCTTTCCGCCTTGTGATTGTGGGAGCACCAGTGATCATTTAGGTCATCCAAAACCTCGACAGACCCATCGAACTCATTAACGAGACCTTGTGCCATGACGCCTCTAGTTGCCAAGCCCCTGATGGGCTTAAGTAATCTAGATGTGAGCATCTTCTCAAGCCAAACGAGCCTGGGATACAAAATCGGGACGCCCAACATGACTAATAGGTGTTTGGTCTCAGGACTCTTCTCAATCTCGGCTTGAATCCGCAGAAAAATAATGTCATATGTACTGGGAGATACAATCTCTGTGAGACGTCGCTCAGTACGACAGTCCACTCCTAACAAAGATATCTCTCGCCCCAAGCGCATAAAGCAGGAATGACTCTTTTGCTTGATGAACATGCCGTCTTTCTTCGAAAGAATCCAGGATGGGTCGTCGATGTGTTCGGGACTGTCTGGGGCCATGTGGTGTTGAAATAGCATGTAGTACTTGTACGCAACGTTTCCAATGGACGAAAACACATCCAGGGCCATGGTTCTATCTTTGTATGAGCCAAACCCATCGATGATGTCATGATCATCGTAAATGTTCACACTTGGGATCTGCGCCATGGTCAAGGGAAACATGCTTTGCAAAGTTCCGCCTATCTTGCCTCTCCAGTAACCATGTCCAAACCACTCTAGGTAAGATTTTAAATAGAAACTTTCGAAATCTTCGAGCATTTCTGGAGTGGCTCTCACGTCTCTTTTCAGGTGGGCAGTGTGCAAATTGAGCCATGGATCCAACGTTTGACAGTGCATCTTAATGCTATCATTGTAGATTTGGTCTCCACCGCCTAACATGACATGGTAGTGTTGGGTAGTGGAGTGCTTGCGCAATACGTCAAGCCAAAGGGACAGTTTGAAAGAAGACGTATCTGTGGCCAACGAAAAACCGTTGCACGAGAATGACATCACATTCATTGATTCGTCCACAGCAGGAATGAAGAATTGATACGCTTCCTTGGAAACACCATTGACCGAATACCGCACCCTTTGCTCATACGCGGCAAGGGTCAAATTCACATTGAATCGCCAGAATTCGAGGCCTCCCTTGGTCTCGTAGAAGGGCATTCCCGGAAACTCGCCATCTTGGACATTCTCAGCCTCGACATCTGCTGAAGCAGCGCCGATCTGGTAGGTTATACTTGGTTTTCCACCTTGCGTCACCAACAACACGGATGCCCTATAGGAATCGGTGCCATTTTCCAAGGTGCCACAAAGTCTTAGAATAGGGCCGCATGCCACTTCAATGCCACCAATTGTCTCAGGTTTGGGACATATTTCCGGCACCGCTGCCTTAACCTGTTGGGTGTTCAATGCAACAAAGTCGTCAATTGGAATTGGAGCATGCCAGTCTGCAGTCATCGAGTACGAAGTTATATAAACGGGTGTCTCTGCGATGTTAATTACACCCTTTGATATATTCAAGAAGAGGGAGATGAAAGCTGAGCTATTCCCGTCTAGCCTGTGACAGTCTTCGACATTGTCAGCACCATTTCCTGCATTAGTTGTAGCAACCCGAGAGTACGCGCAGCAAATAATAACAATACAATAAGTCCAGCACAGAATCTCTGGCCATTTCTGAATTCACAGTACCAAATATAAAACTGTTAGTCTCGATATCTTCTTTTCGAACGAAAGTAAAAGTCGAGAAGGTGAAAGTTCTTAAGTTGATGGCTGGTGTTCGTCTCAGCAAAGCCCGTCAACAAGGCTTCTTTGAACACCATCCATAGGGAGCATGGTCATGTACTGCACATACTGGCGAGCAAACAATGTAAGCGCGTCACTGAATACCGCCAGCAGAGCCACGTTTATATGGGCCTGCACGAAACACTTGGCTTCTCCGCCGGCCATCACAATTTGTCTGGTAGTAAAGTGTTGCAGCTCGAATAAACGTGTCTGCCTCAACCAATATCAGCTTCACCGCTTAATTGGTCCGGTCTTCCTTGAGGAAATACTAACTCAAGCTCATGACACCGGTCGCATTCTCATGCGCAGCAAATTTCCTCAACAACACCCTGCAGATCAATTCCTGAGGTGAATACCATCGGAGTCACTTGTAGTTGATGATTTGGTGGCATTCAGTGGTCATCCAAATGGACTCATACGTTTGAAGGCAGGTGCCTAGTGTTGAGGGAACTATACATGTGTATTCGAGCAGATTCAAGAAAATGCTAAAAAAATACGAGAATCGTCTTTCTGAGAGTTGCGCTCAATACATCGTCAAATAAAAGTTTAACATGACAAGCCTCTTGATTTCCTGACCTAAGTATACATAATTTGATTTGGCAAGCCTGTCTCCCCAAATAGCTGCAAGATGCTCATGTGATGTAGAGTTCCCGATCTCTGCGCTATTTACCTTTGCATTCATGTCTTTACACCCAACTGACAATAGTCCTTCTAGAAACCTGCACATGCCTGCGCGTGGAGAGCGGCGTGCGATCTAGTGTATATCAGCCTGAGGTGCTTTTGTACGGACGTGACCTTCGCAGTATTCGCCCAAAAACTCCCTCTACATATTGTCAAAAAACAAACTTAAACGGGACATCATGGGCGTACCTCCGTTCTAGTGAAACACATGCCAAGGGCTATCTGCACAATCGCCGATGCCCCGATTTATCCACACCCGGAGTATATTTTTGGAAAAGACAGAATAAATTTTGCACCAAACTCCTTGATGTAGTTTTAAACAGTGACATTAAGTTCTAAGAAAGCAGCGCGATACAATTTGGACAACCAAACTTATCCATCTCCTTGTCGAAAATAGACATCTGAAGTCAAAACTCAGTGCACTTTAATACACCTACTGTGTTACGATACGACGCTTCTTGGAAATTCCGATTGAACAGGTTTTTCGATGATTTTTCAAACTAGATGATGTTCTGGAGGAGTGTTTGGAATGGTCAATTGTGAGATCTTCCTCGAAAATATGGCTGAATATTTGGTACTTTACAAAATATGAATGGTAACTCACGCGCTGAAACTTAAAAGGATACATGCTGAAGTTTCACCGACTCGAGTGAGAACTTGTTGCTTCGATAGCCTGAATGCTGATTCCAAAGTTGTTAAGTGTCAGGTGTGAAATGCCGCGCTCGGCCCCGAGACAATCAAAGGTCCTGGACGTGTCACGTGGTATCCGCCATGTAGGCATCCCTCACGTGGCAAGAGGAAAAAACTTCCGTACAGGGAAAGTTTTTTCCCTTTCCTTTCTTCCTTAAGGGTTTTTAGAGAATAGTAGTATCCTAAGGATCCGAAGTACCGTACATACTTGAATCGAGAAATCTGATACTGAAAGGACGCGAGCTTATCGCCCGATTCGCATTTGATCGTACTATACCAGTCACGTGATGATATGATTACTCGAGACACGGAGCCGTCACAGACGGGCAAACATTTCAGAACCATAACTTGGAGTTTCGGACCCAGCCTCTGCAGATTCGTACATTGGAACAGTACAACAAAGAAGGGGGAAATTACATAGCCCCTCTTTTAATGAAGCGGGGGCGTATGACAGCATTGAATGACTTCATTCAATGTCTCCCATAATTCAGCACCAGGACCGACTTGTTTTTGTTGGCATGTTACAAGCTTTTCTGGTTTGCCACCTGCTGAAGTCATGTCGGATTCCCAATACTGTAGATAACTGAAGAACAGATACGTAATTGTAGACTGCGGCTGGAGCCAAGAATCATGCGCTTCCTTAACGCCGGGGCCGAATGACCGAAGGTGGCAGTCGCCGATACACGCAGTCACTTTGCGCGGGCAACGTTGCTCAAGGCTATATGCACACATACTCACCTGCGGATACGGTAGGGCTGCGCCTTCTACATGCGCTGTTGGTACAATTACCTCGTGGGGTACCCCGGTCTGCAGGACGCCCAGAAACTCCAATCAACAGGTCCATTAAGTCAGTGTGCTTTTCCCGAATCCCCGGGATCCTCAACTTATCTTGATCATAATCCAACCATTTAGGGATCTCCTGGACATTTACTGCCCTGAATATTAGATATATCGCTGTCCAAACTTGAACTTCACATATCTCTACTTCATATCACCTACCCGGTTTAGCACAACGTGTCTTATCTGCGACTGTATCTATAGGTGACTTCCACAACGATTCAACCACCTTCAATCTCAAGAATTTTTGAAAGAGTATAACCTCGAAACACAAAGTGTCACCATCTGTGAATCTCACCCGCATTCTTATCACTTTACTGCTAAGGATTGTTCATGGCTGCTGTCACTTCAACCTCGTCCCAATTACCTTATTCTAGGCGAGTCTCGTTCAACAATCTCCGACCCCATGAGCTTGACGCCGAAGTCCCGCCTGATGTGACCAAATTCCAGTCCTATGCATCGACCCCAAAGCTGAATTACCCGCGATCGAATGACCCAGAATTGTCCAAACTTTTCAGCAATTATTCGCTTTCCTCTCCCATCAAATCTTCTCATAGAAAAAGGTTGAAGTTACCTGAGCCTCCCGCACGACTGATTCTCAAAAATGCACTCTCTCTGGAAGAAATCAAGCTGAATGAAATTCATGCACACGACACATACGCATCTTTCAACAAGGAGCTCAATGATATAGTCAATCATCCACCAGACTCAGTGCCTCGCCTGGAACTCGCAAAAATAGTACCAGCGCAGAACCCAGAGTCTACAAATAATGAGTGTTGTGCCCCAGGAGAAATATCTCCACATACGCGTCTGCCAAGGGGACGCCGGAAGCTGTACTCTAGTATGACTGATGAAGAGTTGATGGCCCTAGATCCACAGTTCTCGAGGCGAAATATTTCAGACTTGAATGACTTCAAGTTTGATTCCCTTGGGGCATCCTATTCCACTCAACGCAGAAACTCTACACCAGGGTCATACTTGCCATCCCCTGGAAAGGCAAAACAAGTTCTCTATCCTTCCCTGAACGAAAACAACTACAAAAGTGTCTCTCTCACAGTGAAGCATCAAGACTTCAATCGTCACGAGCTTCATCCAAGAATTATCCTCACTGTTTTGTCAGGCAGAAAGCACACCTGGAACACCTTAGATTGGCTTCTTTTAACTGACCACCTGGTGAGAGATCAGCCCTGCTTTCTTCAGAATGGTGATCACCTAGTGGTTGCAGCTTTGGTACCGTTGAAATTTGTCGAGACAGAAAACAAAAACTCTTCTCGAAAAAAAGATATCGGCGAGCAAAAAGTTCAACAGAAATGCGAAGACATCCTTAAGTACATCTTAGACAACGTCCCAGATCCGGAGATCCGCCTCAAAATCACAGTGGAGCTAGTCACAGACGTGCCCTTTCCAGACCCCGTGACCATCAGTATGGCTCCCGCAAAGAAACTCCAAACGGGTAGCAAATTCATGATGGCTCACCTTTTCAAGCAGTACCAACCGACACTAGTAGTGATTGGAAACAAATCCACTAGTCTCAATTTCAAGTATCCCAGGAGAATGAGTAGAAGCACAAATGCTGGCTCCACCACCCGGACATCTATCAGCGCAAGCTCAATTGCAGCCAAGGCTCCAGAAACAGAAGCAGAGCTGTATTTGATCAAACTCTCATCATATTTGATCCGGTACTCCACGGTACCAGTAATCTTGGTGGGTAATTCTACAACATATCACCGGAAACCAGCACCAAAAGTTCCACCAAGCGTTACTTTTAAGGATGGTGCCATTAGACTGAAGAGCATTCTTGATGTGTCACCTAGTGCACCGCGTCAGAATTCTTATTGCTCGGATATCTCCATCGAGTCTTTTTGCGGCACACCACTGAATGGTGATGACTCGGACTCTCCCGGACCATCAAAACCCCTGGGTAATTCTTCGCTACAAAAGGTTTTGTCTGATCCTTTTGCAGCGCTAATTCTGGATATCTCTGATAAATCTCTCATGGAACTGAGAACCTATCTTGAGCAAGTCAAAACCGATAAAATACCATCCCATTTTTTCGATAACAAGGTGCACCAAGCATATGTTAGTATGGAGCAAGGTCGTCAAGGACTGCTTTCAAAAACAAACTCTAGTGGAGCCAGTGGAAGGGCTTACAAGGTGAAGAGCCTCATATCTTATGACGAGGATGAAGAGAAGAAACACGAGAGAATGATCAATGACAAGAAACTCAACAAGTCCATCTCTAGAAGTTCTGCGGGCAGCTCCATTCTGAGAGCTCTGGACGAAAAATCAAACAAGAAGAAAAAGAGAAGATCGCTTTTACAAATATTTGGCCTAAAGAAAGCCTAGGTGATTATCGTGCATTCCAGGGGACAAACGATCATATTGGTCAACCAAAGTTTGTCTTTCGGCTCTGCATCCAATCGCTTCAATACATACATTAATCCATTTTTAAAAAACAATATGGCCAAGGACCGAATACATAAATTTTGCAAACAATAAATACTGATATCACATTATGTGCTCTCGAATTTGTTTTGGTCGTGGTCTTTTCGCTTAGTGCATGCGGCTCCGCGCACATTCGCATGAGGCATGTGAGGTTAGCCAGGAGCCCTTGAATTAGATAGTCATAAATCGTAAAATGTCCTCCAACCCATCACCGGAATCTGCTCCTCCAACGAAAGATGGACAGGCTTCTCTAGAAGGCGATCTTATGCTTTCACCCAAACACGCTTTGAATCACGAAGAAAATCAACTGATTCCACAGACCTCAAAACCGGAACCCGACCAGCGACCAATCTTGAAGACCAACAAAAGCGAATTGTCAGAACTGGCAATCAAGAAAAAGCAGGCAAATGTGGTCGTGCAACCAAGATTGAAACCCTCTGTATTTGCTTATGATTCCATAATTACTGAGCCGGTGATTACCAGCCAGCACAGTGTGAAAGATGAAGCCTTTTTTCAATTCGATGATTTGCCCTTGAATAGAAGAGGCTACAAGTATCGAGTGTGCAAGCCAAACCGAGCATTGAAGGCTACCAGGTATCTGACCACCGAATTGCCTCCTTACAAGGTGAGGGCGAGCTATTTTGACAAGAGTCAAGGCGTTGGATTGACTGCGGATATGACATCCATCACTACTCAAAATGGGTGGCTCTCGGCACGGTGCAATGTCTCTATGAGAGAAGGAAAGTACTATTTCGAATACAACATTGTAAACTCCAACAATGGAGATGATAAGGCGCATGTGCGTGTGGGCATTGGCAGGAAAGAGCTGGCTCTAGATGCTCCTGTTGGATTTGACGGGTACGGATACGGGCTCCGAGACTTGAACGGCCAGAAAATCACATTGAGCCGGCCACAAGAATTTATGTCTGAGGGCTTTCACACGGGCGATACCATTGGCTTTTTGGTCGAGTTACCTCCGCTAACCCGCCAAAGAGATGGTAATTCTGAATTCGCAAAGAAGTTCAGGGAGAAGTACCCCAAGTCAAAAAAGCCAACCCGAGCTGCCTTAAATGAGGAGAAAGAAGAGAAAGCCTTGAATGCATTCAGCAATATCCTACGCGATCAAGTTGCTATAAAATATAAGAACGGGCTATTTTATGAGCAGTTCGAGTATACGAGAACCAAGCAAATGGATCATTTGCTCAACCCAGTGACTGTCTTTGGCGAAACGGCAGTTCTTGAGAAGAAGCCCGATGCACAGCCCCCGGTTCCAACCATACCGGACTCCCGAATTGTGGTGTATAAAAATGGGCAATGCGTGGGAGAAATGTTCAACGAACTATACTCATTTCTCCCTTTGGATACCGCAGATGACGCTGCAAGTACAGAAGCGAATACGAAACAGCAGCAAAACCCATCTTACAGAAATACAGACGATGGCTCCTTGGGTTACTACCCCATGATGTCAGTATTTCAAAACGGGGTGGTCAAAATCAATGGGGGCCCTGATTTTAAGTACGCAGTTCCGGAAGGCGCACAGCCGCTTTGCAAAAGATACGATGAGGCCGTTGTGGAAGACTGGCTCTGGGACTTGGTAGATGAAGTCGAGGCAGAATATCTCGATAGCTTCGATTAAGACTCCTGCTCGTAATTAGATGTCCTCGTTCCAACATCAACGACGCCAGCCAAAGGCTCGCTGCACGCTCGGTTTGGACATACTTGATTGTCCCGAGAGAAAACATTAAGACATTTTATGTGGAAAGAGTTTGGGCATTCAGTGTTGCAGCATTTCTTTCCGAGAGTAACAAAACCGTCACACACAAGACACTGCAATAGTTTGCCCAGTGTGTCTGACACGGAAAATACGCCAAAGCGGTCCTGTAAATATGTCGAAAGCTCTGCAAGGCTTGCACAAGAAAGCACTAGACGGTTCTGATCTGTGAGATTTATCCAGCCATCGTCAACAAGTCGACGAATGAATAAGTCCAGCTCGCTAGCCTTTTGCTTGAGAAGAGTAGTCGTCTGCTGTTTGGCATTTCCATAGGGAAGTGCATAAGCATAATCATGGGAGTTTACTATGGAATCAATCAAATGTTTGATCGTGTCGAGCTCCGGGACGGTGTACGACGTGCACGCTTGTATGACCTCATCAGATTTCGTATTTATGAACACATAATGTTGTATGTCGGTCTCTTGATCCCGGATCGAGGCAATTTTGAAGTGAGCCCTAGCGATTTGCACGTTAATTTCTGCAATGTAATCACGCATGGCTTCCATCGGCTTGGACGTGTCAATGCCAAAATGAGTGCTTAGCACGGAGAACTTTTCCAAGAGGTCATCTGCACTGATGCATTTGACAGCTCTTAGATATGTGAGAAGCACTCTGTGGGCCTCCGAAAACTCGTCCGACATCTGAAAATACAGACGTATGTAGTGGTGGAATGCACCTGTCAAAGAACAATTGATCTAGTGCCTATTGGTTGGGACACGACATAATATTTCGGGGAGCTTGACGACAAGTCCAAAAGGTGTGGATCTTGCCTGCTCGAAAGAAGTTTGAAAAGGCAGATACATTACCTCCGGGATATTAGTAGTATCATACATTATGTCTCCTTTTTGGCTTGCCTCAGTATGACAGGGCCAAAGCCGCGCGGGCCGTGGGTCTTTCATGTAAAAGAATGATTTACTGGATGGTAGAGCAAACATACGTATCGGCATGAAGGATAGTGAGTAATGTGTATTAAACGATTGCAAGAACTCTAATTCTCCTTAATGATATATGTTTGACCTGTTTGTATGGGTCAACGATTGATTGACATGCGCTCATTGTAAGATCTTTGCCCCCGCACGGAAAGAGCAAGACCCGTTCACGTAGGCATCGTTCTGAGATTTTGATCTTTAAGATTCAAAAGAAGCATGGCATATTGCTATTTGACTCCTTTCAGTCGTTTGACGGTGTCTATTCTTGTGCGGCCCAGGCAGACACGTGATCTGCGGGAGCGTCTCGATCAGGCGTTCGCAGTGCTTCTGCCCTCTTTCAACTGGGTGCAAAAACCATACTGGTGGACCAGCGGTACTTCAATACAAACACTACACAATGAAGATACATGGTCTGTCACTTGTGCTCAATCTTTTTTCTATTCTGTTCCTAGCATGCACTTCTTCAGCTTACAAAGAGTTTTGCAATCCACAGAAAAACTCAAGCTGCATTGCAAGGAACCGAGCACTTCAGGAACCAGTGAAGGACCCTTTGACAAACAACAGTGCCGCATTTGCTGGCTCCAATAGCTGTCCTCTCTTATGTCCTTGTGATAATGGCACAAACTTTGGCATCCTGCAACGATTCGATAATCCCCGCTTGAGCAGTACTGAGTACATATTGTACGGCAGAGCTGAGGCAGATATCATGGGCGCCCCCGGGCAAGGTATTATTTCTTCGTTCTACTTGCAAAGTGACGATTTGGACGAAATCGACATTGCCGAAATTTTTGGAAGTGCACCTGCCGTGTACCAGACCAACTTTTTCGTCAAGGGGGACGTTGCTAATTACGCCGACGGAGCTTACCACAGAGTCACCAATTCCACCACGCAAAACTTCCACAGATATGGCGTACAGTGGAACCGGCTGGAAATCGAGTGGACTCTCGACGGACAGGTTGTTCGCCATAGAGCCGGGGGTACTCTCCCCTCTTCCCCGATGCGGGTGATTCTTAGTCTCTGGGTCGGTGGGGATGAGGCAAATGATCCCGGCACTGTGCAGTGGGCCGGGGGGCCTACTGATTTCGCGGACGCCCCGTTCAGCATGTACGCAAGAAACATATACGTGGAGAACTATTCAGATGGCGGCTGCTACGTCTACGAAACAAATCTGACGGTTTCCATTGAAGACGAGTGCAGACAAAGCCAGTATTTTGTCAAGTGGAACTCGACCAGTTAGCGTCGCGGGCCGGCTGGGTGCGAAACTAGAGACTACTGATTTAGAGGGGCCACCATGACACGAGGCCGTGGTGCAGCGACGCTAGCCCAGGTTCCGCATGGCGAGCTTTGTAGGTGCTAGTGTGAAGGAATCAAGAGACCGCACAGGGCATATGATGGGCCGCAGCTTTGGTTGGAACCACCAATTCCCGAACATGTAGAAACAGACCACCTGACCAGACAGCGTGGATGATGCCATGGTGTGCACACGGGGCCACGAGGGCGCGCGCTCCCTTTTTGTTTTCTTCGCACTTTTGGACTAATGACGTCGTGGTCGCGGGGCCGGATTCAGCACTCTGATTATTTCTCACTGTCTCGGCGAGCCCACTCCGGTATGCGCTACGAGCACCCGTAAGGGGCCGGCAGTAATCACGTCATCCATTAGCACAATGTTCAGCCACATAGCCGGTCGCCCTCTTTGGAGGCGTCTCATCAATACTACCTGTTCGGGACCCGGGCGGCCGTGTATGCGGATCTCCAAGCCTTCCTCCATATATGCCCTTACGGGTCCGCCAGCGCTCGGACTTTGCGCAGCCGAATAGGTTTGCTCCTGCAGCCGCGAGAGCCTCGATGTAAAAAAACGACAATCTACAGTTTGCTCCTCCCAACAACGGACCCGCTGAATCACCCTAACTAAGCGTGGGCTACATCAACCTAGTCGTCATCTACACACAACCACAAATGACCGTCGAAGGCGTGAGTGCCATTTCCCTCGCCACGACCAACGAGGATGTTTTCGCAAGCACCAGCAAACTCTACCGCCTGTTGGGTTTCAAGTTGGTCAGGAACTACTCCGCCATGGCGTCCCACGGCCCCAACAACCACTTGCGGGGCTTTGCGTCGGACTCGATCAAAGAGCACTGGTTGGAGGCGTTTCCGTTGCAGACACGTGACAGCGCAGGCAACGTCGTGCCATGGCAGGACTTGCGATTCTACGTTGGCGACAACACCCGCCCTTTGTGCCCCGGCACGTTGGTCAAGCTCCGCTTGTCCGGATCGGCCCAGTGCGCCGACGGCAAGCAGGACCTTCTCTTCTTCTCGACCAATATGACCGCACTCCAGGACGTGTTTGAACAGGCGGCGATCCAGTGCCAAGTCTCCGCAGAAGGCGTGCTCTCGGCGTCCGACCCGCTCGGCAACACGCTCCGCTTTTCCGGCACCTTGCCCGGGTCGGGCGGCAAGAAGTTCTCTTCGCCGGAGGAGTACCTCGAATCCCAGTCCGCGGAGCTTATCAAGGCCCTTGAGCAAGACCAGCCCTTGCCGCCCGCAAACAGAAACACGCCCCCCGAGCCGAAGAAAAAGAAAATCGGCGTCATGACCTCCGGAGGCGACGCCCCCGGCATGAATCCCGCCGTGCGCGCGGTGGTGCGTGCCGGTATCTACTACAACTGCGACATGTTTGCCGTGTACGAGGGCTATGAGGGCTTGGTCCGGGGCGGCGACTTGCTCAAGCCCATGGGCTGGAACGATGTGCGCGGGCTTCTTTCGCATGGCGGCACGGACATCGGCACGGCCAGATGCGCTGCGTTCCGGGAGCGTGCGGGCCGCTTGCAAGGTGCGTACAACATGGTGGTCAACGGAATCGACGCGTTGATCGTGTGCGGAGGAGACGGCTCGCTCACCGGTGCCGATCTCTTCCGTTCCGAGTGGCCTTCGTTGATTGAGGAGTTGATCGAGACCAAGAAGTTGACGCGCGAGCGGGCCGAGCCCTACCGCCACTTGACCATCGTGGGTTTGGTGGGCTCCATCGACAACGACATGGCAGGCACGGACGCCACCATTGGCGCGTTTTCGTCCTTGGAGCGCATCTCCGAAATGGTCGACTACATCGACGAGACGGCCGCGTCGCACTCGCGTGCCTTCGTGGTGGAAGTTATGGGCCGCCACTGCGGATGGTTGGGCTTGATGTCGGGCTTGTCCACGGGCGCAGACTACATCTTTATTCCGGAACGGCCCCCCAAGCACGGCCAGTGGCAGGACGAGTTGAAGGCCATCTGCTCGCGCCACAGGAGTTACGGCAAGAGAAACACAACTGTCATCGTGGCCGAAGGTGCTGTGGATGACGAGTTGAACCCGATCTCCTCTGAAACTGTCAAGAACGTCTTGGTAGAGCTCGGGCTCGACACCAGAATCACCACTTTGGGCCACGTGCAAAGAGGTGGCACAGCTGTGGCGTACGACCGCATGTTGAGTACCTTGCAGGGTGTGGAGGCCGTGAAGGCTGTCTTGGAGAGCACGCCAGAGGTCCCATCGCCTGTCATTGGTATTCTTGAAAACCAAATCGTCCGCCAGCCTCTCGTCGACTCCGTGCGTCTTACCAAGCAGGTCGCTGACTCGATCGAGGCAAAAGACTTTGACCGTGCCATGAGCTTGCGTGACTCGACTTTCGCAGAGGCCTACGAGAACTTCTTGTACACAGCGTTGTATGATGATGGGTCCAAGCTTTTACCTGAAAGCGAGCGCTTGAACATCGGTATCGTTCATGTCGGCGCATCGCTGTCTGCGTTGAATGCCACCACAAGAGCTGCGGCTTTGTATTGTTTGGCCAAGGGCCATAAACTCTTTGCCATTCAGAATGGGTTTTCAGGATTAATTAATGAGGGCACTGTGAAGGAGTTGTCATGGCTCGATGTTGACGGATGGCATAACCAAGGCGGTTCTGAAATTGGGACCAACCGCTCTTTGCCAAGCGAAAATTTTGGGGATGTCGCGTACTACATGCAAAGACACAAGTTCAATGGACTCATGATCGTTGGTGGCTTTGAGGCCTTCACGGCTTTACATCAATTGGAAGCCGAAAAGAAGCAGTATCCTATTTTCAATATTCCAAAGGTCGTGATTCCAGCCACTGTGTCCAACAATGTTCCTGGAACTGAGTATTCCTTGGGATCTGACACTTGTTTGAACCAATTGGTCAACTATTGTGATGCTATTAAGCAATCTGCCTCCGCAACCAGACGCAGAGTCTTTGTTGTAGAGGTTCAAGGTGGCAACAGTGGCTACGTCGCATGCTACGCTGGTCTTGTTACAGGCGCCATCGCTGTCTACAGACCCGAAGATAAAATTGACCTCAAGAGCATTCGTGAAGACATCGATCTCTTGTTTGATGCTTTCAAGGGAGACCGTGGCGAGGACAATAACGGTAAAATTGTTATCCGAAATGAGTTTGCCTCTCCCGTTTATACCACAGACTTGTTGTCTGATATTTTCTGGGAGGCTGCAGGGTCACGATTCGAAACTAGAACCGCTATTCCAGGTCATGTTCAACAGGGATTTACTCCAAGTTCAATGGACAGAGTATATGCGGCCCGTTTTGCTGTCCAATCAGTGAAGTACATTGAGGACTGGAGCCGTCGCGTGTTTGCATCCGTTCATCACAACTCCATTCACCACAGCATCAACAACATCAAAATGATTGACTTGATGAGAAGAGAAGAGGAGTCCTCGGTTGTTATTGGTATACAAGGAGCCCAACTTAAGTTCTCCGATATCAACAATCTCTACGAGGAAGACACGGACGTCGCTTTAAGAAAGGGTCAGACCATACATTGGAGCAATTTAGCAGATGTAGGCGACATGTTAAGCGGAAGATTGGGATTGAGAGAGCGTCGTCAACGCTGAGCCTGGATTTGTATCCAACGACAGTTCAGGACCTTATAGTCTCTGAGCTATTTATAAATAATGATAAATTACAGAAAAAACGATGTCTGAAGTTAAAAATACTTGTGGCTGAGTGCGAAGGCCAAGATAAAATGCCCCCTCGCTTAAAAAAAAAAACCGAAAAATTCGAAGAAAAAAAAACAACACATGAAGAACCAAATAGACAGTGCTGGAAGAAAACGCTCAACGAGATTGAATACAACAAATATTGAATCTATATCAAAGCTTATAGAAGAACTTTACTAAGAGACTTTGGTTGCAAGTTTTGACCATCAATCTTTTATGCTATGACAAAATGTTTAAACCGAATCTGTAGCTAGGTGGAGGAACTGAAATAAAGTTTAGCTTAGCAATTTGGGACCCTCTCGTGAATGATATGTACATTCGCGCGGCCCCCGGGGTTCTATAACCATATGATCAAAACAAATTGGCATTACCTGAAATCATGGACCTTGAAGAAGAGCCTTTTACAAAAATTTGGGTATGGGTGTTCAAAATCTGAAAGCTATTTGAAATACAAGTAGTTTATTTTAAAGTCATTTCGAACGTCTCTCTAATTAGGTATCTTAGTTAGCGACGCGCATCTCCCTCTTAAATTCCTACAGAGGCAAATGCGCCAAAGCCCTGCATGCACACCGCGGAAAAGGCGGTGATGCACGTCGACGCACCATTAAGAAAGATAGATGTGCGTTGCATTTCTGGGCTCACAAACAGTCTTACCGAGCTTGAGACCAAAATTCTATTTTCTGCATGATTCTCGAAGTATATTATGAGAATTTTGGGTTAGGGCTATAAAAGAAAATAAGTGAGGAGGAAATATTTATTCAGTGGCTAGAGCTTGTCCTAGTTTTATCCCAGATTTGATATCAAAATCTTCTCTTCATAAGGATGAACATTCGGATAATTTTTCATGCTGTTTTCCAGAAAAGACTGATATGCATGCATAAACCTTGATTTTTTTCCTTAGTGAGTACAAGGTGTACTTACGAAACAACTAGAACAAGCTCAAAAGCAATCACAGAAAACACACCCGCTTACGCCTGACATGATGATCAGAGAGCCCATCCGCGTACGAAGGCACTTGAGCTCTCATTAAGGCTAACATTGAAAGCAAGACCAAGCCTCGAAAATTGAAAACTAAATGACTATGCTTATATCGCACACTCGAAAATAAAACAAACGTTTGAGAGGGGTTATAACTTATCCCAACCCAAAACAGAAACCGAGCCAGATTCTATGATACAACGAGGAAGCTCAACTGAAGGTGAGCTTCATCAAGAAGCGCTATTGTTTTTGGTGGCTTCAAGGACAGTCCTATGAAGTCTGAGCAAAAATTTCACTCTTGTTACTGCTTAATAATTTTTCACAAGTCTTCAGTGCTTATTTGCACTTTCCGCTCATTAGGCGTTGTATTCTGGAACACTCTTAGTATCTTTTTAGGAGCTTTTCACGTGTCCTCGATCATTGTTTTCTCCTAATGTTCGTAGATTGTTAGGCTTGAATTCTGTAGTTTGCTATTGATGTATGTTGCGATGTTTGATCCCTTTGAATTTTACACTATTTTCTGGGATAGCCGCGACACCCTAGAGGCTTATCTTCAAAATTTTTTACCATGCTCAGTGAGATTGAGTATAATAAACCCCTATCCACTTATGTACAGCACCGCGTCTGTAACTATGAGTTTTTCCCTTAAATCTACCCACTTCCTATCATTAGGAGATATAGGTAACAGCTAAGGTCAGTCATGGCCGAGTCACTTTACAAATGCCAAGAAAATTATGAGTTTCCATTTGCACATTCCATGATCTGTGCAGCGCTATTCCTATGGAACGCGGTCGCTCACTGCCCTATGACGATAGCGGTATTGCTCCTTGGAAGAACAAGCCAATGAATTCGCCCTGCATCTCAAGCTTTTACGTGCAAGACTGAGGCAGCGACATTTTGCTCTATATACACCTAAGAACTTGATACATCCAAAAAAGCTTTGCGATGTCAACTATTTTCAAGATTTTCAGCAATTCTTCCCCAAGATCTGAACACATATTCAAGGATTTTCTCATATGGGAACACATACTCAACTTTCTGCTTTTTCCTTATCTCACGAAACGTATCATGTGCTTCAGACACTACTCCTTCCATGTGTTCATATGCCGGAGTTTGCTGATACACACCTAACTATATTTCAAATCATACATATGTGATGCATATTCCGTTTCTCCACCAGTGTGCACTCAAAGCAAAGCAGAAACTTGATATGCAGTATGCTTAAGGCCAAAATCTTGTCTTTCCATATATATTCTGTTTGAAGGCTTTTCAAAGTCTACAGAAAGGTGCTTCAGCAAGCGTTCCGATATAGCTGCTGAGAAGACTAACTTACAAGCTATTACGACCATTGAAATCTACATAATCAAGCGCTTAATGTTTTCGCGCCACGGAGCTGCATATATACATCTTCCGTAGCATCTCATCTATTCCTGCTTGTTCGCGACAGGAATACTACTCCACAGTACAGCGCCTAAGCGGCTCGTGCCGGGGAATGAGAAAAAAAGTCGAATCTCAAAGTTAAATACAACCTGTAATGCCCCCGAATGCCCCCGCCTTATGCTATTTGTTCGCCCTAATTTTAGGCTAATAATTCCAAACTCCACTTACTTTACCGGCTCGCAATCAACTGAAGAAGCTGGGCTTCTGTTATATCGCAAACGGCACTCCTAACCCCCCAATCGGCCAATATTCGCCACCTCTTCAACATTGGGTAGAGCTGATTAAAGAATGACCCGTGCAAATCTGAGAAGCCAGAGCACTCCAGGGAAAAAAAACGCTTTTGTGTACAAGCTTTATCGGATGCTAAATGACCATAGCATCTCTCACTTGATTTGGTGGTCGGGCAATCCCAGAGGTAGTGCGTTTCAGCTCTCTCCAAGTCAAGAGTTTTGTGAGGCTTTGAGCAAGTACTTCAAGCATCGTAACGTGGCCAGTTTTGTTCGACAGCTACATATGTACGGGTTCCACAAAGTGAGTGACTCGTTGATGACTCAAGTTGAGCTGGGCCCCATGCTTTGGGAATTCCGCCACGCCTCGGGCAAATTTCGTCAAGGGAATGAATCCTTGTTATCGCATATCAAGCGCAGACTGCAATCAAGTTCGCTGCGCCAGCTTACTACTGCTATGAGCCGTAAGGTCTTCCCCGAGGATCTGTCTTTACATCAGGGAAATTATGTGGTACCAGGTGCTGTTAACAATGTGGGAGAACCGGGTGATTGTTTGCAATCTTCACTGCATTTCTTCCAAAACAGTTTAGCACAACCGCATCAATTACCGCCAGCTGGTTTATTAGCAGCCCCTCCCCTGTTTATTCCGGTTTTCAGCGCGCAGCACAATCCAAACTTCCACGACCCAAATTCAGGGAATGTTTGTTTCCAGCCTCCGGGGGCATATTCTCATCCAATGGGTATACCACCAGGTTCCGGGGCTATGGACCACGTCCCACCAGCTAGCAGCCCTCAAATGCAGTATATGTATGGCTCTCAATGGCAACCGGTTCAATTTGGACCTTCGCCAAACACAGCACCAATACTACCGCACGGTATATCATCTGGCCACATTCCGTATTATACTCATTACCAGACGCCGCGGCCGCAAGCTTCTATTCAAGTCCACGTCCCAGTGTACTCGCCGTCAAATTCAGTCGCCACTCACGGCCCTGGACTTGAGCCCCCGCATCCTGATGCGATAGCCCGCAGACGCAGTACGATTAGTGGGCAGTCATTCCAAACACCGGAAATAAAATTCTCCGGGCTTCGGAGTCAGGTGAATTCTACTTCTTCGACGGAAAATTTTCGAAGTGTCGCTGATACGGGGATTATGTCAGGAAATGGTGCTTCACCTGGACAATTTCATGAGACCGGTAACAACCATCCCCGGAGCGGAGATGATCCATTAAAATATAACCAGCCTTGTGACTTTCCTGACTCTCGTGAAAGCTACAGTCCAAGTTTTCATAAGGATTCGCTCGAATCGAGAAAACTGACTCGAGGCCGATCTTTTTCTGGCTCGAAGGACGAATCTGTTGGAAACGCGCAAATAACTTCCGGCTCTTTGCCCAACTCTGTTTCATTCTTACCTCGTCAAGAACCCGAAAACTTCGGAAAACTAGCTATTTCTGGGACCAATGAAACTACTAAAACAGAAACATCACCCTCTGTTTCTAAAATTCACCTGGCCCAGTCGCAGCAGACCAGCCATGGGCAGAATGTTTTGGGGCCCAATTCGTCTCATTCTTCTGTATCTTCAAATGACTCGTCCATTCCCACCACTTCATCGGGGAGACAGCTGTCGTTCGGTTTGAATTCCCAATCGGGGCCGTCTAGTTTTTCAACAGGTGGAAGTCCTTGTGCCGATGTCGCACTGATTTCATGTACCCAGGTCTTCCCGCTTCCTAGTTTGATTGAAAATTCTGACCAGGTATCTATCGGTTTGGGAAGTAGATCCACCTCAGGAGCCGAAGGAAGCAAGATGAGGTTGTCCAACAAGACTCAACTCCCAAGAGTAGAGTTCTTCTTGAACAATCCGCAACCCACACTCAAGAGACCTATCTCAGATGAGTAATTAGCATGAGTATCTATGTCTTTATTTATTTTTAGTTCCCGGGAGACTAATTCTTCTAAACATTTTGCTGCACTTCCTATCCCCATTACACCAGGTATAAAAGCAATGAGATTACTCTAGCGGAACACATACAAGCCACACACGGCTTTATTTCTTATCCAAAAGACTCCAAAAATGTAGACTCTAGCACGAGTTTTTCAATAATTCATCGAAGACAGATGCTTCGCCAAAATTACTTCAGGTGAAAAATTATTTTTAGGGGACGATTCAGAACGGCCTACCCTTATTTTTTTTACCAAACTGAGGGACCGCCGTTTTCTTGCCATATATCTGTTTCGATTTGGATTCCTCCTCATCGCTATCGTGTACCATAGATTCTATCATCGTCGACTTTGATGGCTGTTTCTGTTTCTGCTTCTTCATATCCTCCATGATTTTCAGTCTAGGTCGGTATTCAGTTCGCTCTTTTTTGATTTGATATTTTTCAGCAACATTCTTTCGACTATCAGATCGCATCTTATTCATCAAAGCGGACATGGCTTTCGAGCCTGTCCTAACATCCCTAGCTGTGCCAGTATTCAGCTTTTGAGGTATATTCTCGGAGTTAAGGAAAGACCCTATTGTTGGAGAATCATTATTTGCGCCGTCTCTATCAAGTTCGAATAGACCTGCTCCACCGGAAATCACAGGTAAATCAAGAAACAGGTCCTTACTGTTTGTGGTAGGTATGCCCTCGCGAGATTCATTCTCCTGGGTTTGCGGTAGCCAGTTTAATACGTTAGCATTGTTAGCAGAGATTGCAAGCTGAAACTTGAGTTGAAAATCTTCTTTTTCTTTAATTTCCTTCCGTCGATTCACTTTCAGCATTGTATTTAATTTTGTAGATATGTGAACCTATTGGGCTGCTGTGTAGCGATGAGACACGTGATGCTTCGTCGTTAGGGCGCGCGGATTCTCTCGCACGTCAACGCGCAAACTTTACGTATTGATACGAACACTTATTTACAAATTCGGATGATTCTGCTATTCGAGAGCTCATTTCAGCTAATGGTTCATTTCTGATTGAGACAAGAATCCGCAGAAAAATGATATAAGTTGCAGCGGAGAATTTGAGATTGACATCTTCATGGCTTTTATTAGGTGTGCAGTCAACTCAGTCTTCTGAAACAACATGTCTCTCTGTTTTTTTTTTTTTTGGTATATTCATCTGATTAAGGTAGCAAAGCTATATAACCAATATATATAAAAACCTTTAAACAGCTCCCAGCTATGTACCAAGTGTCTTAGCTCGGCCCGTCCCCTTCCGTTAGTCACGGCCTGGACGGTCCTCATGGCACGTATCTGTTTACGTATTGGATATTACGTCATCGATTCCTAGGATAGGTCTCCTGTAGTAGTCGCTTCAACTCAGATGGTTGTAGCGGACTTAAGAAGCCCACATCCTGCGACTCGCCACGCCTTCTGGTGCAGACCTTGAAGATCGTGGTGACGAACCAATTTAATTTTGTTAAGTTCTCCAATGAGTTGTCGGCTGGGGCCAACATTGAGTTCAAGCTCATGGGCTTGGTAAATTCTAGCTCTTGCCACCAGTATTTGGATGTTTCGCAGTTGTTGTAGATATGGCTCAGGAAAGCGTCGGTGGCATCTCTCAATCTTCATTGGGCGTATCCCATGATTTCAATCAATGAGATTGGAAGCCCTCGCACCATTAAGAGATCAAAACCAAAACGAAGTCCTAGCATTTTGATATGATTCGGATAGCAAAAACGATGCGCAGCCCCGGAATCGAACCGGGGGCCCAACGATGGCAACGTTGGATTTTACCACTAAACCAGCTGCGCAGAAAGCTCCGCGACGGGGAATTGAACCCCGGTCTACCGCGCGACAAGCGGTAATTCTAGCCACTAAACTATCACGGATTTCTTGTTGTTGAATCGCCTCTATAAATTGATATAGAGTGTGGCGAAAAGGTAAAAAGGCTTTGTCGCCACGATATAAACAGTCACGACGCTATTTACAAAACCAAAAATATTATTGTTTTGAGAAAAAGAACACAGCCACAGAATATCCAAGTACGGGCCATGAGAACCCTCTAGGCCGTGAGTAACGAAGCAGGCGGACCTAATTGACACTTGGTACGTACCTGGGAGCTATTAAAGGTTCTTTCATATATATGATGTTCATGCTTTTGCTCTTTTAATCAGATGAAACTAACAAAAATAAATTACACTTCCTCCGCTTCCTGAAAAACAAATCTAGTATCATCTTTGCATCCACCAAGTCCATACCAGCGGAGACACCACGGACGCCTTCCTTGGTCATCTCTACAACAGCTTTGAAAACACTTATACTGGTTCCAAGAGCAAACATTTGCCAAAGGCATGAATTTAGATGAAATATTGGCTCCGGTCAACATCTCTTTGGTGAACTTATTAAATATACATTGGTTGGTCACCAAGATCTTGAAAGTCTAAATCGAAAACGTGGCGAGTGGCAGCAAGCACGCTCCTTAAGTTCACATTAAAAATCTGAGTTGAAGTGACTAATACAGGAGGCTTATCGTAGGAATCAAAAACCTAGTATCCAAGATGGAAACACATCAAGAGGATTATCGAGGCCACGAATGGCGAAAGGCGACGTGCCGAGTTTTGACTCCAAGTTTCAATCTTAGGGCTAACAGAAGGCCTTTAAAATACCACTGTTTAATACTGTTCCTTTAATCCAATAAATCTACCAAAAAAAAAAGGCAATTGCTTCGATAGTTTGAGAATTTGCGGCCAACCATGAAATCGCGGTTTTGAGTCATGCACTTTACTCTTTTGAAGTTGACGACGGTTTAAAAATAGTTACTACAGAATAGCCACATATGTTGCTTTTTACTGCTTTAATCTATAAATATTCAAGCTTGTTATTCAAAAACCAATTTGAGAAATTAAGGGATGAGTTGTCCTAAGCACGAGAGGGGTCAAACTTTTATTTGCTTTAACACTGAGTATTGAGTCCCTTGAATTATCCAGCAAAACATAGTAACAATAAATGTAAATGAGCCCACGTTTGAGCATTGAGATGGGTGAAAAGGGTAAAGAACAGAATGCACACATAAGCAGCTTTTTCCTACCGTCAAGACACCAAAATCATTGTTCTTTTGAGTGTTTAAGCTCATAATATCGACCAAAGCTTAATAATCATGTGTTTAACTAAACCCATTTACAAATCATATCAGAAATAGCAATATCTGATTCATTTCCTAAATCACAATTCTCATAACCAACCTCGCTAGCCAGGCATGCTTGCAGGTTCGTGTAGTTTAAATTGTCTTTCTGCCGTACGAAACGATATTTGCTGACAGAGCGAGTTGCAAGTACTGGTCCTGTCGTCTTATCAAGCTTGATCAATGGTCCAGTCTTTGAAAACAAATTCATAAATTCTAGATTGAGCACACCGATATTACCGTACACCAGATAATCTGCTTTCACTCTCAAGTGTCTAACCCTACTGCCAAGTGTATGGGGTCTTTTGAAAAAGGGCAAAATGTCTTTAGGCTGTCATGGGAGGAACTCCAACAATTTTCTGAGCCCAAACTAGATTCCCGATCATCAGTTTGTAATAGGTTATTTTGATCTCTTGGGATGGAACCTAGCACCGCCATAAACACATGCCTCTCTTCATTATTAAGAACCACATCACTTGCTAACAAAAAAAAATCTTGAATATAAAACCCTCTGATGTGATGGAACGATGGGTTCTATCGTGTATGATATGTAAAGTAAACATTCTCTCAAACATTTCAGAAACAAAACATTTATCGTGTCGCAATTCAAGCTACTAAATGGACTTTTTAAGGCGTTTAGTTTAGCAATGAGTTGGACTCGCTATAAATGTACTAATCCCAGGTCGTCTGCTGAGATGAAAAATATTTTTTGCAGAACGGACACACTCGGCCCAAGTAGTCCTGCAAGATGTATGCCAAGATGCATAACTATGCAGAAACGTGACGCCAAAATGTATGCAGATGCATGCAAACCTCGCCCCGGGTCATGAAACTTAAAAATCCCCGATAGCCGCGAGGTGCGGCAGATTGTCTAAACCAAAAACTGGGATTGGTTCTGATCACCTTTCCAAGAACACCATTCAACAAAGCCACAGTTGTATTTCTTTTCAATTGCCAAATGCTCTGTCAAGCGGAATCATGTGTGCTTCAAATCTTCGGCTAAATCTTGCTTTCATTCTCTCCTGTGCTTTGCATACTCTCTATGCTTTCGAAACTGTGGGTGCTGTATGGATACTTGCGTCATACGACATGCATTGATGTCGCATCCACAAACCCATGACATGAAACAACCAAACACAACAATTTATCTACGCCAAATATTAATCGTCGCGTGGGAAATACTGCAGACCATTGGCAACATACTTCATTATGATATACATGGTGATCGCAGGACAAGCAGATTGAAGATGAAAATATTTTGAGCAGCGCTTATCGGGGCCAACAACTGCGCGCGAAACTTCTTAGTCATGATTTGCTGCCTGGTACGCCGAGACCGAAGCGTTTCCGGACAACCGGTTTCATTCTGAGGTCTGCAGCATTTCAACAGCCGCATGAGTACATCGTCTTATGCTCAGCTTTGTTGTTTCGCATCAGTCGGACCTTGTTTCGTGTTTGATTGCTGTCTGTCTCCAGCTTTTTTATGGACGAACCGTGCGGATCTTCATTATCAATGTTCTCAATACCAATCAAATTCTGAGCCGGGTTAGCCCTTGGTGTGGCGTGAGCACCATCTCCAGTTTTCGTGGTAGCCACTGGGAGTTTTTGAAGAGCAGAGTTTTGTATGGCGTGTTGCGTGGCACTTTGATTCCCTTGATCAATGTCCGGCTATCCGATTCCCCCAACAATCGCACGTTGAATCCGGACTTTGCACTAGGAAGCCAACTGATAGTCATAGCACGTCTCTCAAACCTCGACACTCATTCAGGCCTTCTCTATCATCCAGATATTCTAGTCAACACCCTAAAACATTTTTTTGCTCATTCATCCAATGTCTCTTTCGCATCTGTGGCGCTGGAGGGGCATGTCTCCTCTATGGTAAGTGATATGGAAGGAGACACCATTTGGATCAGATTTAAACATGATCTATCGAAGCATAGTTTTACCAATTGCGATATGTTAATCCAGTCCAAACTAAGCTCCTTTAAACCACTTCAAACAAGCACGACAACAGACACTCCGCAGATCGTTCTCTGGCTTCCTCTACTCAAGGCCATCTTAGGGCTCAAAAGCGAACCCGGTTTCCAGAACGAAACACGAGTACATGGACATATCACCATAATTGATGTTATGGCAGATATCAATGATTATGTTTCTGCCGAAACCAATCAAAGATATGACTTGCTCTACTGTCTTAGATTGTGTGGCTATGTGTTGGACTGTATAGGTGAAAGACTCGACATCCTCCCACGGCTATGAAAGCCTGACGCGGCTTTTGATCTTTGACACAAAATTGCATTCAGACAATAATTTCATCTGGCCTCCTCGTAGACTGGCCTTCGATGGGGTATGTACCTCCGGAATCTAAAAGTCCATGGCAACTGATCAAAAGACCTTTTTTCTTCACGAACATATATTCACAATATAAAGTGTCATGATCACTTTTGATATTGCATATCTATTTCAAATACTGTCTCATACGGGTAAGGTATCTAAGCCAGCCACGCGATTAATGTAGGGCTCAATTGCAGGGTGTTTTAAGATGGGACCAATAATTGGGAATGACCTTAAAAACAGCACAATGGTTCCGAAAAAGTCGCCGAAGAGAAACAATATCCCAACAGACTCCACGCCAAACCCAATGAACGAGTGTTTCATTAGAATGAGGACAATGCCGCCAAAGAAAAATAGCGTGGGTTTTATTTTGGTCGGGCGGGCAAAGAAATAGAGTGCTCTCGAGGGTCCGATGATTAGCACCACACCTATTATGAACAAGATGTTGCCGATGGCAAGCAAGCTAGAATCAAAAAACGTCACTATGCCAAGGAGGAAAAACACGACACCGGCTGCGGTGGACGCGACGCCATATTCTAAAGCATGTTAATATATAGCATGGAGCACAATTTGGGGACTCGGATTCACATACTTTGTCTCTCAGTGAGCCATAACGTGGAGTCGAAGAGCATTATTGAGGTGTTCGATTTCTTACTGTCACTTGCCAGATTGAATGTGCGGTGTAAGGGTCTTATGCGCCTCGCACGAGGCGTTTACAGCAGCGTACTACAAAAATAGTCCATATATTATTCCGAGCAAAGACGTAGCATTCTGGAATATGAAGAGCATGCTCAACCATGATTTTTATATTTTGAGTTGCCAGACTGAAGCTACAGACCCACTTTCTCAGTTAGGAAAATGATATTTGTTGTCGTACATTAATTGTCAATGAAGATATTGAGTAGATTGGGACAACTTGAAGCGTGATACTTTGGAATTGCAAAATTACAAAAAGCTGAATACCTCTTGAATCTACTGTATACCCAATACATCCAATACTACCACCTCATTCCTTCTAAAGAACAGATATCAAAGGCCCAAAGAAACATCAACATAGCAGAATTTAAATTTGAAGTTGACATGGTTCTGCATTAACAATCGCACTAGCCGTGCCAGAGCGTTCGACAGAATTATATCACAGACTCGAAGAAAAAAAAGCAAGATCTACACTGAACCTCACAAGCCTTTCACAGCCAAGCCGCAAATATTGTGGGCGCCAGGAACGAGCAGCTTAAGGTCGTGAAAAACAAGCTGTGTTGTCCCTCTTGATCTGCTGTGCCTGGTCCTCGCATCTTTCTATTTCCTGCGCGCACCGCCAACCCCCAAACCAGTTGTGCGACGCACGAATCAACCCCACTATCAACTATCTCTAACAGGCTCCAATGTCACATTCCGTGCCCAAAGAGGATGACGACGTGCCCCCGTCGGCACCCCCTCCTTCATACGAGGAGGCTCTTAATTCTCCACCCGTCCCTCCGGGTCGGCCACAGGCAGATCCGCAGGAGAACCCATATTCTAGTGCTCCTCCACCACAGCCTCCCAGACCTCAGGCCCCAGTTTTCCCCAATAGGCCGCAGCAGCCCCAAGGCCCGGGCCACACGCAAAACCCCCAAAGTGCACTGCTCTATACAAATAACCCCAATCTACCGTTCGATTACCCGCGGGGCTACTACTGCAACAAATGCAAGAACACCGGGTTCAGGGAAAAGAACATGAAGCCCTGTTCCCATTGCTGGTCGAAATTCTTCAAGGACAAGGCATACAACCCGAACCCCAGCCTCAACTTCAAATACCCTCGAGGCTACATCTGTGACAAATGCCGCAACACGGGCACGAAGGTCAAAAACGGGCGCTCGTGCCAGGACTGCTACTCTCGCTTTGCACCACGCAATCTCTCATCACAGGCCCCCATAACTTACTCGCTGCCTGCTTTCGTTCCGCAGTTCACACCATACGGTCCATATGGTGCAGGCTCCTACTCCAGCTTTGGCCCTGCTCCCGGCGGATATGCTCCTCAGGGCTTTGCTCCCGGAGGATTTGCACCCCCGAATGTCCCGCAGTATGTGCAACCCGGTGACCCGCGCATGGGCGGTACTATGTGTGGACGCTGCAGGGGCTCGGGAAGAACCACGTTTTTTCTCGACAAGGAAATCTGTCTGGTTTGTGGAGGAGTGGGTCGATTGTTCAACACGCAATAGTTGACCTCGATGCAGCGACAAGGAAGTACCGCAGTACCGCAAATGGCAGAATAGACATTCACCAAATCTCACATGTCCTGAAATGGCGTCTGGGTTTATCTTCGATCCAGGCGGAAACGTGAAGGCAGACACTTGCACACTCGTGTACCATCGTCCACCACACTGATGATAATTTAGCAGAGCTGGTCTATTCGCATCAGCCAGTGTGGTTCAAAATCTATTAGAGCACGATTTAGACAGTAAGAACGACCATTGCCGAACATAAGACCTAGCTTAGTGAAAAAGGTTGTCAAGGCTACAAAGTATGAAGTTTGAGCGACTTAATTCACAACGATGTGTACAAGAAGACTTGCACCATGATGGCAGAGCCTGTCACCGAAACCGTCGAATGCCATAACCGTCAGATGCCATATCACTATACACGGCTGGAAGGGCGAATCAAAACACAGCACGTTTGAGCCCAACACCTCCTACATATCACACTTCATTTCATGACGTTCTATTATTCGTGGTTCATATCTAGTTGTAGTTAGATGGGTATTTGAAATCGTTCAACTCCAAGAAGTTCTCCTTCACATTTCTGATGGACACGAATCTCGTTAAGATATTGCCGGACCCAGCCTTGTCGTTAGTGCCAGACATTCTGGCACCACCGAACCATTGCTGAGCAACAACTGCACCTGTGGACTTGTCGTTAATGTAAAAGTTTCCAGCACAGTATCTCAACTTCTCTTCGGCCAACCTGATGGCATCACGGTCTTTGGCGAAGATGGAGCCGGTCAAGCCGTACATCGAAACAGAGTCGATCTTGTCCATGATGGCCTCAAACTCGCCATCTGGGTAAGCGTATGCAGTCAAGACGGGTCCAAAGAATTCTTTAGACAAGTACTCGTGCTCGGGGTTGGAAGTCTCGATCAAAGTTGGCTGCACATAGAAACCAGTTGTACTGTCAGTCTCACCGCCCTTGACAATGGTCAACTCTGGGTCCGTCTTAGCACGCTCAATGGCACCGGCCAACTTGTCAAACGATTGCTGATGGATGACAGGGCCCATGAAGTTGTGAAGCGTAGACGTCTCGGTAGTGTTTCCGATAGTGATGTTGTCCATGGCAGCGGAAAGCTTCTCCTTAAACTCTGGCCACATGGACTGTGGGACGTAAACTCTGGACGTGGCAGAACATTTCTGGCCCTGGTATTCGAAAGCGCCTCTCAACGTGGACAACACGGCGTGGTCAACGGGGGAGGACTCGTGGATCAAGTGGAAGTTCTTGCCACCTGTCTCGCCCACAACTCTTGGGTAGTCTCTGTAGACGTCTTTGGCCAAGTTGGAGGCAATTGTGCCATATAAGGTCTTGAATACCTGGGTGGAGCCGGTGAAATGCAACGAGGCAAAGTCACGGTCGTTCACGACCAAGTCGGTGATCTCAACTGGGTTTCCAGGAATGAAGTTGACAACACCTGCGGGCAAGCCAGCCTCCTCCAAAATTGACAAGAGAAGATAGTTGGAAAGCACAGCTGTAGCAGATGGCTTCCACACGACAGTATTTCCCATCAACGCGGGCGCGCCCACCAAGTTGCCGGCAATGGCGGTGAAGTTGAAAGGCGTCACAGCGTATACAAAGCCCTCCAAGGGTCTGTACTCAGCTCTGTTCCACACACCAGGAGAAGACTCTATGGGCTGTTGTTGGTACAACTCCTCGGCATACTTGACGTTGAATCTCAAGAAGTCGGCCAATTCCGTGATACTGTCGATTTCGGCCTGGTACACGTTCTTACCCTGGCCGAGCATCGTGGCCGCCAACATGTCGTATCTGTACTTAGTGGCAATCAAGTCTGCGGCCTTCAAGAACACTGCGGCTCTGTCCGTCCACGCCATCTTGGACCATTTTTCCTTGGCGTCTTTGCTGGCCTTGATGGCAGCGCGCACGTCGTCTTTGTTTGCTTGGGCAAAATTAGCCAACACCTGCGAATGCTTGGCAGGGTTCACCTGGGCAACTGTGGGTCTGTTAAAGATTCTCTTTCCATTGATGACTAGCGGAATGTCTAACGCAGAATCCGTGAATTTGGTAATGGAGGCACGCAAAAGATCCCAGTCTTTCTGGTGCGCAAACGAAAACTCCTTGATGGGTTCGTTTGTGAGTGTGGGGGGAACTTTCACCTGTGCAAGCTGGCTCACTGAGCGAACAGCAAGCGTGGACACTCTGGATACAGCCCCGGCACGGCTGCTGCGGAGTACCGAGGAGCCGATTCTGGGAGATAAGCGGGGGATTCTCAACATTTGAAGGAAATAGGGCCAAATGGAAAAAAAGGACGAAAAAAGATGCAAGGACAAAGGTGTAGAATATGAGGCGAGGAAACACGCCAGTCGGGCATGGACGGTATTTATATTACCTCTGGCGAGACCTGCCTCCCCGCGTTGGTCCCGCGACTCCGGCAGGGTAACGTGGAGCGAGAAATGAGCGGATCCCGCAAAGAAGGCAGGGTATGCCGAGACAGGTGTGCACACTGGGTGCCGGCCCGCTTGTGGGCACGCGCTCTTTCGCGCTCGGATGCTGTTAGCGAGAAAGAACAGATGTCTCAATGTGGCTCATCCCATTTCTCTTATCTTGTGCGTGTATCATATCCTTTTGTTCTCGAGACTCTGTCATTCCAAAGATCCACCAAATCTGCGGATCTATATACACTCGAAAGAGGCTCTGATGCGATGAGGGACGCTTAAGGCCGCAAGGGAACCTATCTGAACGACAACGTCAGTGTCGCCAAACATTTCATATTGTAGACTGCCATCTCGAAGTGACCCATATCTATCTGAACAAGAAACTTGCGTCTGTGAATCTTTTAAAGTAATGCCTCGACACGGGCTTCCATTTGCTGTAATTTGGTCTCTGTTTCTCGCAGCCGGTCATCGAATGCCACCGCGTGCTGGTTTATTGCTGTCCTCACTGTATCTAGACTATCATTCCAGCTTTGTAGGTCACGCTTGAGTGTTTCCAAGTTGTCGTCCAACTGACCCACTATGGACACGGCTGTCGCCAAGTCGCTGTGTGTCTCATGAAGGCTACGGAGTCGCGATATTACCGCAGGAAGCCGTGCTTTCATGCTCTCAATTTCTCCGAGTTTTTCATACACAGTATCGAGTTTTTTCTCGAATACACTCGAATGTGCCGCTATCTTTTGTGTCAGTTCCCGGCTCTGTGAGGCTCGCGCGTTGTCAGGTAGAGCCAACTGCGCCATTCTAGTGGTTTTGGCGTATGTCTCGAGCTCTTTGTTGAGCTCAGAAACCTTAGTTTTCATGGTGTCCATCTCGTACTCTGGATTGTAGAGCACGTTGACTTTACGGTCAAGATCCCTCATGTGCAAAGCAAGATTCGTAGCCTGCGACATTTCATGGACTCCAATGGCTTGTTCTAGCTCATTGATCCGCAGTTCCAAGTCCAATACCACTCCCAGCCCGACTTTCGAATCTTGCAGAATGTTTTTGGTTTCTTCAGGACCGTCTTTTTGTGCTTCTGCATCTGACGCCTGTGGGAAGTCACAATGAGCCAATTCATTTTCTACCTGACGAAACACCGCGTCCAACTTTCCAGACAAATACCCATTCAGGCCCCGATTCTGCACCAGTGCCTCCAAAATCTTTCGAAGCTTTTCCGCCTCATCGGCGTCTTCATTGTCTTCTTCTTGAATCTCGCGGAGTTCTTGGGCAATTCTCGCGAGTCTTTGTGCTTTTGTTTCCGTCCATTTCCTTGTGTGATAAGTGTTTCTACCCAAGTTCTCAGCCACCAAAGAGCCCAGAAAATCAACAAGGTCGAAAAGCCCCACTAGAGTGTTCTCTTCAAATCTTGCGTGTGCGGATTTTGCATCTTCATTGTCAATCTCGATGTCATGTGTCACGACCTCCTCTGATTTCAGAGACAAGTTTTCAAGTGACTCCACGTCTGAGGTCTCAAACACCTCGGGCCCTTGGCCCAAATCAGGCAATGATTCCATATTCTGATAGCTTACAGTATGAAGCTGGTCAAATATTGAAAGAATCACGGGTATGTTTGAATCAGGCTGATGGTATCTGCTCACGTGTACGTACTTGCACATACACCTCGGGCTATAGAGGTATGCGCGCGACAGTGGGGCGCTTTTTCTATAATAAGTACCCCAACAATCAAAAGTGAAATATACTGAAACACGTTTTGGGGATTTATGCAATATTTAGCTCAAAATTCTACAGCAAAATCATCAAGCTGTTTTAATACAGAATCTTAAATACTTCATTCTACCATTCTTAACAGATCGCACACTTTTGGCAATCTCTCTTACTTCGTCACAATTTGCACTACATCCTCGTCATTCACCGGGTGTTGTAAACCGCATTTCTGCGGCGAGTGTTTTGCACTTGAGCCCCACACCAACGCATACTTGAACTGGTTCTTCATTTCACGGTGAATGGAATCACACACCTGTAAAATAGTGGAGTCGCGCCGCACCACCATGGGGTCGTCGAATTTGGGCATTATCCCTCTTCTTTTTGTGTAGAGCCTAATCAAACCTAGCTGGCGCCAGATTTCCTCTTTCAACTCGTCGATGCCCAACTCTAACTCGCATGAAATCACCATAGTGTTGGGCTCGCGAGCCAACCTGTCACACTCCTCTAGGGAAACCACGTCGGCTTTATTATACACGTAGAGGCATTTGATGTAGGACATGTGTTGCTCGTTGATGACATCAATGAAGTCCTCAATGGTGCAGTCTTCGTCACGTACGAGTACGTCCGCATTATGAATCTTGTAGTCCTTCAAAAGCGCACTCACAATCTTCTCATCCAAGTACTTTGGAGGTGTCGTGGCGTTGAGCTTGACTCCGCCAGTCTTCTTGATCTTCAACAGGATGTTGGGCTTCTCTTTGTTGAGGCGAATGCCCATGCTTTCCAACTCGTTTTCCAAGATCTCTCTTTGCTCCCCGCTTTTTGTAGCATCAAGCACCATGAGAATTAGATCGGATGTTCTCGACACGGCAATCACCTGACGACCACGGCCTTTGCCCTGGGAAGCAGCCTTGATGATTCCTGGTAAATCCACAATCTGCACCTCCGCGCCATTGTACTCAAGGATACCTCCTACAGAAGTCAACGTAGTAAACTCGTAGTTGGCGGCTTCAGATTTTGTGTTGGTGACCTTCAGGAGAAAAGACGATTTACCCACGGAGGGGAAACCTATAAGCGAGACTCTGGCATCCCCAGCTTTGGCAATCTCGAAACCTTGGCCACCTCCCGAAGAACCTTGACCTGGCTGAGGTTCCAAAAGCTCTCTTCTGTACCGGGCCAACTTTCCCTTCAACAAACCAATGTGGTATTCCGTTGCCTTGTTTTTCTGAGTGCGCGAGAGCTCCTCTTGGATCTGGGCTATTTTTTCTAGAATTCCCATTTTTAGACGGTTTATTGCAAGAGTAAGAGTTGTGGCTGTACAGGCCAGACAAACTGATCAAGCGATGTCACGCAAGAAACCCGTACATTTCCACAATCAAATAGTTGTCAGGACCAACTCCAAGTGGAATACGAGAATCAGAAATCGGGTACGCTATTTAATTCAGGCAATTTGTGCTACTCACTCGATTCGATCCCTACCACATTTGCATTTCTTGCTTGCTGATTCTGGATATCCGGTGGATTAGCATTCCTCGAGTGATCTTTCGCAGTCGCTTTTGTTTGGAGCCTCCGACGACAGCATGCACGCCGCCATCTGCTCATCTCATAGAGACATCTCTATCTTGAAATATACCATAGTGCAACATGCCTAAAACCAACCAACGATATGACAGATCAGGCACCGATCTCACGGATGTGTTCGGTTCGTCCGTGCGTGCCAAAAAGAAAATAAAGACGATCGAGAGTGTGCTCGCAAGAGACGACTTGCCCGCAGATATTCGTATTGAGAAAGAAAGAGCACTTAAAGCCTTACGAGTGGACTTGAAGTCCAGACTTTTTGATTTGAAAACACAAAAGAGGGCGAAGAAATACCACATGGTGCGCTTTTTCGAGCGCAAGAAGGCAATCAGAAAACTCAAACAGGCGCAAAAAGCATTTGACCAGGCCACAGAGGAGGGCGTGAAAAAAGATATCAAGAAGGCAAGAAAAGTATTGAAGCACTGTCAGATTGACGTGGCATACAACATCATGTACCCAAAGTCTCACAAGTATATTTCCCTTTATCCAACAGGCCCATCAGCGGAAGAAGCAGAGGACGAAAATGTCAAAAAGGGTACGCAAATCACCGACGCGAGAAGGCTCGAGTTCAAAAAGAAGGTCGAGGATATCATAGACTCCGAGAAGTTGCCCTTTACTTTCGAAGACGTCTTGAAGGGCAAGAACATCAACATAGATAACATCAGATGGCCACAGGAATCGACAGAGATCGATGCAAGCACCAATGACATCAACAACGAGGAGGAAGACGATTTCTTCGAGTAACTTTTGCATTTTTATCATTCTTTAATATAAATACCACATTTGCTTTTCGTAAAACTTTACATCAATGTGAGCTTCACTTCGTACGAAATACGCATCGCATCGTTCACACACATGAGTACCACCTCTTGACCCCTCATATCATCAAATATCTCCAATGAGCAAACAACTTTTCCTTTCTTGCCAAATAGTTTAGGCGAAGCTCTTTTGATGAGCAACAACTCTTTTTTGTTGGCGTCACACAAAATCAAAAACCAGGATTCCCTTTGCGTTTTAGGAAAATGAGGGGCGTATGCTTTAAACTCACGGGTCAAAGGTGAGTTGTGGTGCTCCAAAACAATGGAAAGAGATTCAGGATCGCTCTGCTTGACGGAAAAATCGCCAGTTGGCAAGTGGGAAACAACACGCATAAATGATTTTAAGGCCTCCTCGCCAGCATCTTCAACTCCTAGTCTTTTAGCAAGCTTGCTGATTTTTCCAGGATTGAAGGTTCCTAGGACAGTGAAGTCAATTTCATCGGTAACTTTGCTGGGGTCCACCCCTGGGAGGGCAGACAATGCATTCTCGTCGTGCCAAATTCTTTGTTTGAGACATTGCATGATCTCGATCAAAGTAAGCACGACTTGCAAGTATCCAAGTTCAGAAGCCGCGTCGATGAAAGCTTGCAAAATACGCAAAGCCTGGTCTAAAACTGAAACAGTATCCTGCGCGTAATCTGCGATCGGAAGATCTACCCGACTCATAAACGCCTGAAGTAACAAGAATGCTTTCACATGTGGGTCCCATATGAATTCATAATCGATGTCCTCCGCTGGGTACCTCATGGCCTGAGACATCTCCATGTTAATGAGTTCCTCACCATGTCTGGTAGCCAACTCATCATACTCCGTGGCGAGACATAACATGCGCAAGCAGTCTCTAAATGAGGAGTCCACTTTCATATGCTTGAGAACCGTCCGTATGGATTTATGCGAAAGATAGTAGAATGATGAAATCTGCAAAAAAGACGTAGGCAAAAGTTGGTCTTTCGCTCCAAGTTTCACACACTGTGACTCTTGCAAACTTTCGATTGTATTGTCAATAAGCCCTCCAAGGTAGCGAGATATTCCTGCCGAAGACATATCTTCGATTCCGTAATATGTTGGATTATTGTGTGCCCTTCGGTATAAAAATGTCCAAGTTAAAAAGTCCATTGCCTGCTGGCGAGACTTTATAGTTCCACTCGCAATTTCAGCACCAATGTGATCATCCAACACTTTGTGTAGCGATGATTCAACAGGAAATCCAATATTCAAGAAATGCTTGTAAAAAACTTTTTTCGATTCTTTTGTGTAAACGATGGCCGTTCCACTTGTATCAAAGGCCGGACGACCAGCTCTTCCCATCATCTGCAAGATATCTGTCAAATCCATATCTTTGTAATCTTCAATCTTGGAGTCGAAAAATTGAGTACCTTTGATGATGACTAGATGAGCAGGCAAATTGACACCCCAAGCCAAAGTGGATGTGGCGATCAAAATCTGAATTTTGCCGGCCTCAAACAATTTGTGAGATATCTGACGATCTGACTCTACCAAACCAGCATGATGTAAACCCATGCCGAATTGTAAAGAGATTCGTAAAGTGTCATCTTTTACTCTCTCTAGAACATTTTGCAATTCTTCATCATCCATCTCCAAAAATCTTCTTGGATTCAGTTCCATTCCACATAAGTGAATCAAATCAAGTGCCGTGAGCCTTGTTTGCCGTCTTGACGCCACAAAAATTAAGACGGGTTTCTCAGGAGAATGCTGTTTGATTGCCATGAAAGCGGGTTTGTTCATTGTTTTCATCAAGGGGCAAAACGCCAAGTTATCTGGGAAGCCATCAATGTACATCTGCAAGGGAACAGGACGAACAGATGAGGAGAAGTTGAACAAACCCTCATTGACCCTAAGCCAGCCAGCCATGTCGATAGCGTTGGAGACTGCAGTCGACATACCTAAGAGACGAATTGGTTTTTTTGTCTCGGCAGAAATATAATTCATTCTGCTGACAATCATTTCCAAAATCGGACCTCTGTCACTCGCTAACAAATGAATCTCATCCATAATCACTAAAGAGATTTCTTGAACAAACTTCCTAGTTTGCCAATTACGGGAGATACCATCAAATTTTTCGGGCGTCGTGATGATGATACTTGCTTCGCGTACTTCTCTTGCTTCGGGCAACGAATCACCAGTTAATTCAACAAGTTTATGATTTGTGTTCTTCGTGATTCTTGCCCGCCAGTCATCGACTCTTTCTCGAACCAAAGCTTTCATGGGGGCAATGTACACAACTTTAGAGCCTGGAAACTCTTTAAAAGCATGCCATATGGCTAATTCGGCAACAACAGTTTTACCCGAACCTGTTGGAGAGCCAACAAACACGTTTGAATTGGTATTGTATAAAGAATGAAATGTCATTGTTTGCATAGGGTTGAAGTATCGGAATTTGGAGTTGTAGATTTTCTCCACTTCTTTGTTATGCAAGGCAGTCACAGGTAGAGGTTGCAAACGCAACAAATTTGTTCTTATAGTATGGTTCGTTGGTTTAATGAGATGTTGAAATGACACAGAGTGTACTGTCTCAGAACCGATCCATGTGTCAGAAAGGACTCTTACCACAATTTGCGCTGGTGGAGGGTCAGATAACGGAATCATGAAATCAAGCTCATGTGGAGCTCTCATCTGGTTTCTGCGGAGAATAAATTTCTCAACATGCAAAATACTTGAGTCTCCTGAGTCTTCAACTGTAACCCAAAAATATTGGGCGTTTCCATGGAATTTGTCGTCCCACACAAAGTCTGGATCCAAGAATACGTGCATCCGGGCCACGTTGTTTGTGATTGGAAAGATTTCAGCTTCAATCTCAATAAACGGAAATCTGCCAACAAGCTTGTATAATTTGTCACCGGCCCCAGAATTGTGGACCAAGTCTCCAAGCTCAGCCGAGGAGTATTCGCGCAAAGTATCGATGGAAGGATTTTTGGAGCGTATATTTCTCAAAATCGGTTCAGAAAGTTCGAATTGGCTCAATGGGTGATCAAAAGCCCAAGACCTTCGGTCAATTGACTTGCATAAAGAAAGCATTATCTTCAGAAAATGTCCCCATCTGCGATTGATACTAATCAAGAACAAAGCACGACAAATTCTAGCAGAATTTTGGGCCACGTAGTTACAGTCGGAGACAAGAGAAGACTCCTTGAGGTGAATTTGCGAAATGAATGCCTGAAGGAGAATGTTGGTTTTCCATTGGTTAGACTCTGCTTCTCCACCAACTTGACATGGGGTTTGATTGTCACAAACCTTTTTCAATTCTTCTTTTTCCTCGTCCCTGAATTTGATATTGTCAAACTCACTGCTCATACTGATCATGGCCAAAACATCAGCTTCGGTGGCTTTGGGATTGAGTGTGTGATTGAAAATCTCGATAGAGTTGTGAAGCAAATAGAAGTCAGACGCAACTCTACCCAAGTCTTTGGCAATGAATGCTCCTGAATTCTCGTCGAAAACAATCATTTGTAACAGATGAAGCCTTCTTGCTGCATCTATGATCATGTTTCGGCGACGATTTAAAAGCATCGGGTCTTCTTCAAGTTCCCTCCAGTTTATAGCATAAACTTGAGGATTCTGTCTCATTCTGACCATCATGTAAGTGTAACCAAGCCACTGAACACCCTCTTCGATTGTCGTAACCGTACCCAACGATATTTCGGCATTCAAGTTATCGATAAGTTTTGCCAGAAGTTTCGACTCAATTGGATGTTGCTGGCAAATCAATGAGACGTAGTGGTCAATCCTGTCGCTTGTCGTACACAAAACACCGGTACCAAACTTCTCGAATTGCGGTCTACCAGCACGACCAAAAATTTGAATGACATCTGAGATCCCCAAATCAGTAAAGCCACCTTGCTTTGCATCGTATACCTGCGTGCCCTTTACAATCACCACCGCAGCAGGCAAGTTAACACCCCAAGCCAAAGTGGCAGTGCAGCATAAAACCTTGATTGCCCCACTGAGAAACATCTTTTCAGTGAGGTTCCTGTCTGAGCGAAGCATACCCGCATGATGTATACCAAAACCATGATGAAAAAGCTCACGCAAGTCTTTTGATCTGTTTCTTCCAGCGGCTTCACGTTTGAACCAGTCATATGAGTCACAAGTCTCGGAAGTATCGAATAGATCAAGTTCGCCATTTTTTTGAGCCATTGAGATATAAGTTTGAGCGGTCTTTGCGGTATCCTTTCTGGAGTGGACAAAAACCATGACCTGGACTCCGGTTCGTATGTTCTCCAAAAGCCTATCGTAAGACACTCGATCGAGATTTTCACGAGCAGTCTTTGATCCAGCCTTCCCTCTAACACCCACAAGTTCCTGCTTCAATGGGCAAGGTCTGAACAGCTGATCGAAATAGAACATTCCTATGTTTCTATTCACGCCCAAAAAGTCTGCAACATCCATGTAGTTGGGGAGAGTGGCAGAAAGACCGACTACTCTGATCATCAGCTGAGTGCTTTCTACTTGGCGCAAAGTTCTGGCAACCAAGGTTTCAATCACAGAGCCTCTTTCTTCGTGTAATAAATGGACCTCATCTATAATCAAAAGCTTGACTTTTGCAACTAAGTCAGTGTCCCCATTTGATTTCCTGGTAATTACATCCCATTTTTCTGGCGTAGTAACAATCACTTGAGTGGTCATGATCTCTGCCCTGGAGAGTTGCATGTCACCTGTGAGTTCCCTCACTTTGATGCCAAGCCACTTCAATTTTTGTGAGTACTTCTCAACGATCTCCGCAGCAAGCGCTTTTAGCGGAGCGACATAGATGATCTTGAACTCGTCGTAATCAATGTCAATGACACCTTCCTCAGCCTCTGTCAAGAATTGGCCGATGGTGTGGAGGATAGTCAAAAGCGCAACGTCAGTCTTACCCGCACCCGTAGGGGCACAAACCAACATGTTTTCGTTCGTGTTGTATGCCACCGGGTAAACCAAGCTCTGCATTTTATTGAGCGTCTTGTAGTTGAACGTGCCTTGACACAAAAAGTCTAGATCGCTCACTTTCACCAACTGCGAGTCCCTGATATAGTTATTTGAAATGTTTTCTGGATATGGTATGATGATCTCCTCGTGGGTCGGATAACTGTCTCTGGTAGTACCTGCCGGCAACAGGTACAGCTTCCCTGTGATGGCAATGACATTGCCCACGTCCTGCTTTTTGAATACGTGGGGATACTGACCTTTTTTCATGACGGCAGGCGCAAGCCTTTCTTTTTTGCGGCTTTCCCGACTGGCCAAGAGCTGCTCAACACGCTCTTCTGGCGTCATCAAGCTGGGGTCTTTGTCCGCGGTTTCGGTAGTATCCAGCAGCGCCAGCGTGCAAGAGCCGAGCAAGTTCTGGCGGTTTTGCACGATTTTCGAAATGAGGTCAAACTCTTCAAATCCTAATATGTCGAAAAGCGCCGATTGCAACTCCTCGTCGCTCGGGTTCTCCAATAAGATGTTCTCGACCAAACCAATGGTTTCATGATCATCTTGCCCCCGAGAAAGACTGACCCTTGAACACTCCTGCTTGATTTCCTTAGCCACAGATGCATTTGAGGCAGAGCTTTTGGCAATCGCTTGCAATTTTTCTGTGGAAAGACCAGCGAACAAATCTAGTGTGGCCTGGAGGTTGACCTGCGGCGACAATTCACCATCGACTTTGGGCACTTTCGGCAGCAGGGGCACGTGCAAGGAGCCCAAGAGATCCACCATGGGCGCCATTGCCTGCATGTATGATTTGGTGGAGTTCACCGAATATTGTGCCATTGTCTCTGATGAAGGCGTTAATAGTGGAGGCAAATTCCAGGCGCCATTCTGGCTGGTGTGCCCGTGGCTGCGAGATCACGTGACGCACTGGAAGATTTTGTCTGGCGCAGAGCCGGGGCAGCCCCAGCAGCGCGCATCGCATCTCGGGCCAAAAAATTTCCAGCTTCCAAACCACTAGTATTACCAGCAAGGGAAGAACACAACATGGGCAGAAAAAGCAAATCCGCAGGCAAAGCCTCGGCCCAGGCACCTTCGAAGGCACCTGAAAGCGCCAAGCCCAGCAGCAAGCGTGCCCACGACTCGGAGAGTGAGAACGAGGCCTCGGACGCCGAGAATTTGGTCGATGAGCTCGATGATGAGTTCGATGAGGTGGCTCAGCTCTTGGGCGAAAACATCGAAGACCCTGAAAAAAAGCAGAGCGACAAACAACGTAAGAAAGAGGAGACCCGGTTGGCCAAGCAGCAACAGCAGGATGCCGCAATCAAGCCCACTCGCTCCGAAGTCGCTGCAGATGAAGAGGACTCGGACAACTACAACTTCGACGACGCCGGTTTTTCGCAGCCAACGCTCCAGGCCATCCACGACATGGGCTTCAGCAAAATGACCAAAGTGCAGGCCAAGACGATTCCGCCATTGTTGGCTGGAAGAGACGTGTTGGGTGCAGCCAAAACCGGGTCTGGTAAGACGTTGGCGTTTTTACTCCCGGCCATCGAGCTCTTGTACTCACTCAAATTCAAGCCTAGAAATGGCACGGGTGTCATTGTCATTTCTCCCACGAGAGAATTGGCGCTTCAGATTTTCGGTGTTGCCCGTGAGTTGATGCAGCACCACTCGCAGACGTTTGGCATTGTCATTGGCGGTGCCAACAGAAGACAAGAGGCCGAGAAGTTGGCCAAGGGTGTCAACTTGTTGATTGCAACCCCTGGTAGGTTGTTGGACCACTTGCAAAACACACAGGGCTTTGTGTACAAGAACTTGAAGGCTTTGATCATCGACGAGGCCGACCGTATTTTGGAAATTGGTTTCGAGGAGGAAATGAAGCAAATCATCAAGATCTTGCCCAACGAGGACAGACAGTCGATGTTGTTCTCGGCCACCCAAACCACCAAAGTGGAGGACTTGGCCCGTATGTCCTTGAGACCAGGGCCTTTGTACATCAATGTTGTTCCCGAGGCCGCTGCCTCGACGGCGGATGGTTTGGAGCAGGGCTATGTCGTGTGCGAGAGTGACCAGAGATTCTTGCTTCTTTTCTCCTTCTTGAAGAGGAACGCCAAGAAGAAGATCATTGTTTTCCTCTCTTCGTGTAACTGTGTGAAGTACTTTGGAGAGTTGTTGAACTACATCGACTTGCCTGTGTTGGACTTGCACGGCAAGCAGAAGCAAGCAAAGAGAACAAGCACCTTCTTCGAGTTCTGTAACGCGAAGCAAGGAATCTTGATCTGTACAGATGTGGCTGCCAGAGGTCTCGATATTCCAGCTGTGGACTGGATTATCCAATTCGACCCCCCTGATGATCCAAGAGACTACATCCACAGAGTCGGTAGAACTGCCAGAGGAACGTCTGGAAAGGGTAAGTCTTTGATGTTTTTGACTCCATCTGAACTTGGTTTCTTGCGTTATTTGAAGGCCGCCAATGTGCCTCTCAATGAGTACGAGTTCCCCACGAACAAGATCGCCAATGTCCAGAGCCAATTGACGAAGTTGATCAAATCTAACTTCTGGTTGCATCAAAGTGCAAAGGATGGATACCGTTCTTACCTACAGGCATACGCTTCGCATCACTTGAAGACCGTCTACCAGATTGACAAGTTAGATCTCGTCAAGGTGGCCAAGTCGTTTGGTTTTGATGTCCCTCCAAAGGTCAACATTACCATTGGTGCTAGTGGCAAATCCATTGAGAAGAAGCACAAGAAGCAAAGAAGAGCCTAGAATATGGGTTTAGTAAGTATAGAGGCGGTCAGAATGTGTATCATAGCATAGAAACGAAAAAGTTATTAAGTTTTCATATGGAGGTTAGCTAAAAGTAATAGGCTTCCCCCCTCATCGCACTTTTGATCAGAATCCCCTCCGTTTTCGATTTCTTTCTTCTAATGTTCTCATTGATATTGCCGCAGTGTTGTTTTGCAGTGCGGCCGGCATCATCATATCTAGGTCTTCGCGCATCGGCTTTTCCGATGCATCAACAGTAATAACTGATCCTCAGGGTAGAAAAGATGAAGGTGTTGAACGAGAGAGAAGCATTTCTACTGGACTACGAAATATTACAGCATTTGACTGGCATCAAGGAAAAATTCAGCTGGAGCTTCACGCCTGAGGACGACGCCAACGACAAATATAGAAGAAAGAGATTTGCAGGCGCAGGCCAAGGGCTAGAGGCTATCACCAGAGACATATTGCTGTACTTGGCGAAAAATGCTGCTGGATCAGTCACTTCTGAAGCAAGCTTTGGTGAGCTTGTCACATTTCTTAATGCATTTGATTTGATGAAAGCTGAGAAGCTTCAAATTGTCAACTCGTTACCCAGATCTATGGTGCATCTCTACGGCTTGGTAGAAGAGTGTGATCTGAGATTTGACGAAGACACGTGTCAGTCGATTATCGACAAGATCGATGAGCTTTTCCCATTGGCACAAGAAGAGGGTGAAGAGGAAGAAAATGAGGCTGAAGACGATGCTATGGCCGACTCTTAAAGTGAAGGTTCTTCGGAAGTTTTTTGTATATTACGAGGGTAATATTGGTAAAATGAAAACTAATTATTTCGAAGACGTAACACCCCCATCTGAGTATATCTATATTCGTTGTCCCAATCTATAAAAACGTGTCCATTACGCGGTATTTGGAATTCACCGGTTCCACGTCATTTTCATCAGTCTTTCCCCCAAATACCTTCAACCCATTGGTTTGCCATTCCTGTTTTAACTGGAGCATGCGTTCACTAAACCCTTGAAAAACCCCTGCGGGGCCATCAAAGGCCTCGCTATGTTCTGTGATCTTGATCCACGAATGCTCTTTATCCAAAACTGAATTTCTGTCGAGCTCCTCATTTTCCCTTTTGATAACGTCCATCGAGAGTATTTTAGTGAGCTCTGCCCCATCTGCACCTAGATCAAAACTGTCTTCATTGGTGATATCCAGCCCGTCTATCTCCTCAACTCCGAAATGATTTGACACTAAATGTTCGACAACGGGCCATCCGAATGCGTTAGCAAATCTGCGCCGGACCACAATATTGTTATGTGCATCTGGCATGAGATTCACTAGAACTTTTCGCCACAGCATTTGCTTATGGTACTCTCTTGCGATTTCTTCCTCGTAATGCTCAGTCATTGAACCGAGCAAGAGCTGCTTGATCTCTTCACTCTTAGTGGAAATTTTTTGCATCATACCAACCTTTTCCCCTTCGCTTGTCCGACGTTTAATTGTTCTTTTCAACTTCCCGGCTTCGTGTCGATCCGGTAATAATTTTGAAGATGTACTAGCACGAAGTGGAGGGAGATCTTTTTCTGTGTAAACTCGGTCATGCAAAATGACATTTTGTCTCGACTCCGGGTCTGTGATATATTTCATGGGAGGTAGTGGTGGGAGAAAAATTGACGTGGCGCTCTCCAACACAGAAGGCTTATGTATTTTACCCAATGGGTCCCCTAAGGCATGTTCTTCCGTGGTTGCACTTTGTTCCTCACTACGTCCAATTGATCTCTGTTTTTGCGGCATGAAATAAGAAAGCATAGCCAGAAAAGGCAGAGTTGACGAGTCCTTAGACGCATCGGGCAAGTCACGAGGAATCTTTGCTGACGACACTGAGGACCCGTTGAGGAGCGATGAAGATGAATGCTCACACAACTCGGGCTTTGCAGTACCGAGAATAGTCGACAACCCTTTGTAGTCCAAGTAAAGCAAAGCAGATGTGCGCAATGGTACGATCCCGTCGTTGAATACATTGGCGTAAGCAGTTCGGCGGACAAATCTTTTTAGGATTCTGTGGGTGGGCCCCGACGGTAGTAGAAGCAAAAGAGGTTTGTTGTCTTGCTCAGTGAACTGAAGGCCCAAGTCATGGCCTGTGCGACCTGCAACACCTGCCTGAAGGGCTATTTTCACATACGCCGGGTTCTCGTGGACGACCCCAAGCATGGGTGAAGCCAAGGTGATAAAATTCACCGGCTGGAGCTGCTGGAAGAACCAAGGATAGTTGGTTTCGAGATACGCAATGGCAAAGGTCTGCACAAGCCCACCCAATGAGTGTCCCACGAATGAGATCTTCGTAGTATTTTGAAGGCTTTCGTTTTTGAGGAGTCCAATCACATACTCAGCCACGCGGCTTCCAAGATACTTGATTCCTCGTTCGGTCTTGCAAGCATTCCCAAAATAGCCTTTCACCACGACGTTCTCAGAGGATGCATCGATCATTTCCTTCAAGAACAACATGTCTGCAGAAACATTGGAGTGGAGCCCGTGCGTGAGAATCACCAAATGCGTCGGTTTCGCCGGGTCCGGTAGGGGCAAATTCCACAAGTCTAGAGTGTCATGCACTCCCACAAGCAATCGGGGGTCAGACTTGACAGCAATGGTTTCGTCGATCTCACGCCCACTGGACACACACACCTCAAAATTGACTGTTTGTGTGAGGCTAAAGAGCATCTGCGAGCTGACATCAACCAACCACTTGTACTTAGAGTTGTACGTGTGGCATGATAGCTCTGTGCAGAAAGTTTGACCCGGATGTAGCTGGGGCTCAAAAACAGGCTGGTCAGCAGTGACAAAGGTTTTTTTGGAAACTGAGTAGCTTTCAGGGCGGCAGTCCACATACAACGAGTATGGACCTGCCACATACGCAGCACGCAACGCCAAGGGTTCCGTATTTCTCACCCGGAGCCACAAGCTTGGTGGGGGCAGAGAGAGATATTCTTCTGCAGAGCAGCAGGGTGAATACTCGATTTCAAGGCGAGTGGTCTGACCAATTCCGACGCTGTGGAGAGATTTGTGTATTAGTGGTGCCACCATTAGGGCGTTGGAGAGAGACGGTGTGTCACTGAATTTGGCACTGGGGCTGAGCTTATGAGGATTCTCCAATTACAAGGCCGAGTTTTTTTGAAGGAGGTTCCACAGAGGCTCGATGAATGTGCTTCACTGGAATGCCACTGGGAGCTGGTTTACTTAAGAAACTAGGTGCTATTGCATGTGAATGAATGCTGCGAACTTCTCGGGGACAGAAAACAGCTCAATACGGTCTACTTTTACTTGCGACTCAAAACCTCACGCACAGATTGGAGCGAACGTCACTTGTGATTGAAAGGAACCGTAATGCGCAAGAAGACTCAGTAGGTGGCGTGCCTTTCTTTAAGTGAGGCGCTCGTCTACAGCTACTTCGATGTCATGGGTATACAGGAAATCGATGAAGGCGACGTGACGCAAGTAGGCTTCCGAACTAGCATCTGGGGTGTGTCTATCTTGATGAGCAGCTGAACAATTTGACTTCCTCTGTTTTCAAAACCACATGTACAGCCTAAATGGTGTAGACATAAGCCCGTGCAAACGAGCCAGAAGACTGTGGTTTCGATTCGTCTCACTCTTATCGGTACCAAATCGCAGTGCGCAGGTGAGGTTCAGATAGTATTCGCGTAGTCCTTCGAATACATTGTGGATTCCACTTGTGCATTTGATCAGAAAGCCACAGCACTGACTTCGGCATCTGGTTCGCGAGTTTTGAAATCTTACATTCTAAACGGGTGCCAACCTCTTCAAGGCATTACTCCCAAAAGGACACAACATTCAAAATGGTGGAGGAAAACGTCGATTTCCACCCTGTGGAACTTGCGGCACATTTTCTTCTCTCCGGTTCGTTGGATAGCTTACATGAGACGTTTCTGCTGTTGCACGAGTCCCAGAAAATTCTCCTCACACGATTGCATCTCATTGAGACTCGTATGACCAAAGTGCTGGAAAACCTAGACTCGTCCGAACTTGACTTGGCGGGTGTTCAAACACGCGTCAAAAATATACGCAAGAAACTTCAAAATTGTGCCGTCTTGGTTGACAAAGTTGAAGCAAAATTGGAAACACTTGAAGACTGAGCTTTCAGTGATGATGTCGACAGATCAGGCTACATTCGCCACCAGTATTCAAATACTTTTGCACTATATTCCCACCCACCACTAGGGATGTAAAGAATGGAGTCGAGTTCTTTTATTCTTCGATACTATTTAGTGTTGTTTCTTTGAACCATCATCCCACGAAAGTCTCAAAACTTGAGGAACTCAAAGAATCTGTATGGGTAGCCACCATATTTGATGCCAAAAATGTTCAAGAAAATACCATACAACAAGTATAAGCACGCGCACACAACAACACTGGCCAAAAGCTGGGCTTTGGCGTCTTTTATCTTGGAAACTCTCACAGTCAAAACAAGGAACAACAATCCCGAGAGCCCATACAACGAAGACAATGCCTGGGTCTCAAAGATATACTGCATTTGAGGTGAAGGTGCAAAGTACTCGACCTTACGCCCATCATCTCTCACATATGGTGAATTCTTCATCTGATTGAACATGTGGCCTGTAAGAAACATCAAAATAAGAACGATCGACACAAGACCCCAAAGCAATGGTGATCTGACTATGCTAATCAATCTAGTAGAGTACATCTTCAAGGCGAAAATCAGACCAAAGGTAATCAAAGCATGCGTGGCAATCTTGCTGTAATCCACTGGAATGTACAAGTCAATGCTATTGCCTGTAACCGCAGTTACCCATTTGGAGAGTAATTCAATATGATCGCCTTGATAAAATTCGTACTCATGAGAATCTGACAAAAATGTCGAAGGCTTAGTGTCTTTTGGAGTTGGAGGGAAGTGGTATACCTTGGGAATTGACTGCAATGCCAACAACTTGAACAATTTCTTAGAGTCATCAAGCTCGGAAACTAAAAAGTACACGTTTTTCCCGTCTTCAGTAATCCCTTTAGGATATGTACGTCTGTAGGAGTTAGCAACAGTCTCGTAGTATGGCGCAAACTCACCACACAAAAAACAACTGATCTTTGGGTTCCGCGATGTCAAGAAGAGAATGAGATGATAGTCTCTTTCGCCATAGAGCACTTTTTGGTAGTTCTCGTCAGACAAGTGAATTATGCCATTCTTGCCTTTAGACTCAAGCACATTGTGCAACTCATCATTTGTGTAAGTTGCAAGTACTGAAGCCCATAAGAGCGAAACCAAAAATAATGGAGTCCAACACTTCATCGTTGAGTATGGAGGTGGTTAATCTAGCATACCGTGGCCTAAATACGTTGCGTCGCGAGGATGCACCGAGACAAGTCACGTGTGCGGCTCGAGTGAAAGGCAGGCACCGGGCTCTTGATATCACTATTGTTATATCACTATTAGTAACGACACGATATTCAATACGAATAATTCTTCAATGAGCGGTACTGACAGATGCCAAATTAAATAAATAATTGAGTTTTATAAATGTGTTTAGAATCAAAATCATCAGTTTATTAATTCTTGTATTTCAAGGCGGTGGCTGCTGCCTGCTGAGACGCGACATATACCTTCTCCAGTCTCGAATCTCTCAACCAATAATATGTACGGGCGATCCAGCTCAGGTAAACAACAGTCCAAAAATATACCGTAGACACTATCACTCCATTCATTTGTAACTATTATTGGCTGTCGGGTAAGGCTGTCAAATACAGAGGCTCGTATAGCAGGCCGGTAATTGTTTGCCTGCTGGGCGTCGTGCAGTCCCAGTCGTAGGTGAAATGTGACTTCAGTCTGACTATGCAGTGTAACAATCTCGAGCTTTTTTCTGTTCGAGATGTTCCATTCAAAAGAGGTCTCCTTCATGAAAGTACCCAAAGCTTGCGGAGTGGGATTGACTTCAACCGCTTTGTCTCCGTTGTAAGCTATCATCAATTTGAACTCACCCTCTTCTCGCGGGTTGTAGGTCGATGCCAAAAGTTTATAGTTTCCCGGCTCGAGATCTTCGATAACATGATGAAATAATCTTTGGGTATACTTTTCACTGAACATAAGTTTCGATTGATCCAACTTGCGAACTTTTTTGCCTGATTCTTTAGGATTGCAGTGAAGCATGTGTAGATTGACATCCACTTTTCTGTTCACGCAGCAAAGAGCCACTTCAAAGCGGGTCTTCATGTTAATGACAAGATCATACTGTGGGTTATTGATAAATGTTTCGTTTAGCCAGTTTCCTCCTGAGGTCCCTTGGCCCCAGTAGCCCGTGATAGTAGGGAATCTATAGTTACATGAGCTTTTTGCTCTTGCAAATGTGATGTTCTCCGAGTCATGATAAACTGTGATTGCAAATTTACTTGACTTTTGGTCTCTGCTCACCACAGTCAAAATATAATTCTGTTCTGGCTCCATTTCGAGCTTTATCAAATGGTGCTTGGAATTAACAAATTTACCACCGAGCACACATTCATATTGATTGCTGGTGAAAATAGTGTGCTTGGCGTCTCGCCAAACTGAAACACAAAATTCGGATTTGGCTTCTTGAAATTTTTCGACAAAGATCCAAACTTTAGTCAGCTTTGCTGAACCATTGCGTAGGTGAAACTGTGACTTATCTCCCAAGAACTCAGTAGGCAAAGCCGAAGGCGAGGTGACAAAAAAAATCTTACTTTCATTCGCATGAGATGGCTTCCAATTCAAATACAAGAATTTGAAGTGACGAAGAAGTCGACGATCTATTTTGAGTAATCTTTTGAATTTTTTGTTGTCTTTCTCGCGAAACGCCCAGGGGTTTGTCAATGTATACGAGCCATCATGGATATCATAGTCACTCAAAACATAATCATGGTTACTGATAATCCCAAGAGTTCCTTCTAAAGTAGATGCAATCCGACCTGTACCTAAGCCGATCATGAGGCTTCCTGCCATTTTTGATTTCATAAACTCAGAGAGTCTCAGCTGAATTTCTTGGTCCATCAAGAGAATTTCTGGTAGCCACCCGGTCAACACATAAGTATCGTTTGCCATGTTTGAGCCGTCAAAAGAATAATGCCCCTCAAATGAAGTGACATATGCCTTTTCAAGAAGGGCAGGCCAAAGCAAAGAGTCGCTTCTTGTAGAATGCACGAACAAATATCTATCTTCGTCTTGCTTGAAATGTGGCAATTTTGTCGTGATGCCAGTTTCACGCCAACATCCATCTATTAGTAGACGTACCTTAGCGGTTCCGTTCTCAAAAATTGTCACGTTTTCGATGAGCTTTCTTGCGAGCCCTAATTCCGATATTGATAAAAGAGACAGCACGAACGAGCAGTCTGAAAGGATATCCTGGTGAAGGTCACTGAGGGGATTCAGGCTATCTGCATTTGCAAAATGTTTGTAAGGTGTTGACGGGGTTTCTTCAATGGACAACTGTTGTATGGGAGCCAGCAATGAATAGTCAATGTCCCGGAATTCCACAGGATGGTCGGGCCCAAAGGCAGGGATTCGTATGCATTTGTCTGAAGCGAGCACCGGGGCTACATCGACAGACGAAGCAGTCTCGAAATGTAAAGTAGGAAACCAAAATCCACCACTTGCAGCAGCAGCAGAAGTTAGCCACAAAAATCGCTCCTGCGCCAGCAAAGCAGCTACTCCTTTTTCGAGAAGTTTTTTGTAATACTGAAGCGTATATTGGGCTTGTTGTTCAAGCAATTTTTGAGGTGCTTTGTGGGGTGCACCCAAGAGCTTGTTGATAGTGTTACAAGCAGAAAGTGCATGATCTTTCGCTAGCTCAAGCTTATTTTGTGCCAATGCTAGATGGCTAAGCTGTAGTAGAGAGCAGCCTTCACTGAGAACTTCTGTGTGTGTAAAAATCTTCACTTGCCTCATGAGACCGACCCAATGATGGAAGTTTATCGTGTCTTAAAGAGAAGCGATAAGCCCCACTGCACAGTGCGCCTTCTGGTCATATACCAGATGTGCTTATGGTGCAGGGTAAGCCAATATATGTTGCGCCACTTTAATCATTGAACGAATACCAGGTCATCAATGAATCCGTAAAGCTCGCCACTTTTTGACATATGAAGCCAACAATGAGCAAAGGCAAGCCAGAAGAAGATCCGTCGGAAATTTTTCTGTGTTCTTTTTCGTTCTCACGTCGCCATGGGGGAATGCTCGTATGAATTTTGGATTGTTTCGCACGACCTGAAGCAGATCACTGCGATCGGCTCTCCGCATTTATTTCAATCCTCATAGTTCTGGAAACCGATTTCTCAATTACCAACCAATGCTAAGCGACTGCCGGAAATTGTTCACTCCCTGATCTCTTCTGCGTTTTTATTTATGTAAAAAACAAAAAAAAAAAAGCTTGGTCCACAAATATTATCTCAGGGATGTCCTTGGTTGCGTGTTTATGTGTCTTTTTTTTCAGACTACTCAATGCGTTTTTCATCCGGACGTTCTTTCAACCTGATGAGTATTACCAAGCACTAGAACCCGCTCATCGTCTTGTATATGGCTACGGATACTTGACATGGGAATGGCATGAGGCTCTAAGGTCTTCTCTTCATCCACTTCTTTATGCATTTGCTTATAAGCTCTTTAACATATTCATTCTGGAATCCTGGGCCGTGGTTGTTGCCCCGAAAATTATGGGAGCATTGATCGCAACTACCAGTGATATCTATACTTACTGGTTTGCCTCCCGTTACTGGCAGAGTCCTTCTGTAGCAAAAGTTGCACTTGGTCTCTCGCTTATCAGTAGCTGGAACTGGTATGTTTCTACACGCTCATTTCTGAACAATTTGGAAATGGCCCTCACCGCTGCCGGCCTTTCATATTGGCCGTGGCATCAATACAAGCTAATGCCATTATTGATATCATGCCTTTTTGGATTTCTAAGCTGCATAGTCAGGCCCACAAACTCAATACTATGGGCCTTCCTTGCGGTGTGCCTTTTGGCAAAAAATATCAGAAGATTTTCCAGATTAGTCTCTCTCTTGGTGTCAGTCAGTTTGGTATTTATGTTGACTTCAATGTTGGCCTCATTGGCTGATCGGTTCTTTTACGGTCGATGGACGTTTCCTATCTATAATTTTTTGGAGTTCAATGTTTTTCGAAATCTCCTGATCTTTTACGGCTCAGCTCCTTGGCATTTCTATTTGCTTCAAGGTATACCTCTCATACTAATGGGATATTTACCACTGTTTTGCCTTGCGATCTACCAATATCGGAGAACAACACTTGTTGGCCTATGTGTATTTTTCGTGTCGGCGTTTTCCTTAATTGCACACAAAGAGTTTCGTTTTCTCCAGCCACTTCATCCAGTGATGATAACATTGTGCGCCAAGACAATCTACCAGAGAAGGCACATCAATCTCGCCAAACTTTTCGTCTTCGTGGTTGTCATCTTTCATCTGTTCATTGCATATTTCTTTACCAGAGTTCATGAGGCAGGTGAGATTAGGGTCGTGGAATTGTTGAGGGATGACCCAATGGTGGAATCTATTGGCTTTCTTACACCTTGCCATTCGACGCCCTGGCATAGCATGTTTCACAGACCTGACTTGATTTCGAAATCATGGTTTTTGACGTGTGAGCCACCTCTTCATTTCGAAAGCGGCACTGCTGAAAACATACAAACATACCGCGATCAGCTGGATCTATTCTTCGACGACCCAGTGACGTTCTTACAAAGCTTGCCATATGAGTGGCCGTCTCACTTAGTGTTATTTCAACCAATGCAGAAGGTGGCAATGAGTGAACTCACCGAGTATTATGAATGCAAGAGGGTATTCAATGGCTATTTTCATTGGGACCCTCGCCGCAGCGGCGATATTATCGTTTATTGCAGAAAAGAGATCCTTATGATTTAATTTGTCTGGACTTTGGCATGGGTAACATTAATTCTGTTTGAAGATTTGTGCTCAATTAATTCAAAATTTCGTCCTGATTCTTATTGTATCTGAAGATGAAAGAAAAAGTGAAATGAAGAATAGTAGAGTGATGTTGTAGTTTTTCTTTCTCAGTTCACTTTGCAATCAGACACAGCCAATGATCTAGCGAAGTGTAACATCTCTTATATTCACGATTATGATATCCCAATCCTTAATTTAGTGCTGCATGTGATGTGGCTCATAGTAAATGATTGAAACTACTGATCCCAGCAGTGGCTGATTTGGAGAGGCGGCGAGTAGCGAACTAGAAACCTTGATCTGTTATTCGATGACGCTTTAGGTGTGATGTGTAAGTGCTTATCCATTGCGAGTGTTCATTGCAATCAACTCACGCTCCAACTGGTCCACTCTATCCTGTAAAACATTTTGATGAATCTGTGATATTAGGTGTTCATCATTGATAATCTCAAGCAGCCTATTTTTCTCTTCTAGCTGCTGTGTCAAAAGCGATATCTTCTTCTCTAATTTTGCTGACTGTGCATCTCGAGCCTTGATAGCATTTGCTAAATCTTTTGCGTGTGTGTCCGCAGTTTCCAAGCGTAGGGTTTGCAGATTCAACCTTGCTGTGAGCGATTCATTTTCTTCCCAAAGGTGAGCATTCTCTTTCACGAGTCTATCTGTACTGGCATTCCCTGATAGTGCTACTATTTTCGATAATTGGGCAAAGGCTTGATAGTATTCAGAGTCGCGTTTTTCGACTTTGTCTCGATCAGCAAGCCTCGCAGTGATTGTGTTCCACGGATCAGCCATGGCATATATTGGGCCGAGCTTTGCTTTTCGATTTTCAAGCGCAAAAGCTTTAGACTACTATGTTGTGGATGATAAGTGTATGTGAGAGTTGATATTTAGGACCGAGATTGATGGTAGAGCTAAGAGAGCGCGGGCCCATAAACTGGTGCGGCACTATGGCCGGTCCAGCCGAAGTCGCGAAAAGTGAACAATTTCAATTTCCTTGTTGCAATAGGTTTTGATATATCGTAGTCTTTTTAGTCGATTTGATAGATAATAAATGAAGCTTTGAAAGGCGGCTTTATTGAAGTCAGCTTTGCCGGGGAACAGGTCAGTATCGTCATGAAAACAATCTCTCCAAATTCAATAATCTCTCACTGACTCGTGCCTTTTAGGTGTACGAAATATAATCATGGCCCCGCGCAGTGCTGCACAGCTCCCGAAAAGAAGGCCGATAAGCGTCGCTACAAATTCGTGAGCTGTCTACCCTTTATTGTCACTACGCAAGCTTAATAAGGCAGCATTGATAAGAGCATTATTTCCGCTGTGTCATCATTGTGTCCGCTCATTTTTGAGAAGAAGTTCGGGATCAAATTTTGTACAGTGCTTCTTGTTCATTTGTCTTGCCTTTCAAGTTTTGGCTTCTCGCAATTGCACACTCGCCCCACGCACGTATAGTGATCTTATCAAACAAATTGTACACCTCAGAACAAGACGCACACTTCACCATATTCGAAGCCACGGAGTAGCATATTTAAAAGACCTTAATCTGTTCTATGAGCTCTTGGTGGCCCTTATCAGCTGGATCTGCTTTGGCAAACCCTCGCCTATCTGAAGGTGGCAATAATAAAAGTGGCAAAGAACCACAATCACCCACCCTGGAACAAAGTAAGCCAATATCTTATTGGTCTTGGGCTACAAGTCTGGCTGTAGAGCCACATGAGGCAACTGACGAAACCCCGCCCTGCGGCGGAACTGACCATCCTACGAGACAACAAGACTCGTGGTGGTCTTCAGTCGTTGGGCCACCAATGAATGCAGTTTCTAGATTTTCTATTCTGAGTGCTAATTCTGTCAGTCCTAGACCTGCGTCCCAAAATTCCCACACCCCAGTTGTTGACACGAGTCAATTGGAGACTGACAGTATTGGTAACATTAACAAAATCGAACACGTCGCTCAACAAAATAGCTGGTTATCTTGGCTTAACTTTCTGGGTCCGAACCCAGCAGAATATGAAAATGATACTGAAAACAAGCACGATCTAGAAGCTTTCCGAGAAGCAAAACTGGCTATAGAAACCAGTAAAGATGCGTGTCATTATGCCATCTCCAAACTTCACGGATCAAGTAGCGTGTCTTTGGCTGTACATGGTACAATCACAGAAAGCACACCTGTGAACTTCAACGAGAAAAAACAACCTATCATGCCTCATCAGCTTCTCGAGAACGCAATCCCAGATCCAAGACCATCGAAATTTTCAGAGACACAAAGCGACCAAGCTAAAAAATCAACCCTGTACAAACCACTGGATCAGCACCAAAAAAGTGAATCAAACAATCCGGCTGAAAAAGCGTCATACGGCTTTCATCCACCATCTGCAAGCGATTCATCTAGGATCCTTCAAAACAAAATTCTGGCTCCCACACCTTCACTTGATCCAGACACCAATATCAATCGTTCGAAACAGGAGTTTTCCACAACGGCTATACCGTTGAATTCCTGCACACCCAGCAGCTTAATTCCCGTTTCACCGGATCTTGACTCAAATCTTAGAGTCATTACTTTGTCTACCAAGATAAGGTTATGGGGCGAGGCGATTATACATAAGGAGATTGTTCCAGGAACTCATATTTACAAGTCGACTCGCCCGTCTGTGGAAAGAAAACGAAAGAAGGTTGTCAAAAGGGCTCTTGTCATCTCTGTGCATAGCTTCTTGCCCACAAAATTTGTCAGGTCAGTGATATCCCAGAGCACCGGAAGTGCATCTATAATGGCTGAAAACGCTGTCAACGCCGTACATCGTTGGGCCAACGACGATGGTGAACACGAACTTCAAGTGCAATCAATAGCTCTTGATGGCATTGGAACCATCGGTTCTAGAGTAGACAACTCACTCCACCTACTCCAAAACTGGGCAGATGAAGTCAAGAATGCGGAGTTCATTTTTATGGTCTCAAACTCTACTGCTAGTCCCGTGGCACTTCAAATACTACAGCACATGGCTAAAACTTCTAGCTTTGGGTTAGAACACAAGAAGGTAGGGTTCCTAAGCATGTCAGGGGCTTTGCAGGGTCGTGTTTCCGGGCTAGATATGAAAGTCATAAGAAGGGCTTATACTTGCTATGAGTATGACATCATCATGGAATTATTCGAGCTTCAAAAAAGCAGTTCTCATTTAAGCAGGAAGTTAACTGAAAGCATGAATGATCTATGCCAATATAATGTCAAATTGGCATTGATTGGTTCTGTTGATGACAAGTTCATTCCAATCGCTTCCTCTGTCTCCTACCAAACAAGTCATCCCAATATTTATAAGGGTCTCTACATTGATGAAGATGTAGAGGTACCAGAATTTTTGATCCGACTCATGTCCATGATTCTTACAATGGAAAATGTCGGATATGCAGATCACTATCAACTTCTCAAAGATTTACTGGAGTTGTCACAAGGGCCTTTGGGAGTGTGCGCTACCCATGGAGAGATTTTCAAATGCCCCGGTGTGTATGATGTTGGGGTCAAATTTGCTTTAGAGACTACAAGTCTCAAGTTGCGCAAGAATGCGGTATTCAAACAGTTCAAGTCATACGGCGCTAATACAGAGCGCAACTTATACCATTTACCTTGGAATGTACGCGGGTTAATTAATGACTTACTAAAAACCAAACACATAAAAAGCATGAAACTTCTAAAAGAATTAGTGAGTGAGTACAGAAAATGGGATCCCTCCACCCGCCCTTGGCGCGAGATAAAACAGTGTTTTGCTGCTTTTGAAGAGAGCAATCCAGAGGACTTGATGATGTGAAAAAAAAAAAAAGAGAGGGGAGGAGAAAATTGGTTGGGCATAGAATTTAGGGCGATCTGCGCAAAAATTTTTGAAGCGAGTTTAAGGGCCAACAGAAGGAATTGGCGAATCATCCTTGCAGTCTTCGCAAATTGCCTCGTGCGATGCGTCGCGGTGTGCACATAGCAATACGATACGAACAGAATGCATGTGGACGGCACAACGTGGCTCTCTCATAGACCGCGGATCTCAAAGAACATTTATTGATTTTCTAACTTTATTCATTTCGGTACTCAAACCTCTAGTTGGAATCCTTCTGTTTTTTAAAGGATGCTTTGGTGCAGCATCAAACTCTAATTATTTCGCAAGTAATCTTTTTAAGATGTTGACCCAGATATTCTAGTCAAGGAATCATGTGCCAATACAAAGCTCGGAGGTTCCGCATTTTTTGGGCAAGTACACTACCTCGGAACCATGCAAGCACGTTCTACGAGAACGCCTGTTGTCGTGAGGACTTAAAAGTTTAGGTTTCTACTTAGTCGTAACATAATATTCAGGTTTCAGCCAGTGATTTGCTACCATTCGAATCACAATTAGTGAACGTTATAAAGCGTTGTGTCATTAGAACTCAGAAAAAACGATCATCTTATTGAAGTGGATTTAGCCCACCGACATTTTCCGAGTGATTGGTACTGATTCCGGAAGCAACACAACAAAACAGCTCAAAATGTCAGACGATACAAATCTGAAGCGCTCTCGTGCCTCGGGAGAGGTATTGGACTATCTCCTACGAGAATTTGATGTCAATCAAAACCCAAATCCTGATCAAAGAAAAGATATCAGTGAGAGGACAGGGATGACAGAAAAGGCCGTTCGCATTTGGTTTCAAAATCGCAGAGCCAAGCTTAGAAAGTTCGAGCGTATGGGTAAACCAGTAAAGCAAAGTGGCCGTCCTGGTGTATCGCCAAGAGGTGTTGTTAGTGGTCCTTCGTCTCGTTCAAACCTGCTAACTAATGTCTCTCTCAGTGCTCTTGACCAACACTCAGAAACACCCAACGAGCTCAACGATAAATACTGCTTCATTGATTGCTCGTCACTCTCGGTGGGTTCGTGGCAGAGAATCAAAAGTGGACAGCATGATCATCATGCCTTGAAGACTTCTCTCATAAACCTATCTCCGTTCACACTCGACCAGTTCATGAACACTGTGGATTTGATGGTGATTTTGTCCAAGAAAAACAATGAGATCAACTACTTTTTTGCGGCGATCTCCAATAACTCAAAAATTTTGTTCAGAATATTCTACCCGATTTCGTCGATTATATCGAGCTCATTATTGGAGAATAGTGTCAGTAAAGAGAGCAGTGAATTGAGACTCAAACTATCTCATACACCAAAGTTTTCGGTTTATTTTTTCAGCGGAATTAACGCAAACCTAAACCAATGGTCGATTTGTGACGATTTTTCTGAGGCTCAGCAAGTCAGCTCAGCGTACTATGCTCCAGGGGGTACTTCCACACCACATGTACTTGTTGGTTCCAAGTTGTCTCTTGAGTTTTTGCTTGAATTTGTTAAGACGCAAAACGAGCATCAAATACCTGGCTTTGAATCTGTTGCTCTTCACCATTTTGAGCACGATCCAAAAGACAGTCACTTAGACGCTTCAAACGTCAACGCCTTTGACCCAGTTCATGCAACAGAAACAAAAGGTCAGTATACTTTAAGCCATAATTCACATGATGCAAATGATTTCAGCATCAAACATGACGTTGATTGGCACGATACCCCTCGAGATGAGCAGGATTTTGCCATGAAAGGTATCTCGCCACTTGGTGACTTTCACAACAGATCGCAAAGTCCAGCGATGAGCCAGCACTCAAGCCTAAATACTGATATTAAGTATCTGACGGGACTTAGCACAAAGGAGTCCGAGAACGCAGGACATTCTTCCAAGAAGCCTGAGAATGAATACTCCGACATTTTCACAGACAGCCCTGATTTTTTTAATGCAGTTCAAACACCTGGCACCCATCAAACCCCCTCCCATACTTCAATTCGTGACCATGATAATCTCATCAACAGCCCATCCACGAATGTTCATTCCTTTGTCAACGACAATGTCAACACTGACAACATTTCCAACAGCAGAAGTGATAAAGACCATCAAGTGAACTTACGAGAAAGCTCCGCTCTGTCATACTCTGCGCCTCAATTTAACTCGTCAATTGAGCAGCATAAATACGGCTATGATGATGGAACTTCGCACCCGCATGATTATGGGTTTGCTGCGCAAATTCCAGCGAACGAATTTCTGGCGCATGAAATACTCTCAGGGAACCAATCCATGCCGAATGATACCTCGAATTCTGGTGCCACAACACAAACTGCCCACGAAGATCAATTCATCGATTACAATGGCGATGCTTAATTTGAGGTGTTACTTCTTGGAATCATGCCGGAGTGCTCCACGGGTGTGTGAAGACACCGCTCGAATAGAAAAGTTCAGAGTAGAATCAAATCGAATGCATTTCAAGTAAACGTAACTCAGTGACATCAGTTTGATGCAGGCTCTTAACAGACGTGGCTCCTCGGCGATGGTCACGTGTTCCATGGCAATGCACGCGAGATCAGGTCTCGACGACGGCACCCAGCGTTTATTTGAAAATATACGCTAAACTACACTATGTTACGTCGAGTCGGTATCCGCTTCCAACTGACAACATCAAGGCCATCTCTTGATTCAATTCTACCGAAAAAAAAGACGATCAACAGACTTCTCTTTGACAATGACTCAAGGCTCGCTTATAAGAAGGCGATGCCCATCTTGAACACAGTATACGCTAACTTGGACTCGCCACAAGATATCAGATTGCCAAGTCATGCCAAGCATGATGACCTTATGATGCTTCGTTCGATTTTACATGATTTGCGTAGTGTCACGAATTCTATTAACAAAAATCTTGTCGATTTAGAAAATGAACTTGTCGAACAAGCTGCTGAATTGGGCAACAATGATGCCATAGCCATGTTAGCTTTTGAAGCCGTAGCATCCAAAGATACCTCGAAAGAGGACCATGCTCATGCCAATAAACTCATACGGCAGCTCACAGAGCAGAAACACCCTTTGGTGTTTAAGCTCGCAGGCGATTTTGCATTCTCCAAGTCATACCATGAACAGGCCGCACAATACTGGCAACAATTTTTAGAGCTAGAGGATGATACCATTTTGGCAAGCCATGTGCACTCCAATTTAGGAATTTATTACTATCACTACATGAACCCTCGTCCCAACTTAGGCGAGGCCAAATTATGCTTCGAAAAGGCGATACGCTTTGGTCAACTCGACTCGCATATAGTTAAGGCACACTACTACTTGGGCCAGCTTTACTCCATCACTGATCCAGTCTTATCAAGGTATCACTTGGAAATAAGTGCAACCAAGGGGCTACAAGAAAGTCTTCCTTCGTTGGGCTTCATGGAACTCAACGTCTTCAATAACGTATCTAAAGCTTTGGAATGGTTCAAGTTAGGCGTCGAGGCAAACAGTGACATTTCATGCTTGATTGGCCAGTTTGACGCTCATTCCAGAGCCGGAAGTAATGGCAAGGCTATCAAAATTCTCGCAAACTTGCGTGGCCTTAAAGAAAAATTAGATAAAATTCTTGCAAAAGGCATAAACCATGTTCCCGCATCCTACCGCGAATTAGCTGCCAGTAACCAAGTCTTGTTGAATACTTTTTTTGCAACGAGATCAGATGCTATTAAAAATTTACAATAGATCTGCATTGGCATAGCTGTGAACTTGAGGAAAATCAATTCCCAAAATTTAGCTCCGAAGTGAATCTCTGCTTGAGCGTGATAGGCGCGGTCGCTGAAGTCACTGGCTGAAGACTATTATTGCTCATTGAGGAAGAAAAACTGTGTTTGATGTCGTCGTCATTCTCACTAAACCAGAAGTGCTGGCACGATTGGGATATGTCGTATCTTTGCAGAGGATCAACAAGAAGCAAGTTGCTAATTAAGTCTAATGCACTGTCTTTGATGTCATCCCAATAAGGAGAATAGAATGCAAACTTTCCCCCGAGGATTTGTTCGCGCATGCTTGGTGGACCTAGTTCATCACTGAAAGGCGGAAAACCACAAAGACAAACATACAACAATACTCCAGCCAGCCAAATATCCACTTTCGTCGTATAATTTTGATTGTTGTTGAGCACCTCCGGAGCAACATAGGCGGGAGTTCCGCATAATGTATTGGTAAACTTTAGCTCTCCGATGAATTTAGCAAGGCCAAAATCAGCAATTTTCACACGAACATCGTATTCGTCGTCATCCCATGGGCCAGTTTGGTTTGAGTTTGATGCTGACCTTGGGGTAATATCGAGAAGAATGTTTTCAGGCTTAATATCTCTGTGGATAATGTTCTTTCCGTGTAGATAGTGCAAGCCAGATAAAAGCTGATTATATATTGCCTTTGTCTCGTCCTGTCTGAGTTTCAGTTTGTTGATTATACGCTGAAAGAGCTCGCCGCTGTTTACTTTCTCCAAGACTAGGTAAGTGGTCGAAGAAAACTCGTTGATAGGTTCGACGTAGTGTGAAATGAATCTCACGATATTTGGGTGGTTTGTCGACAACAAAAGATTCATCTCTTGGCGTAATTTGGCTTCCTCGCCTCCATCAGGATTAATCCCACCTGATTTAGTTTTGTTGGGATGAAAAATTTTGACCGCTACAATATCTCCAGTGGTGCGGTCCCGCGCCTCTCGTACCACGGCATAATGACCGGTTCCCAACTGATTCTGTAAGATATAATCGTCAAAGAACGATTTTTTTGCGTTGCCCAGCTCGTCTCCTACATAGCGAAATATGTAAGTGCTGCTTCGGGCGAAAGAAATCTTGTCTCCACTACGGAGGAGCGCGCTGATACCCTTCCCGAGCAGCTCTCCATTAACAAAGGTACCATTTGTACTGGTATCGGTCACAAGGAGAAACTCTTGTCCGTTGGTGCTCGACAAGGAAAACTGACAGTGCTTTGAAGACACGTCGCCTCCTGTAATTTTGATGTCACAAGAGCTACTCCGGCCCACAACAATACCCCGTGGAATTTTGGGTATGAGCAAGTGTGGCTGGTCTGGTTTTACGCTAAAAAGTTTTGCCACAGGCTCATACTTGTGCAGTTGTCTTTTGGGCAAACTTTGCACTTCTAGCAATTGCTTTAATGTTAATATTTGGGAATCAGGTAGACGGGTGGTGGAAGGAAGAAAAAAGAAAAATACATACTCTTTTTCTCGTTAGTGACATTCGCTTATTCCTTGTACGTCTTGGCCAAAAAATAAAAAAAGGTCTTGACTCTGATGTCAGCTGCGTTAGGGAAAGATATCGACTGGTAAATCAGATTAAAAGATGGTAAGGTTTGGTGAGCACGCGGAAGACGCGTAGTGCGGACGGACAACAGCATAGAAAGTGAGGGCCGGAATCGGGCGAATACAGAGTTCAATCTCAAGAATACAATGTCAATAGAATGACCACAGCCCAATATGTTCATTTTCTCCTTCTTGTTTATTTTCGGCTTGCAAAGCATCAGGGTGAGCGAAAACTATATTATCCTAAATAATAGGTCGAGGCACTCACTATCACTCAAGCAATCTAATCTACTTTCGAACTGACTGCGTATAGTCTCGCCATTCAGAAATTGTTTCTTCAAAAGCTTAGCCCCAGATGCATCAAACCGGTTCATCATTTCGATAGACTGAAAAACTTTCTTGTAGCTTTTGTTTCCTGAATTCGAGTATTTATGCAGATGGTCCAATAGCAAGTGATCCTTCAAGATGCTATCCAAATAATGGATGTCCGTTTGAAGCTGCTCGAGCCCTCTCTTATTGAACTGGTTGTTAGTGATCACATACTCAAGCAAAATATGGGCATATGAATCGCAGATTTTGCTAGATATAATAGTGAAATCAATGTCCAGTAGGGATCTTTTCAAATATGAGGTGTATGCTGGGATTGTTGTAGTGAAACCTGACAAAGACAAAGAAACTTGGGGTACATATTGAGGGTCCTCGATATTCCAAGTACTGTCGTTTACATAGTCTCTCAAAGCTCCTCGGACTTCTTTTCGGAAGAATTCTTCGTATTTGTTCGACACCTTTGACAAAAGTGTCTTGTAATCATTTATGGAAGCATCGAATATTGACTCACCAGAGTATTCGGAAGAGCTTTGACAGTAGTTCCAAAGCTGGATGTATATCAAATTTTCTGCCCATTCCTCCATTTTTGAAATTACAAATTTCGTCAGGCAATAAATGCCTGTCAACATTTCTAGGCCAGTCAAGCCATTCGTTACAACAGTCTGTGTAGTAGAGCCCGTTTCATTCTTGACACTTGATTTCATAAAACTCGATATGATCTTCAGGCTTAGAGACTCATTGAATTTGCGAAATTGCTTTTGCAATTCTTCCAAATATTGATCCAAAAACACAAGTTGAATTTGTGACACGTACTTCAATTGATACTTCACAATGTTGATTGTTTTGAAATGTGAGGTGAGATTATCAAATAGTTTAGATAGACCATACGCAGAGTATGTCGGTTTGACCATACTCTCTGGAAAGTCTGAGCTTGCTGTGAACTCATAGTCAATTTCAAAGGCATTTTTGGGTGAAATGATCTCTGTATCAAAACGATTTTTGGCCAAGCGGAGCTCCAAGTTTAGCCAGTTGTTCACTGAAATGCTTTCTTTATCATTCGACAATAAAATGTCTCCGGTAAGTCCCATCCATTTTTTTTCTGGAACGAGATCCAATTCTTTGATAAAGGGGTTGTACTTGTATGAGTTTCGAATTCTTTGATCGAAGGTGGTGGCCTCGAAAATCAAATGTGACAAAAGTCTACCATACCGATCAATAGCTTTCTCGTCATCTTGGCTCGACGAGATCTTCTGATTAATGACTTCTAACATGCTTTCAAGCTTTTCCCGGACAGGACTTAAAACTGTAGAAAGAATTTCGTAAGCACCGATTTTCTCAAACTGAAGGAACGTATCTCCGACGACAAACTCCAACGTCGGTAGATTTTCATTCAAAAACTCCTCCACATAGTTCAATGCCCATTCTGGTTTGGTCAATTTATTGGTTTCTGATGTGTCGCGAAAATGAAAATTGAATCTTTGAGCAAACGGGCTAAGTAGCGTTTCGAGGCCCCACCATACCTCAGGATATTGAGGAACAGCATCACTGGCCTGGAGCCTGATAAGATCACTTAACAATGTCGAGATTGTCTTGAACTTTTCTGAGTCTATCGTGACTTTTTCTGTTGCGGAGAGCCACTTGATTTCCGATAGGTGAGAAGATAACATGGACGAAAGTGATGCACGTTTGTATTCCATGGCTGTTGTCAATTGTGTCTGCAACTCTGCACTAATCAGATCTCTGCCTTTGATGTTGCTGATTTGATCGGCAATCTCAGCAAACTCTTGGATGCTAGACTCGCCTGAGAGCTGGATTATCTGTTGTTCTATGGTGGCACCGGCCCTCAAAACCTCACATTGCAAAGTTAATGATTCCTTTGACTCAAGTATGGAATGAAGCCTTGAAAGAAAGGCCAAGTTCCCATATTTTTCTTTGAGCTTGTCAACTGATGCAGGCGTTAAAGTGCAGGGCTGGCCTGAAACCTTCTGCATTAGCTCGACCACCTGGAGTGGAAGTTCATTTGGAGATTGCGGATGCTCTCTGGAGGATCTAGCCAATATTTGGTCAGAAAGGATCTTTCTTTCTTCATTCAAAGAAGAAACCCGCGCATCCAAATCATCTAGGTCCAGTAGGGTTAAAAAGTTTGTGTTGATGTAGTTCATTGCATCTAGCGTTTCTAGGAATATTTGATCATGTGTGGAATGTATTTCGTGGAGGTTGGGCCGCGGCATCCAGACTAATGTCAGTGTGCCGCTCTCGACAGGACCACGTGAACATACTCTACTATTACTGACATGGTTTTCTTCGAGTTTTGATTGAAGAAAAATCTGCAGAAAAAGCTGATATGAGCCTTTTCTACCTTTTTGGATCTCAAATGTATGCTATAATTCAAAAATTTGTTTTGCTTTTAAATTTTTTATGATTTATAAAAATTTCTAACGTGAAAATATAAATGTGAAAACGACACTACTTAAAAGACCTACAAGCAACTTTCATGACTCTTTTTTTTTTTTTTCAAACTATCAACTCAAGCCTTTAATTTTTAGATAATTCTAGTGAATCCACGTGCGACTCGTGTTAAACCGGGTCTTTTTGCTGAAAATTAGCATTGGCCGAAACCTAGTGTTTTCGCATAAGGCAAACACTGGTTTCATTCTCAGTGCTCACCAAGTCGCGGCCAGGAAAAAAAATGCAGTGTAGTGTTCCTACCAAGAAGAACCAAGCGAAATATACTTCGATCTGAGAGCCTATCTACAAGTCTACACCAACATCAGAATGCAAGCCCCCGTTGTATACATCAACGCTAATACTGAAAGACAGAGTGGGCGTCAGGCGCAAGTGGCCAACATCACGGCTGCCAAGGCTGTGGCTGACATTATCCGCACTTGCTTAGGCCCCAAAGCCATGCTCAAGATGTTGTTGGATCCTATGGGCGGTATCACTTTGACTAACGATGGACACGCTATTTTGAGAGAGATTGACGTCTCTCATCCTGCGGCAAAGTCCATGATCGAGCTAAGTAGGACACAGGATGAGGAGGTCGGCGACGGCACCACCACGGTGATCATCTTGGCAGGTGAGATTTTGGCCCAAGCTTTCCCGTATATTGAGAAGAACTTGCACCCTGTGGTAATCATCCAAGCATTGAAGCAGGCTTTGGCGGATGCTTTGGAGATTATTCACTCTGTTTCCGTTGCAATCGATATTGAAAACGAAGAGGCTATGATCAAGTTGATCAAGGCTTCCATTGGCACTAAGTACATCAACAAGTGGTCTCAAAAAATGTGCGAATTGGCCTTGAAGGCCGTGAAAACCGTCACTGTTGAGAACGGCGACCAAAAGGAGATCGATATCAAGAGATATGCCCGTGTGGAGAAAATTCCCGGGGGAGAGGTTACCGATTCCGAGGTTTTGGATGGTATCTTGTTGAACAAAGACGTTACGCATCCAAAAATGAAGAGACGTATCGAGAACCCTCGAGTCATCTTGTTAGACTGTCCATTGGAGTACAAAAAGGGAGAATCTCAGACAAATATTGAAATCACCAAGGAGGAAGATTGGAACAGAATTTTACAGATAGAAGAAGAGCAGGTCCGGGTTATGTGCGAGCAGCTCTTGGAATTCAAGCCTGATGTGGTCATAACTGAGAAAGGTGTTTCTGATTTGGCTCAACATTATTTGTTAAAGGGTGGTGTCACTGCATTGAGAAGAGTTAAGAAGTCCGACAACAATAGAATCGCCCGTGCTACTGGTGCAACCATCGTGAACCGTATAGAAGACTTGAAAGAGTCTGATGTCGGTACGAAGTGTGGGCTTTTTAAGGTCGAGCTCATCGGTGACGAATATTTCACTTACATGGTTGAGTGCAGAGATCCTTCTGCTTGCACTATTTTGTTGAGAGGTGCCTCGAAAGACATTTTAAACGAAATTGAGCGTAATTTGCAGGATGCCATGGCCGTTGCCAGAAACGTCATGTTTGAGCCTTCTTTGAGTCCTGGTGGAGGTGCAACCGAGATGGCCGTAAGTGTAAAGCTCTCCGAGAAAGCCAAGAGTATTGAAGGCGTTGCACAATGGCCATACCAGGCTGTTGCCGATGCTTTTGAAGTGATCCCAAGAACATTGATCCAAAACTGTGGCGGCAAGCCAATTCGTATCTTGTCGCAATTAAGGGCCAAACATGCACAAGGCGAGCATACTTACGGTGTAGACGGGGATTCCGGCAAAGTGGTTGATATGAATGATTATGGTATTTGGGAGCCAGAAGTTATCAAACAACAGTCGATCAAGACCGCAATTGAGAGTGCATGTCTCTTGTTGAGAGTTGACGATATCGTCAGCGGTGTTCGTCAAGCATAAACGCCATTAAGATTGTAATACGGAAATACAGAAAAAAGAACAAGGGCTACACACACAAATGTCATGATTTCTATGACTGCAGATGTTCAAGGTGGATCACGTATACTTAATTTATAACTAATTGCGAACACGCCAAAAAGAGTTACACTGTAGGAATAGTAACTTGGAAGTATGGGCTTAAACGTAAGTTTCTTGTTCCTCTGTAAATTCATGAGGGCGATCATTACCTTTGTATGTGCTATCTTCTTGGGGCATATTTCAACAACAATCAAGCAGGAAAATTGTATTTCAAGTCATAAATTCAGAATCAATAAATTGATTTTTCAATAATTGAGTCGTCGAAAATACCAGACTTTGTCTCAAATTGTCTTTTTATTTTCCTTGAGGCACAACGCCCGATACTCTGGGTTGTGGATTCAGGGCAGAGACTATAATCAAGGATTTGAGAGTTACAAGTTCCATAGTCCCTATTTTGGTAGCCTAAAGCCTGGTTTTTGTGTCATATCATCCCACTTGCAAGATTGAGAATGAACGTGTGAATCTTCTATTCTTATCACCTTCTTTTGTCTCATCAATAGACTAGCTGAAATCAGTAACCAAGGAGTACCCTGTTGTTAAACGAAAGACATGATATTCATTTGGAGTAAGTCGGAAGTTTCCTTTTAATTTACGAAAATAGTAGCTCTATATTTACAGAAAGCAGTAATATGCATGGGTGTTCAAAGCCTTTGTACCACCTTTATGAATGATATTCCATATTCTTAAGTTCAGACCCATTTTGCCTGCGTTACGATGGAGCTGCCACTGGAGAGTGGAAAGTTAAAACAACACTTAATTCAGACTCTCTCGCGCCCCCTAATACTATTGAACCGGGGCAGTCGGATAATTTGGGAAGACTCGTGACCTTAAGAAACTCCTCGGCTCAATAAAAAGTGACGTGAGATTTTCACGAAAGAAAAACAAAAGATGATGGTTATGACATGGTGCTATACACATTGGCTCACTCCAAATAATACGTTCAAGTCAAAATATTTGACTGGGCGAACATAAGAGGTTCTTCTCAAAGTGATTACTCTGAAGCAACAAGGATTATCAATAGAACCTTCATCGAGTAAGGAAAGTCGCCTGTTTTCGTTAGTCTTAATATGATAACATTCCTAGTCGACTCGCTATTAGATCACGTGACTCTAAATTTTGGCGTGCTGGCTTTTATTTTGAATTGTTCCGAATCAGGAAACTATCTCGAACCGTTTTCTTTTTCGATAGCTCTCAGGTACGTCACCTGGGAGACTCTGCGCAGACGCTAGGATGCCAGCACTTTGCTGCATCAAATCATTTGAACCTCACCTTGATTAGCCTCAACCTGGAGTTTCAGTCGCTTTCCCTCCTGCTAGAGTTTCTTGGGTTCACTTTCACAATTTTGCATTATTCACTTCGCATATTCAATACATGTCCGTTCCACCGTTACCGTTTTTGGCCAAAGCAAATGTTTCGTGGACCGGAGAGCAGGATGGTGATCTTGGGTTTATGGAAAATGAACTGATCAAAGTTTTCCACATTGTTGATGAACTGTGGTGGCAGGGAAGCTTGCTAAGAAATGGCGCCGAAGGTATCTTTCCTCGAGACTTTGTAGAAGTTATATCAACGCCTCCCACAGCTCAAAATACCCCAACAAAGCCTATCACTCAATCACCAATGCAAAGCAAGTATGGACCTTCTCCAGTTGGCAATCACATGTTAACATCACCAGATAAGTATGTCGGCACTCCTTCAGGAAATTTTGTCACCTCACCTAACGCGAAGTGTATGACATCTCCACCCAAAACTAACGGATTGGAGTCGAGTTCTGTAACCCCCAGCAAACCTAATCCTCGAGAGTTTGATTATCGTACAGGCAAAAAAACAACACCCTCGAAAAGCCCTGGACACGAATACACATATCAAAACCAGACCAAGTCTCACCTGACACCAGCCCTAGAAGACTATGACGAGTCCTTTGATGAATACAACAATTCTTTTCTGTATAGTTCGAGATGCAAAAAAAAGCCCTCGCAATTCTACTCACAGAATGTTTTAAGTCTGGGCCTCACGAAAGCTCATACCACAGAAAACCTCATGGAGACGAAAAGACTCAGCCAGATGATCTCAGCGGATAATTCTCCTGATAAAACCAACTCTTACGGGATACAAAAAAAAAATCATTTACAGGAAGCGCAGCTCATTGACGCAGATCCAACCCATCATGACGAATTTTATCAGACATTGGCTCAAAAGAAGCAGGAGTTGGAGATGCAGTTGCACCACTTAAGAGAGTTGGAGAAATCTCATCTCCAAAAGAAGCAACATCTTCTGGGAAACGATAGCTATATTAGTGAGGACCTTTTGCTGTCAAAGCGCAACTACATGTCAAAAGAAGATTTGGGCAAGAAATTAGAAAACTACAAGGAACTTGAATCAGAAGATGCCCCTCCACCTCCTCCAAAACATGCAAGAGTTCCATTTGATGCAGATGACTTTAGAGCCTCTGGCGCCACGGTTGACGAAAAGTTCCGCAGCCAATCCAACTATCCTGAGGAATTAAAAAACTCCATGAAGTCGTTGCAAAGCGATGTGCTAAACTTGTCCGAACTAAGCGCCACAAGCGCCGGGTCATTCTCTCGCCACAAGTTTGAAAAAGAGATTTTGAGCCAACAGATAGCGGCTGACAATGGTGAAGATGAATTCTCGAAATTATCTCTTGGTGACAATGAACACATAATAAACTCTGTTTTCAAATCAAAAAAACCGAAACATCCAAACATATTCAAAATGTTGATGAAGAAAAAGCCCGAGCAAAATTTGATGGAACAGAGACTTTTTCATGAACCTGATGACTGGCAAACGGTGAAGCACGATCTCAACAGAATGAACACCCTTACTCTGCTGGATAAGCAAGTCCGCACAAAACAAGTGGTAAGGACCGAAGCGAACTTCATCATCAAACCACTTGAATTTATTACTGATGTAAACGTTAGTGAAACTTTCGGGCCTGACAATCTCGAAGTCACAAAAATTGATGTGAATGTCCACAAGGTGGCAGAATTTCTGGAGAGGTATGATCATGCGTACGACTTCAATGATTTGATCACGGACATAAGCGTCAAATTTGGCTCACATAGGCCAAGCCAAGTTAGAGCTGTCCTAATGCATTTATGCAAGTTCCAGATTATCGAAGAACCAGGAAAAATTCTGCGAATGAAACCAAAAGTACACGAAGTTATGACAAAGGGCGAGGCCACGATTTTTCAGCTTAACTACTTATTCAAAAAGCTTCTTGAAGCACTTCGTATCCCTTCCGAGGTGGTTTTTGGCTTTTGGAAAAAGCCAAATGAATTTTATCATTCAGAACAATTTCTGGTTAATCATTGTTGGCTTTCTGTGATGTTGCAAACAGACGATAGAGGAAATGGAAGATTTAGCATAATTGACCTTATGTGTTTTCAAAATGGATCCGTTTGCAACATAGAGGGCAATAACGAGTTCTACTTCCTCACATCGCCCATTGATGTGGTCTCGACACACATTCCATCCATGATAGAATTACAGCATGTTTGTCCACCGGTAGATCTCAACGTTGCATTCCATTTACCTCGCATGTATTCGAGCTTCAAGAAGCATAATCTCGAGCTTCTCAATTTCAATAACTCGTTGACTCGAATGAAAGACTTGGAAATATTCGAGACAGACATCAAGATTCCTGAGTCAGTTGAGTTATTCACACTTATCAAAACCTCCAGAAAAACTTCTAATGACTATACTTTGTGCCAAATTCACTGGAAGGGGGCACAAAGATTAGCTAAAGTCAAGGCCATTTTACCAGAAGGAGAAAGTATTGGCGTGCTTCAGATTTTTGCAGGCGAAAAGGGTCTTCAAACCCATTTCGACAATATTCATGAGTTGGCTTGTGTTATCCCATTATACCACAGCGGGAAAAGCAAACCAACTGCGTTTGTTCCTCGATACCCGACAATCAGAAGTCAAAACAACGACCTTTACATTAAGCGTCCTCAACTCGGTACGATTAGTGTCAATAACAATTATGTATTCGAGATTGAGGTACATCCATCCATGGGCTTGAATAGTGGATCAGGGATCATGAACCAAGATTTCAAGATTGTCATCGAAAGTCCATCTGGAAAGTACACCAAGCTCATGAAGGAGGAACCTCACAAACCTTATGGTATCCACCAGCTGAAGCTTCTTTGCCAGGAACAGGGATTGTACAGGGGCTTGGTAATCGGTGATAGCGGAACGAGTTGGTATGTGTTTGCGCAATGGGAATGTGGAGGGGCCTAATTCATTGAATCAACGGGCGGGCTAACTCATAATAATTAAGCATATAACAGTAATCGGAATATGTCTTGGGCTGTTCTAAACGCATAACATCTCACAATTTTCTGACTCACTTAGATGGATCTGTAAGACCTTATTGGGGAGATTACCAAAAAAATAAACGATTTCATTTCTTTGCCTCATTTCCAAGCTGTTTTTTTTTTCTTTTTAATTATAAGACGGAAACCAGATGGGCTAGTCTATAAACATGAACACTGCGCACTATTCGTCTGAGACTAAATAACTTGTGCCGCACTTCAGTTCATTTCCCACGTTTTCCCTGGCCACAACGCATCCCAATAGCGCTTGGAACAAAAATGCCAGCCACAACAGCCCAAACTTATACCAAGGACCAAAAAGTTGGAGAAGGTACTTATGCTGTCGTGTACGTCGGCAAGCAAGTGAAGACAAATCGCAAGATTGCCACGAAAGAAATCAAAACAGGCTTGTTTAAAGATGGCCTCGACATGTCTGCGATTCGGGAAGTAAAATACTTAAAAGAGCTCCAACATCCGAATGTTATCGAATTGATTGATGTATTCATGTCACACGACAACAATTTGAACCTCGTGCTAGAGTTTTTGCCCTGTGATTTAGAGGTTCTCATCAAAGACCAGAGTATAGTGTTTAAATCATCAGACATAAAAGCATGGCTTCTTATGACACTCCGAGGATTACACCACTGTCACCGGAATTTCATTCTTCATCGAGACTTAAAACCAAATAATTTGCTCTTGGCTCCAGACGGGCAACTCAAAATCGCCGATTTCGGGTTGGCCCGCGCCTTTGGAAATGCCAACGAGGATTTCACCCCCAAAGTTGTCACTCGCTGGTACCGTGCCCCTGAATTGCTTTTTGGCGCAAAGCATTATACGGGTGCTGTTGACATTTGGGCAGTTGGGATTATATTTGCTGAGCTCATGCTTAGAACACCATACCTTCCAGGAAAGGACGACCTAGATCAACTAGATGTGACATTCAAAGCCTTGGGCACACCAACAGAACAGGTATGGCCGAACGTCTCAAACTTGCCATTGTACAACGCTTTGAGAGTGTACCCACTTCCGTCTAGACAAGAACTTCGAAATAGATTCAGCGCAGCCACTGAGAAGGCCTTAGACTTGATGATCTCCATGACCCAGCTAGATCCGTCAAGAAGATGCGATCTGACGGCGGCATTGTTGAGCGAATATTTTACAGAAATGCCTTCGGCGACACCACCACTTGAGTTACCTACGAAAAAGAGTGAAAAGGATGAGAAGAGACGAAAAATAGCGTAGGAATCTAATGATATTAAGTTCCGATATTAGACGAGAAACTGAATTGAGGAATGATCACCCTTTTCCCTTTTTTTTTTTTTTTTTTTCCATCTAATTGTGTCTTCACTAGTGGTATATCTCTCTAACATATTCTGCTATAGCAAAAGCTGAAGTCAAACCTGGGCTTTCAATTCCAATCATATTCACGAACCCAGGAAACCCCTTCTCTTCCTTAATGTAGAAATCGCTGAATTTCTCCACACTTTCAGACTGAGAATACAACTTTGGTCTAAACCCCGAATAAGATGGTTGGATCTCAGATATTTTGATACTGGGGTAATAGCTTGCAATGGCTTTTTGGGCGGCTTCAATATTTATCAGTGATACACTGTAGTCCAAAGTAGAAGCGTCTTCGATAGACTCTTTGATCCACTCTAAATCTGGTCCAAATCGGATTTGACCCCCCATGTCGAACGTCATATGTGTTCCTAGACCAGACGCATTTGGATGGGGACATGGGTAAATTAAACGGGTCGTGATCAGACTGGTTGAAACTGGTGTTTCGGGTACATAAGAGAAATAACTTCCTTTAGCAAACAAACTTCGAAAGTGCCTTGAAGACGGTAGAAGCATATTGGCAATTTTTGGAGCATGAAGGCCAGCACAGTTTATGATATTGTCCGTTGAGACTGTGAATTTTTCACCTGATCCCATCTCCACGCAATGCACCAAATAATCCAGGACTTGAGAGCGGTACTCTAAGCCACAAACACGAGTGTTTATCGCTAAAGTGCCTTCGGCATTTTCAAACTGAGCTTGGAAATATTGAGTTAGGTCATGCGACGAAATAATACCCGTTGTTGGTGAATCGAGGGCCCCATATTCCGCTCTTATTAATGGATGCTGTTTTTTAACTTTGTCAGCAGTTACAAATTTGGTTGAAACAGACATGTCGGAGGCGTTCTGGTGTAGCTTTTCTAAATACTTGCCTTCGTTCTCGCTTTGCGCAACAACCCATTTCCCACATTGCCGATACGGCACAATTTTGGGATCGAGCTTACGATATATTAATTCTTTCCCTCGTACGCATAGGCGTGCTTTAAGTGATGTAGGTGGATAATAAATTCCAGCGTGTATGACCTCTGAATTCCGGCTGGTAGTCTCCATCCCAAGCATAGAGTGTTTTTCTAGAACAGCTACATTATTGGATGGAATCAGTTGCAACTCACTACCAACAGCAACACCAACAACACCACCACCTATGACGACATGCGAAAAGTCTGCTCTATGGCGCAGTAAAACAGAAAAGCTTTTTTTGAAAGCAAGCATATGATACCTCTTCGTTGTGTGGAGAACTGTTGTGGGGAACATTTTTAGATTTCCGAATGTAATTCGCGGAAATTTAACTGCAGGTCGTTTCTCTTTTATGATAGTAAATTGTCTTAGAGGAGCTTGATTTAACAATTCGGTTGTATAGTGTAGTGGTTATCACCTTCGGTTTTGATCCGAATAACCCCGGTTCGAATCCGGGTACGACCTTTTTTGCTCTATCTCATGCTTATATTGTATATGAATATACTGTGTATAAGAACTTTATTCGCATTTTTATCAGGGAATCTGAAGAGCATGATCTCACCAAGGGATTTTTGCATTACTAGTCTGGTTTCCTGTTGTACTAACAATGTTGGGTAGAGTTGGTTTGAAAACAAAAGATCTTTAGTTGTTCTTCCTGTTCCTTTTGTTTAGACCCTCAGAACCAGATTTATATCTCCTAGAATATAATTGGCAAGCAGAGCGCCCTCGACACGTGGGTTGAGGCGAGATAGCTACAGTCCTTTAATCTATTGAGGCCTAGAGGCAGGAACAAATTTATCAGTGCATTTTCACAACTAACGTTTCGGAACCATACTTATTCCCTCATTGCCGAACTGTTCTTACCTCGACAAGAAATTTGGGTCCTTCCTTTTTGCACATTTGCCATTGAGGCCTCGATTTGAATATTGTGGCACTGCTCATATACCCAGTATGAAATTTGGTGAGCACTTGAGAAAGGCACTCATCAAGAACTACAGTTTCTACTACATAGCGTATGATGACTTGAAACACCAGATCAAGAAGAAATTAAAAGACTCTGACTATGAATGGACCAATGAATTTGAAGAAGATTTCTTGGCGGCTTTGGAGACGGAGTTGGACAAAGTTTATTCTTTCACGAAAGTGAAGAACACGGAGGTCAACCGTAGAATCAAGGATGCCGAAAAATATGTCTATGAGGTCGTCGATGCATTGAAAAATCCAAACTCACCTCAAAAGCCACTGGAACTGGACTTTGACGAATTAGAAGACGAGTTATCAGACATTATCGCCGACGTTCACGATTTGGCAAAGTTCACCAGGCTAAACTATACCGGGTTTCAAAAAATCTTGAAAAAACACGACAAGACAACTAAGTTTGCCTTGAAACCAATCTTTCAAGTGAGATTAAACGCAAAGCCTTTCTACAAGGACAATTACGACATGTTGATTGTCAAGTTGTCGAAGTTGTACGACTTGGTGAGAACCAGAGGAAACCCAGTTAAAGGAGACTCTTCCGCAGGTGGGTCTCAACAAAATTTTGTAAGACAAACCACAAAATACTGGGTTCATCCAGACAATATTACTGAGTTGAAATTGATTGTTTTGAAGCACTTGCCCGTATTGGTGTTTAATGCAGACAAGGAGTTCGATCAAGAAGACGCAGCGATTACTTCCATTTACTTCGACAACAAAGACATGGACTTGTACTACGGGAGGTTGAGAAAAGATGAAGGAGCTGAGGCGATTAGATTGAGGTGGTATGGTGGAATGAAATCCGACCAGATTTTTGTTGAGAGAAAAACCCACAGAGAAGACTGGACTGGTGAGAAGTCTGTGAAAGCTAGATTTGCTTTGAAAGAAAATAAAGTCAATCAGTTTTTGCGGGGTGAATATACTGCTGTTCAAGCCTTCGAGAAAGCAAGAAAAGATGGGAAAAAGTCTCTTAAGGAAATCGCCAACTTGGAGGCATTGGCTAAAGAGGTACAGTACTCGGTGCTCAAGAACAAGTTCAGACCAGTGATGAGATCATTTTACAATAGGACAGCATTCCAACTACCAGGTGATGCGAGGGTTAGAATTTCCTTGGTCACTGAGTTGACAATGGTGAGAGAAGATGACTTTGATGGATACGATCGAACCAATGGCAACTGGAGAAGAATGGACATTGGCGTTGACTACCGATTTTCACAATTGCCTGAGAAAGATGTGTGCAGATTTCCGTATGCTGTTTTGGAAGTCAAATTGCAAACCCAAATGGGACAAGAACCTCCTGCGTGGGTGAGAGACTTGGTCACTTCTCATCTTGTTGAGGCAGTTCCAAAATACTCCAAATTCATTCATGGTGGTGCCACCTTGTTAACTGAAAGGGTCAATTTGTTGCCATTTTGGTACCCTCAAATGGATGTTGATATTAGGAAACCTAAGATCGAGCAAGACTATGGAATTCTCAGACACCAAAACAAAACAAAATCGTCTTCCTCTTGCGATGACTTAGATGAAGAAGAGATGATTGATGACGAATACGGAAGGAGATACAGTGTTCACTTCTCCAATGATATTAATCCGTTGGAGGAAGATCTTGATGAAGGCTCGCCTTTGTTATTGCCTTCGTCTTTTGGCTCAAGAAAAACCGATTCTCCTCTTGCCGATTATTTCGCAAGATTATACGGAAAATTTCTTCATTTCTTCAACGACGATCGTACCTTTACCATCAAGCCTGGTACAAACTTCGATTTGAATACTACCTTTCGCTCCAGATTACCAAAGGGCAAAGTCATTTGTGTTCCAGTACGAATTGAGCCTAAGGTATACTTTGCCGCTGAAAGGACGTTCTTGAGTTGGTTGTCCATCGGGATGATTCTCGGGGCTACAGCCACGACTCTTATTAATTACGGAAACAAAAGCGCATTGGTTGCCTCTATCGGCTTTTTTATTTCTGCTTTATTCACGATGGGGTATGCTACGTATAAGTACATTCGCAGGACATTGGCCATCAGAGAAAAGAAGGTAACTGAATATGCGGACAAATTTGGACCTAACATGATTTGTGCCTTGATAGTCGCTTCCACATTTGCTTCATTTGCATTTAAAATTACTGAGTCCTAAAATATATAAAACTATTAGAAATATATCAAAGTCATCAGCAAATTTGCGGGAAGACATGTAAAGGTACATGTATTAATCTTATTCAAGTTTGAATAAGGGATCAGAAAGTTTGATCAATTCTCCTCTAGATTTTTCATTCTTTCTCCGATGATTTTATCAACGTCAAGATCTTCATCTGTATTTCTTTTGCGTCTCGCAATTTTGGCAAGTATACCACTTTTCTTCACTTTCATTTTAGCACCGCTTGGAAGAATCTCATAGCCATCCGATTGTGGAGTTTCATAGTCGCCCTCCTTCAATGATAAGCCACCCGAACTAGGTGGTAGCTCGCTATCTAAAGTCCTGGTACCGGCTCTCTTTCGATATAACGCGGAGCCTAGACTTTCATCTTGTACTGCTTCTGAAAGATCGTTTCTTTTTTGACATCCAAATATTGTAAAAAGAGACAAAATTTTGTTTCTTGTGGTTGACGGATCCCTCGCAAAAAACCAGCTTTGATGTAGTTCATTCAAAGAATTCTGCTCAAAAGATCTTCTCATGTGTAGATCTTTTTCAAACAATTGAAAAATCTCGGTATCGGAAGGACTGAAGATGAATTTTGCGACCTTTATGAGGAGATCAAATAAGAGCAAAACAGTGAATAGCATCAAAATAGTAGTCCACCATGAGAAGTCACTACCAAATTCGAGCAAGCCATAATTCACAAAAAAAATAGGTTGCTCTTTCCCGCGGTTCAAAAACATTATCAAAACATTCCAAAGGCCGTACCCTAATACTGATATGAAGAAAGACGCAAACGCGAACCACTGGATATTATGAGTTTCTAAGAATTGAATTTTGGCGTTGATGACAATCACAAGCGCCCAAAACATGGCTGTTCCGAGAGGAAGGGACGTATTGTCCTTGAGTGCACTGAAACCCCATGACTCATAAGTTAAGAAAGAAATTGCCACACTTTGCGCGGCAGCTAACACCATCCAAGATAAAAAAACCTTCAAATTGAAGGCCTCGTAGAGACGCCCCGTTGCGTAGAGCTCTGGTATGGCTATAAGTGTGGCTGGGTTTAAATCTTTCTCAAACATGCCAATACAAATCACAGTCAAAGAAGTGAAGAGTGTATTGAACATGGACAACGACCAACTCTCGTAGAGCGATGATCCTGTGAAGAGGGTGTATCTTTGATAAATGCACTGAGTCAAATAAAACATCAATTCCTTGTAGAATGTACTCAAGACAAACTTGGATGTTCTGATATAGTTATACCTTCCGTTGACAAGGAGCAATTTGAGTAAGAACCTGAACTGTGCAATAGCATAATCGGCCGATCTTGCTGCTTGAAGGCCTTCTTTTCCCGTAATTCCGACACCAATATCTGCGCTCTGAATCATAGCGATATCGTTTGCGCCATCGCCAATTGCAAGAGTTACATTTTTGGGTCTTACTTTTCTGACGCAGTTGACCATCTCCGCTTTTTGAGACGGAGATGCACGACAACAGATCGCTGAGTCCACTTGAATGCATAACTCGATATACATTGAAAATATTGTCGAGTCTGTCTGGATTTGACTCAAAGACTCGCCATCTATGACCACAACACTGTGTGCAATTCTACCTGATTTTATCTCGTTGCAGGCTGTTCCTATTCTCTGTGTCAATTTTTGCAAGCCCTCGTCAATCGTTAAGACTATCACTGTGGAATAATCCTTGATGAGCCGACATGAATGTCCAATGTTGATAGCAGTTTCTCTTTTGTCTCCAGTCAACATCCACATTTTAATACCTGCTCTTCTCAATTTTTCAATTGCATCACTCACCCCCTCTTGTAATTTATCCTCAATAGCAGTCGCTCCAAGCAATTGGAGATTAGTCTCGATCTTAGCCCCAGTTTTCTCCACTTTGTAAGTTCTATCATGCAAGGCGGACTTTGCTTCATGATATTCTCTAGCCCACTCATTATATTCAGCCATGGAAATCCACCTGAAGGAATACAACAATGTTCGCAACCCTTCTGTTGAGAAGTCTTCGATATGTTCTAAAGTCTTCTCTATGACATATTCCTCATTAACTAAAATCTTATCACTTGGAATCAGGAACATGTGGGCTTCGGGTTTCTTTGTATGGCTCTCCAAACTGTAACGTTTTGCTTGATGTGAGTGTAAGGTTTCACGGGCCTTCACTGCAATGTTCTTCAAGTCTTGACTCTCCTCCAGAACAATACCATCGATGGATCCGAGTCTCTGAGCTAAATCAATACTATTTCTCAAAGACACCATAGAATTCCGTGACTCTAATTCGTTCGAAAGTCTAGCTTGAAGAACAACTTCTGCCTCTAAAACTTTTCTATCGTTGGAGGAGAGCGTTATATCACGTGCTTTCTGCTTTGCTAATTCGGCATTTTTTAGGTTTTCTAGGATTACGTTATCCGCACCCTTGCAGAATACTGCAATTCTCGAATCTGGGAATCTCACAACAATTGACATTCGCTTCCTTGCTGAGGTAAATTCTATGACATCCAAGATTTCATAGTCCTCAAAGCAAGGCGCGGCTCTGAATCCGTTGGGGTATGTTTTAATCTGAAGACGGTTGTGTTGCTTATCAAGGACAATGAAACCTAATTCTCTCGCAGCATTGACTAAAGCCAATTCATCCGGAGAAGCAGCTTGATAAATAATGGAGGCATCAGTGTCGACCTCACTAAGCTCCTCAGGCTCGAAGTCTTCAAGGGTGTATGCAGACGCATTTCTGCTTTGAATGAAGTTGTCTTCCTTTCGTGGTTGACACGTGTGACACAAGGCAATACTCAACAAGAAAAAAGTCACTCTTTTCGAAAAGAGGGTATGTGGGTGTGACTGAATGTGTTTGAGTAGTAGCAAAGAGTTGGCAGCATTCTCGAGTCCAATTGGCTTAGACGGTGAAGTCCAGGATGGTTCTGCATCAAGGTATTGGAGCTCCATACTTTCTCTAACGACCGATGTAGTGCTGTTTCTCGGAGAGGTTTCCCGAGATTGAATGGGCGACCGCTGCAAGATATTGGAAAGATAGTCTTCGGTGCTTGGACGATGTTTTTCCTCTGCAATTAAGTCCACCTCATGCAACCAGTTGGTTCCACAAACACTGAACTTGCGGAAAATCATTTTATTATCAGTGAGAGTACCAGTCTTGTCACTGAAAATGTATGAAACTTGACCCAACTCTTCTAAAATTGTGGCTGTTTTTGCGTCTGCCGGAGTATTTGTCTCGACGTGATACATGTCAATATCAAATTGAAGAAACAATAACTGCATGACCTTAATGATTTCCATGGTCACGTAGAGAGACAAGGGAATAAGGGTATTGTACATTATGACAAAGCCCATGAATGTAGCAGCAACACCGACATCTTCCTGATACGTATACCACATTCTGCTCTTGTATCGATCGTAAAACAATCGCTCTGCCATCAATGAAAATGCCGAAAGGCAAATCACGACGATCACCATAAACAATACAATGTAGTTGATATTCCCTTGCAATTTTGGAGCTTTAGTACGCGGGTTGCGAACATTGTTCATTCTTATCTTGGACTCTTCGCCGGTAAAGGCAACCATTCCTAAAACACACTTCGTGTTACGCAATATGCTCCCTCTGTATATGACATTTTCGGAACCCAATGCATAATTCAGCCCATCCCGATTGAAGTGTCCTTCGAAGTTGTATAAGTCAGGGTTTGGGTCTTCGACTGTGAGAATGCAAGATAAATTCTTGAGGCGTGTGACTTTTGATGCATATTTCGAAAGCTCTGGATGCGGACATCTGGTTTTCAAATTTGTTTCGCCGTCAAGTGCCATAGTCTCAACGTACGCGTCTATTCCTTGGCCATCAACGGCCAAAAGAACAATATCTGCAGGGACCCACTCGTCTTCCCTTATGAGCAAAAGATCTCCAACTTGCACATCTTGCCACTTGGTGGGGTACAGCTTCATGTTGTATCGGTTCATCAACGACATGTTCAGAAAACTGTCGTTGGTGATATCCGCGATCGATGCAGCGGATGAGCCCGGCGCGTTTAAATTTGGTACGGGTATAGTTTCCGTCATTATAGTAGCAATCAGATGCGTGTCAAGCTGAGCTAAATCCACGTCCTCCTTGATGATATGCGTAAGTTTATTGTTTTCCTCTTTATCTTGGGCGTGCCGCTTCCAGTCGTCGAATGCCTCACGGGCCATCGAGATGGACATGAAAATCACCAAAGGGACGATTGTTGTGTATTTACCAGTGGTCGACCATGACGGGATCATCTGCATTATCGCAACGACCATGAAGTAGCAGTTAGCTAACTTCGAGAATTGTGCTTTGAGCTGTTTGGGGAGAAAGGAGTAGAGTGTGTAGCGCAGAGACGTGATCATATTCGAACAGTATGTTTCGGTTGTCCGCTCGTCGATGTAGCCTCCTTGATTTGCATTGTAAAACTGGTCGTTAAAAATTTCGTTGGCGCGTTCTTTAGCGGCACAAAGCGGAATCACTCTTCCCGAGTCTGACTTTCCCAATTCCGATTCGCCCAATATCTTTTGCTTGATTCTTGACATCAACGCAAGGTACGAGGCTCGGGCACGCCGGCGTGCAAGAAACCTCCGAGAGCGGGGGGTATCTATCTCGTCAAAGCTGCTGTTTGCCGAGCTGCTCGATGTGAGCCGCGTGGTGGATCTTGACACGTTGAGATGAGACACAGTGTACAGAGGACCTTTTTGATCAAGCGCTGACAGTCCTTCTGTGGTCTTATACTCGTCGCCAGGTTCATCAACAGTGATCTTTGGCGGCATATCAGTCGTAGACAGCACGCCGGAGTCAGAGGTCTCGCTGTCTGTTTCCTCGAGTCGTGGCGAAAGATTTGTCAAAGGAACTTCCGGCTGTGTGACCCTCAGTTCTGCAAACGGATTTAACAGGCTAGCTAGTGCCTTATTGAGTAGCTGAGTGCGCAAAGAAAGCCCTCTTTTTCGTCTGGTTTGCGGCGTAGATCCCGACGGTACATCAGGCGCCAGCAGGCCTTGTTCATTAGCCATCACAAGCGTTGTGTGTGACTTCCTGTTTTTGTGTTTCTAATGTTAAGTGGCAGAACCAGATCTGGCAATTCTAGTTCTTTCTGGACGTCTGCAAAATAGCGAAATCCACTAGGCGATAGTATATCTCGTCGAGAGATGGCTGTTTTGCTTCAGTGTTAGTTTCTCCCAATTCCAACAGGATTTCGGTGGCTTAAATTGCTATCCTATCTTGGTTGCGTTGTTCCGAGAATTTGTGTAGTAGGTTTGAGAGTGCAAAAGATTGCACGGCCGTTCGTGGGCGGAATTTGAGATCAGCAGCCCGCGTCACGACCTGTATATCTTGGCAGGCTTGATACAGATTATAAACGCCCAACTGTGCACGTTGGAACGCGCGCTCTGAAATTAGCACGCTCATAACTCTGTTACACCACCCGTCCGTTTTTTCGCCTAATTAATGAACGTCAATTCGATATTTCTTCTTGGCCTTTTATCATATCACCTATGATCCAAGTGTCTTCGATCAAGTCACTACGGATACATGCGCAAAACCCTCTCCGTCTCGTATACATATCACCTTTTATCGGGCTAAGCTGCGCCCCTATATGTTGGCGAGGAAACCCCGCAGGCTATATCCACCACCCAGACGTAAAAAAGGTTTGAACCTTTCGAACAAAAAAACCATAGGCTCCCCGTTCGTAGTAAAGCACGCAGAAATGGTCCATTCAATGTATGATATTTCTGGATGCCCTTCGCCTGATCACATGACCTGTCTATATACACACTGGACCGTAACAGTTTTATTTGTTCAAGCACGTCGTAGGGTCTCGACATAGTTGGGCTAACATCTGATAGCCGCTTTATAAGTCGGAACTATTTCTCAATACTGTTGCATGTATCTTTGTACTCCACTAAGCACCAAGAGTGGCACGTATTTTGCCTATGCAGTAGTCTTTGTACTCTTCGACGAATAGTTCGTTGTTTAATTCCAACACCTCATCAAGGGCGGACACTATTTCATTGTCACCTGCCACAATGACCATACCTTTTGGCATCAGCTTCAAATCAGGCATTGGTTCGACAAGAACACCGTCGAAAATTAATGAAACAATGTTATTGGCCACTTGTCTACCCATGTAGAGCGCCCATCCAGCAGATTTGATCATGGGCAACTCAACAAGGTCACCTATAGCAAACACATGCGGAAGGTGCTCTTGTGAGTCTGGGTGAGTGAGTTGCAAGAAATCGTTCACGTGTATGTTATTTTTCGGGGAAATAAAGGTCTCAAGTTCCGAAGAAAGTAGCTTTGTGTTGTTTTCGAATTTGCTGCACCAGTAATTTAAATCCGTCTTGAACTTTTCTCCATTAGTGAACTCCAACTCGTGGTCGTCCAGTTCTGATTTAACTCTGTAGCCAGTCATAACTTTGACGCCACCTCTTTCAAGAGAGTCCCGAATGAGATCCTTGAATTTCTCAGGTAAAGGCTCGGGGGGAAACTTATCGTGCGGGTGTATCAAGAACACTTCCTTATCAGGGCAGTTGTTTTTCACATCTCCTGCTATTTCAATGCCAACAGCACCAGCTCCAATGACCGCTATTTTCTGACAAGTATCGACCTGTCTTCTAAATTCGACCATTTCTTCCATGTAGCTTTGATAATTGTATGCCAATGGAGAAGTGGGCCAGTGACGATTTCTGCCCGTTGCAATAACCGAGTAGTTGAACTCAATTGAACCAACCTCATCAGTTCTGTTGTTCAAATGGTACGAAGCACTCTTGCTCCTCAAGTCAGTAATACTGCCTTGAACGTATGTCACTTCGACTGTATCGTTGTTGTTAGGCTTCACAGTCTTTCCGAGTGTGTCAATCACAAACTCATCATTCGAAATGACATGGTCCAAGACAATATCTTCCAAGCTCTCAAAAGGTACAAATTGTGTCTTGGCGAACTCTATGTCGACAATCGCTCTCGGGACCCCTAGAACATTCAAGAAGCCGGCCTTTGGTTCCACGATAGTGACCGATATTTTCTGTAATCTGTTCCTTTCCCTAAGATGGTTCTTTATGGCAATCAAAGCTGAAAGCCCAGCGTATGATCCACCGACTATAAGCACGTTTGTGTGAAAAGATGGTGTGTTTTTTTGTATAGCATCTTGCGTTTTTCTGATAATTGACGTGGACATGGAAAAATGTTTTCAAGCAAGTGCTTTGTTATTTTTTTTTTTGACCAAAAGCCTGCGAGGTTGTTGTATAAGCGTAAAACTTTTTTGCCTTTGATATAAAGTTTTTTGATCGACAACCTATCAGGTAGATGGATCAGATATCCGAGGTTCGGAACGAGAGAAAGTTATCTCCTTCATCAAGCTCTCAGTGCGGGAAAAGTCGAAATATGCAGTCGTAATTAATATTGTTCCTATAATATCGTTCCTCGTAGTTTTACACAAGTTGTTAGTTCTCCCTAGTGCAAGATATCCAACAGATGCACGTAAGCCGGCTTGTATTTTAATTTTCCCAAGCTTCAACTCATGTATACGCGTTCAAGCGTCTTCTACATTCTGTCTTATCTCTGAAGATTCCATAACTTGATAAACCTTTCTTGATTTTTTTTTACCGGTACGAGTCAGCTTCGGCATTAAACAAATTAGAAATGGTTCTTAGAACAGCTCAGAATTTCCCAGTTCTATAATCAATACATACATTACTGATTTGCTCGCACCACCCCTCCCCCCCCTAACTTCCGCCTTTATTTACATTGCTGCAATGTCTGAGAGATCTGCCTGATTTCAAACTGACTTGAGTATTAAACAAAACTAAATGCAAACAATTTCGTCCATTCAAAGGGGGTTGGAGTGGTTTCACATACTTGCAACTCAACTTCACTACTTTACTTTGATCTTTGATAGACTGAATTGCATTGTGAACTGGTATCACACAAAACGGTTTTTGTTTATTCCAAGTTATCGGCGTGTAGTTTCAGCTTTAAGACGGTATCTGAGTCATACTGTGAAAGGAACAAAAGCTAAGGACAAATTGTTTTTTGCCATGACCTCCTTAAGTCCGCTACAACAATCTGAGTTGAAGCGACTACTACAGGAGACCTATCCTAAGAGTCGATGACGTAATATCCAATACGTAAACAGATACGTGCCATGAGGACTGTCCAGGCCGTGACTAACGGAAGGGGACGGGCCGAGCTAAGACACTCGGTACGTAGCTGGGAGCTGTTTAAAGGTTTTTTATATATATTCGTTATATGGTTTTGCCCCTTTAATCAGATGAATCTACCAAAAAAAAATGACACGATTGCAAACGATTTGGATTAGTCCGATCAGGGCCGCTCTAAAAGTGGCGAACTTCCTTCATCTGTGATGTAATGATCAGTAGGAGGGGTTGAAATCGTTGGCCCAGGTTTTCTGTCAATTTCCTGCGACTCGACATGAATGGTCTCCGTATGGAATCCGTCGTAGTTGGTAGAATCCTCGAATTCCTTGCTTGTCTCATCATCCAGATTTGCATTCGCTGCTGCATCATTGAACATTCCTAACACGTCATTTGTCGCCATTCTAGACATCATAGTTATAGTGGGGGATTTGGGTTTGTGCACAGTGTCGTCATCACGTAATGGAATTGTAAACGTCTGGTCTCTTTCCCTGTATTCCACAAGGTTCTTGATAGGAGTAGGACACTTTAGTTTCTCGGGGTATCTCTCTATTTGCGACATCGCTAAGAGCTCACCTAGACTTACCTCAGTATCTGGGGTAGGATAAAGAAGCTTCATATTCACGTATATCTTTTCACGAGGCTTTCCTGGCTGGCTCATTAATGTGAATGTCTGGCCATTTTCCTCTCTGTACTCGAGTCCCTCCGTTTGACTTGGTTCGTTATCGCGAAATACTTCAAATTTTGCTGGTTTCTTATCAACATCCGCTAATTCATTCTGTTTTACAATTTCGCCCGCCCATGGTCTAGCCGAAATGTGATTTTCTTTGGCTGTCAACGCCGCCGAATTGATTCTAGCAGAAGGATTTTGTGCGAACACTGTTTCTTTGAGCGTAGCAGTTGTTAGATCCTGATGAATTTCAAGTTTACTTTTCTTCATCGGCTGGCTGCTCTCGCTCCACACTGTTGATGCCAGTGGCCTTTTCGTCGCAGAAGATGTATCTGGTGTTAACGTTTCCAGTGCACCACTACGTGCAACAAAATGATCGAAAGATCTCTGCAATCTTTTAACGGGCCATGCATTTTTCTCTATCCCGATTTCAAATACTTCACGGGCGTCTGTGGTCAAGCCTTTTGATTCTAGGAAGGAAGCAAATTGCTCGTAATATAGAGCAAGTTCTTGTCCAATGCTTTTCTTCGCCAAATACACAAAAATATCACGGGGCGAGTTTGAGTACTCGGCATATTCAAGCCAGATTTTCAAATACCGTGGATCGTTTTTGTAGTGGGCTGTATCTCTAAAGCAAGAAGTGCATCGCTCGAGTAAATGTAACAAGCCACTCTCTGAATTCGCACCTTGTGGGTAATGATTATGCGTCCAGGCAATGAAGTCGACGTAAACTTGGAGAGGATCATCTAGCTCATCAGATTGTAGATCGGTCTCGAACTTTTCACGTTGTTTGGACAAAAGCGACGGAGCACGGGATTCCACTAGAGCTTTCCCTAGTTTCAGCGCACATCGGCCGAAGACCAATGGCTTAATGTTCTCCTTCTCGTTCTCTATTATGCTTGCATCCATATTACAAAGCCTGTCCGTAAAGTAAAAAGTTTAATTTTGTGATGTGAATCCTGACGTTTATACTTATGCCATTCAAGAAGAACAGCTGAAGCTCTATGTGATGATGATGCGACGGATTGATATTAATGAACCCTGTATAGTCTTATGATGCTTTCTTATGTGGCCTACTCGTTCCCCCAAGTTTGTTTTTTATGGCTCGCGCGTCAAAAATAGCAGTGGTGTCGCGGGTCACCTTACAGAGGTGAATGATGCTAACCTTAAGAGAGATTTTGCGAAAGGAGAAAGAATCTCCCAAATTTGTTGGAACATATGGCATGGAACAAAAGCCCTGCTTCAATGTTTTTACTTAGACACAAAGATACGCCAGTGCATTTCCAGATGATGAAGCGTTGTGAGATACTTCATGGGACAACGCTACAATTGCAATGCAGCACAATATCCGCTTCGATACCAAAATATATATTGAATCTCAAAATAGGTCCGCTCGGCAAAAGCAGAAGATGTATTATAAGGAATCAAAAAGGCATGTTTTGGGGGATTGTTTCCCCACGCTTGATATGTGATTACAGCGAAATTGGCTAAAGCCTTTGTCCCGAATGGCGCGCGACACCGCCTGATCTGTCCATGCCTTTAACCGCACCCGGATTACCACACCTCCCAGCACCAGGAAAACAAAGAAAAGGCAATGTTATTTCTAGCGCTTTTAGCGCTTGCTTCGCTTGTTGTGGCGTCTTCTGAATACTCGGAATCGCTCACCATCAAGCCATTGCCCCGCAATAAGATTTTGACGTCGTTCGAATTTGACTCCCAGCTGCCGTCGTTTCCCTTGGTATACGTGCCTCCTTCATTAGAAGACTCCAATATTGATACGGCAGCACGCCACTACGGGATGTTCCCGAAATCTGTGGAGCCTGTGCTCCGTGCCACAAACACGCGGCAGTTACATTTACGCTTCACCCAAGGATGGTGGCACTCCGAGTCTTGGGGTCAGTTGCCCCGCAACGGGTCCCTGAGTGGAGGCACAGGCGTGGAGCTCTGGGCTGTTGTCGAAGCTACTGATTTGCAAGAAGCGAACCAGAACTGGCGCAAACTTGCAGACTCGTTGTCGGGGTTCTTCTGTGCCCTGTTGAACTTTGTAGATGAGTCCATCACCACCTACCCTCGCCACGATGTGCAAGACATGATGTCTGGATACGCAGCAAACTCCAGCAACAGCTTGTTTCTTTTGCGTGCAGCACTACCTGACGAGCCGGTATGCACTGAGAACCTAACTCCGTTCCTCAAGATGCTCGCCACACGTGGAAAAGCCGGTGTTTCCTCGCTCTTGGACGGCCATAAACTCTACGACTCCTTGTGGCATTCAATGAGCATAGACATTGTGACCGAGTGCGAGGCTGGCTCTTGTCATTTAAGACTTAAGCAGAGCATTCACCATGTGATCGACGTGGTGCGTCTGCTCCGTCGGATCGACGAGGGCGGCATTCCCAAACCAACCCCTGGAGACAAATTGAGATGCGATACTGACACGAAGAAATATGACAGCTGGACCTGCTTTCCCCTTGGAGACTCCATTGAGATGGACTTTGATCTCAACGGTTTGTATGGGCGTCTGATACGGGGCGCTGGCTTCAATGACCCCTCCGCCAATAGCAAGATCGTTCTTGACTTTGACCAAGACCAATGGCATGTCCAAGTCGAAGAGTCGCAGGAGGACGACCAGGCCTTGGTTTACGATGCTAAGCCGGTGGAAAGCTTGAAGGGAAAAAACTCTTTTAACCTCAAGTTTAGAACCAACAATTCAAATGCGATCACTGCCTCTGATGTCCCTCCATTACTTGTCTCACGGTCCTTGACCGGGTATTCTCAAGATAAAGGCGGTATGCGAATCAACCTCAAGAACCCGTCTATTTCTGATTCTGTCGAAGCCGTTTACTTCGAAACCTTGCCTTGGTTCATGAGAATATATCTTCACACGCTCACTGTTCACGGAAAAGGAGAGATTCTCTCGCAGTTCTACATTCCGGCTATTGACCGGAAGAGACCAGGCCACTTGGAGCTCTTGGTTCGTATTCCCCCTGGTGAGGACGTCACATTCACTTATCAATTTGACAAATCTCTATTGTTGTATGCAGAGTACCCCCCAGACGCAAACCATGGATTTGCGATTGCGCCTGCTGTTGTCAAAGTCCTAGACGCCCTTGGAAAAGTTAGATATGAATCTCGGTCCACTAGTCTACTTTTGACACTTCCAACACCGGACTTCTCCATGCCATACAACGTCATCATCTTGACTTGTACGGTTATGGCCCTTGCCTTTGGCACTACTTTTAATTTGTTGACCAAAAAAGTTGTTACCGAGGAGGAATTTGAAGAGGCGGCAAAACACACCAAATTTGCGAAGTTTAAGTCCAAACTTCAAGCGTTGAGAAATTGAATACTAGATGTAAGAACTTGAATAAGAATGTAAGTGCTACTTTATGAACGAAAACATTTTTCATTCCACGAATACTAATCAAATACGTTTCACTCTATGTTCAAGGATTTATGTGACCACTACCCTGGTTGACGATGGATACTCGGTTAATCAATGATTGTTGAAGAAAACTTCTTAATATGCTAATTTTTGCTCGTCGAATATGGTCTTTGTGAATTTCTAGAAACATCAAAAACATTAAATTTGTTTAAATATTAACAAAAGGCGCGAAAGTGAAAATTATTGCAGAAATCACACATCTTTAACAAGAATGAAATAACAAACATCAAAAAGAAATCACAAGACAACGGAATAGAGACTTGAATGCACATAATCAATTGTACAGCTCTCAAGCTACGATCAGGTCTTTTTGAAGCCTGATCATCGAATATTCTTAGCAAAAAAATGGTTACAAATTTTCGCATACGTTTAGAAGCACCGGACAGGATCCTGATCTACATAACCAATGGAACGGACACACCAGAGACTAATTGACGTGTACTGGAACAAAAATAAAGAATAACTTTTACAGTAAAGAGCTTATACAACTCACATGCATATGAACTTGCATTGATTTGCCAGAATTTTTCGCGGATTTTATCGAACATTACGGCGAGACAATGCCTCGATGTGACTGTTACACTTGATGGCCAGAAAAAAGTAAAAAGCAAAAAAAGAGTACAATAAGGAAACTACGCATCAGGTCATCTTGATATTCTTTAGTCGCTTGTGTATGCGTACCTGGTTTCAAAACACTGATACCGCCTTCGTTAATCACGATATCATTTGTCCCACAAGACACTCATCTTCGTGTGATAAGCCATAAGTTGTCGATCTTTTTTTTTTTTTTGGGTATAAATCATAAATAAACATCTATAAAGAAAAAAGGTCTAATCATTTCCCCAGCACTCACTTCCAAAGACCAAATCATTTAATATAGCTAACGTGTTTCTATTTGTACTTTTTATTAGATGCATCAAACGATTAGAACAAAAAAATAGAAGACAAATATGTACCAGGTGTCAAAATACGGACTATCTCCCAAAGAGGATATGGCTTCAAAAAGATTTCTGCCCATAACCGATGTCAACCACTTTTTTTGGTAGATTCATCTGATCAAAGGACCACTTGAATAAAATTCACTAAATGTCTTCTTACCTTACAATATGTTTTCCTGCGGACTCATGACCAGAATAGGCTGAGAAATTCATGAAATTGGAAATTACTTTTGCACCTGTTGATGTCACGTAAATGGCTTTCTAGCCTACACTATATTCCCAAAAGGGCTTAATGTATTGTATTATTATTTAACGTTCAGCTCAGACATCAGAAGCCTGGTTAGCTCAATCGGTAGAGCATTTGACTCTTAAACTACATAAGGTCAATCAAAAGGTTGCGGGTTCGAGCCCCGCATCGGGCTATCTTTTTAAAGGTTTTTTTTGAACCCCATTGAGAGAAAAATTATGCCGTGAAGTGTAAAAAGATATGTCTGTTTCTCGCTTCGCCATATATCAATACGTAAGATAAAAAAATCAAGAACCTAAAAAGGATCTTCGTAAGGATCCTCTTCATCATAATCATCATCCTTTTCGAACTCATACACAATGGCTCCACCAAATTTGCCTAATTCTGTTTGCGCCTCCATGAACGGTAGCTCCACCTGTTCTCTAGCTAGCTTCTGCTTCGAGTTTGTTGTCAAGTTGAAAGTTGTCAAATCCTTGAGTAACTCTTCATCCTCTTGTAAATCTTCGTCTTTTGTCTTCTTGTAGATCTCATAATTATGTGAATCTGTGTCTATTATAAATGAATTGGTTTGAGACTTCCCAGATTTCCGACGACTAGTGAAATTAACTCTGAACTTCGTCAGATTCAAGCCCAGATTTGCTGGGAACTGAAACTTCGAAATCTTGCTGTCCAACTCTTCCAGATCACGCACCTGGAGGGGTTCTATCTCGAATATTGACAGGGCAATATATGACAAAAGTTTTATTGGCTGAGGATATCCTGATGATTCCACGGTAGGCACATTAATATGGTAGCAAGCTACCACCGAGTAAGATTGGTGAACTATACCAGAGACAAAAAGGGCATGTGTTTCGTCTTCTAAATAGTTCAAGGAATCAATGATGATTAGGGATTTCGATGATGGTGTCTTCGTTGAAGCCTCAGTATGAAGGAATTCCTGTATTTGCTTGAGGTTTGCCCGAGAGCAGTCCATAAAGCTCGTGGCATACTTGGGTTTCACCGTTGTTTCGAATGAGAGGTAAATCACAGACCCGTTGCATCGGTGAACAAACTCTCGAAGAAGATGGTGCGCAGACTGCGCCAACGAATCAATTACAAGAGTGAAGGGCGAGTTTTCCTTGAGTGCCAAATGCCTATTGAGAAGCACCAAAGAAGGGTGAGACATTATTGCGGCTTGTGTGATAGAGGAGCAGGTCAGTTCGGGCGATTTCAAGCCTGACAACGTCAAGTTATTGTGGTGAGTGCGATGCCATGCGCGAGTCATCCATTAACAAAGCGCGGCTTGATCCACTGTGACATATTTGTTATAACCCAAATGAGCATTGATGATCAAATTCACGAGTGGCGAAGGTAAGATGACGTTTGGACCTTTTTCTTCTTCTTCCATGCTGAATGGCCAAATGTCACGGCCCGTATTGAACGCCTACCGCCGTTTTTCACGTCTCGGGAAAAATTGACAGGCGAAATTTGCTACATCTAGTTTATGACCAGAAAAATCTCTTGATATCGAAGGGTTAACGCATTGTTTAGATTTGTTCATGTAGACTTTAAGTTCTCTTTTGTGGTGTTTGATTTGTTCTTTTGTCGGCTTTGATTTATTATCCTCTCAGTAAAGCCGCGAGCTGCTCTACCCATATTCGCGAAGAGCCTCCGCACTTACAACTTCTTCATATCACATTCGGCATGTCCAAAAGGTCAACAAATGCTTCTTTCGGGAAACCGAGAGACTTCCTCGATTCTGCTCCAGAGCATGACAATATAAGGAAGCACGTGGTCACCAAAGATGACTATAAGAACCAAAGATTCAATAGAGCATTTGATGTGCAGAATGTCCAAACCTACAAGGAGCGAATGTTCGATGTTGTGAAGAACCGTGACTTAAAGCAGATAGATAATCAACTTTCTACCCAGCCGAAAAAGAGACTCAAAATAAGCGACGCTGCAGATGAAAAAGAAGGCAATAATGATGAGAGTGCTGGGCCTATGACTGAAGATGACACGTCAAGTAACTCCAATGCGATAGCTGTCCACAACCCGAGCACTGAGCTAGTAGTGAATGGTCTTATATTGTCTGACTCTGTTCTCGATAAACTCATTCCCACAGGCTACGTCGTAGCCCCGGTGCCAGAGGGATACGAGACCACAGCGCAGATCCCAACGCTTTACAATCTACCGGAGCAAAAATCTCAAGCACACGATTTTAATGATGCATTACCGGAATATTCTGGGATTGCCATGCGAAAGGAAGATGTGAAACATTTTTCAGCTCTTTTAAATGTGGACCCCGAAAGTCTTGTTGACCTGGCAGATCGTCTCAACTTCAATGCTCAGGCTTTGGTGTTCAAAATCAAAAACGGTCAACCAAGTACACGTAAAAAGGCGATGAGATCGATCACTACAGGTGCTGCAAGCTATGGGCCGTCAACTCTTTTTGGAATCATTCTCCCTGTGATTCTTGAGCCTGGCCTTGACGATGCGGACCGCCACATTCTCACTAAGCTCGTTGGAAGATTACTTGCTCCTCTTAATGACGCCATTAGACCATACACTCATAAGATATTTACAGCAATTTCCCCGTCGTTGATTGATGAAGATATAACGCTACGATTAGAAGCAAGAGAGGTGATCTCCAATGTGGCGCGTACCGCGGGCTTTGCCAATGTTGTATCGAGTCTTCGCCCAGACTTAGACCATGAGGATGAATACGTCCGTAACTTAACTTCTCGCGTTCTTGCTGTTGTTGCAATCACTTTTGGGCTAATTAAAGTCTTGCCCTTCATCAAAGCTGTCATTAGGTCGAAAAAAAGTTGGCAAGCGCGTCATACTGGTATACGGACTGTTCATCACATTTGTATTCTTTCTGGAGGTGGAAATGGTGCTCTGATTGTGCCGCATTTACTGCAGCTTATCGATGTTCTAACCCCTGGGATCTCAGATGACTTGCTTCAGGTAAGAACAGCAACTGCTAACACTCTTGCTCAATTAGCGGAGAACGTCCACCCATATGGAATTGAGGCTTTTGAAAAAATTTTGGAACCGACTTGGAATGGGCTTAAGCTTCATCGAGGTCGCGGATTAGCAGCATTTTTAAGGGCCATTGGCTCTATGATTCCCTTGATGGCACATAACACACATTATGTTGAGTATTCGAATTATTACACGAGAGAGCTTGTGCACGTCATGACTAGGGAGTTTTCGAGCCCAGACGAGGACATGAAAAAATCGATTTTGCGCATCCTCATGTCAATGCCTTTGACAAAGACGCTCTTTCCGAACTACCGGCGTCAAATAGTTGCGCCATTTCTTCAGAGCTTTTGGAACAGAAGAGTTGCCCTGGATTCGTTGCAGTTGGCACGCTTGGTGGTAGACGCAACCTTTCTGTTAGCTAAAAAGCTAGATGTATCAATATTTCTTGAAAAGCTAACGCCTTTCGCAAAAGACGCGAATGAAAACTTACGGAGGATGGCATGCGATGCATTGAATAAAATATTGACAGGCTGTCCTGAATCAATCGTGGAGTTGGATCAGACTTTCGACTCGAATTTGGTCGATGCGCTTCTATTTGCATTACAAGAACTGACACAACCAAACCCTGTTTATCTCCAGGCATTTGGAACCATGTGCCAAGTTCTTGGTCGTCGACTCCTGCCCCACGTAACTGTTATTTTGAGTTCTGTTTTGTATCGTCTCAAAAGCAGTGAACCCGAAATTAGACAGCAATCGGCGGATCTAATAACCGTAATTGCGGATGCGATCAAACTTTGCTCCAACGGGGATGATACAACAATGAGAAAATTAATTCTCTTTTTGTATGAACTGTTGGGAGAAGTCTATCCTGAAGTGCTAGGATCCATTATTGGCGCACTTCATAGCTGCATTTCCACCATGGACCGAGAGTCGCTACTCACATTGGAGAACCCATCAGTCAATGTTCTCCTTCCTACTCTCACGCCAATCTTGAAGAATCGACAAGAGAAGGTACAAGAGCAATGCATAAAACTTGTTGGACTCATTGCCAAGGGAAACGCAGAGTCCGTAAATGCCAAGGAATGGATGCGAGTATGTTTTGACCTCTTAGATATGCTCAAATCACAGAAGAAGAGAATTAGAATTGCTGCAAATGCCACTTTTGGAGACATTGCTAGAACTATTGGCCCTCAGGATGTCTTGGTGATGCTTCTTAACAATCTTAATGTTCAGGAACGTCAACTCCGTGTCTGTACAGCTGTGGCTATAGGAATAGTTGCCGACACTTGCTCGCCCTTCACTATACTCCCGGCTCTTATGAACGAATACCGCGTGCCGGACAAAAACGTACAGAATGGTGTTTTGAAAGCTCTTAGTTTTTTATTTGAGTATTTGGATGGATCAACTACAAAAGACTATCTTTTTGCGATTACACCATTGTTAGAGGATGCTTTGACTGACCGTGACCTCGTTCACCGGCAGACTGCCTCTACAGTCGTGCGACACTTGGCATTGAATTGCTATGGTTTATGTCACGATGATTGTCAAGAAGTTTTCATTCATTTTTTGAACCTCGTGTTGCCAAACATATATGAGACATCCCCTCATGTTATATTGAGGATAATTGAGTGCCTAGATGCACTTCGAATTGTTCTAGGACCAGGTGTCTTTCTCAATTATATATGGGCAGGTTTGTTCCAAGCAGCTCGAAAGGTAAGATCCCCTTACTGGAAGGTTTACAATAGCGCGTACGTCCAGAACTGCGACAGCATTGTTCCATACTACCCCCGTTTTGATAGACTAACCCCGGCGGACCCTGTGTCTTATAATGTGGAAGAATTGGACATATGGATGTGAGAATAGCAAATGAAAAAGGAAAAAAAAAGAAAGCGAAGTCATGAATGATCAATGATTTAGCAAATTATTCAGCAAATTTGGAAGAGTTCTATGTGAAGTCTGAGTCTTCTTCGAGCTCGATCTGCGCGTATCGATAGAGATAGCCATCATCAGAGTACCTCTGGTAGCTGATTTCCAGGGTTTGCGTTAAAGGGCGGGCAGTAACTTCGCCATTATAAAGATAGCTGTTGGTAATCATTCTTGTAATCTGACGGGCCTGTTGCTCGAAAATGTCTTGATCATCAGGTGTGCTTGTCAACTCGTCAGAGTTGCCATTTGACGAAGCGTGCCCAGGGTAGCACTCCAGATACCACGCGCCATCATTGCCCTGGAACCAAGGAATATTGTAAAGCCAGGATGTGATTTTCTCAATCAATGGCATGTTCTTTGCTTCACGAGGATTGAATGAAGAGGGCAATTTATTGTTGCGGGAAGATTCAGCTACAAGCTTTGGAGGGCTCATGTGATGAGCAGATACTACGTGAGCACCAGTCTGATCATTTTCCTGGTTTACGTTCGGCCGAGACTCCAACTCGGGTTGGGACACCGAGTGCCTAAGGTGTAAACCCAAGGCCTTGTTGTGATTGAACGAAGGAATCATGCTCGTGGGAAAAACACAGAAGGTGCGAGGCCACAAAGGTTATTGGGGTTTTGGGGCCAAAGCGAGCATGTACGGTAGTGAGAAAATTAGGCACCTAAATATGCACTTGCTTTTAATACTTTACCAGGAAAAGATACTTAGAAAGCCAAATTGAGGTCTCTACAAAGACACAAATGAAAAACCACCGCTGAACGATTTAGAAGTTTTCGGTCCGCAACAAAAGTATGCCGACCTCTTGTTCTCACTAAAGTTGCAGTCAATTGCTAATCGGTTCCAAGTCAGAATCCATATACACTACCATACAGAGCAAGCTTACGCAGGCAAAAGGGTAGATTTCTGTATGCATTGTATCTTCTACTATATAACAAGTTTCAACAAAATTCTGAATATATGGGAGTACATTCTCTTTGGGACATAGTTGGCACGGCTGCTCGGCCAGTTAAGCTAGAGGCTCTTTCACGGAAAAGATTAGCAGTCGATGCTTCGATCTGGATCTATCAGTTCATGAAGGCGGTTCGTGACAAGGAAGGCAATTCATTGGGACAAACTCATATTGTCGGATTTTTCCGCCGGATTTGCAAAATGCTCTACTTTGGGATACTTCCTTTGTTTGTGTTTGATGGAGGAGCGCCACCTCTAAAGAGGCAGGTTATTCAAGCTCGTAAAGAGAGACGCCAAGGAAACCAAGAAAATGCTGCAAACACAGCACAAAAATTGTTGGCAATGCAGATGCATAGAAACATTAGCAGCGGTGCACCTGTCAAGAAGAATAAAACAAGACAGGAGATGTCTAAATCTGCATCCGCTGAAGGAGGTGGCGAGAACGTTTATTTTGATGATTTGCCCATGAATCATGGCGAGAAAGCCATGGTGCCAACGGAATCTTCTGGAAATCAACCCGCAACTTTCCGTAGAAAAGATGAATATCATCTTCCGGAATTGAAGCAATTCACAGTACGAAAGGGTGACCAAAGAATCATGCCCGACGGAGAGCTTGAGGAGTATGGTGAGGGTCAGTCTTGGGATATAGTGGATGGGATCAGCATTGACTCTGTTGATCCGTCCTCTGCCGACTTTGCAGAATTACCGATGGCAACACAGTATATGATTTTGTCTCACTTGAGGCTTCGATCTAGATTGAGATTGGGCTACTCGAAGGACCAGCTTGAAAACCTATTTCCTAATAGCCATGACTTCTCAAAATTTCAGATTCAGCAAGTACAAAAAAGAAATTTTTATACCCAGAAATTGATGACGGTAAGTGGAATGGGCGAAGATACTGGAAATGCTACCCGCAGAATTGCAGGGGATAAAGACAGACAGTATATGCTTGTGAAGAACGATGGTGGCTGGACCTTGTCGTTGGGAAACAACACTAATGAAGATGCAATTGTATTGGATGATGACGATGAAGCTGAGCGATCGACAACTGATTTTGCTATCAAAACAGAAGTCGAAACCGAGGATTCAGAAGATGAACTATTGGAAGATGTTCCGCTCGAAAATCCTGCAAATACTGATGACCAAGGCTTAGGGCTGTACCAAATGAAGAATGATTTGGAGGAGGACGCAATCAACAAAGCTGTCATAGAGTCCATCTACGATCAATATAGACACGAGTTTGAAGATCGCTCTGAAGACTGGCAGCACGAGCAGGTGATCCAGGAAAGGATTGAAAACCTTAGAGATACAGATTTAAGGAAAGCGATCGAAGAATCCAAGAAGGACTTATTCCAGAAAGTTCGCAAAGAGGGCGACTTATCTCAAAATTTGGGTGAGCTTCGCCATGATTCCGAATTCGAATTTGGGAAGTCTATCTTATTTGGGGGTACTGAAACAACGCAAATACAACCCAAAAGTATTACTGAAACCCATTTTCGCGACTCAGCTTCGAGCACTGATCATGTGAATCCTGGCGATTTCCCAAATTATCTTGACGAGTCGGAAAAAGAAGCTACAAAAACCCAAACTAATCCCCTACCCCTGTGGTTTAGCGACTCTTCGCATTTGCAGAGCCCACATGCGTCGGTTGGTTTTCTTTCTGATAAAGTGGAGAATAGGGCTCATGACGAAAATGAGGAGGTGGGCTTGATACCGTATAGTGAAGCAAGAAAGTACTTCAAGGGTACCGCTCGCACAACATCGCAGATAAGCGTGTCTGACAATGAAATGGAACTGGACTCCGACATCCAGATAATTGAGAATATTGTGGAGCGAGAGCCGAATATTACGTCGAGCGAAACAGCACAAACTGATGAGACGTACAAATCCACTGAAGGACAGCCGACCATAGTTGAGAAACCTGTTCTTCAACAAAAACGAAGGAGCAAAAAGGCGGATGCGAAAAAAGTATTTGTGCAAACCAGGAGCCGAGATTCGGCTGATGCCCTTGAAAGCAAAACACCGGCTCGCCTTGAACTGAAAGCTACGTCTCCACAAGCCGAAGGCGTGGATAATGTAGAATCTTCATTTTTACTGGGAGTATCTGACGAAAATTGTCGACTGATGGACGCAACCTATGAAGGAAGAGAGCAACCCAAAATACTAGACTACGATTTTGATGAAAGTGAAGAAGAAGATCTTGTGAAACTACTTCAGGAGGAAGAGCAAGAGCATGCCCAGTTCACCACCAGTATTCAATTGGACAAGATTCCTATCCACACGAAGGTTAGCAATGAACAACTACTACAAGAACAGCTTCAGAAGGCAAAACGTGATGCTGAAGAGGTGACTCAAACAATGATCAATGACGTACAGGAATTGTTGAAGAGATTTGGGATTCCCTATATTACTGCACCAATGGAAGCAGAGGCACAATGTGCCGAACTCTACCAATTAGGATTGGTTGATGGTATTGTAACGGATGATAGTGATTGCTTTCTTTTTGGTGGTAGTCGAATCTACAGAAACATGTTCAATCAAAAGCAGTATGTTGAATGTTATATTGCGGAAGATATAGAGCATAAGGTCGGACTCGATCAACAGAAGCTCATTGAACTCGCGTTGTTACTAGGCAGTGACTACACTGAAGGAGTCAAGGGCATTGGCCCGGTATTAGCCATGGAAATTCTAGCTGAGTTTGGTGGTTTGAGCTCCTTCAAACAATGGTTTGATGAAACAACGAAAACGTTGAAAAAACCCGACTCGGGTCGGCTGAAACTTGAGAAGACCTTGATTTCGAGAATCAAAAATGGGAAACTTTTTCTTTCTGACAAATTTCCCGATCCAGTTGTCGTTGACGCGTACAAACATCCAGAAGTTGATCATGATAACTCCAAGTTTAAATGGGGAGTGCCCCTGTTGGACCAAATAAGAAGCTTCTTAATGTACAATGTAGGCTGGTCACAGGGAAGGGTCGATGAGGTAATGGTACCGTTGATCCGTAATATCAACAAGGCCAGAACAGAAGGTCAGCAGACCACAATAGGAGAGTTTTTCCCACAGGATTACATTTCCTACAAAAAGGATGTGGGTATGGGAAAACGTATGAAGGCAGCAGCTGAACGAATAAGAAAGGTATAAATATATTTTGGGTCAAACATGATAACAGATTGATATACTCGCAATTATAATTCTTAATAAATTCCCAGTGTCTGTTTGACGAACAATAAAACCCGTTTACTCGATCAAAATTAGTGAATTTTGAGCTTTTATCTTTCATTTATGAGGTCTTTGGAGCTTTAGAAGCCCAAACATCAATTCACAGGATCTTCCGCTATACCACCACTTTCTCAAAAGTAGTTGTTTTGCATAATAGTTTTTGGGAGAAGAATACAAAAAATCTTGGAAGTTGTGAAGGAATAGAAGGCGATCATGAAGACTGCGAACCCACGAGCATTTATGATCGATGCGACATCGTTTTTAATCACGGACATAAAAGCCAGAAAACAAAGACAATTCGAAGAAAAGAAAACCCAGAGAATGCTGCTACTATTGAAGTCAATTCGCTATTTACACGGAAGTGCTTACTCAGTGGGGCTTGACCCATTAATTGTTGAGTAATGAACACTGCTGAATTGCACTCGCGTTTTGCTGTCACGTGACTAGAACGTTGGATGCGCGCGAGCACGGCTCCATACTTACTGAGTGTCCTACTTCATTGGAATTGCCGACTAACTCTAAAACCATGGCCGATTCATTTGCGAAAATCTCGTCAATTATTGAATCGGCACGAGACATCACGATTGAGGCTGCAGTGAGCGCTTCAACCAGACTCACCGAGACTCCAACGGCGAAGAGACCCCAAGAAATAGCTAAGCTTCTCAGTTCAAGACTTGATCGCGAAGTGCTCAATGGCATGAAATGTGTCATGACGCTCATTTCGAGCGGTGAAGATGGCCTGATGTATTTTGCTGATGTGGTCAAAAACGTCACTCTGACCAACGCGCGCGTACGTGCGCTCGTGATGATGTACGTCGAGAAGTACGCCGAAAGTGAACCTGACACGGCGCTTCTTTCAATCAATTCTGTGCAGAAGTCCCTAAACGACAAAGCTCCGAACGTGCGCAGTGCCAGCATACGGACACTTGGTGGAATAAGAATCCCTGAGATCGCATCCTTGTTGCTTTTATGCATTAAACGGACACTATCAGATCGTCTGCCAGAAGTCAGGTCCGCCACTGCGTTGGCGATAGGATCTGCATTCACGATTGATGGCATCGACCAACTCAAGCTTCTAGGATATCTTGCCTCTTTAATGGCAGACTCTTCGCCGCTTGTGGTAGGAACTTCAGTTAAAGTCTTTGTTAAGTTGAAGCCCAGCTTCTTAAAGCTCCTGCGCACTAAAACTTGGGCGCCAGTGCATGCAAACTACAGACTGTATGTTCGAATGCTCCCAGATCTCGAAGATTGGAGCTGGTCTCTTCTCACAGACCTTCTAGTGGAATACTGCCGCAGTTTTGTGCCTAGACCATCCCTCGTCTTGCCTGATGGCTCGCGAATGGACGTACCCGAGGACTTTGGTGCATTTCCTAGCGAATACCAATGTGAGATGGACTCAGACTTAGAAAGATTTGTGATGGGCATTTCTTCAGCGGCTTACAGCTCTTCCCCTTTAGTTGTCCTCTCTGCCGTTCGCGCTTTAATTCTGGTTGCAACACCGGCACATATAATTGAATGCGGCTTCCCCAAAATACTAGTCAAAATGATGTCGGAGTCATCTAGCGAGCCAGAAACTCTACACATTTTGCAGCTCATTTCTAAGCTTACCGCATACATGCCGGAAGCTTTCCAGGACTACGCTCGCAAGTTTTTTCTACATCCCCATGACTCCACCGCCGTCGCTTCGTGTAAGCTTCATATTCTTCTGATCATCTTTCATGAAGAAATTGCTGGGTTGATAATTAGGGAGCTCCAATTCAACGCCACTAGCTACAGGCGAGAAATAGCGCAGAGCGCCGTTAAAGCCATCGGCTTTTGTTGTCAAAAGTCTACCGACTGGATTGATCTTATTCTTCAGTGGTGTATTCTGGAAATGGAAAATGAGTCTGCCAGTTTAATCCTTGCTGACTTGTTGAAGGTAGTACGCTTTCTTTTGCAACAAAAGCAAAATCTGCTTCTGCATAACGAACAAGTTACTAGGACCATCTACCGTCTATCCTTGGTGCTACAAAACGCCAATATTCACCTTAATGAGGAGGCCAAATCTAGTATCATCTGGACGATAGGCGAATTCACCGAAGTAACGCAAAACGTCATTGGACCAGATGTTCTCCGTCAAGCACTAAAGACTTATGCTCAAGAGACAGAAAAGGTGAGGTACGAAATCTTGCTTTTAGCAGCGAAATCTTATCTGTTTGAGATTCAAAACATGAATGTCGGACCCGGTGTCCAAGAGACTCCATCAGTCTTAAAAAAGATGTTCGAGTATGTGATGCATCTAGCGCGATATGACATATCCACATGTACAAGAGATAAGGCGAGAATGCTCGATGAGTTATTTCGCGATGTCTCAAATCACCAATTGGCATATTTATTCATGCAAGCGCCAAAGGCTGTGCCTCAGATAGCAGGAGAGATAAAAAGTTTTGCTTTGCTCACTCGCTACATGAAAACACCCGCGTGGGCTGACGTTTCCACCCTTCCACCTACATCAATTAGAAAGGAATCAGGCAGATCTAATCTGTCTTTGACAAGCTACAAGAACGATTTACGTAGCGGAATCTCAAATAGCGCAATCACAGACTCTGCAATGGTAACAACACCAATAGCCTCAGCAGCAGGCATTCGCTCAAATTCCAATCGTTTACAAAGTCTTGACGAGTTCTTTGGTGACGAGGATGAGAGCGAAGAATCCAGTATCAACGAGAGTGACGCTGATCGGTCGTCGGCTACTGAGTTGTCGGCTTCTGAGTCAGAAAGTGAATTAGACTCTGATTCGGAGTCAGAAAACCTGCTGATAGATCAGTAGCTCCTCTCAAGGGTCATGATAGGATAGGCATAGTGGCTAAAAGTGCCGAATGTTTGTTTAGCGCAAAAACTCATATCAACATTAATTACTTCAATGTCAAACATCGCATTGCTGTGTATAGTGGACACCAACTAAATAATTATTTACATCGCACGGCAGAAGTAGCTTTACGGCAAAATAGCAAGCCTACAAAGTCAAATTGATATATAATGAGTCACACCGTCAGTAAGTACCCTCATGGGCAATGTATTAGAGTATGATGGTGTACAGATTTTCCGCTTGATCAATGACGCATTCAACTCTTTGGCATAAATCAGTCAGGTTCTTTAAGATGATCAAACGCGGGGCAACTCTAGGACTTTTGCGTCAGTATTCCAGGTATGCAAAAAACGACCAAATCTTCTTGCATGATGTTGCAGGAAGGTATGCGGCAACACTTTCCAAAAACGCCACGGATGTGCCCATTGGATTCTCGCCTTCGCTTGAAGTGAGCCCCTCAAACTTTGAAGGAAATCCTAAGTTTTTAGATTTGCTTCACGATAGAATCAAAACTGGTATCCAGAATGATTTTACTTTCATTATGGAGGCTGGCACAAATGCTCTGACCTACATGCCCATCTACGATTTCAGAGAAATTCCCAAGTACGCTCGCACGCCGAACGTAGATGATGTCTTTGGATACGTTTTGGTAGATGGATCTGGAAAGATTGTCCCCGACAGTTATGAAAAGAACGACTTGTACCGGATTTGTAATGGAACTGGTCTCATCAAGTTGAGTGAGTATTTGCTCGAAGAGATGAAAAAGGCAACTTCGGCGTAGTGTCCTTAAAAACATGTGCGTTCATCCATAGGCTCTTTCTGTGCCCCCCCCCCCCCTCCCTTGAACAAAGTGTCTCAATTGTTCATGAGCACTAACACCTCTAAAAGAAATATGTTTCCTTATTTTGAGTCGCAGAAGTACAGGAGTAATCTACTGGCGGTTCTTATCATTTTAAACCAGAAATGTATTTGTATGGCTAATGTATATCGAAAAAAATTCCGCAAGTATTACTAGAGATCTCATCTGCTTTCTGCTCATCTTTCATACTTGCTGTGTAGCGACTAGCTCATCCTACGGCGGAAAATCACACCATCCTGATACATAGACAAGGGTATCCTACCAATTTAACGCATGAAATCAAAAATCGTGGTCCTGAATTCAGCTTACCAATAAGCTGACATTCGATAAAGGAAGCTATTTCGCGAGTAGCAATCAAAAGTAATGAATAACGAATCAGCTCGATTGCTCGCAACAAATGGTTGTAATTTCTCCATTAGATTAACAGATTCTTGTTCTCACAATCCAGACATAGGCTTTCACAATGTGAGATTCTACGATCGCAACGGGCTTGGGCTGAGGGTATGAAGATTAGAAACACGCTTTCCGTAGATGTGCATGAAATAAGATAGGCCAGGCGCGACTACGATGGAAATGAGACAACCCACATTGGTGGTACTCTGTATTAATATGTACATTCCGTTGAGGATATATCTGTATAGTTAACCGTTGTTAAACCCACTTGAAAAACCATCATAAAGCCATAAAAAAATTGTGAAATAGATCGTGATATGCAGTTGATGCAGATGAAATAGAGAAGGAAAGGTCAGATCTTCGAAGATTCAAAGAAAAGATTCATCATTCCAGGCAGTCGCGAGGAGTATGATGAGATGCGTTTTCAAGTAGTCACAGTACAAGCAGCAGCTGCGCGCTTAGTATCTGTAAATATCGGCCTTGAATGGACCCTCCTTTGGAATGCCCAAGTACTCGGCTTGAGTGTCGGTCAAGGTGGACAATCTAGCGCCCAAGTGGTCCAAGTGGCACTTGGCGACAGTCTCGTCTAAGATCTTTGGCAACAAGTGGACACCGACATCGAACTTACCGTTCTTGCCAAACTCAGGGAACTGAGATCTGAACTCCTCGTTCTCGGCGTTGAACAAAGCAATCTGGGCCAAGACCTGGTTGGAGAAAGAACAGGACATGACAAAAGAGGAGTGGCCGGTGGCGCAACCCAAGTTGACCAATCTACCCTCGGCCAACAAGATAATGTGGCGGCCGTTCTTCATCAAGAATCTGTCGACTTGAGGCTTGATGTTGACAACGGACTCGGCGTTGGCCTTCAACCAAGCGACATCAATCTCAATGTCAAAGTGACCAATGTTACAAACGATGGCGTCCTCTGGCATTTGAGAGAAGTGTTCGCCAGTGAGGATGTCACGGCAACCAGTGGTGGTGACGAAAATTTGGCCAATGGCGGCAACCTCCTCCATAGGAGCAACCTGGTAGCCGGAGACAGCGGCTTGCAAGGCGTTGATGGGGTCAATCTCGGTGACAATGACACGAGCACCCATACCGGCCAAAGCCATGGCGCAACCCTTACCGACATCACCGAAACCAGCGACAACAGCAACCTTACCGGCGATCATGACGTCGGTAGCTCTCTTGATACCGTCAACAAGGGACTCTCTGCAGCCGTACAAGTTGTCGAACTTGGACTTGGTCACGGAGTCGTTGACGTTGATAGCAGGCACCTTCAAGTTGCCGTTCTTGAGCATCTTGTACAAGTGGTGGACACCAGTGGTGGTCTCCTCGGACAAACCGAAACAGCCCTCCAACATCTCGGGGTACTTCTCGTGGACCAAGGTGGTCAAGTCTCCACCGTCGTCCAAAATCAAGTTCAACTTCTTGTCGTCCTTGAAAGCGAACAATTGCTGCTCGATACACCACAAGTACTCCTCGTCGGTCTCACCCTTCCAAGCAAAGACGGGAACACCGGCGGCGGCAATGGCAGCAGCGGCGTGGTCCTGGGTGGAGAAAATGTTACAAGAACTCCAGGTGACCTCGGCACCGAGAGCAACCAAGGTCTCGATCAACACAGCGGTCTGGATAGTCATGTGCAAACAGCCGGCAATTCTGGCACCCTTCAATGGCTGGGATGGTCCGTACTTCTTTCTGATGTACATCAAGCCGGGCATTTCGTTTTCGGACAACTCAATGTCCTTTCTGCCGAAAGCGGCGAGGGAGATGTCAGCGACTTTGTAGTTGGAAGCAGGGGCAGCCATGGTGTTTAATTTGTGTTCAACAATTAGAAAAATTTTCGGGGCAGGGCGGTGGGAATACGCGTCCTTATATACGGAGCGCGCCTGTGTGCAGGTCGCTACGACCGCCTTCAGGCTCTGGGATGGGCAAAAATTTGTTGACCGCCGCGCGTATACGATACCTTTCGGTGGCTAATCCGCGTGCCACGTGAAAAACGTGTGTTTTTGTTGAGGTGTGTATCCAGCAAGGGGGCCGGATTTGCATGTGAAAATGGTGGGCTGATACCGGCTCCGACGCCCGCAGAACCTACGGTGGTCTAGAAAATAAAAAAACAGAATCCACTCACGTGCAATTGCTCGAGGTGCCCCTGTCAGCAATGAATCCAACTCACATGCTCTTGTTTTTACTTTGATTGATGATAAGACATGACACTAGGCGCCCGGTTCGATGCGCGACGTAAATTCATATCTCCGACGGGGAAGCAAGATATCCCAGGTGTTCAGCATTGTTTCTCGCGGATATTTCATAAATCTATAGTTTATCTGAATTTGAATTCCATTTCACCTGCAACACATGTTTCTATTCTCGCTCGGTTCAGATCTCACCTGCATTCCTTCCACATACCACCGGCATTCCACCTAGGTAACACCCATATTCAACATATATTTCCGATCCAAACCATGCTCAGTATATTAAAATTTTCATTCGATCCTCCTGCTCACGTCACATGCAGGGAACTATCCAATCGTTCGGCATAGTCTGGTTCACTCCGTCTCACGGACATCGGCCTTCTCGAGCATGTCACGTGACCACGCCCTGCCTGCCAAGAGTCGAAGCTTTGGCGCTCACAGGCGTGGAAAACACCTGAGGCTATCCTGTAATTATCAGAAGCTCTGATTCCCTTGCTTTCCGGTTGCCACTTCGCGAGTGGCCGGCGGCTCGTCTATAAGGAGGTCTATTGTATAAGGAGGCCACGTCTTGAAAGACAAGTCAATTCCATGCGCTGCGCAACGAGCATCAAATCTCAAACTTCAACCAGTCCAAGTCCGTCGCAGGCTTTATATCCTCCAGGGGAGAGGCGGTCGAAAACTCGCCCTTGAGACCATGCGTGAGGGATGACTTGGTGGTTGTTGGCTTGATATCGAACTTGCCCCCCATGTTGAGCGCGGTCTCGGGCGAAGTGGTGCCCTCCGACTCCTCGCTATGTAGAGAGGTGTAGTTTTTGAAAAAATCGTCGGTCTCCATGTCATCTTCATTCTTCACCGGGGAGGCTAACCCCTCGTTGCCACTCTTGAGATAGCTGTCGTAGTTGGGGATATCACTAGGCACCGCGAAGGATTGCCGGTGGCTATTCTCGTCAAAGATAGTGGGCGAGGAGGCGGAGTACGGCGTGAAGTCCGACGTGATGCTATCGCGGCCCGCCCTCGAGATGCTGTTCCTTTGCTGGCCATGAGGCGAGGCGGCCGAGATTTGGTCGAAGTACATATTGTTGTTGGTGGCCAACGACGCGGGCTGCAGGCCGGTGAAGTACCTCGAGAACGCCGAGTTCATCGGCCCGGACTGCGCAGAAGTGCTGAGGCCCTGTAGGGGGGTGGCTGACCTTCCGAGGCCCGCGACATAGCTCTTCTTCATTTGGGGCGTGGCCGAGCCGCCGCGCTTGCCAGTGGCCGAGCCCACGGTGGTGAAAGAGCCACTGAACCCGTTGACCGGCGCGAAGCGCCTTCCGTAGGAGTCGGACAATTCGGAGATGTTTACCTCCGACTTCTTTCGCTTGAACTGCAGCGACGCGCTGGTGCTGTATGGCGACGACGGCGTTGACATCTGCATGGAGCTGCCGAGACTGTGCGGCGTGCTTTTCTCGTGGATGGGCGTTGACGCTGTCTGGTAAGAGCACGCGCCCGAGGGCTTCGGTAGTATGAGCACGTTCTTGGGCTTGGAGGCGTCCGCGGAAAAGTAGGCCGACCCCACCAGGCCGTAGCTGAACGCGGCAGCGGGTCCCAGCATGGGGCTGTTCAGAATGGGGATTCCCGAGGCATGGTCGTGCTTGGCGCGCGAGTACTCCGCCAGGTACGAGCCGTGGCGTGAGAGACTGGAGGGAAAGCCCGCGGCGCGAGGCGTGGCCGAGGCCCGGCGCGAGCTGCGCTTGCGGATGACGTCGGTCTTGAGCGAGAGCGGGCGCGTCGTGCCGTGCAACTTCAAGAACAACCCGCAGGCATTGCACAACGTGTTGCCGTCCGGGTCTTTCCGCCAGAGGGGCGTTTTGAGCGTGCCGCAGTTGTTGCACTCCGTGGGTTTCTTGGTGTCGGCAGCAGCACCCTTGTCGCCTGCAGAGGGCAGGGGCTGCCGGTCCTGCTTGGGGAGCTTCTGGAGGGAGGAGGTCAAGTTCGAGCGCAAGGCCTGGTGCTTCTGCTGCTGATGCGACGGCGGCGGCGCCGTGTCCCTGCCGAGCCGCGTGGACATGGCAACGCGCGGCCTGTCGCTGGCCGACGGCGTGTGTGACGACTCGCGCGACAGCAGGGCGCCGTCGTACGTGCCGCTGGGGCTGCTGTCCAAGGACCGCGGCGTGACCGACTGCCGCGTGAGCAGCTCCGGGCGGCTTTTGTGCGCCTTGCCGAACGACACGGATGTGGACACGGGCCCGCGCAAGTCGTCCACCGAGAGCGGCAGCAACAAGTCGAGCACCTTGGCGTGCGGGTGGTTCTGTGGCGCGTTGCCCGGCGCGCTGGCGGGCGCGGGCGCGCCGCTGCTCCATTCACGCTGCGCCCGCGTGTTGTCTTCCCTGACCTGGCGGTTTTCGACCCGCGGCTGTAGCGCCAAAAGGCGCTTGGCCTGGGAGAAGAGGTCTCTGATGGACGGTCCGGTGGACAAGTCCGACTTGGCCTTGGCGGGGAGCAGCACCGGCGGCGGCGTGCTGGTGTAGTTGCTCATGGCAGGCCGTGTGGTTTAGTGTTTTTTTTTTTTTTTTCTGGGGAGAAAGGCCGTGGGCTGGAGGTGCGGAATTGGGGTGTGGGCGGTGTGGCGGGGGACTCTGCTGGCGCAGGCCGAAAAAAACGGGGAGTGCTTTTCGGGCAGAGCTGGGGCCGGGCTGCGAGACTGGGTCCAGGGCCGGGCGTGAGGGCGTGTTTGTTCTAGGCTGGGGCTAGAAATGCGAGCGCCGTGGAGGGAAGCGAGGATCGGGACAAAAGCAGGCGCCCAGGAGAAACGCACGCGTCCTGGAGAAAAGGGTGCTGGTGCTGGAGAAGGTCCTAGTAGAGAAGGTCCTGGGGCAGGATCGGAATACAGGGTCCGGAAAAAAGGGTCCTGGGATGACGTGGGGTTTGTTCCTGATGGGCCTCTTTTTTCCCCATGACGAAATGAGTCTTTTTTTCCTCCTGTTTCGCGGAGGTACGGGTGCTCGGGGTATTCCAGGCTGCGGACTAATGGAAGGCGAGGCAGCCAAGGCCCTGGAGCAGCCTGGGGTGCGCGAGGATTCCTGTTTGGGCCGCATTTCTGGTGCTGGTCGGTTTTTCTGGTGCTGGTCGGTTTTTCTGGTTTTGGCCGGTATTTCTGGTTTTGGCCGGTATTTCTGGTTTTGGCCGGTATTTCTGGTTTTGGCCGGTATTTTCGGTTTTGGGCTATCTTTCTGGTTTTGGGCCCGCAAAAACCGAGCCACGTGCCGGCCCTGTCGGGGTGTCGTATTCGGTGTGGCGTGGTGGTGTAGTCTTCGGACTCCATGCGCGCTGTAACTCCGGGCGGCCATGCACACCAGTGCTTCTTGCGGGGCGGCCCCGAACCGAGGGCAGGCAGGCAGATTCGCGCGTTGCCGAGCAGGTGAAGTCAGTCGAAAACTGGCCTCGCTGCTGGGACGGGAAGACAGCGAGGAAACAAGGCAGAGTGGTGGGACGAGAGTAGGAAGTGTTTGAATTCGAGTGGATGAGACCGTCAAGCGGTGAAATGAGACGGTCAATTAATGAAATAGGACAGTCAAATAGTGAAATGAGACAGTGATAAGACAATCGAATGGGGCAATCAAATGGGGCAATCAAATGGGGCAATCAAATGGGAGGAGACATGAGAGGAGCCATGGAAAGAAGATATGAGAGGAGGACAAAGAGGCAGAAATTGGAGGAAGGAACGAAAACAAAGAACGAAAATACAGAACCGACTGCAAAGAAGGAAAAACAAAAATAAATCATAAATCATAAATCATAAATCATAAATCATAAATCATAAATCATAAATCATAAATCATAAATCATAAATCATAAATCATAAAAAGGTCAATCGAGATATCTGGGTGGACCAGCCAGGCTCTTGCATCCAGTGCACCTGGAAATCACGCTCAAATATATGGCCCCACCATGCGACCCTGCTTTCAACAAATCATCTGACCGGAATAGGTCATGTGAGGGCATCTATTGATTTCACAGAATCATCCGAGTATTCTCGCCCGAGGACAAACCTTTCACAGCAAAACGAGATGGACGTAGTCACCGAAAAAAAAATCACCCTGTTATGAATTATTTACAAATGTTGTCAACAAGGGTTTATGAATCATCTCTGAAATCTCGCGAGCGTTTTTCAAGTAACTACTGCTGAGTGAATAATGGAAACTACTGCGAAAGAGTCAATGGAAAAACAATCATCATCATTCCACCGAAATCACACATGTACCCTCTCGATCACTGAGTGAAAAATACGTAAATAAAAGAGACCCGAATACCCCTAGCAAGACTTTTCTTTAAACTATTAGATTAACTTAATTCCTGGATGCACCTCTGGAAAATGACATATCAGAATCATTTCGGGAGTGGCCTCACGGGCAATCACAAGAATAGACACTCACGGCCCTGGATATGCGTGGAATCGATTCGTAGAATCACGTCAGGAAAGCCCTTCAATACTACCCGGATCAAACCACTGCGCAGACTCACCCAAGCACAGGCAGACATACTCGCCCAAGCCCAGGCAGGCACAACGACCCTCGCTGAGAAAATGGCCTTGCGTTCATTACACAACATAGATCACACGTGCTTCTGCGCTATATCCTGTTCCAGTTCGCACCACGGGGCTCACGCGTCCTCGTCCTTCTCCTCCTTCTGATGGTGGTGGTGGTAGCCCTTTCCTCTCCGGCGCTCGTTGGGGTTGTACGGGTGCGAGTTGTCCGAGTGGAGCCTGTACTCGAACGTCACTCCATTGACTCTTTCGTTGGACGAGCTCAACTGGGTCTCCACACAGTCCGAGCCTTGCATGATGGCATCCACCTCGCGGATCACTCGCAAGATGGCATCGCAGTACACCCTCCTGGCATGGAAGCCGGCGACGGAGCCCTTCTTGTCCTCGTCGTCCGCGGACTTCTTGCTCACGTGCGAGTTGGAGTTCCAGATGCTGATGATCTCCTCGTCGCGGCGCACGCTGAGCACCAAGCCCACAATGTCGCTCAACAACGCGTCGTGGTGCTCCTTGCGGCCCAGGAGGATGCAGCCGGTCAACGTCTTGAGCACCAACCGCTCCCACACCAACGTGGCCCTGCGCCGGCCCCTCTGGATGGCCTCCTGGCTCTCCTGGCTGGCCGCGTTGGGGTTCACGCGGTGGCTGAAGCGGAACACCCACCGCCCGCCGCGGGAGTTGATCGGGTCCTCCCACACCGGGTTGACCCCCGTCTTGAAGACCAAGAGCTCGCTCCCGTTCACCAACTCGTGCGACTTCTTCAACGCCGACAAGCTCATCCACATCTGCTCTAGCGACGCGATGGGCTTCACCGGCTTCTCCGGCTGCCCGAAGCACGGGAACTCGATCTCCGTGGCCGCCTGCAAGTACGAGTCCACGGCCGCCGCGCCGGCCTTGGCGGCGTCGGGCGCCGCGGAGCCGCCCTCGTCGGCCACCGCGGGCACCTTCGTCTTGCTCCGCGAGTGGTGCCAGATGGTCCAGCAGTAGGGCAAAACATGCAGATTCTCGGCAAGCGCGCTCACCGCGGCCTTGGCCTCTTGCTCCGGGTCTCGCTTGGGCACGTCAACGGTGGACACGGCGAGCGCGGTCGGGTGTTTGTACGACGACCGGCCGGAGTACCGGTGCGCGTTGGAATGATTGCTCGAATGGCGGCCGTTGCCACGGCCCAGCTCCGGGTCACCGGACTGGTGGTGGTTGTGACTGGCCGCCTTGTGGTATTTCTGCGGCCCGGGCTCGCTGGAGCCTTGCTGCTTGTTCGGGTTCATGATCCGGTTAAATAGCGACTCGGCTCTCTTCAAGTTCTCGGACATGGTTGGATGGGGGCGGGGGGTGTGCGGATATGTGGGGGGATGGTCCAGGAAAGCGTGTCTTTCCGGTCGATGCAGTGAGTATGTGAGAGGCCGCGGGGGTCCGAGTGTTCGTTCTGTGTGCTTGTGGAGGTGCTGGCAGAGATGGCAGGCTGGGATCAGCGGGAGGGCGGACCAGGGCGGCTAAATCCGGGGTCGGGAGCTGCGACTGGCTATGGAAATGGCTGACTTTTTTTTTTTATTTCTCTGGCTTGGAAACAGAGTGCGTGAGCTTCAGGTCGTGCTGCAAAACAGGCGTGCCGGAGGCGGTTGGGCGGGTGTGGTGGGATATTCTGTGAGGGCAGAGTAGCAGGTTCAAGGCTGAAAAACTTGTCGAGCAGTCTCGGAATCAGCAGGTAGGATAGCGTTTCTATGTATGCTTCACAAACGGAAATGCGGATGGGATGGGAAAAGCGTCTTTTTGGTGGCGGAGGGAAGGAGGGTTCTATGATGGACGGGAAGAGAAACAATGCCGGGTGGCCAGAGGGCAGCTGGCTCCGGCCATGGGAACCACCTAACAAATTTTTCCCGGGTCGTGTGCGGCCCGAAAGCCGGGTGGAAGTTTCGGGCGGCGCGCTGGTTCTGGTATTGGCAGTGGGCCTAGCGAGCCCACCAGCACGTTGCCTCGAGCCGTGGCATGCTCCTTGTAAATGTACTCCCTGTAATCCCTGTTGAAATGTACTTTCTGTAGAAATGTGCTTTCTGTAGAAATGTACTCCCTGTACTCCCTGTAGAATCGTACTTTCTGTAGAAATGTGCTTCCTGTAGAAATGTACTTTCTGTTGAAATGTACTTCCTGTAGAAATGTACTTTCTGTAGAAATGTGCTTTCTGTAGAAATGTACTTTCTGTAGAAATGTGCTTTCTGTAGAAATGTACTTTCTGTAGAAATGTGCTTTCTGTAGAAATGTACTTTCTGTAGAAATGTGCTT